AACACCTGCTTAAGCCAAGATAGCCCTAGGATATCGTTACTCCAGCCCGAGTCGCTGGTAGCAAAAAACATCTGGTGTTGGGAAGGATCTAGGTGCTCTACCCAGTTGTTTCGAAGTCCAGCTTTGCCCTCAAAGATTATCATAGGCGATATCCAGCTCCCGTCAGCACAAATACAGTCTAAAGTTGTTATCCACTCCCTGCTGCCGTCTCTAACAGCTGCTCGAACTTTCTTTTCATCCCAAAGTCTCTTGGAGAACACCCTTTTGGTCCTTGAAGTGACACCAAGGAGAAAGCCCTTTTCGTCCATATTATAGATATTTTGCGGCTGGATATCGTATTTCTCGATATAATCGTGAAGTAGACGGAAGTAATTATAGTAATCTTTAAAATCGTCAGCTTTTTTGCAGTTTTGGTCGATGCCGGCGGTGTTTCTGTTGATAATTTTCTCTCTGTTCCGCCGAAGAAATCTTGTAACCCAGCTGTTAGATGGCTGTCTTTTTGCAATATTGGCAACATATTTTTTAATCATCTCTTGGGACGGTGGAGTACTACGCTTAGAGAGTTTTTCTATGTGCTGGACAAGGTATTTCTCTTGTTGTGGTGAGAGTAGTCGTCGTGGGTGTGCAGCGGCTGCACGCGACCGCGTTTTGTTTTGGTGGCGACGCGTTAAAGTTGATGCCGCAACACCATATATTTTTGCAGCTGTACGGTACGAGATTTGTCCTTCTAGACCTTGCGAATTGATTGCCGCAAGCGCTTTTTCGATAGCTGTCATGGTGGTGGAGTTGTGGGGATTTGAAATTGGTGGGTTCTACTTTGGGAGATGCAGGGGGTGTTGCATTGTCTGACCCGTTGCACGCATTGACCACCCACACTAAGTAAGTAAGAGGCAATCGACGCCTATTGGCTGTAAGAAGCTCTGCAGTTACCAGCAGCTAGCTAGAGGCAGCCAGTACGTATAGTCAGGGCAGTGTGGTAACGGCAGCTAAAGCTACACCTCTTTCTAGTACTCATAGACTGTAGGGATGTTGATGAATTCCTAGCCTTCATCACGAGTTCCAAGACGTGCAGTTACTTCGGCTCTAGTCTCCGAGGCATAATCACCGCCATGCTCGAGCGACTTGACATCTCTATTGACTGGTGTAGCGAAGCTTGTAGTAGCCTGATGGATGCGGTGTTGATCTAAAGGATAATTATTACTTACTACAGCTTGTGACGACGCTGAAAAGGGGTGTGCAGCATATGCTTGGATATAGTAGAACAAGAACACTTAGGTAGAGCTAGCAAGCGTCGATTTCATTCATTTCATCCTGCACTTCAAACCCCCGTGCAAAAAAAACAAGTGACTATTCTAGGTACGCAGCTGAAGCTGGAATAATCCTTTTTTTTATTGCCTACTGTTGTACAACATAGAGATATGACTTATTTTTCCATACGAGACGGATGGATCTTTGGGGAAAACAAAAATGCAGAGAGTGCAGTGATGTTGCGGATATTATTGTTGGAGCAGGGTAACCTGGGTTATGTTGACGATTGTGGTATAAGAAATAAGAGAATAACAGAGAGAAAAGAAAGACAGAAAAAAAAGGTGAATCGTCTTGCTGTCCAGCAGTGAATTAGTAGCTCCTCCTCCTCCTCCTCCAAGAAAACACCATGGCTGTAACGATATCGTTCGACTCGCAAACGTCGTCGCATCCTCAATTAGTACCATTGCCTAGTCCAATCATGGTGCGTCGCTTGAGACTGAGGAACCGTTGCGGACTTGTGAATTCCCATTCGATTTTGGGTGTCCAGTCCGATACGAGGTCTGGGATGCTGGGCGCGTCGGAAGCGTTTCCAAGGTACGCTGGTGTAGGTGGCTCCACGCCGTCGTCGCCGGCCGTGGTGCGACTGAAAGCACTCCTCGCTGGACTTCGGGTGCCGCTAAACGATGTATCGGACGGGCTAGGCAGCTGTTGCCAGGGACCGCCTAAACGGCGAACGATTCTTGATTCTTCGCTTTGGCGCCACCGCTGCTTCTGCTCTGCTGTGGCGAAGCTCGCCAGCGTGTTTGTCGATCTGGACAGGAAGACGGAGAAGCGCTCGGAGAGGATAGAGCCGCGTGAAGATCTGTCCGCCGTCTTGGGCTGAAGATACGAACTGTGGGTCGAATTCCTCCTCGTGTCGGAATCCGTTGGGGGCAGCGAGTCGCGGAGGGAAGTTCCAATATCAATCTCTATGATTCTGGGTGGTGGCCGTGGCCACTGCGGTTTGACTCCAATATCTTCTTTATCCTCCTCGTCTGATTCGGCGATTGTCCCGAGAGACCTGGTCACAGTTGATGTCTTGCCGGAAGATGGGGGCGGTGAAGCTTGCTTCTCTACATCTTCCTGGACGGGTGGCCTAGTGTAGCTGCCGGGCCCCTTTGCGCCGTTGGGTACGTGCCACCGGAGGTCAACGCGAAGAATGGCGTACATGAGGACAGTTATGATTTCCACAAAGAAGTTGAAAATGTAGTACGGCGCTTTCCCGAGATACCCTGGCAGAGGTTCCGATCGCGGCGTAGGTGCTTGCAAAATGATGCCGCAGCGAAACCATGCACCGAGAGACAGCAAGGCTGTACTGACGAGCAGGATGGAAACTTTTGTCCGTAGTCGGCCGGCTCCAAAACGATCAAGTGGCGAGTAGGGAGTAAGCAATGCAAACATCGTCATGGGCAACGGAAGTATGGCGACAACTGCGAGAAATACTGACCCATATCGCTGGAGGATGCGGACAGTGTCATCAGTGTCTCCGTTGAGCGTAAAGAAGCCTTTCATAGTGAAGCTGATGACGATGATAATGGTGGCCGTAAGACATGCGTAAATGATCTTGAATGCAATGCCGAAAACAGGGTGCCAGCCGACAGAAGTATGTGTGGAGCGCACAAGACGTATGGCGAAGATGACATTGATAACGAACAAAATCACCACACTGGATGGTATGAACATCTGTGAAGTTATGGAGAGGCCAATGCTTGTCGGGTCGTACACCAAGGCCAATCGTAATGCCGATGTCGTGATGCGCTCCAAGCAGAATACTTGCATGGATATTAGCTTGTCATATTCAAGTCTTGCATCATCTAGTGACTCACTGAAAATGAACAGGTTTGGTAGGAATTTGTAGCCTCTTTTTTGGTTCTTTCGGAAGATGTTCAGATGTGTGATTGCCCCAATCATGAAAAACACCATCATGACTGATTGGGCTGGTACATCGATACCTTTTTCTGGCGCACCACCAAATGGCCATGTTGTGGGAGCGTAAGGAGGAGACTCTGTTGCCTTGTTCAAATTAGCTGCTGGATGCTGGAACGCTGCTTCAACCTGTACAAGACAACTAGGCTGATATCGCAATGCTCACCATTGGAGGAGGCATGCCGTCCTGCGGTGCCATGATGTTATTGGCCGGCAATCCTTCTTCGAAATCCCTATGTTCCGACTCAGGTTGCCCGGAGCGGCTGAGTGCGTAAAGCGGCAGTGATTAGCGTTGGTTGGCTGTCAAATGGTCAAGGGACGGAAAAGGTTCGCGCAGCGAGCGCAAACCTTATCATATTCATCCCATTGCACTGTGACAAGCACCCAGCAGGCCGAACTCGACCTGTATCAAAACTTCAGTCAAACATTTGTGTCGTGACTCGCCCATGCGTCCAAACAGTTTGATGTTTGATGTTGGTGTCTGGGCCGCGAGGCCAAAACACCGATCGCTGCGCTATTTTCGGAATACCGTTACGCTAGCCAGAAATTCGGCTTCTTCTCCACGCGCACAGCGGCCCTGCGGAGCTATCGTAGATCTTCTACTATGACAGCAGTCATCTGTCTGGGCATCATCGCCTATACGTTGCTGTATTGTGAGCACTATAAAGCCACACTTCGTCCCCGAATACAATCGCGCTGAAGACCGGCCTGCCTCTTTTATATCTGAGGACTACAATAGGCTCTGATCTCATCTAGCAGAGTCATTTGTACAAGCTCACACATTGTGAAAATCACGATAAACGGCGCAAAGCATCCCGCTGCGCCCTCGTCATTTCAACGAAACACTGGTCAAGTGTACATTGGTGTACACCAGAATTCTGCCTGAATGTTCTCTACATACGAGGCGTAAGCTCGCGGATGATGCTAATTTTGGTCTTGGTACGGGTACTTAATCTGCCGCATCCGTTTTCTGCCCCAGTTTTCAGCCTCCAAGAATAAATCATCAATGACGGTAGATGATGTGGTCCCCCCTTAACAATTTAGCCATGCACGTTGTATCGGTACCATAATTTATTGGATCCACATCGGGGTTTGCGCACCCATGCATTGGGCCAGGGTATGGGAGACCGTCGTGTTTCCTGCGAACTTGGCGGCCTGTCACTTCGTATTGCTGCGATAACCATTGCCATAATCGCAGTCATTGGTGCTGGCTGTGTCTCTTGATGACCCTCAGACCTTCTCCCTATTTCATTTTGCATCTGTGCTGTGAATCCAACAGGAACAGTGATAGTGGAGAACTGGTAAAGACCAGTTTATCGTAGGAGTTTCAACCAAGATTTAGTGACTCGTAACCATAGCAGATGCTCTAGTCATTCGATAGCTTGAGCTGTACCATATTCGATCCATAGGTCGATGTTGCGATCGGTTTCAATTGCGCCATTCATCAAAATCTTTTATTTTCGTCCCTTCACTCCGTTTTTGGAGTTTCGACCTTTCCATCCGCAGGTACAGGTAGAGGGCCATTTCTTAACGTGAGCGTACGAAAGACACTGGAACTCTTTGCTGTCTTTAATGGTGACTTTCTTCGACAATACAATAGCTTTTTGGTAGCGATTTGGAGCTCGTAATTGGTAAATCCATCCAAAGTGACGTGAGCGTTTGGAAGTGAATGTAACACATGATTAGGCATGTCACTATGCGCTTCATGAACCACAGTAAATTTTCCTGGTATTCTCCTTGCAAGCGAGTGGCGTAAGCTTTTTTGTTGAGTCTCACACGGCAATGGTCTACTTGTTGAGATGACCGTGCTGTCCGACATCTGTATTGGTATTAGTAGTAGCAGCAGCCTGGCATACAGCATTCATACAAGGATACTAGATGCACTTGCAGTAGAGATTTGCATCTGGATTTCTTCGATGGGGTCAGTCTCAGCGATAGGGCTAGAAAAAGTAACAGCAACATCCTAGGGTTGAGAAGTGTTAGTGTCGTGTCAAGTTTCATCTGCGACAGCTGTGACAGGCTCCTACGCTTGGTTGGGGTAGTCCCTCATATGTTGTGGTTCGCAAAAGAGCAAGCTGATGCACTGGTAGACGTCTCTTTCGAGTGGCCAAAGGCCTCAGCGTAGTTCTAGTCGGCGTCTCTGTCTTGGTGATGACGGAAGAAGCCCCTGGTTTCTGTTTGGGTCGCCTGACACCGATTGGACGATATGAGCCCTCTCATTGGTTCTGACGTTTGAAATTGTTTCGTGCACAGTTGTCGACATTCTCCGGTGTTGGCGACCGTGGGATATCGTAGATTGACATGGTGGGAGTGGCTTCTCTTGAGGACTTTGCCACCTTATGAGAGGCTGCCAGCTGTTGGGATTACTGCGCTATGATCGAGTTCAAATTATTCGATGATATTGCGCCCATCATGGAATGAGCAATTGTGAGGTACCAGGCACGTCGTGTGGTTTGAGCTGCCGAATCGGTGCCAAGCCACTAGCCTCGTTGGTGCCTGTCAGGGTACCGCAACGGCATTTGGTTTTGCATTTCTTACCAAAAAAAGAAAACTGCGTTTCGGGTGCCTAAAAAGCTGTTTGGTAAGACGTGGATTTCAAACGAGACATCTGGTACGCCTAAGATCTAAGACACTGATATTCTTTTCGCTGCGACTCGCACTGTTGCAAACATTTGGGTATGGAACGATAGAAAGGAAGGGCGGGCACAGCAGGATATTCATTAAGCATTTATCCAGATATGTGAAGGGGCCTCATAGTATCCATGTTATTATGCTTAGAGATAAATGTAGCATAGGGGAGTCCCGCCCATAGTATCTAGTACATCCCGAATTTTCACCGTCTTCCCGTTAATTCCTAGGTCCAATGGCTCGTCAATGGTCGCATTGCGCGTTGGAGGTTTGTTTTGCAAGGTCAGAGTACCAGCTACTTTATTAGCTTCTGCCGGGTGGAGCGTCTGCCAGATCCAATAAACCCGATCAAGCATGGCGTGATGGAGCCAAAAGGCAGGATCGTTGACAGAATAATATAGGTCAGTGGCGTCGCCGCCCATAGTGTAGTGACCTGATGTATGTAGACCGAGAAAACCGTCCGGGTACCGGCCTAGAATCTCGGTCCAGAACACACTATGTGTCCGGGAGCCTGAGACAATAGTCACGTTCAGCAGATTGGCTGTAGTGAACCATTTCCTAGGTATGTAGGGGCTGAGGTCTCGGCGTAGGCAGTGGGGGTTGTAGTCTGTAATGTCAGCTGCTAGGTCAGGGAAGCCTTGCATTCCAGGAGATATCGGTCCGATGTTTGCTTGAGTACTGCAACGACGTTAGAACTTTTAATGTAGCAACCCATTCAGCAGTCTTACTTCTTGAAAGGGCCACTATTGACGCATCCGCCGCCTTTTCCTGACGGAATGCTGATGGTGCGACCACCGGCAAGACTTCCATTGTGAGAAAAGTATTCGCCGTCTCCACCCAAACTAGTGTCACTCCCATCAAACACAGGTGATTCGTAGATATTGTCGGTGTGTGCGAACCAATTCCAGTACTAGCAAGTCAGATGTGAATCAGCGATCGGGAAAAGGACTTGAGACTAACAGGTTGGTAGCCTCTGTAGCCACATTCATTCCGGAGAGCTTGCTCGTAGGCCCATACGAAATAGCGATGCCAGGCGAGGAAAAGACCGTTGCCATGTATATACAAGCTCTGGTCAACGTGGATGGCGACAAAGTCATCGAAACGGGTCCTTGCTGCCGGGGCCCATGACTTGTCGGACTTGGATGGTAACCTCCGAAGACATTGTACAGCTTCAATGTAAGCCTTTCGGTCTGGTTTGCTCATATACTCCCTTGGAAAGTCAGAAAATATGCAATCAAAGAATCGTTAGACTGACCAGTCTCTTCGTATAGTTGCTGTGGCCAAAGAGCAGCCCTTTTTGGTCTTTTTGAAAACATCATTGCTCTGCTCAAGGACTGTGTAGGTATAGTTTTGCAGTTGATTCAGAGCTTCAACAGGGTCGAGAGCTGGATTTATATCAATATTTGGAACTGAGGGAGAGTCCAGAGAAACACCCGCCACAGCGAATGTCGCCAGCAGCTGCGAGTAGATTACAGCAAGAGAAGAACGCATCGTATAAGGAGAAAACTCACAGAAAATATTGTCAACTCGAACTGACGGCTATATGTATATACAAGTCTTTGATGTTGAATGAATCCAGCAATCGGTGAAATTGGCTAAACTCATCATAGATTGGTAGATCTGCATAGGATCAGCAGGGCGTTTCGAGAACAGATATCCCATTGGAGCATCTCTCCAGGCATTATGCATAAAATCGATCTATATTACCCGTAGTCCCGTGTAGGATTGTCAGCAAACGCCTCAATAGTTTTTACTGCATGTGCGCTTTGGCTTACGAGGACAAGGGGCACCGGTTGCAATCTGCCCTAGTAAGAGCAAGGTGGTCACAAGTACAATATTGGACAACTGAGCAACTGAACATGAAAGAGGAAGCCAAAACCTGTGGTGTTATGTTATTCGTTTTCATACACACCCTCGACCCTCCCAATATCTTCAAACGCAGGAATCACGATTGTGTGTATTACGTGGGTTGATGTCTTGTAAGGCGTGTGGACGGGAGATTCCAACAACGCATACTGCCTACTAGGCATATTTGGGCTCTATATATCACTAGTATATGGCGAAGGGAAAGATTATGCGATAAAACGGCCACAGAAAAAGGTACAGGAGGCTGCTAAGGACAACGCAGGTATTTCTGCGAGCAATGCCAAGACCCACAGCCGAGGTCAAGAAGAGGGGCTTAACTAGCATAATCTACAGCTGGTTTTTAACTCCTGGCCCGTCCACAAACTTCCAAAAATGCATAAGTAGCGGTAGGCTGTGACTAAATTCTAGCTGCTAGATAGCAGAAGCTTCGATAGATGGATGCAAAGTCCAGTCACGTGGCTATTGCTGTATAGAACCAGCGGTATCCAAGTTTTAGTCAAGTAATTACGATAGGTACCTCTTAAAATTTCAATCTATCGTTACAGATGAGAAAGCTATCGTCCTGATGCGGCGGTACGAACAATATGAGGCTGGTGGTCATATATCAGGGGCCTGTAGTTATCGTAGCTTTTAATGGTACAGTCAAGATGAGTGACAGCACGCCCAAGACTATTGTAATTTTTCTGTTGTAGACTAATATTGGGAAAGCGTGTATTCCGGGAATGCTACTAGATGATGTGGCCTTTATAAATGAAAAGATTATACTTATATACTACCTGAAACATAAGTTTGAGTATGAGCATAGCATTGCACTTTCGTTCTGGCAGCGATTCGTCGTTGTGAAAGTAAAAATCACGTGATTAAAGTCATGTGACCAATCCAGCGTCTCACCAGCTTTCCAGCGGTGTGTCACCATCGCCATTGTATAAGGTAGAAGTCAAGAGAATGAAACGTCGCGGATATATCTCTATACATTTCTCTACAACTCATGACGGTACTGGAGAGGGTTTCGCTGTTCTGGCCGTTATTACATTGTTTTAGCTGTTTTGGCGTTGGCCACGTAAGTCAGCGCCCAGCTCAAAACGGAGTTTCCCAACATCGTAGCATGCGATTTTCTCTTGTAATTTAAACGTGTGACTAAAATACTACATGGGACAGATTCCAATATTCATCTAGAGCTGCAGTTACAATTACAATTAATACAGATTTGTCCAGAAAGTTTGTGCGAGCCGCAGGGGTCGACATTTGTTGGGCAATATTGCAGCTTCGGCCGAGCTAGAGTAACATGCCCTTGCAGCAGCAACGGATGCACTACTGCAACAAGAAAAGTATTAGCTACACTCAGATGACGACGGTAGATAGCAGAGGCAAAATACATACAATTTTCTTGCCACATAGCTCTGCACCTACACGTGCAATACTAGTGCTACTTAGTACTATTGTCAGATTTTAGGGTTACAGTAACACAGCGACGGCCTAGTGATAGCTAACCGCCGTCGTGACGATCCCTGCGCGCATCATCGGAGACACTATGCAGATACCCCTCTCACAAGCCTGCCTATACGGCGAAACCATGCACCGTCATTTCCAATCCCCACTTTGTTGAACACCTGTCTAATCTGCCGACTATGCAGTCAAAGATAGCGATCCAACGCGGGATGCGTCTATATCTGGAGCAAACCCGTAGAAATGAGTCCTGGGCCTACATCGCAACACCTGGTCGCAACATCTTCAAATCTTCGGGCATGCAAGGTCAATTTCTGGCTCTCGAGGGGTCATTTGGACTTGGAGCGTGCTGTGCATCGAAGGCAGGTCCTCGCACGCAGTAAAAAGTGGCTTTGGCATGTCGGGTGGAGCCTTCCAGTCGTAGCGCAGCAAGAGGATACAGAGCGCGATTTTCATTTCATCGTTGGCAAACCATCGGCTAGAGATGAAACGCGTGAAGGGTCAGCAAACTTACTGCGGGTCGGTATTCCACAGGGGGACAACAGCAAAAAGACAGATAAACGACTCACCCTGGACAAGCATGCTTGCCGATTCCGAACTCCTGATTTTCGATATTGGCAGTGACCAAGGAATATTTGTTCGCTTGTCCTTCTCCTGCTCGCTTCTCGACCCAGCGCTCTGGATAGAACTCCTCATCCTCACCTTTGTAATCAGCGGGAGGGATAACGATGAAGCTCCGACCTTTTGGAATAGTAAAGCCATCTGAGAACTTCAACTCTCCTTTGACGACTTGTCGGCGTACAGTCGAAATGTTGCTCCGGAGGATTCTTAAGCACTCTTTATGCACAGCATCCTGTAATGTGAGACGAGCCAAGGCTTGCCTTGTCCAGCCATACTCCTTAAGCACTGTGATTGCTTCTTCTCGGAGAAGTTGGATGTATTTAGGATACGTGATAATATACCAGAGAGCTGTAAACAGGTGCTACATGACTCAGTTAGTCAAGCAATTGAATGTGGAAAAAGCGTATATACTTACGCCGCCCGTGTTGTGGATAGCAACCATGGATATAGCTAATTGGAAGCCAACAAGATCAAGCTTATTTTCGTTCTTATTTTGATCGAGGAGCCACGCTATTGAGTCATGGGTCCTGGGGACTTTGTGGCCAGCTGCAATAGCAGCTCTTGCGGACTTTCCTCGACGTTCAACCTCCTTGGTAACCAATTGACGTGCTCTTCGAGCTTGGTATCTAGTCTTCTTGCACATTGGATTAAAGTACTGTACGATTGGCCGCAGGAAATGAGGCCAACCACGAAGCTGCATAGCTGCTGGAACAGCAACGCTAGTGTATTTTAGCGTAAGATCGACATATTCAGGGTTATGGGCCATTTCTTCGCCGAGCATCGTGCGAGCAGTTAAGCGACCAATTAGCTTCGTTGCTTCAGGCAGCAATGTAACATTGTGCCACTTCCCCGCGGCAATTTTGCCAAAAAGGTCCTCAGTGACTAGGAGTACTTCTTCCGCCAGGCTCTCAGTGATAAGCCCTAGGGACTGGGTAAGTTTAACACGAAGGACGTCTGGAATGAGCGATTGGTGATCACGGATTGCCGTAAAACCATCAAACCCGGAAAGTCCACAAGGCATGTCGTTCGCAATATAAGGGACGAAGGCTGCAAGCGGGGAGTCGCGGACCTCTTCAAGATATCGTTGCGGGAGGACAAGCTTTGGGGTACTATAGCTCAGAACCTGAAAAGGCCGATCGGGGTACAGTTTCCTGCCTTGACTGAGTAACTCTCGTGGCTTGGTATACCAGCTTTCCTGGGGCGTCAGGCCATCTAGAGCAACGATAGGGATTCCTGGAAGAGGTCGTTGTTTTGTAGCGAAGTTGTATAACCATAAAATGGGTGGAATGGCGGCTATGGACACCAGGATGTAAATAGTGAGTGGAAGGCTGAATAAGGAGGAAGTCGCATTGTTCAGAAAACTTGTCATGTTGATCTGTATGGTCGATACGTATGTGTTGGATAGTACGATCGACTCATGCTTTATATGCCAATCGACTGAGCGGAGGGTCGATGACATCATGTCCGCTCAAAAATTCCATCCTAATACGGCGTTAGATTGTTGGTCTCGACTGTGTGGATATCGCCTTCAAGAAGTAGGTGGTAGTTACGGTTGGGTCAAGTGCGCCATTTGCAGCAGGCCGCAGCCCAAGCTTACTTAAAGCGGTAGGTGCAGCCTCATCTAACTCACGCTCCAATTATCGATATTATAGTACACGCACACCGCCTCCACAGAAAACTGTATTTACGCGCCCTTACACACGGTCTTTTGAACGCTGAAAGTCTTCTACCTTTGTGCTGACATCACGTCGCTATATTTGGAAAAAAACTCGTGAATCATTCTTATACACACATATTTAGTATAGAATATTTAAGTTATACCTTAAAAAGGTGTTGCGTTGCAGAGTTGTTAAGGGGAGAAGGCAGTGTTGGTAGACTCAAGCGTACGTATGCTTTTTTCTGTCAAGAGGTTGCGTAAGTCCTCTCGTTTCATATACCGTATTTATCTACCAAGCCAATAACCCCACCAAGTTGTCAACTCTATTACAGCACAATGGCTTGCAATAACATCACGCCACAATAATGCGGTCGATCTTATCATGCAGAATAGAACTATATTATCCCGCCCAGAAAGAGATTTGCGTACTTCGTTCTGTTGAGCACATATGTGAGACCGACAGGTGGTAGGAGCTTTTCAAATCATGGAGATATTAATATTAGTTAGAGATACCTACCCGGTTCCGAAAGTTTTATCATACGAAGGGGCTCGTATTCAGTGTGTCCCCACCTATCATGCGCGTGTTCAGATTCTTATCACTATCTACTAGAACAACAAGCTAATACCGTTTTAAATATACGTTCTAGTAGCTCTCTGTAGAGAGGAACAGCTTACGCATTTTGAATTAAAGACTATCTTTGTTGCGTTGTCGCATTTTCATTCTATACAGGTGTGCGCCTACATAGGGACACACTGAATACGAGCTCCTTCGTAGAGTGATACCGCTCAGTTAGTCCTTCATCTAACCATATCCATCTTGAGACCCATTCCTCAGGATCCACTGTTAAACCAATCCACGCCCCTCACCAAGCGATCGCACACATATCCAGTGACCACTGCATATATGCCCTTATGCAGCACATCAATCACTTGCTCGTTGATGGGCCACGTCCACGGCAACGCGCTCGTCCCCGCTGTCAATTCGACAGTCTGATCCATCATGATACGAACACCAGTATGAACAAACGTTGCAAACGGGCCAATGACTCCATAATACGACATAATAGCGCGGACAGGACCTGCCAACATACCCATGCCATAGTGATGCACGTTGTTCAGCAGGTCGACATTCCTCTTATAAAAGTCCGCGGAGACGCCGAGGTGGTTGCCAACCGTGCGGGCTGGGACGTATGAGTTCGGCCGACCGCTAAACATTTGCTCTAGCTTGTTGGTACCGGACATACTACAGGCTGGTTAAGTGGTGATTTGACTGGGATCTTGGGATTGACGTACACGAGGGCGCCGAGAAAGCCTGCTGAGAGACCAATCGCGACGGCACGGCCGAAGCTGACCTTGGGGAAGGACGGGTAGAGCGACTTTCCGTCTGCATAGGAGGCAGTACCGCCGGGAGTGTGGTATTGCGGCATCTTTGCTGTATGCGACTTTGTATCGTTGTTGGAGATGAAGGTCAATGAGAAAGATCTAGTGAGAGCAAGAGTGTTGTGTTGATCTGTTCGGAACACTGCTGTTTGGGTGACTGTGTTGCGTCACGGTAATTAGGCGTGAATACTTCATGATAACGTCATACATCGCGAACGATGCTCAGTTGTTGCGACGCAAGTGCATCCGTGTACACTACTCCAAATATCCCTATCTATATCGTTTTCGTCATACGACCGTCACAATGCCGTTTATTGCTACATCAACGTACAATGTGCAAAATGAGACATTATACAAGTGGCCTGGACCGGCTGCGCAAATTGTAAATCTACGTGTTCCTTGTAAAACCCCTCGAAATAATCATGGTAGCCGAAAATTTTGCAGCAAAGCAGGCTGAGGCGGTCCTGGGACATGATCAGCAAGATAGTGTTACACATACCGATATCGCTAACCCAGACCGCGATGGCAAAAAGTATGCGGACCCGTCTGGGGAGAAGATGAAGGCGCTAGTGTGGATGGGCAAGAACTCTGTGCGCGTTCGTATGTACAATCATTTGACTCCGTTATAGAGTTCTAGCTTAGGTTGCGGCACAAAGGATGTCAGTAAGCCCAAGATCGTCGAGGACCACGATGTCCTTGTAAGAATCACGGGCTCAACCGTTTGCGGAAGCGATGTGCACCTCTTGCACGGCGTAATCATTCAGACAGAGAAGGGCGATGTCCTTGGCCATGAGTTCTGCGGCATCGTCGAGGAAGTAGGCTCTGCAATCAAAGAGAGGAAAGTCGGGGATCGCGTTGTGAATAGCTTCGTAGTCTCGTGCGGCGAGTGTAGGTTCTGCAAACAGAATCTCACCACGGCTTGTGATAAGACAAACTCATCCGCTCTCCAGAAGTTTCTTTATGGCGAGAGAACAGCTGGTATCTTTGGCTATTCGCATTTTGTCGGAGGATATGCAGGTGGTCAGGCCGAATATGTGAGGGTGCCATTTGGTGACCAGAACCTTTTGAAGCTGCCGGATAACATTCCTTTCGAGAAAGGCAAGTTACCCAATTTTTTTTACGCGTGGAAGATGCTAAGAAAAGTAGGACTATATCTGTCGGACGTGCTTCCCACATCTTATCACAGTGTGTGTGACACTGGTGTCTTTGAAGGTGACAGCGTCGCGATTTGGGTCTTGGTCCAATTGGTCTTATGGCATGTGTATGGGCATTCAAGAAGGGTGCAAAGCGGGTCATTGGCATCGACAACAACTGGCGCACTGAATTCGCAAAGCAAAAGATTCCGGGGTTGGAGACCATCAACTATGAAGAGCTGAAGAAGCAATCCGTTCCTGCGAAGATTCATGAACTAGTTCCTGGAGGTGTTGATGCATGTAACGAGGCCAGCGGTGGCGAGTATGCAAAGGCCTGGACACACAAGCTTAGGATGCTTTCTGGCTTGGAGCAGGATACGTCGGAGATGATCAATGAGTGCATCTACTCAACGAGGAAGTTCGGCCGAGTCGGTATCATTGGAGATTATACTGGATGTAGGTTACCGCTTTGAGACTTTTTATTACCTAGAGCTCATTTCTGTACAGTTACAAGCCACTTCAATGTTGGTGCCCTCATGGAGCGCGGCATACGGCTGGTTGGGTGCGGACAGGCGCCTGTTCAAAAATGTAGGAACTACAAACATGCAGCTTGGAAAAATATACTGACAGATAGAAGATTGGAAGGAGATCCTTGAGATGCTTGAAAAGGGAGAAATTGATCCAACGATCATGCTGACTCATCGCTTCAAGATTGAAGATATTGCAAAGGCGTACTACATGCAGGAGAAGCGTAAAGACGGCTTACTAAAGTGCTTTGTTGAAACCCGTTTCTCGGAGCCGCGGGCTAGTGGTACTCCAGAGTTGAAGGAACTCTGAGAGTTCTGTATTTGAGATGTCATGTTTCCCCGTTATTCTTTTAGTGTGTCGATATACCTGATTCCCAACCCTTTATCCGCATTGCATGTGACTCGGCATGGATGACTTTGAGGCCTTGTACTGAACAACCTATGACATGCTTCTAATTAGATTGAGTCGCCCTATTTCCTGGGATTACCTATCAGCTGATTGATCCATAACACAGTGCGAATCGCTCTTTCTAATCATATCTCCTTTTCTTGTCCGGCGCAGCTTGATATCAATCACCTATATCATGTCTTCGCGGGAAAAGATCACTATCGAATAAAGGGGTAAGAAAATTGGCACATGTGAGTACTTCAAAGCTTCTGATAGATGTGTCTGATGACTCTTTTCATATTGAAAGGTATCATTAAGGATTAAATCATGCGAATACTCTACGTTTGTTGTCTTTACAGTAACGCTGAGATGAAAATCTTCATGAAGGCAAGGAGAGTAATAACGAGACTTTCACTGGCGCAGGTCTGGTTCACTGATTGTCTCCACACGGCTGGCCACATCGAAACAGCACTCAAAGAAGCTTAAAACTGCACACAAAATCTCTCAGAAGTATATTGCAAGAGTTCTTAGAAAGAAAATTGGGATATTTGTGGGAGATGTGAACCGCCAGAAACTAGGCTTTGATTCCGTTAACATCATCTGGCAGTCCACGTGTAGCGTCAGCAGTCTATTGTAAATGTGACCGGATTCACCATTCCGATTGTGCTGAATGTACACCAGCTTCTCAAGCCTACCACTATCGAGGGATATGGTGACTAACAGGACCAGGTTAGCTGCGCAACGACCTGATCGTTATAAACATATCCAGAGCCGAAGCGATGCCTTTTACCAAAGAACTTAGATTTGTGGTGAGCCACAGTAGTGAAGATTCGCCTCCGAATGCTAAAGATCTTTATAATGCAGGCTCGTACGGCCTGATCAAAGACGACTGGATCCCACACTTCCTCCACGGACCGTGAGAGTCCATGGTCAGATATTGGAATTGGAAAGCCTTCGTAGGTATCAATAGTCCAAAGTTCTGCACAAAGTACCACCGCCTGGTTATCTGGTTTGATAAGCCTACTGCATTTTTAGTATCAAGTAATAGTTATTTCATTGATAAGCACTCTGCCTGTATCTATGTAGCTAGTTATGCTTCCCAAATGTCATCGGGCCCAGCAAGACCCAAGGCCTGCCTACGTGTCGGAGCATCTGCTTTGAAGAACGGCTTCTCGGCCAACGCAGTAACTCTTGTTCCGTGCCTCGGCTCAGTACCTTCATAATCCCAGCTTGCATTGTGGATCGTGATTCTGTTGTCCCAAAGCGCCGATGTTCCTGGAGTCCACCTGAAGCGGACCTGGATATCGACATTGTTCTCGTAAACGTCAAAGAGGTAGTTGAGGATAGCATCACTCTCAGCTTTGTCGAGTCCAACAATGCGATGGGTGAATGCGCGGTTAACCCATAGTGCTTTCCATCCCGTGGCTGGATGCACCCGGACGAGCGGGTGAACTCGCTCAATGCGCTGTGGGCCAGCGTTGGTGTTATCGCGGTCCAGATATGGGTGTGCGCTACGGTATACTGCCTCCCTACCGTCGATGATCTTTCTGAAACCTGGAGAAAGCTTCTCATAAGCGGCATAGCCTGAAGCCCACAGAGTGTCACCTCCAACCTTGGGGATGGTGTCATTATGCAGATGAGTCACGCTGGAGCAAATCAGACACGGTCATATCAAATTTGGTGTATCCTCACTTACCCAGCTGGCTGGCGTTCGTGCACCAAATCGGTATGCCACCTGGACGCTCCGCCTGTCTTTCTGAAGCTTGGAGTTACCTCCGTCGCCATGAGATCGGGCCAGAGAACAGTCACTCCCGGCACACCCGGTACATGCGGAACTTGGGGCTTCACTCAATGTCAGCGTATCCAATTGTATATTGGAAAGAATAGCCTACATGGACTTCGATCTCGCCATAATATTCCCCAAGCTTCTTTTGCTGCTGAGGCGAGAGATCTTGGTCACGGAAAAATACCACGCTTCTTTCAGCAATCAAAAGACCAAGCTCGTCCTTTTGTTGGTCCGTAAGATCCTTCAACTGAAGTCCAACAATCTCAGTTCCAATGTGTGCAGTCAAGTGTATAACTTCCTTTGCAGCACCGAACAGTGCCTTCTTTTCTGGATCAGCGCGGGAGCCCGGATCTACGTGTTCCCGATCATAGTCCCTGATCTTGTACACATCGTCGAGGTAAAGTGGCTGTGCCGGCCTGTATGGATAGCCGTTGGACAAGTCGATACCTGCCTTCTCGAGCCTCTTTCTGGCTGGCTCAGGCAGCTTCAATTTGTCCTTTCTAGGTTGGACAGTATCCTTTTCCTGGATGTGTTCGAGAATGGGAATTGCGATTGGAGCCATCTTGACTATTGCTGCGATGAGACTGTGTTTGACGGATGGTCAGCGATTCCATCTCTTCTTATATTTGAACTCAATCTTGCCCCGCACTTCGTCCCCTCACTGCTTAATAATGTATTGCCATTATCTACAGGATCAAACTGGTTGCATCGTGTGGTGGTCGCATGCTGGCAATGTTCATGGATCAGTTGCGGGGTCAATCACATCATCCCAGAGATTATGACGAATATCCAGTCAACATCTTGCACCTTATCACCGGAACACCCACCTAGTTTCTCAAACACAAAATGTGGGCTCATGTATCTGTTTTCAGTCGAATGCGCCGATGCCTCTTGTAGTAAGTTCTCTCAATAGTGGGCGTTCATGATGCCATTCATACCCACCATCGCGTTTTCCAACCCTCCACACCTCTGACATGACGTGATTGATGCTGATAAATCCAGACTTAAAGAACTTGGGTAAACAATGCGGAGATACGGAAATAACTGTTAGCAGTGCATAGTCGCGAAATCTCTTAGAGGAGGATCAATTGAGGAGTGGCGCGCTCGACCATCTTAGAAAGCTTCAACGAGGTATATGCCTCATCTTAGTAACAGCACGAGTATGTCTTTCCCTTCGAAACGTGTTGCTGTGATCGGTGCAGGTATTAGTGGTGTTGTTTCTGCGGCCCACCTCAAGAAGGAGAATGTAGATGTCACTGTTTTTGAGCGAAGCAGTGCTGCAGGAGGCATATGGTAGTCGTCCCGATCGTATCAAGTCATACTTGCAACTCACTTCACAGAAGGTTGTACGACGAGCGAAAGCCCCTCGAACCATCATATTCAACAGTACCTATTTCGAAAACTGTCACAACATACACAGGTGAAGAGTCAGAAGATTTGGAAAGGCTACTTCACGCACCGCCAGGGTTGGTTCACAGATTCCAGCTTCCTATCCTCTATGACTGACTGGGCACAGTCCATGCTATGTTGGCTTGAGAAACAACGTGAGCACACGCCTACTGCAAACCACGTTGAACCAATTCCCCGCTGGAACTGAGGATTATGTGACGCACAAAGTTTTGGCAGACTATATACAAGATACTGCCATTTCAACAGGAGTGCATGAGGTGACACAGTATGACACAAATGTAGAAAGTGTTTCGAAAAAAGGAGAATCATGGTCAGTTGAGACCACCACCTTCCAGACTGATGCTACTGGCACAGTCAGGTGGAAAAAATATACTCAGGTATTTGCCTTTATAACCACAAAACAATCATTCTAACGCTATTGCAGGACTTTGATGCCGTAGTTGTTGCCTCGGGCCACTATCATGCAGCAAGGGTTCCTGATACGCCTGGTCTGGCAGAATGGAAGAAGAAATGGCCAGACAGGGTAGAGCACTCAAAACGCTATCGAAGGCCTGAAAACCCTCGGAACAAGGTATTGATTAAGCATGCTAAAGACAGCTTCTTTTGTTCAGGTTCAAACTGACGCTGCTGCAGAACTTTCTACTTGTCGGCGGAAGCGTATCAGCAACGGACATTGCGCGCGAGCTCAGCCCATATGCAAACAAAATCATCCAGAGCCAAAGGAATGGAAGGTTCGACCTTCCTTCTGTGATGCTCCCCGAAAACGCCTACCAAGTCGACGAGGTGGTATCATACGATGTGAGCGCTGTGGGTGAATCAAAACCACTAGATTCATCAGAGCCAATACCGGCTACAATCACTCTGAAATCGGGTGCGAAGATCTGTGACATTCATCATGTCATACTCTGCACTGGTTATCATATTACATTGCCATTTTTGCCTCAGCTCCATGCCGACACCACGCCAGTCGACAAGGCAGATGACACAGTACTGGTGACGGACGGAACGCAATTCCACAACCTACACAAGGACATCTTCTACATCAATGATCCTACTCTGGTATTTGTTGGCGTTCCTTTCTTCACTGCAACCTTTACCTTGTTCGAGTTCCAAGCTATCGTTGTTGCAAAGGTACTCTCCGCTCAGGCGAAGCTTCCAAGCAAAGAGGCCATGCGATCGGAGTACAGCGAGAGAGTAAGGAGGAAAGGCTATGGAAAAGCATTTCACAGCTTGCGTGATCAAGAAGCAGACTATGTCAACGAGCTTCTGGCTTGGGTAAACGCTGATCTAGAGAGGGCTGGCAAACAGAGGTTGAACGGGCACAGCAGTGAATGGCATACTGCACGAGCGGATAGTTTAGCACGGATGAAAGCCTTGTTTTCCATGACGGGCCCTGAGAAGAGGCTCGAGGTAGCATGTTCGTAGAATGAATTACATCACGTGATTATGAATATGTATTTTTCGAGAATGACAGACTTTCCAGGTGCCACTCCATATCCAGATTGTGTTTCTCTAGTTGCATCTCAACTCATTTCAATTGCAATATCTATCGGGATGTGTTGTAAATCTGAGGCTTTCAAGGGCCTTATCTCTAGCTATAGGCACGCCATTTGAAGGCTTGATGACGATACATGTGGCCACACCCACTTCATGCAACGCGATGATCTTACAACAAAGGATATCGGATATGTTCATCCAAATCCGTTCCTTGAGAAGTATTCTAGCCCAGAACAGACAATTTCCCGCACAACCCTGTCATAACGCCATATTGCCCCCAGTATGTCGATTGCACCTCGCGTCGAAACAACTGTTGCCGTCATCTTAAGCGACATGAAGCAATAGCAAGTTTCCTTGCAAAGCTTAGCAATGTTGAATAGGAGCCTGCAAAGCTTTTCAATAAAAGGTACAGCTAAAGCAATTCTTTTCTGCTTCGGCGCCAGACATTTCCACTGAGATTTTCTTAATCATGGGACTCCACCGAGATGTCTCAGCTGATGTTGTCCCAGTGACTCCCACCAACCATTCTGATGAGAATGTTCAGACAAAGCCTCACAAGTGGTATTACTACCTTTGGGATACGCTGGATAAGCCGAAGGAGGAAAGATGGTTCATGTTCAAGCTCGACGCCGCTTTGCTTACATTTGCGTCTTTGGGTATAGCACCACCCCTCCCTCCTGTTACCACCTTTACTCATCGTTCCCAGGTTATTTTATCAAATATCTTGACCAAACGAACATCAACAGTGCGTTTGTATCTGGAATGTACGTATTGAATTTTCCCTCATGTCAACACCGCTGCTGATGCCTCGGTAGGAAGGAGGACCTAGGGCTTTATGGCAATCAACTCAATTACATGCAAACATGCTGGACAGTGGGATATGTCATTGGCGAGCTTCCAAGCAACATTATTTTGACCCGCATCCGACCGTCGATTTGGATACCAACCATGGAGGTGAGTCAGAACCACGCTGCAAAAGTTTCACACCCTAACAATGGCAGCTCATATGGGCGGTGTTGACCTTTTGCCTCTGTCGCGCTGAGAATGCTGAAACGATATATGCCTTGCGCTTTCTCATCGGTAAGTTCAAAGCTATGAGGCTATAGTGTCATGATCAGAACCCATGAACTAATCCCAACAAGGACTCGCTGAGAGCACCTTTTACCCAGGTATGCAATACATAATCGGATCCTGGTACCGAAAAGAGGAGTTAGCCAAGCGCTCCTGTATCTTCCACACAAGTGGCGCAATCGCAACAATGTTCTCCGGCTATCTGATGGCCGCAGTATACAAACTTGATGGACGTGGAGGCTTCAGAGGCTGGCAATGGCTATTCATCGTGGACGGAATTATCTCATTGCCGATTGCTATTCTCGGATACTTCGCGCTCCCCGATCTCCCCGAGATTTCCAAGCCTTTCTACCTGACCAAGGAGGAAGTCGTGTTCGCTCAACAGCGTATGGAACGCGAAGGACGGCAAAAAAGACAGCCGTATACCAGAGCCAAGGTCAAGAAAATCTTCACTTCCTGGCACATCTACGCTCTCGTTGCACTCTATGTGTTCTTCAACAATGGCACGTCTGGTGGACAACCGGTCTTTCAGCAGTTTCTCAAAGCGAGCAAGCACCCAAAGTATACGGTTAGCCAAATCAACACTGTATGTTTGTCTTGCCCAACATGAATCTTCTTGGGTAGATGTCTGATCTTGGAACATAGTACCCGACAACCACCAACGCCGTACAAGTCGTCACCACCCTCCTGTACGCCTGGACAAGTGACAGTATCCTAAAAGGATCAAGATGGCAACCCATCGTCTTTGGAGGCTGTATGAACATCATGTGTTCTACCAGTCTCGCAATTTGGGATATCCCAATCAAGTGGAAATGGGCTTGCTACATTCTTTCTGGCTTCGGTGGTGGCCTGTCCGGCTTATGTTTCGCCTGGGCCCACGAGATTTGCACTCACGACAACGAAGAACGCGCCATTGTCGTCGCTTCCATGAATGAAATGGCGTATGTCTTGCAGGCATGGCTGCCACTGCTCGTGTGGAAGCAGGTCGAGGCACCTCAGTACCGCAAGGGGTTCATCACAGTCACGTGCTTGAGTGCTATGTTGATTGTGACAGCGCTTGCTATTCGGGTACTACACGCGAAAGAGTTGAAGCAAAGACAGAAAGCTCAGGATCTGGACCATATCTCGCAAGGTAGTGCTAGCGGAGTGGAAGTGGCGTCTGATGTTGAAGTGGACACTGGTTTTAAAAAAGTACCTTGAGCACTTTCGGGAGCTGATGATCCATGAAGTTAGCTGGAATCTTAAAAGTAGTTAGTAGTAGAATAGTTTGTTGGATGTGTAAATCGGGGTTCTAGTGCTACTCGTGGTGTAAGGAAATTTCAAGTGAGCACACTGATACCATGGCACTTTCAGACATTAGATCTACCTCTCATGACTTTTAGAACAAATGAAGTCTATTTGGCCAGCTCTGAAACCATGCTCCATCTCGTGTGAGATTGCGGAATCGTTTTCGACTACAGTAGGTCTCCATGTGACTATCTGATGAGTACCGACCCAGCCACTTTGATTATTATCAAGAGTTCAGTTACCACATTTGTACAACTTTTTACAGATCATCTAATGGGATCAGAATTCTTACTCTTCAAGTTATACGTACCTGATTTGGAAATTCCAAGCCACATATCCAGACATGACAGATGAAAACCCGGGAAACGCATGAATCGCCCAACCAAGCTTACACGTGATTTGGACAAATGAACTTCGTATAGGCCATTGCTGTCTGTAGAAAGGGTTTCTGTCAAACTCAAACGACGTCACATCTGAGAAATATAATCAACTATACATTCATACCGAGCTGTGATTCGAATAAACGATATGTACATAACGTGACCCCAATTAATCTTTACAAATCCTTTGAAACAGGTTTTACGAAGAATAATCGCGATTAACAGTGCTCAACACTTCTCAGCTCGCAGGATTTTTCTCAGAACTTAGGCAAAAGAAGCCCTCACGATTAGAAGTAACAGTAAATATATCCATGTAACTTTTCAAACAAGGCGTGATGAAGATCGACGATGGCTGCCAAGAAAGCTATGACGCAGGTACTCCCGCTCCACAACGGCGCGCGATGCACCCCACGCGTCGTAAGCTTTGCAGACCCGACAGCAACAATTCAATCACCATGCAGCGGGGCGAACAATCAGAAGCATCGCGGCCGACCACACCGGCATGGCTGATGGGCGAGCCAAGCGTGCCCAGCATAGACAGCGACGAGAATTTTGGGTGCTTGGCAGATAAGTTGTGCCAGTCAGTTTGCCAAGTACCTAATGCGCGATCCATCGATGCGGTTCCCTAACCGAGTCACAGATTCTTTGAGCAAAACATCAGGCTCCCACATGCCTTTGAAGACCTGCGCCGATCCCACGAGGGCCATGCTCTCCAGACTCTTATCCACTACCTCTCCACCGAGGTCGATCACCCAGCTCTCATCCATGCTTTGATGTACGTCGAAGCAGCTTTATACCACCCGATATATACACATTTGGCGATGACGTCGCGTCGTGGAGACGATTATAAATACGCGAGCTGACTTAGGTCAGGGCCTTGCGAGGACACTTCTCAGCGTTAGATGAAACCAGTGATGAACCGGGAGTAAACGAGGCACGAGGATACGCATGCGAATTCGTCGCCTGGCAGTTTTTGACCAGTTTGAGGGAGGCGGATATGATTCAATACTTACTGGTTGAATTGCCTCCGGAATCAGCCTCAGAAACACCATCCGCTCCTGCCGACCTTGCAGACCGCCAGAATGGGCATGGAAATGCCCAGCCCCATGAGCGCTCACCTCTTCTGCCGACTTCGAATGGAGATTACATTGTCCAAGGTGAATATGTGATATCCCGTTTCGGTTCGTTGATGTCGCAATGTGAAAACCTCAGTGCTCTAGAGCTTGCGACTGTGTCTGGTGCGTTTCCGACAGCTTTGCCCCAGCTTCCAATTCTTACATACTAAACCCTCGTAGGAGCGAAAAAGTTCCTTTCACAGAGACCGGTTCAGAAAATCATCAATGGTTTGTGGAAAGGCGACATCGTCTTCTGGGAAACCCTTAGTGTACACTCTGTGAAGAAGCCCAAGAGATACATTCGGAAACAGGCTGATCCGTTTTCTCGGTTACGTGTTCCCTTATACCTAAAAGTGTTTGAGACATTGTTCTTTGCTGCTTTCTTGGGGTTATACTACGCAGTGCTAGTAAGACGCGACAATTTCCGTATCACGATTCCTGAGCTTCTGCTCTATGTTTGGATTGCCAGCTTCGCGTATGACGAATTTGCCGACTGGGTTGATGCTGGGCAGACATCATTTTATGCCTCTGATTTTTGGTATTATTGCTATCTATGTGAGTTATTGCGGTGCTATCTAACATCAACAGGTGGACATGGGACATAAGCATAGTCGCTGTTGGCTTCATCTTCTGCATCATGAGTAAGACTTTCAAAAACAGCAGATGGAACCAGGACTCACAAAAGGCTTGTAGGGATCGTAGGCTTGACAACTGGCCACGCGGCGACAGTTGATCTCGCATACGATGTGCTTGGATTAGAGGCACTTTTTCTTATCCCACGCATATTCTCGCTACTGAGTCTCAATCGCTACTTTGGGACTCTCATTCCGTGTCTCAAAGGTGAGGGCACTTCGCCATGCAGTCCTCTATCAGCTTTGCTAAAGTGAAACAGAAATGACCAAGGACTTCGTCAAGTTCCTATCACTCGTCATCATTTTGTATTTAGGTAAGTGTATATGCACACGATCTATTCTGATCACAAGCTCAACGTTGGTTTTAGGATTCTTGACTACCTTCGTGCTATTAGCCCGCGACAGCAGGTTCAATGCAAGGGAGATGGTTAGTCATGCCATGCCACTGCGGTTGCAGTCTTACTAACTTGTCTGGTATAGTCTTGGGTTTTGATCAAGGTCTTCTTTGGGTCAGTGAGGCAGTGTTCCTACTACTACGGCGCTAGCTAATACTTTTCAAGGTCGAGCTACCTGGGGTTCGGTGAGTAGATGTCTTAGCAAAGCAGCAGATGCACTGCCTTCGCGTCAACTGGCTAATGACTAACAACGTTGGTGTGTAGACGTCGCTGAAGAGATGTATGCAGTTTCTAAAAACAAACGTCGGTTATCCGCTAATGAAATGCAGTTCGCCGTTCTTTGGTCCCCCAGTCATGGTAGAGTTGTTGGAATACATTGCTTTGCGGTCTGCTGACTCATGCGCTAGCTGATTTTCGTTACTCTCACGAATATTCTACTCATTACCAGCTTGATATCGCTGTTGAGTAACTCTTTGAGTAAGGTATCTTGGTATTTTCGTTGGTTCCCGTTGCTCCATTCCAAGAGCTTGCATACATTTTTATGCATGCCAAGCAGCAAACCAGCCACCCACATGCAACTGCGCCTCTCCATTTCCAGTACCAATTCTTCCGGCATGTATCGCGATGGAAAGAGAGTCATTGAATTATTCCGCCCATGGGTTTTGGGTGTGATACAGCCACAGCTGGACCGCCCAACACCAATTTCATCACAATCACGTCTTTCCCTGTCATCCATGCGTTGGAGCGCCATAGTCTGAATTTGCACCTGACACAATGGGTCTTGGTGAACAGAGCTAATAAGGACTAGGTTTTAGACCATGCGAGAGATGAGTACCTATTTGTGTTCGTGTCCCCAAACCACGTGTCTTTGATGACCACTAATTTGGGTATCGATGCAGTTATTCAGTCTACGTGCTTGAAGCATCGAGTTCAAATCGGTTGACATACTTTCTGCCTCCATTGGTGAGTACATTCTGCAATGCTATTATCGGGGGGTGAAGGCGGGCATTAAGCGCCGGGCCGTTGAATGGCCAAACGACACAGCCTCTGTGACTAGAATGGAAGATACAATCACGTCCAACCAACCAGTCAAAGCTTTTTGCTTGACTTATTTGAGGAGGGGCATTGTGCGGACTCTGTGCCGTTGTCACCCTGGTGGCGAGGCTTTGCCGCCCAGGCTTTCTCGACTCAGCAGCGCTGCAAACCCTTGTGGGCCCTCGACGAAGGCATCCCCACTGTTGTCCTCAGCGTCGCAAGGCTGACCGGTTTCCAGAACCTCATTCCGCTAGTCATTCGGCCATTGCGGCTCATTGTGCCTTCTGAGCGGCTGAGGAGCGTTCGGATCGTCATGCTCAAGGCAACGCACCTGCCTTTCGTATTCGTGATTTGGGCCTTTGAGCACCTTTCCGACGCTCGCAGCGCAAAAGCCAAAGCGACATCGTTTGGGGGTCCGCAGTCAGCTGCCGGGTCAAGGAGAGCCCCTCGCTTGCCAGTCAACTCGCCGCGCTTGCTAATGGGAGGCTTTCCGAATGCTCTGGGAAGGACGCAGCACACAAATCGACCTCAAACTCGAACGGGACCCACGGAATCAGATGCTCAGTTGAGGACACTAGTTACCAAGTTGGCCACCCAAGTAGAAGAACTTACTGCGATGGTGTCGCAGCTCCGAGAGCAGCGCGAAGCGAGCACATTGGCCGCTCAAGGGCCGGCGCTTGCAGCCGCGGAAGTATAGGTACATTGGTGAAGGATGGGCAAGACAGATGCGGGCAAAGGTCAAACACGGTCGCATGTCTTGATGTGGGATTTTACACTTGAGCAAGCGCAGATGCAAAACGAGGTGTTGGTGTCTCACCGTCGCAACAGCATTGGGGCCGTGAGTGAGTGAACGATCAACAGCAGATGCAGCCTGGACATGTTCACCCGCCTGGACAGTTTCATGGGGATGCACACAGCTGCAAGGGTACAACCGCCCTCTCCTCTTGCGCCTCAAGCTCCGGTCGGGGCAGGGATTTTTTCTTCGGCCCGCTAAGGTCTAGCTACCCGACAGTCTGGTTGACTTGGGCTTACCCCCCGGGCAAGCCACCATCCACTGCATCCCCCTGCACCACTCCTTCATAGCCCCATGGACTAACAGGCGCTGCCGCGTAGGCGGCTCGAGCTTTGTTCATGCTGGTCTTGCCTGGCATAATTTGGGAGTCTGCCTAGCACTCAAAAACCCACAGTGTGAACGCATATTTGGAGAATGCATTTACTGAGCATACCAACCCACGTCTGGTCTTAGAGTTGGCAAGGCTGTTCACCTACCGCATCGCACAAATACAACTTGTCTCGGAAGAGCCTACGCTTGTCTTCTCCGTTCAGCCACCAACACAGCACAGTCCCTTTTATCTACCTCGATTCCTCGCCAGCCTGTCTACGTCAGACACCTTGTACCCTACTTTCATTCATCCCTTCTTTATCTATTCAACATGTTATACCCAGACCAGCCCACGCCACCCTTCAAATCGCCCTACCAACATCGGACAGGCACCATAATGGAATCGCCCTATCCTTCACCGGTACGACACGAGGCGCGATCCAAGTACTCGCAAGGTCTTGGCCTGTATGAAGTCCAGTCGGCATTTCCAAATGGTCTGCCTCCATCGCCTCAACCCTCAGAGGCCTGGAGTGGCCAGTATTCCAACACATCGTCTTCGGCAGATTTTGCCAACCCGTATCTCTCGGGAGCCTTTGACCATCCAGTCTCTCGCTCACCTTTACCCTGGCAGTCGGCACAGTCATCTCCCCGCTCCTCTCTGTCTTCGTATACTCGCGAGATGTCGGCATTTTCTCATGATGGCTCAGAGCACGCATACTCGGGCGTAGTCAAAGGCGAAACGCCAGCATGGAGCCCACAGATGCACTTTGGTGCCGATGTGCCAGTGGACATGAATGAGCTTGCAACCTCAAGGCAGGCGCAGCTCACAGTAGCCCCGGAACGGCTCAACACCAGCGCCTATCCGTATGAGAACGCCTACACGCCACCGAATGCACCCAAATACAACCAGACTCTTGTATACAACTACCACAACGACGGCTATGAGAGGGCGCTATCAGATGGAAGCATTCCCAGCCCACGCGCTCGGAACTTGCGCCCCAGGTACACGATCACAGCGGCACATCGCAGACAAACTCGCAACCGCAGGCACACTGATCCTGCTCACGCGGCATTCCTTTGCGAGCTTTGCCCCAAGAAGGGCTTCGCTCGCAAGTACAATTACAACCAGCACATGCTCACACATGCGCCCATGCGCAGAAAGGACCATGTGTGTCTGTACACCAACTGTGGAAAGCAGTTTGTACGCAAGACGGATCTGGTGCGACACCGGGCATCTGTGCATGAGAAACAGAAGCCATGGCCCTGTTCCAAGTGCTCTTCAGTCTTTGCCCGTAAGGACACACTGCGCAGGTAAGAAGCAGGCATATCGGGACACAGGTTCTTGTTGCTAACGTTTTCTAGACATGAATCAGATGGATGTCCTCGTCGTACAGAGCTCAGTACGGAAGGCATCAGGTCGCGTTTGTGATGCAAGGATCCTCCTGTTCACCTGCGGGCAAACACTCGACAAGAAGACGATGCATGCAGAGCCTTTCTAAGATGTCTTGATTGTGTCGGTGGGGTGCTCAGCAGATGACCAGAACATTTCTCTCGTTTGGGTTTGCGGATGACATTGCTTATTTTGCGTGGGTGGGACACGTGCGCTTATTTTTTGCTGGAGTTTTGGAGATGCTCGAAAGAATATGAGAGCCATAGATTGCAGTCACATAATGAGGATGCCTGGCTTCAGTGCGCAGTGGCCCCTCTTGTCCGTAATGCGAATACGATAACACTCATTTGTTGGTCGACTGGATACATAGATACAATACATGATGGCATGGCTTGGGATCCAGGGCAGCAGTAGCAACGCCACCAAGACGGATCCCCGGCGACTGGTTGCAATAAGCCGGCACTGCCCACGCAACGGTCTTTTTGTACAACCCACGTCAGGCGGGGGAGCAGACGGAGATCACTGCCGCAAGCCACGAACCGCGGCCCACGTCGAGCAGGCTAAAGGCGCAAGGATGGGCGTGTGTGTGAAAGGCTGCAAGCATGGTGCATATTAAGCGCCCTCACTGAGGCCGAAATGTGCCTAGGTCGCATCTGAGTGGCCCACGACACGCTGCGAGCGTGGCACGGCGACGGCCATATTAGACGCACCACGCCTCTCTGCCCATGGTGCCACCTGTTCCGGCATGTCTGCCCTGCCCTACACGTACATTAGGCGTATGTAGGCGTACGTCTATGTACGAGCAATGGCAGCGGGCGGCCGTCTGCTCTGCTGCACAGCGACAGTGCTGGATGGATGCCAGCCCCCGGGGGTGGTGGTGGGGAATATTCTGGTTCTGGCTGCAAGCTGGCCGTCGCCGTCTCTGTCTCTCTCATTCTCCCTCTCCCTCTCTCTCGCCCTCGCCCTCTCCAAGACTAGCGGCTATAGCGTCGTGGCGGGCGCTTAATGTATGGCCGTCTGGACTCGTCTTATCTGGCTCGAGCCACGTCGGCTGGCTGGAGGGCTGCAGCGATCCAGCGCGCTAGTCCCCTTTTGGAGCGGCAGCGACGCTCCCCTCCCACCTCCATCCCAGCGACCTCCTCATTTCGTCGTGCTCGTTTCAACGCGCCTCTTCGTCTATCCCATCCCCAGCCCGTCGTGCTGCCACAACGGCCGTCTGCTGCCCGACCCGCCGCTCTGGCTCGAATCACACATGCATTCGCGCGCTTTCTGGCCCCGGCTGTCTCTGCCCTCTGCCGCTGTGCAACGGGCGACACACGCACGCTGACGCCCCAGCATCGTGCCCACCAAGGACAGGCAATTTGGAATTCATCCAGCACGCAAAAGAAGGCTTCTGGATTGCAAAGGACGCACGGCCACCCGACGGCCTGCCACGCGCCACTCAGGTGACGTGCTTCGAATGCGAGTGACGGCAAGCGTGCCTGCGACAGGAATGGACGCTTCACCCCATGCAGCATAGCTACCACTACTGTCCACCGGTATTCATCCCCATCTGCCCTGGCCGCGGAGTCGATGGGCGAAGACGCCTGTACTGTACAGCACGGGCGGGGGCTGGCCTCCTGTCGCGCGCCAAGCCCGTCTCGACTGAGACATTTTTTCTCTTCGGTCTATGTACTGCATTGCATCGCAGTCGGGTCGCTGGATGGGCCGCTGTAACATCGGCATAGCTTCGCAGTCACGTCCAGATTCACTCTCGAGTCTGCGAGTGCGAGTATGGATGCCCACCGCTCGCACTCGTGCCATGCCTATCATACGAGCATCGTCGCACAACTTCATTGGACCGCATTCCCTCCAACCAACCGAACTGCGCGGCCTCAGGCCTGTCGCTGCCTATACCCTTGAATGAGTCGTCATGGACGGATATCGGCTTGTTGCAGAACCGATGGCCACCACCACCACCGGGGTACCGAATGCAACCTACCATGACTCCGCGTCCATTCCGTCTTCACTCCGTCTGGGGGCGTTGATGTCCCCTTCCGGGTTCGCAATATCTGTCCAACCAAATCGTGGTTTGATCCCCGTTCTTGCGGCAATCTGGCTGAAGATCCAGGCGCGGCGTATGCAGTCATCATTTCGTCAAGCGATCGGCCATCTTGTGTCTCTGGGAGAAAAGAATCACCTCCTAGTCACCTGACCATGTCTGGAGAACAAGGCTGGATGCCGAAATACACAGCCCCTGAAACAGCGTATTGGTATCTCGCGGCCGGACGACAGGAAGTCGCAGTGCTCATGACCTCACTAGATATTTGTTTCCGAGACAGGGAGCCCCGTGCCCTTTCACTTGGCAGAGCAGCTGGGCAAGGCCACCAGGTACCTGCATTTGTCTTGTGGAAGGATACATGTTTGCTTTCTCACACGCCGCATCTCCCCCACAGCGGACGCCTGCGGGAGGGAAGGAATACGGGTGTCAGACCCCAAATGCGCCTTCGCTGCGCCTTGGCAAACGATTATGCCTTCATTGACACGGCAACAGGGCATAGCGAATTTTTTACACACATGAGCCCTAAGCAGACTCAGACATGTTTGTGTCGGTATGACACATGGCGCCTTCATGTGGCTGAGACGGTTTGGCCTTGCAAACTCTCGCAAACGACGGGGATGCTGGTAGTGTACGCACAGTCATATTGCCATGAGCTGGCGTTCAGGTTCCTGGGACACCACACACATGGCGCTGGTAATCCAACTGACGCAATCGAACGCCATTGCAATGCAGGCTGTCTTTCTGCCGCCGTGTTGCGCGAATCGCGAGTTCCAAAGCGCTAAACGGCGCCTCCAGGAGCCCAAGTCAATCGCTAGGGCGGTAAGGCACCTGGAGTAGCCGCGATGCTTCCGCCGCCCGCGCGAGCCGCTGCATCCTTACTAGCGAAGCGCTTCGCCGCGCGTGTGCCTCCGCGATAGACGTCGCCTCGCTAGAGTCATGTTGAACACAGCTAAAACCAACGTCGCGTCGTTACCCAGCTGCAACCACACACTTACGCACTCTCCCGTACCAGCTCTCTCCAGGCCCAGGCATTCTGCTCGAAGCAAGTCGTTACCGTGTACTAGCACATTTTGATGCTAGGCCATCCCGCGCGCCGACAGTAGGGTCGAGGCTGCGCGAAGTCGCAGCTGCTCACTGCTAGGCGTTCCACCCATTTCTCGGCTTCAGCTCTTGGTGCCGGAAATACACATCTAGTTGGGGGGGGAATCCACAGAGCCTTGCGCAACTGGTACGTACGTACAGCCCCTCCCCTCTTCCGATGCGCGACCCTGACATATGTAGACTGCACAGCGCACAGCCGCTTTCGGACCTAAATTTCCCCGATCTCCCGACCCAAGAACACACGCCATCAGGCACGCGCTAAAGAAGGCGCTTTGTGATTGCCTTGCCAGAACATCACAAGCTTCAGCCATCTTGCCCCGGCACGAGGCAGAAACGGAGAATAATGGAACATTTTTCCCGGCTTCGCTTCGTGTCTATCAAGGTTTTCTTCACGCCCTGCGCCCACCACGTCAGTGCAGTCGAGCCAACTGTTCTCATTCCCTGAATTGCCCGCTATGTCCGGGCATGGCTGTCTTCTTCCCCGACCAATTATTTGCTGCTTCGTGTGGGCGAGCTACCCAATGAAGCCGTGAACCGAGCCGTATATGGCATGGCTGGCATTATCGTTATGCAGGAAACCCACCCACAGATCCGGGAGCTGGGAACGCTTACAGCACTACTGCACTCACACCGTCTTGGCACAACACCACCCGCACTTGAACAGGAAGGCGACGAATTGTGTGCTGTACGTGGTTAGTCTGCGCGTCTGAAATTGGTCAGCACGGCTTTTTGAGGTGAGGTTGCCGCACACGACCTTACCCTGCGTTTAGCAGATCGGACGCCTCTGTCTCTGCGCAGCCTAGCCATGCGCCGTGAGAATTGTTCCAAGCGCACTCGGTCCTATCCGTGCCGCGTATCGGCGAGCGATCGTTTGGTTACGAGCGCCGAGCCGTCAGCGTTGGTTTGTACATACATTATGCTGGCAGCATCCTCTGTCGCTCGTCTACCCACCTCGGCGACTCAGCGACTCGGAATCCCGGAACCTATCCCGAATAGTCAAAGCCCTTGGCGCTCCGTACTACTACGTTGACCACACTTCGGCACTTTCGCGGATACCCTGTTGGTATACGTAACCAAACCGGCATTTCAGCCACTGTTTTTGAACATCACGCGGGTAAGAAGAAGTCTGGTTGTTGGCGTTACGCCAGGAGCACCCCCGGCCCCCTTTGTCAGATCGCAACGTTGCGGCACGGTCAGATCGGGATAATGACTGGAACATCCCGCAATCATTTTGCTTTCTGCAACTGGGCGTTTCTCCGCAATCTTCAGCTCGTATGAACGTGCGTTTTTTTCTTTACCGCACGGCCATGGCAAGCGACAAACGCAGACAAAGCGCGGATGACTGGAGTGTTCGCGCTCCGCGGAGGAGAACTGGATCCTCTTCATTTCGCTTGCCGGGGAAGCATCACCCTGGCTTCCTGCCCCGTTATCGTACGAGAGCTACACCTAGAAACGCAAACAACAGCAAGACATCATGATTCCAGCTTTGATGCCCGCATCCCATACTGCGTCTTTGATGTCAGCACATCCGCTATGCTGGTAGCGACCGCGCGGCATATGTCACATGTGCTTGAATCGACAGCTGTCACATGTGAACCGTTGACCAATGACGCTGGTGGATGCATATTCACAAATGCGGCCAAAATGCATATGCACAAAACCTGGATCGAGTTATGAAGTCTTCCCTGCAAGCAACACAATGCGCCAAAGGAATCGCTAGTGGAACTCTGCAACGTCCAAGCCCAGAGACACAAAGAGAGTAAAACGGAGCTGATGACAAATCTGCGACGGTGGTTACAGGAGCAACACCCTTCAGGAGCATGAGTAAAGGTATTCTTAAACACTTCACCTTGCATATGGCTATCATTACCATATGTGGGGCATTCTACCTTCTTGTGGCCATTGATTAAGCGCCGGGCGCCGGCCGATCGACACCGTGACCAATGGGACAGTAGCTCGCTCTGCGTTCGGCCCCTAAGTTCATCTGCAAGGGCCATGAAAAGATGGATAATTGCATGAATGAAGCGGTTTCTTGGGGTGGATATTCACTCCTTCAGGTAATTAACGGGGCGATTGACTTGGGTTTGATGCGAATGGCGGCAAAATTACCCCTAACCGTTCGCGTCTATGAGGATCTGGACGTCTAAAAGTAACAGCATACGGAAGCAAAGCCATGTGAAGCGTCTGCCGGAACCCGAGATCTCCATACCTTAAAGCGCCTCTACGTATGTCAGGATGCATGCTTCCGTCATAGACCACAATGTGGTGCCATTTGCCCTGACCGGTTCATGTGGGGTAAAAGCAATGTTCAATGGCAATGGCACATTCCGTTGTGGTTTACTTCGTCTACCGGGATCGCCGTCCAGCCTATCAATAGGCAGTTTCGGGTGAAAGAATTCTGCCATTCCTCCTACTTGAACTGCCAAGATTCTTACTGAGTCAACAAGGCAGAGACTGGACATGAACATGAGTCTCGTGACGAGCAGCGCACGTACACTGACAAGTATGACACAGCGAGCGGCGCACCTTTGGGATTCTTCAGCATGGAAAAGGCATACGGGGGTTCTGCTTGATTCGCAGATGATGCCATCATGTGGTCTAACGTGAGACAGTACAAGTTCTCGCTCGAGTGCAGGGCAAATTCTGCAGGGACCCCCGAAGCAATTTTCGACACGATAACGATTGTTGTTCAGCCCACCTGGAAACCGCCCTTCCGCGCCTAGAAGCGCTACGCAAGCGCGGCCTGGGCCCCCACGTCTTCGACTGCCAATACCGTGACCTAGTGCAATACCAGGATCACGTCTGCCATTCAGAATTGCCATACTAGAGACCAAAGGGTAGCTAGTGCGAACGATGTCACACTTCTCCCCACCCGCTCTTTTGAGCCACCGGCAGTATACATCCCTTGTGCTTGTTTGCCACTCCAAGGGCAACCCTTTGGTAAAGAGGAATATGCAAGTGCGAGCCGTGTCGACCCAAGAGCGTGGTAAATACACCATTCAAGTATCCAAGGCACTGCTGCATAAGCGAGTCATTCGGTGAAGGTTGCGCAGTGAGGAAGCGCCACACGTACGATGCTATTCGCACAGAGTGGACTGACACGAGACAACAGCTTGGTACCGACATGAACGTGAGACAGCGATACTCTTGCCTACCTTGCAACCGACTTTGGCGAAATCCCTTGGCCATGCCGTCACTTTTGTGACTGGGGAAAGCCTGTTGCGGGGAGTTGGAGGGGTGCTCATTACCGCCACCGTTACACTATTATGCGGGTGGGTGACTGCTGAGGACCAGGTGCACACTTCCCAGCAGCACGTAACCCATCTCAAACCCCTCTTCTTTCGGGGCCCTTCCAAGAGAAGCTGACAGAAGCGAGGCTCAAATGGAAGTTCTTGCCTGAGGCTCTTTGTGCGCTTCTATACGAAGGCCTGACTCGTAACCGTTGCTATTGGCTCCTCTTCCTATTCAGCAAGGGCAACACTTGCATCCTTAAGGTAGCTACGTATGCCCGTACACCTACTAAACATACTCTGTCTGCTCCACCTCCCCCTCCCCCTCCCACAGGGTTTGAGCCTGCCTCAACCGCCGCCTCAGCCTGAGTGGACAACAAACAAAGGCCGCGGACACTTTGCACAGCCCACTTCCATGCACCTGCGCCTGCTCTTTGAGAGCTGAAACATGTGGGTAATGGCCTTGGGTCCTTTTTTTTTCTTGCCTAGGGCTCGAACAAAGAAACAGCAGCACCACCAGCACCAGTACCACCCCCTCTAGAGAAAATCGAACGGCCCTTCTAACTGCAGGAAGCTAGCGCCCTTCAATCTCTTTGGACAACATGGTGGCAATATGTGCGTCTGCGTCTGCGCGCCTGCGCCTGTGTGCATGTGTCGTATTCCCGAAGGAAACCCCCCCCCCCCCCCACCCTCCCCTCGCCTCCCCCCACCTTCTTTTTACAATCGGTCTCCCGCGTGGCCAATGGAGCATGCCCTATTGCGTCACGGGCAGAGAACAAGGCCGAGCGAAGCCTTGCGCGGCGCTATGAGGCTTGCACTTGCGCATACCGAGCCAGTCTCTGTCTCTCTGCCTGTGGCACCACTGCGCACGTAGCGGCTAAGGCAGCGCTTGGCCTTTTAGTTCACCGAGGAGGGGCCTTAGAGTCTTTTACTTGATACGCATTAGGTAAATGGTCGGTTGGCGTGGGGAGAGAATGGGCGGGTAAGTGGATATAGGTGTGTGAGCGTAGCAGTCTTTGTTGTAGGTCTAGGTAGGTGTAGAGAGCTACGATGCTGCTGGGGTGGCTGTACATACAGTGCTGTGCCATGCATCGTCCGAGACGTCAGGTTTCTTCTGCCTGTGGTGGCACAGCACAATAGATATGGAAAGGTAGGTGAAATTTGGTGTAAAAGGGATATCATATGTGTTGGATTCAGCTACGTATTGTGATATCATGGCCATGAGAATGGCAGTGTTGAGGCACAGCAGCACTTTACCCGTGCCACATGCGCATCCTCGGGCCCAAGTCACCGACCGATGCGCTATCATAACATTCGTTACTCGTGAAAAAAAGAATCTTCTTGCGTCTTTTAAATCCACCGCCCGTGGTCTGCCTTGTGCAGACTGTGTTCAGATGAAGTCGCCGCCTCCAAAGCCTCCAAACGGATTTGGTGGGCGACCACCGAAACCTCCAGGACCACCGAATCCACCCGGCCCCCGTCCACCAGGGAATCTCGGAACGCCTCCTCTGTCGTCTGCCCTCGGGTCGCCGGGGCCAAACGTATCGTATCTCGCACCTGGGGGAGCCATGGGGTCATATCCGCCGTGTCCGCCCTGACCACGGAACAGCGGATCGTCGAAAGTGGGATGCATACCGCCGCCACCAAAACCGCCTGGGCGTGGCAGGTCGCCTGCTAGATGTGGTCGGAGAGGGTCGTGAGGTCCCAGACCTTGGGGATACAAGTCGTCATGACCAATGTTGACGGGATAGCGGCCTTCCTGGAGACGGCCCGGTCGGCGGTTCAGGTCGAGTTCATCGTCGAAGCCGGGTATTGGCTCAGGGAGGGGGCGACCAGCCTGTGGTGGCACAGCGAGGGGATCGTTGAATGGATGAGGCCGAGCGGGATCTGGCTCGGCGGGTGGCTGTCTTGGATTTGAAGGTTGGCCTCGCTGAGCGTCTTGGCCCTCTGCCACTGGTGTGCGTTCCTGGTCTGCTGCTGCATTGTCCTCATACCCCGGCTTGTGCAGGTTTGGTGCCAGCTTCTGGATGACGGAGATCTCGAGCAGCGAGCCCAGATCGTTCAGTCTGCCTGGTGAGATGAAGAGGTCTTGCACCTTTTGTGATGTTTCCTCTGTTGATGTGCCCTCGGGAACACTGAAGGGTATTTGTGATTCGGAAAGGTAGTCTTTTGTGTTGAGCTCAAAGTGCGCAGTCTTGTCGTCGCCCACTGCCAGGGCGAAGACTACAGCCTTGGCTCCCAGCCTGTTGACTTTGACGAGAAACTCCATGGCGGATTGGGCGTGCGCATATCGAAAGGCGATTGAAGACGAGGCGTTCCACTGTGCGGGTAGTTGTTGGGGGTCTTGGGCGTCTGCGCAGGCTTCTGTGAGTATCGATGTTATGATGGGCAGTACCAGAAGACCAGGATACGAGTGCTTACCTATGCGCTCGTCTTCGCCCAGTCCAACCAGGCGGAAGCCAACGGCAATCATGCCAGCGTGGACTGCCAGTGCGACGGCCTCTGTGCCATTCTTAAGCTGCGGTGCGTCGCCCTTGGGGAGCGACGAGGCCATGAAGAGGGCCAGCGAGGCCGCGCATAGCGGGTTGCCTGTTGTATTCTGCTGAACCATTCTTGCGGCTGCCCGAGCCTTGGTGGGGTGGGGTGTGGCTGGTTTTGGGACGCGTGAGTTGGCGACGAGATGTCGAGTCGATGAGTAGTAGCAGCAAAGAGAGCGTCGGTGCAGAGACTAAAAGGCGTCTTGTTGCCTGCGCAGTACCGAAGTTGGGAGCGAAGGCACAAGCACAGCACGAGAGCCAATGACGCAGGGGCGGGGTCCACGGCTGCGCTAGCCATGCACCTGCGGGCCTGTCAGATCTGATCGCCGCGCCTCACGATATCAGTTCATGCACGCCGCCGCCGTGTAGCTCAGTCACCACCCAGCCAGCACACAGCCGTCCTGCTCCATGACATCACGACGAGAATATACAGTTTCATGCACAAACAGGCTATATTGACCAACGACAAAAGCTGCTCACTACGAGCCAACACGTACACGTGGACCGTTGTGCGCCGCAAGACACGAATGCGCTAATCCGGGGAATACTATTAGACCAACCAACGCCTGGGGCAATGCAGAAAGAAGCCGGCAAGAGTTCACATGAGACGACATAAAAACATGAATTGGGAAACCTATTCCGGCAGATCTTGCGAGTTGCTTGCTGCAAGCTCACTCGGTTCTAGAAGGCTGCAGCGTGTTAGCACGGGTCAAGCGTTGTTGGGCGAATCCGCGGCTTACGAGTATTGCTTGTACAGGGTTCCTTCGCCACCCTTTTCGAGATCGACGTTGAAGACATAGTAGTTGCCCTCGCTGGTAACTACCATGATTTGCGGTCCGTTGTTGTTGAGCGCAACCACATTTCGCACGGGCCCAGACGACGACGTCGTGGGCGAGCGCGGTATCTTGACCCAGGCAAAGTCGCGCGAGGGCTCCCAGATCTCTGCGACGGCGTTGGGCAAGTATCCGCCAACCGTAGCAGCAAACGACTTTCCCACTGTCTGGGATGTGCGCCTTATGATACTCCCAAGTGTCGGGTTTAACGCTTTTCGCTCTGGAGCTGACACGTCTGCTGTGCTGGCACCAAACTCGTCAGACGCTTCTTCGCTCGCGGACATGCTATTCGGCTGGTTGGGAGAGCCCGCTGGTCGCGTAGGGCCTGAGGATACGCTGTTACTCCTGCTGTTGGGCGCACCCAACCGGAAGATGTGAACCGTCTCAGTCGCTGAAGAGACGCTCAGTAGCGTCGACGTCGAGTTGAATGACATGCTGTATATCCTCGCCGGTATAGAGCCTCTCCTGAACTGATATAGTTTCTGCGCATCGGGGATCGAAAAGACTCGAATGATGGTGCCCTTCTCCGATGCTGTCGCAAGCAGGGTGCCGTCGCTGTTCAGTGCAACGCAGGACAGCGGGGAGTTGTGCGCCTCTATGACATTGACTGCCTCCATCTTTGTCGCATCGTATATCAATACCTCGCCGCTCGTGGGCGCGATGTGGTCCGTTTTGGGCGGCGCATGCGAGGGTGGCTGGAAGGTGGCAGGGGCGGCTTTCGTAGGCAGCGGGAACACGAGGTAGTTGTTTTCCGATGATGCAGAGAGGGCACATATGGCTACAGATATCAGCGACTGCAGTGTATGTGGCGCTGGGTCTTACCGTTTGGGTTTGGTGACGTCTTCTCAGTCTTGAGCATCTGCATATTGCTTATGTCGTAGATGTAGAGCTCTGATTCCAGGACTACCACAAGCCGTTTCCTATTCATGCGCATGGCCAGAATAGCCGTCCGAAATGTCATCTCGCATATGGTGGAGTGCCTCTTGGCCTTGTCAGTGCCTGCCTGGCCAAGTCTAGGTCGCCGTCCAACGAACCTTAGTGTTTTGTATACGCAGTACTCGAGGTGACAGTGTGAGCGCAACCAGCGACGTTGAGAAGAGCATCTCGAGGCTGGAGACATCGCCTTCCCGCGACTCGGACTGCTTGTTGAAGGGGTCGGTTGTGTATATGCGGTAGCCATTTGTGGTGCCTGGGCAACGACGTCAGCTTCCATGCGGCCGCGCCTGGGTAGACGACGCACCAACGCCCAAGTGGCTGTGGTCCTGGTTAAAGGTAACAAAGTTCATGGCTGTCGTGGGATCCCGAAGGTACCGATCTAGGGGGGTAGGAGAAGCTGCCGCTGTGTTGACTCGCAGCGTGACAGCTTGGTGGAGCTTGGGGCAGCCGTTCGCGGGTGTAGAGTCCTGCGGGCGACGTGGAAAAATTACTTGTAGACGGGAGCGATGGTGGCGTGGTCGTGGCCCATATGCGACACGGATGCGATAGGTTGAGCAGAGGAAGAAAGCCTCTGGACCTTGTTGGCGAGTGATGGTAACCTTCCGTCTGACGATGGTTCACGCGCGCCTGCAGGGATCCCCATGGTCAGCCTCAGCCCCGCGTCGTGGCTGGGGCACCACCACAAATTATTCCTCTTCTCAGCATGCCGCCACACCACGAACGCCCCAACAGCAATCATGGTCGCAGACGCCAGCAGCCCGCGGCCCAACAAGGGCGTCGCAAAGCGCAAAGGCAACCAGAAGTCGCTGCGCGAAAGAAGGGATGTTGACATCATGAACGTGAGGTTACCCAGCCTCCTTGGCAGTGCCGTCATGGCCACAGGCACTCGACTGACCGGGGCGCCAGACGAATGACAGTAGCATCGTGTCCAAGAGAAGCGTTTCCAAACTGTATCTCAGCCATGAGCCCGACTTCTATGAGCCATTTGTGCCCAAGTTTGTTCGTCGCAGTACGTGATTTTCTCTCCTGGCCATTTTAATCAGCATACTGACCAACTGCGAAAAAAAGACCCGCTCATCAACCGCGGCTACTGGCTACGCATGCATGCCGTTGAACAAGTAGTCCGCCGCTTCTTGGAAGAAGATTATGGAAAGGCGAAAGTCGTCGTAAACCTTGGGTGTGGATAGTGAGTATGATATTCGTCATCAGCTCATCACAGGCCAAAACACACTGACTCCGAGCAGCGACCCTTTGCCCTTCCAGTTCTGGCACAGATATGCATCTCTCTCAGAATCGGCTACGTTCGTGGATGTCGACTATCCGCAGCTCATGCACCGGAAACGGGATCGCATGCTGAGCAATGACCTTCTTCGAGATGCCCTGCTGAAGACCAAGCTCCGCCAGGCCGAGAAGCCTGTACTTCTCCGCAGTGACGGCTATATGGCGTTGGGCTGCGACCTCAAAGATCTTGCAACGCTTGAAAGGGTCCTACGAGCCGAGTTTGACATCCCTACGACCTCGATCCTATTCGTCGCCGAGGTGTCAGTCACTTACATGCCGCTCAAGGACTCTGATGCACTCATCCAGTGGGCCAGCACCATTGGACACGGTATGTCGGCACGAAGGCCTACTTGAAGGAAATTTGCTGATAGTGGTAGCTCGCTTCTGTATACTAGGTACACGATCCTTCTTATCGACGTTCACCATGTCCCGCACTGACTTTGTTCCGTCTAGAACAGTACCTCCCCCAGGGCCCAGAGCATCCTTTCGCCAAAACTATGCTTGCACACTTTGACAAATTGCAGGCCTCAATCAAAGCGGTCAAGTTACACTCGTCACTGAATCAGCAGGCAGCTCGTTTCCGCAATGCCGGTTGGCCCACGCTAGTACTGGCTCGCAATCTATGGGACCTCTGGTCGGATGATTTGTTTACCCCTCCCACCCTTAGGCGCCATCTGGATGCTACCGAGCCGTTTGACGAGTGGGAAGAATTCGCGCTATTTGGCGGCCATTACTTCCTACTTGTCGCCTCAAACGCGGAGCCACAGGGATCAACTGAGTCGATGCACGACGAGGCAGCCACAAGGGAGGACGCGAATGCTACCAACGCGAATAGTATTACCCTGCATTCCTGGAAGCAGCCAGCTGATGCCGCATTGACGGTAAGGCGTTTTCCGGCCGCCTTTGCGTTTAGCAGTGACACGGTGGCTGTCCATGGCGGACAAGGAACGCAAGCCCGCCTCGCCGATATGGATGTGATGGGACTTGAGGGTCAGAGCGGGGACTCTTCCATTCGTCCCGGTGACCTCGTGCCTACTGCACGCATGTGCCATACAATCACGTCAATGCAAGACGGCGAAGCGCTGTTGGTCGGAGGCCGTGGGTCGCCAACCCAGGCATGTGCAGATTGCTGGCTCTTCAAGCATGGGACCTGGACTAAGGTCGACGACCTTGTGCCGGCTCGCTACCGTCATTCAGCAGTCGCCGTTTCACTAGGGTCTGGAGAGTCACAGTGTCATGGTGTCCTAGTGTTCGGCGGCAGAGCCAGTGACGGCACAGTCCTCGACGCCAATCGCTACTGCGCCCTGTGGACAGCCAACAACGGATGGCACAGCATTTCCGTCGACGGACCGCGTCCATCCGCACGCTTCGGCGCCGCCATGTCTACGATCGATTCCGCCAAAAACCAGGGGCTCGTGATAGGAGGCGCGAACGAAAGCGGCGTGGTTGTCGAAGACGCCATATGGGAGTGGTCCATTTCCGCCACACCAACACCACGACTGAGCTTTAAAGACCGCACCAATGATCTGCGCGGCGGCATAGCAAATTATGCACTCGGACGTATAGGCTCAATCCTGGTACCCTGGAACGACTCTCTGTTGATGATTGGAGGTGTTTCGAAGAAGCATATCCACAGTCTATCAGACGACTTTATGATTTTGACATGCACCGACTCGAGCATCCATGTGGAGCGTCCCATGCTGCAGGTGTTGCCACCAACGTCGTGGCCTCTGCTAGTCGGTGTAGGGGCCGTTTCATCGTCTCGAGGCGAAATTGTGCTGGCAGGAGGAGGAGCGGTATGCTTCTCCATGGGCAGCTACTGGAATGAAGATCCGATTACCATGATCCCTGGCGCTACGCAAGGGGCCAAGCCGTGGCGTCGTGTTGGGTCGAGTCAGATCAGCGGCACAGCAGGCACAAAGGACACGGCGCAAGCGAAGCCAGCTGAAACGGGGCTTCAAGGCCGGCAAGAGAAGACGTCGAAAGTGAAGAAGAGACCCGTCACTTCAGCACGCACAAAGGAGATTCCAAGAGTCCAGGTCAAGTCGGCAGACGACTTTGCAGCGCTGATTGCATTGTCCAAGCCCGCCATCATCGAGGGCCTTGACGTTGGTCCCTGCACAGACCTGTGGACGCTGGACTATCTGAAAGAGAAACTCGGTCCCGAAAGGGATCTCGTAGTGCACGAGTGCTCGTCCGACCGCATGACGTTCAAAGACAAGAATTTCGCCTACGTGAAGAAATCCGCCGCCAGCTTCCTCGACGGCATCGCCCAGGGCTCCCACGAGTACCTCCGCGCCGTGTCCTCGAGCCAACCCACCAAGCTGCCCACCTCGCTCGAAGCAGACTTCCCCAGCATAGCCCCCGACTTCCAAATCCCAGAGCCCTGTGCAGTGATCAAGCAAACCCTACACAGCTCTCCCCTCCGCATCTCAGGCCCCGTCTCCCTCTGGCTCCACTACGACGTCCTCTCCAACATCCTGTGTCAGATCCGCGGCACAAAAACACTCATCTTGTACCCGCCCTCCGACGTCTCGTACCTGGATTTCCCACCAGGCGGCTCCTCGTCAAACACCGATGTCCTGGCATCCAGAGACCCCAAGCTGCGTCATACACACCCGCACATTGCGTCGCTGCGCCCCGGTGACATCCTGTTTATCCCGCCCATGTGGAGCCACACAGCGACGCCCGAACAGGGCGTCAGCGTCGCTGTCAATGTGTTTTGGCGCGGCCTGGACAAGGGATATGCGGCGGGCAAGGACGTCTACGGCAACCGCGATTTGCAGGCGTATGAAAATGGGCGGCGGGATGTCGATAAGATTGTTCGGGCGTTCCGTGAGGTCCCGGGAGATGTGTCGCGGTTTTATCTCGAGAGGCTGGCATCTGAGATTCTCGAGCGAGCACGCAAGTTGGGGGAGAAAAGGGGTGGAGGCGAGCATGAGTAAGACGAGTCTTGTTAGTGAGGTTGAAAGTAGCATGAATGCCAGTATTGATGTCGAGTATTTTGACTTTGTCCCTTTTTTAGTCTCGCGGCGAGATATCATGGAATCTTGGTCGTGTATCAGTAGATATCATTAGACCAAATGCATGCTCATCGGACAAAACACACGATATCTACACCTTTCCCCATACCTCTGCCCAACGCCGTCCATCCAACTCAATCGGGCCCTCAAACCGCCCGAATCGCGGGGGTCCCGTACCGGGCTCAGGAAGACAAACCCATTCTCTAACGCACCCAGGGACCTCATGTCTACTATGACTAACACAAAGCAACGCCTGATGGTCCTGCAGGCCCGGCACTACAACCTCGCAATCCGTCGTTACAGGAGCGGGGCCCGCCTCGCTATACAACAGTTGCATGCTCTGGCCGCGGCTGAGGAATAAAAGGCATTTATCACGGACGAGGTCGTCCATGCCGCTGAAGGCCTCGTCGAGAATGACGATATCTGGATTGCGTATTGTGGCGCGGAGAAAGAGGAGGACACGCTGTGCCGAGAAGGATATTTCGCCAAAGAGCGTGTCGCGCGCCCATTCTACACTGTCGCTTTTTTCCGGGCTGGCTGCTGGAGTGCCCGGGCGTAGCTCGCTTTCGAACCACTTGAGACAGGCGTCCACTCTTTTCTTTGCGTCGTCGTCGATTTTAGGCTTGGTGATGGGCGTGTCGCTCCAGGCGCTTTCGAGCGTGGTGCGCAGCGTGAGGCGTTTGGGGAAGAGGGCATGGACTTCTGGACTGGCGTGGCCCATGCGCGCTTGGATTTCGAAGATGGTGATGCCGGGCACGCCTGGCTCTGGCAGTCGCGAGCGCTGGAAGAGCTTGACGGGCGCAGAGTATGTTTGTGGATGGTCCGACGTGACAAGGCTGAGTAGAGTCGTTTTTCCGGAGCCATTGGCACCAAAGATGCCCCAGCGTTCGCCGCGATGTACATTCCAGTGGAGACCGGGTTGAGATTTGCCGTTAACATCTTGTTGCCATTCTCCTAGTACGGAGTTTTGGCCGTAGGCAATGCGTACGCCCTGCATCTCGACGATGGGCTCGCTGATGCTCCGCTCAGATTTGTCCATCTTTTCGTAACCGTCGCGACTCAACACTGGAGTATCTGATGATGTCTCTGCTGTTACGCTGGAATCTTTTTCAGATAAAAGCCGACCTACTTCCTGCAACTCCTTTGCTTTTGAGCTTTTAGTCCTGCTTGAACCATTCTCCTGAATGGATTTGTACTCGTCTCTCAAGTACCTCAAAACCTCCGCTTTTGGCCCCAACTGGTCGACTTTTCCTTCCTCGCCCGCATACACAAGATGCGTCACCCACTCTGGGATGTCATCCTGGGGTCTCAGGCTGAGTACGATGCGAGGCGCATTAGCTTCAGCCAGGCGATGCAAGACACTGGAAAGGTGCTTTGTGACAATTGGATCCAGACCAACTAATCACATCATTAATGATATTTTCTTTTCGTTCGGATTTGGTGTTGCAATTTGACTTACTGAATGGCGCATCCAAGCACAGCATTTCCGGACCGCTCAGCAATGCCTTTGCAATTCTCGCTCGTCTTGATTGGCCGTTACTCAACATGCTGACCGGCTTCTCGATGAATCTCTCTAGCTCCAGATCGCGCATAACTCTCTTCATATCGTCTGCGTCAATGCTCTTGGCCCTCAGCTCCTCTTCTCCAGGATTCAGCGTGGTAATCCCCGTCAGGTACCGCTGAACCGTGAAATCCGTCTCCTCCTTCAACGACTCGTACCGGGCGGACAGGTACGCGCCGCCAAAAGCCTTGCGCTCCACATCGAAGCCTACATACTCGATTGCGCGCTCTGGAAAGCGAAGATGCGGTTTCTCGTCGGCAATTGCTGGTGTGAGAAGGTAGGGAAACGATCTTGCTGTGGGAGGAAAACATAGCAATTGGCCTCGAAGAATTTGCAGAAACGCGGTTCGGATATCCGACGAGGGACTCAAAATGGCCCAAGGCTGGTTTGGCGTAGAGAAGGAAGGGAGCGAGAGCGTCAAGGCAGGGAACAGAGGTGGATTCGCAGACGCATGTTGACCTGGTCTGGAAGAGGGATGTTGGCGGTAAAAGGTGGCATTGGCGATGTTCACAATGGGTGGCTCAGCGCAGAGCCTGCGTGAAGTGTGGAGTCTCGCACATCTCGTGGCTGCAAGAGACAGCGCTGGTATCCTTCGCATGTCGAGGCGGCGTGGGTGATGTTAGCAGTGAATACATGTCGATGTGCCAGGGATGTTTAGGGCTGAGCGATGTTCGGCGTGACGTCGCGGAAAAGCGTCCGATGCCGCGACGTCACGCCAGCTTGAGTCGCGGTATCTCGTGCCGAGGTACGCGATACGGCAGCAGTCCGGCGTCATCATGGAGATTGTTATTGATGCTGGGTGTCGTATGAGCATGTAACAATGATTCCCAGCCAGCAGCCGTCTAGACCAAAGGTATGTTGCGGGTTACTTACCTCGAGCTGTGTGATATGGCGCCTCTGCTCACACGACGTGCCAACTTAGCCTCCGCAGCAGTCTCCGCAACCATCATACGCCCAACAACAGCGACGCGCCCTTCACATATCGCCGCAAGCATCACAGCCACAGGCGTTAGCACGGCCCTCGGCTCTCCCTGTAAATCCTCCGAAGCCGCGTTCTCAAGTCGAAGCCATGCCGCCCTTTGGTCCTTTGCAAACACCTGCCACCTTCTTCACGCCCGTATACGACAGCGCAATACGGCACCCAGTCTTCTTCACCCAGAACCTGAAGAAGCCGCCGTTTCCGATCCCGCAGGTCGCGAGCCAAGGCTGGAATCCCGTGGCAAACGGGTACATTATGGAGCAGAGGAGGGCTGATGCTCCCGGAAAGACGAAGCTGTGATGATTGAGACGTGAAGTGCGTGCATTGGACGGCGTTGGGGAGCATTGAGCGAATTATTAGATGCCGGATCAATACGGATATTTAATATGCGTCACCTGCTAGCGAAATATATCTGGAAGGTCGTTTTTATGTAGCATGGAACCCTTCCGTTGTTCTGATGAAGCACCATGGTGAAGCTCTATTCTAGCAATGTCTAATACATGGCATGATGGGTATCTCGGGTAAATGATTAATCCACAGCCTCCATAGATTGTCCACAAATCCTGGTTTCTGTCTCACACACTGTCTCTACAAGCTTTGTTTGCCTACAAGCTTGCTGGGGAGCAGCGCGGTGGTAATGACACAGCCCAGTGTCACGCCACCAGCCAGGTACAGAACGCTGTTGATATCCCTCCCAGCTTCTCCACCAGCATACAAGTGCTGCGCAATAAGGGGGCTCACGATGCCAAAGAGTCGCCCCCAGAAGCTCGCAAGTCCACACGCAGTACCTCGGATGGGTGCCGGGAACGCCTCGGGTGTCCACCCGTACAGCACGGAATTGAACATGGACTGGAAGAAGTATTCCATGGCGTTGAAGCCTATGTTAGATGCCGCCGAGTTGACACTGCTGAAGAGGAAGATGGATATGCCCATGAGGGCCGAGGAGACAACCATGGTCCACTTGCGACCTACTCGCGATGCGCGGTACGATAGGGTTCCCAGTACTACCCCGAACACTCCAGGAAGGTATATAAGTATGTAGGATCGGTACGTGTAGCGAAGGGAGAGGTCTAGGGCGCCATTTTTCATGGCCAGAATCTGTGGAAGGTAGGTTCCTAGATAAAAGTCAGCATCGCGGTCAAAGGCAAACCCCACATAGTAACTACTTACCGGCGACAGTAAAGCCCCAGTAGTCGAAAATATATGTCATCCAGACTAGCAGTGTCAATCGTGTCATTTGGACACTTGAGAACAAGATCCTGAAGCGGTCGCCTTCCAACTTGAGCTTCTCAACCCACGTAGATTTCAGCTGCTTGTCACCGCCTCCTAGCATAGGCCCAACGCCCTGAGCAGAGTCGAATTCCCGTTCCAAAGCCTCAAGATCTTCCAACACAAGAGTACACATAGTCTTGTTGTATTGAGCAATGCTGTGCAGAACGCTAATGGCCTCGGCATCTTTGCCTCGATATATGAGGAACTTGGGTGATTCCTGGAAGTCGAAGAGGACTGAGCGCAAAACAAATACCAGTATCGTGATTCCCCCAAGTGTGAATAGTAGGTATCGCCATCCCATGTTATCTTCTTTTGAGCAACATTGTTCTCCCTGGGCGATGGCAGTACAAGCAGGTAGTGCCCGGTCTCCTTCGGAGAAGTTTGGACTGCAAGACCAATTTGGAATATATCCGTAGGCGAGAACTGAGCAGATTACCACGCCTATTGGCTGAAACATGGACAGTAACGGGAGAAGGTAACGCTTGTTCTGAGGAGTAGCTTCAAGCGTTATGGTTGTGTCGATAGGGATGTTGCCTCCGATACCGAAGCCCGTAAGAGCGGTGAGAACCAGGATAGCATTGTATGTGCTGGGGGTGCCGATGCAAGTCCCAAATATACAAGCGAGGAAGACTGTCAGGTTGAAGGAGAACTTGCGCCCGATGACATCCACCAGAATACCCCATACCAAGGCGCCACCCGTAAGCCCAATGGAAAAGGCAGTCGATAGTTTGCCCGTCTCGTCAGCTCCGAATCCAAGTTCCTGTTGCATTGGAGACAGAACAAGACCAAACGCCTGTGCCCACATCAGATCAATCATGTAGCCAAAGCCACACAAAGCCCAAATCGACCACTGGTAGCGCCCCATACCCATGAGATCAATCTCATGATTGATGAGTGCACACTTCTTTTCGTAGAGCGAGATGTCCGTCTCTTCCAGCTCTTTGGCCAAAGGAAACGCTTCGTCCGGGTCAACCGCTCCATTAAGAGCGATTAGTTTCTCTTTTTCAGCTGCTGAAAGAACCCTCTTTGTATGTGCTGATCGGTCAAAATCTACACTGTCAAGTGTAGAATATGTGGCCGAGGAGGAAGCGATAGCGTTGCTGGCGTTCAAAAGTGCCTCACCTTCGCTGGCTTCATAACTTGTTTGCGTCATTTTTGGCTGTTGAACTTTGCAATTGGCAGATAGCGAACTGAGGAAATGTTATCTTATGGGCAATTGCTGCTCTTCTATGTATGCTATGGCTTCTCAAGCGGTATCAGGCTCCGCGGCGCCGAGGGCTCGGGGGTACTTTGGAGTGCCTAAGCGACACATGATAAGCTACGTTGATTGCGCAACAAACATAGTTTGAGTATCAAACGGTCAAAGAAGTTACACCAGGGCGTTGGTGCAGATACAGGGGACAAGGTACTAACGGATCCTGGTGAAGATTAGGTAGATCCAACGGCCCAACACTTTGCCTACTCCAATCGATGGCCATACCAAGAAAGATCGCAGAGGTCAGATTGTGATGTCATAGCATTGAAATTGGACTTTGTGGGTCGCAACCGAGACAAGTGATTTTGGAGAGCGCTAGAAACGCCTCGTGTTCGTGTTAGAGTAGATCTAGTGATACTAGATGTAGCGCCGTTGTTTTTCGTCTTTTCTACTGCTGTGATGTATCAGGGTCACAGACGATGCGCTTCGCCATGACGTACATTTCGAACGAAGCTGCCGTGCCCAACAACCGGCATGGCCTTTGAAAGAACACATGACTGTAATAGATCGCGATCTCGCAAGAGGCTACGTCCTTCTGGGACACGCGCCGCTTGCTTGGGTCTCATCCGGCTGTGTAGAGTGAGTGGGGCATGCAGGATTTCTTTCGAATGTGCGCAGCTGGAGGGTGCAACATGCGTGGAATCGCGATCTGGAGCTGATCGGTGAAGGATAGCAGAGTAAGACATGGAGGAGAAAAGGGAAATGGTGTCTCAGATGCGGCGTTCGCGAGTCGAGCGCAAAGGGTTTAGCGCCGCATTATCACCTGGGCTCGCCAAGATGGCAGCCCCGGGTCTGTGCGCCGTGATACTGGAACTTTTTTTTTCGAAGACATGCAGAGAGAACATATCACCAAAGAACGCCTCAATTTGATATTCTTTTGCCATGGCTCCCCGTAGAAAACGCCAGCGCCTTTCACTCGACGGCGCAGAGGCCGTCACCGCCACCGCTGACGTCGAGCAACCCTCCGGTGCTTCTGCTGCGGCGGCCAAGGAAGTCGCGCGCAGACAACTTTTCGTTCGCGCACTTGCGCCCACCGTCACCAGCGAAGACCTGACCGAATACTTTTCAGAGTCGTACCCAATCAAGAATGCGCTTGTAGTCCTGGACAAAGAGACGCGCGAGTCAAAAGGCTATGGTTTCGTTACATTCGCCGATGTCGAGGATGCGCAAAGAGCAAAGGAGGAATTGAACAACACAGAGATCAAGGGCAAGAAGATCAAGGTAGACTTTGCTGAAGCCAGGCATCGTGACGGCGACGAGAAGCGTCCCAATGCCGCCAAGGCAGAGCGCGAGCAGCAGGCCAAGGAAGCGCAGACTCCAAAACTCATCGTACGAAACCTGCCGTGGAGCGTAAAGACACAAGAAGATTTGGAGAAGCTATTCAGGAGTTATGGCAAGGTCAACTTTGCCACTCTGCCCAAAAAGCCCAGTGGTGAGCTGAGGGGGTTTGGTTTCGTTGCGCTACGAGGAAAGAAGAATGCGGAGAAGGCGATACAGGAGCTGAATGGCAAGGAGATCAATGGCAGGCCCATTGCTGTTGATTGGGCTGTCGACAAGGACACTTGGCTGAACCTGCAAAAGACCGAGCAAGGAGACGACGCCAAAGCAGACGAGGACGAAGAGATGGAGGACGCTGAGAGCTCCGTAGTCAGTTCTGACGAGGATGAAGACGACGACGACGACTCCGGCGACAGCGAAGACGAAGACTCAGAAGTGGACAGCGAAGATGACGACGAGGACGACGAAGACATTTCAGAAAATGATGAGGAAGGTGGTTTTGAGCTGGAGCAGCAGGACAATCGACCAAAACGCGAGGAATACACAGTCTTCGTACGCAATGTGCCATTCACAGTGGACGATGAAGGTCTGAAAGAGCACTTTGAGCAGTTTGGAGGCATAAGATATGCACGCGTTGTCATGGATCGCGAAACTGAACGTCCAAAGGGCACTGCTTTCGTCGCATTCTTCACGGAAGAGGACATGATCAACTGCTTAAAGGGTGTCCCCCGTGTCAAGTTGCAAAAGAAGGACCTGAACAAGCAAGACGGCTCCACCATTACCGTCACACATTCCGTACTCGAAGATGAAAACGCCGACCCAACAGGCAAATACACCATCGACGGTCGCATCTTGCAAATCTCCCGTGCGGTGGACAAGAACGAAGCAAGCCGTCTCACTGCCGAAGGCGCAGCCTCTCGCTACAACCGCGACAAGGACAAGCGACGCCTTTACCTCCTCTCAGAAGGAACTATTAGTTCCAACTCGCCATTGTATCAAAAGCTTTCGCCATCTGAAATTAAGATGCGTGAGGAGAGTGCTACACTGCGTCGTAAGCAAATCCAAGAAAACCCCTCGCTTCATCTATCCCTCACCCGTCTCTCGATCCGGAATATACCCCGCAGTATCACTTCAAAAGACCTTAAGCAGCTCGCTCGTAATGCTGTTGTTGGCTTCGCTGCCGATGTCAAGGCCGGTAAGCGACAAAAACTTAGCAAAGAAGAGGTCATACGTGGGGGTCAAGAGATGCTGGTAGCCGACAAGATGCGCAAGAAGAAGGGCAAGGGTATCGTTAAGCAAGCCAAGGTTGTCTTCGAGACACCCGCGGGCAGCAAGGTCTCTGAAGAAACCGGTGCTGGACGTAGTAGAGGATACGGTTTCATCGAGTACTACACGCACCGAAACGCCCTAATGGGTCTACGATGGCTCAATGGACACGCTGTGGATTACAAGATCAAGGCAGACCCCACACCAAAAAGCAAGAAGAAGGCGCAAGAAGCGCTGGAAGACAAGCGGAAACGACTCATTGTAGAATTCGCCATTGAGAACGCGAATGTCGTCAACAGACGCTCAGAGCGTGAGGGAAAGACACGCGAGCCATCTAAGCCGAAAACCGGCGAGGCTGAAGACGAAGAGGCCCAGCCGGGCGCGGCCAAGGGCAAGAAGCGCAAGCGAGAATCGAGCGCCGTAGACAAGAAGAGCAAGGGCAAGGTCAGCGGGAAAGCGAAGCAAGGTTCGGGTGCGGATGCGGGAACTGGTCCCGCTGCAAGCAAGAGCAAAGATGAGAAGCTCGCACAGAGAACCAGGATCATCGCGAAGAAGAGACAGGCGCGAAAGGCCAAGAGGTCTGGAAAAGCATGATCGTGTCAACATATGTTAGCATTAGCGGTGGCGTTCATGTTAATGGAAAAAAGTGAGAATGATTAATCTGAAGATGCGTCGTATACGTCTTCACTCTGCGTCCGCGGCCTTGGAGTGATAGCGCCCAACGTAGTCCCGACATACCATTTTGGTTAAGCCACTCGCACCGGGACCAAACCCTCCCACCCTGCGGGCCGTGAACGGTGTATCTCATGCATTGTCCCTTCCATCCTTTCCATCTCGCTGGGATGCCTGTTCCCAGTACCAATTCCCCAATATCGATGCGCCCCGGTTGACGGATGCAATGGCTCGGTCCGCATCCGTCGACATGCCTCCGCGCGGTGGCGTGGGAACGTCACGTCTACGATCAAGTACGTGGGGGTGAGGTGAAGATGATGCGTGCCGAAAGGTCTTGTGAATCGCATAACTCTGTAGTAATCACAGCGCTAGACAGACTTCTTCTCGTACTCAGTGCCTATACTTATCTTGGTAAGAAAGCCAGGCCAACAGTCCAAGTGCTCCATCTCTCTCCCCCTACAAAACACACAGCTGTACCAAGCCAACACCCTCTGATTCCGCGTCTCCATCGGCCCCAGCCCCCAAATCACCATGGAGTCGAGAAAACGACCGGTAATTGCATGGTGCAGCTACCCGACGCAACACACACGTATACACATACCCGCCTCCCCCCTCTTTCCAATCCCCGTGTGTATTGCAATCTCCCGAAAAATAAATAAAACAACGCCATGCATAATGCTCGTGCCCAAGCGGATCCTCCCGATTCCTGTCACACCTGTGAAGAAGGCGTTGTGAAGGGGGGCGGTCATCAGCTCCCTCCAACGTACGTGACACACACACATTCACCTAAACCAAGCCAGGACGTGTGTGGGGTGCTGTATACATTGGCTAGGGAGCACACAGGCCCGCCGTATGTGATACCTGCGCCTCCATCCCTTCCCAAGTGGGAGAGATTGGATCGAGAAGATGGGGCAGGACTCGATGCGATAACATGGGGTGCAGAAAAAAAATCGATCGCGTATATCGGGATCCCGTTTACCTGGCTCAGTTCTCTGGTCATCGAGCGGGCTGACTCGTGTCGGGGGGCGGGGGGGGGAGGTGGACTGAGATGAGGGGTTGTAGAGTTACGTGCCTGAATATGATGGCGAGTGTTCAATAAGATGGCTTTCTTCTTCACCGTCTGGTTTTCGATAGAGAGGTTTTTGGTAGAGATAAACTCGGTATATCTCACTAGCCCGGTAAGTTGGGATGGTCAAAAGCAAGTTCTATGGATACATTGGGCACCAGGCGAATTCTATCGTGCTTGTAGAAAGTAGCGAGAGCTTCGACAGTAAGCCATGTTGCATGTAGTGTGTGTGTGCTATGCTAGTTCCCCACGTCAGCCCGCCACCATACCCTCTTTGCATGATATTGCCTAGTGAGAAGCCATGTCGCAGCATACTCATTCTACACATAGTGTTGCACAGCAGATGCAAGTAACAACGACCCTTCATTCTGCTGTGCAAAGGTTTGGGTGGCAAGGGGCGGTTACGCTGGGCTCGATTAGATGGTGTGTAACTATTGCTGGCGCGAGGGCTTGGATGCTCTCGATGACGGATGCTGCTCCATTTCCCCGCTGCTGCTGTGCCACCCTCGGCTAAGAATTCTGCTTCCATACAAGTAGCTTCATCGTCGTTCGTTGGCCATATCGTGTGGTTCTTTGAGGTGATGTAGCTTCATTGTAAACCATGTTAACAGTTATGGAGCTGATAGTGACCAATGTGAGGATTTTTTACTGAGATACTTGATAGAATGTTTTGATGTTCCAATCAGCGCCTATTAAGATTTAGATTGTGGACGAGATGGAGGTAGGTGTCAAAATCTAGCGATGTTGATAGGATCAATAGAGTACACTTGACGTGCAGTGCAGATCTCAAGCGTGTATGTTCAGCCTGCACCACTCTTGGCAGCTGAGCAGTGCGTGTGACAGTTAATTTTCAACCGTACATGCTTGGATATCTAGAATATGCTGCGTGTGCGAAATTCGAAAGAGAAAAAAAAACACCTTGATGGCCAGAAAATTCTGGAGACGTGGTCATGGGATGATGAAATATGAAGAACTGACAACTCGAATTTCTATGCATCTTATTGTCGCTCTTTTAACCAGACTATGGCCAAAATTCTTGATATCAACGAGTTGCCTTAATTTAGGTACCTTGCCAGCCACCTCCATGCAGAATTCATAGTGTGTGGTCGACCTATCTGCGCAAACATGAAGGTGTGCAGAAATTCAACCTAGAAACCGTTGCCATGCAACCCAAAGTCTCAGGGGTTGTAATGTGAAAGGTTTATGGCAGAAGCTAATGCAGTGGTGTTGATTTTGTATTTTTAGTCTGCAAAGCTCCCCGAGGAACGAGTTCTCGTCACAGTGTTGCGTAGGACCAAATCACTCGGCAGTTGGCTTGCGGCTACACATACCCAAAATTTCGCTTGTATACCGGTGAATCAAATGAACTGGCATACAAAACTGGTTGTGTATGAGTTTGCAAGTTGTCCAGCCTTCAGAGGCAAAGTCGTGGCTGCAGCTGGGTTGTTTGCCTTTGTCATGGAATCAGGAAACATGTTTTTATGTTTGGAAATATTTGGAGACAATGCGAGATGTGCGCCGCAAGCTTGAAGATGTTGAAGGTCTGATGCCGAAGGGTCAAAATCAAGTTCTAGAACTTGCCATGGCATATTTCTTACAACAGTGTCAGACCGCCGAGCCAAGGCGTTTCTGCGGTTGCCTACCTGCCGGCGAGATATGGCAAGTCCCGAAGTTGTGGAACGATCGTTTTGCATATGCTGGTCATTTCCAGGTCATAGACCACGGACCATGCTTATGAAATCATACATTCAGAAGGAAGTGCTTCGCACAATATCGTCGGGTTGAACAGCGCAAAGACCAATACTTTACTATAGCCACCCACCTCTCATATCATGATGTTATCTTCAGCTGAATATCAATGGGGAAATTTCGCAGAGTACACAAGACCCAGAATACCCTCGCTTGTTAGTGGGACAAAGCCATGAACGGTACTAGTAGATTATGGTCTAGAAGTTACGGAACAAGCAGCTTGCCAACTTCAAGACGCACGTCAGTGGATTAACCAGGGTGGCTTGTTGCTTGGATCCACTGCTGCGTCTTCTCTCTATTCAGAATATGCATCTGTTTCTTAGTTGACACGGCGAAAGAAGAGTAAGTCGGAAACCGTACCCGACGACTGCAGTGATTTTGACCAATGTATAAAAGCTTGTGACATCGCCTTGAGGTGCAACCATAAGTTTCCCCGCATTCTCCGCATTATTTCAGATCTGTACACCCAACTTCCGTCACGAAGACATCAAAACACGTGCCCCCATAACCACTGCGTTCTCTATACAGCCACACCCAGCCCTCTACGTCAGTACTTCGACATTCAACAACTGATGTGAGCTAACCGTTGCTGAAGGTCCCGGTTTTTTTGCCAAAGATTTATCAAGGTCACGCAATGTGCTTCTACGAAAAGATCAACTTCCGCTGCAGCCACACAGAATACCGACTCGTACAACATTGCCATTTCGCACGAAACGACCCTGGCCACCAATGCTTCGGCGCTTGGAACCTCAAACGCGAATGGAATCAATCCGAAGCAAACTGCACCAACTGTACAAGACAAGCTTATCTGACAGTGGCTTGTGACGCCCAATCGATATACGGTGTTGACAGAAAATGAGACCCGAGGGCAATGATGCTGACTTGAGTGCGAGAATCACGGTGGTATAATTTCTATCTAATGACTAATAGCGGAGTTGTAAAGAACCTGAATATCATTTCTATCCGGCTGTATGTTGTAAGTATTGCGTTTCAGCAACAGCCTGGGATGATACAGGCATCTTGACTTATACTTGAAATCTGGGTGGTCGAATTCTAATTCTAATTTTTCTGTATACTATTGGCACGTGTATGTAAATAGAATCAAATATTGGGTAATATGACAATAATCCTTGCAAAGCAAGTATTGTAATCAAATCTTTGGTATGTGACTGGAGTGGCTATATTCGCAGTCAAAGAGACAGAAAGAACAGTCTTCAATCAGAGAATGAAGTAATGAGTTATGGATATGTTAGTATAAGCAAGGGGATATGAACATCCAAATGAAGAATATGATGAAGATGTCACTTCTCAAGTGGAAGTGCGCAATGCGACTAGACCTGGTACAGTTTAGCGTCAAGCCCCTCCTCACCGGCCGAGGCCCGCATGTTTCTCCGTCACGGACACTTACTCGGCACTCCTCTACACATACCGAACTTTGAGCATCCAACATGTCTGACGCCGCTGAACCAAAGAAGGAGAAGTTTGCTCCTAAAGAGCCCGTTACGCTCAACCCACCGAAAGATGACATCATAGAACGTGATTACCTGGCCAAGTGTGACGGTGAGCCTCTTTCATGACTGACTGCAGTCTGATGTCTGAACGATCGGCTACTAACACTGTCATAGGCACAAATGAAGGCTACCCAACACTGGTTGCGATCAAGGTAGTTAATGAAACCCCATTTGGATAAAGTGCAAATGTACGTGCGACAAGCTGACGTGATTTAGGGCGATGTTTTTGACGTGAGCGGTAAAGAGACGTATGCACCTGGAAAGGGCTATCATGGTTTGTTATCTCAAACCCATCCACAGTTGATGGCACAGCTGATTTAACGTACCAGTATTTGCGGGTAAGGAGCCCAATCGTGCCCTTGGCCTGTCCTCTCTGAAGCCAGAGGATTGCATATCCGACTACTCCGGATTGTCGGACAAAGAGAAGCAGGTTTTGCACGACTGGCACACATTTTTCAGCAAGCGATACAACATCGTAGGACGACTGCCAGCTGATGGTGCTAATCTCTAGAAGCTGTCTATCTCAAAACATCAGCAGGCGGACATCTGGCCCTCGAGGTATTTTCAGTCATGAAGGACGCTCAAGGAGATCAGTTACTAGACGTAGATATCGGAATGAAGAAAAGCACTTTGAAACAATCAGCTTGTACAAGTACGCTTGGTTCATCAGCAATCGCTTTGATTCACTGGCTCTTTTACGATAATCTGCATATATACAGACATTACGCGACTCCAGGCATGATGCTAGATCTACTCACCAGCACGGAGCGATCAACACCTGCTCTGAATCTTCATATTATACCGTTGAAACTCTTGCACATAACTATATACACATCCATGTGCGATATCCTAAGCTCCCGCCTTTACTATCAATCCAATCAAAGATTCAACAACCTGTGCAGCTGCCAGCACCGTGGTCTCGCCGGGATTGTCATAAATAGGGGCAACTTCAACTGCAAGAAATCATCAGCCAACAATGTGGTTCACTGAGGAGAAATCCGGCCAGAACGTACCAACATCAGCGCCAATAACATCCAATCCTTCAAGACCATCCAGGATAGACAGCAACTCTCGTGTGCTCCAGCCACCAACCTCGGCGGTTCCCGTGGCTACTTTCCATGTCAGTCACACCGTTCAAAGCCTAGTCTGGTAACCATGATGCTGTAACAACGCTTGAGCAGAACCTACCGGGTGCAAAAGCCGGATCAAGTACATCTATATCCACGCTGATGTACACTTTACTGTCACCTACACGCTCCTTCAACTTTTCAATGACACCCGATACGCCGATGCGATCGATATCTCTAGCCTTGATCATCTGGAACCCACACCGAATGTCATTACGCACATCTCCTTTTGGTCGTGCAACGGGCGCTCGAATACCAGCGTGCATTGAGGTATTGCGGATCAAGCCTTCTTCATGCGCAATATGCAAGAAGGTCCCATGGTTTACGCCGCTGTCATTCCGGGAGCCTCAGTAGTGCATACAACGCACCAGTTCGGAGCCAGACTTACGCGTAGTGAGAAATACCTCCGCCTGTTGCACACGTTAGCAGGTAGCCGTATATGTGAGGACTTGAGCTCACCCAACACATCGGGATCCCAGGTATCTGGCGAGAAGTTAGCAATGGCAAGGTATGAAGACTGGGCGAGCGCACCTATGTGGCTGTCGAAATGTATCACGCTTACTTGGCCCCAGTGGTGATATGCTGAGCGCAGTGCAGACAGCGTGGTCGTATGATCGCCGCCCAAAGTGATGATCTTGGGTGTTTTATGCTGTGTGGAGTTGGTTTCTCTTGAAGAAACAATCTTGCAGTAATAGTTAGCTACGGTTCGAATCAAATTGTGGGTATGTGACTGACCTGGTGGGCTTGGTCAAGCTGCTTTAGGGCTACAGTGTTGTCCTGTCGTAACGCTCAGCTAGCGTCGCCTTTACAGTGTGCGAATGGCCTTACCAGGAATGTCAAAGGAGCGTCGCCGCAATCGACTATTTTGGCCCAGTCAAGTAGCAGGTTCTCTCCTACATCAGGTCAATCACTGCTCTTTATCCGCATAAAACAGCTGCTATGATTATGAGATTGGTCTGTATTAGTAGGGACGGAGAAGATGCAGGAATTAGCAGCCTCAGCCCACAAAGGTGGTTCAATCATAATTTTCTACAATCACTCGCGGAGCTCCATTATGTGATCAGCAATCTCGGTGGCCCTCACCTAACAAAGCTACCGTATTCGAAGTCCAGATTTCTGGAAACGAGCATAGCATGTAGTCTTCTTCACATCATTTGCACTTACCAGTATAAATGCTCCACCCCGCATCCGGAGACATTCTCCGCGACCCAGCTCGTATACCGCCGGGACCAAAGCGCGCTCCTGGACGAGCCGTCACACCCTACCCTTCTCGATTAGCCTCTAGTATCAGAACCACACTTCCATATACCAATAGATATATTCCTGTGTTGAAACGGTACATATCTTACCGTATCGAAGGGTGCACCGAGAATAGCAATATCAAACGGCTCGACATGCTGGCCTTTTGGCGCCAAGCAATGCACATAAGGGAAATGGGCGAACGTCATGAGCCCCTCGAACCTAGAATGCGTGATGTCGGCATCCAACCAGTCTTGAGGCATAACGTGCTGGGACGAGTATCCCGTGACTGGCGGAAACGTGATTTCCCGGGTGTGTGCGAGCGCGAGGAAGGGCGCGGCAGATAGCAGGGATCGTAGGGCCATTGTGATGGAGAAGGCTGTGTGTGTATGGAGTAATAGGCTTTTGATGAAGTTGATGTGAGGTTTGATATATATAGATAGAGAGATAGATGGCTTGCCCCAGCACAAGACGTCCATGTGCTGTGCCTCTATGATGCATTTGGCCAGTAGCGATAAAGGATCATTCTAGCTTCTAACTGGTAAGTTTAGCCGACATGTAGCCCCTCGTTTGGATGTTGTTCTGCACTGGTTGCTAGCCGCCTACTCGGTTGATAAACGCGAGTCAGGAACCATGTATACATCATGTTGCCTGAATGGTACTAGCGTGGGCAGACTTCATTTCAACATGGTGAGCTCCGCGGGTCTTTTATTTATCTGGCTTTTTGTACCATGTTTAAAATAAAACAATTTCTTCTTTTTTTGCGGCTTGAGCTTATCTGTGCAAGTCAATCGGTGATACGGTATTATACTCACCCAAGCAGATTCCAGATTGAGGGAAGTATAGGTTTAGCTTTCTTAAGTAACTGGCTTGGACCCCGCATCCTGCTGCTTAGGCTGCTTTAGGAATTGATAGTATATGAAGAAGGGTTTCGATTAGTATGTACTCTTGAATTGCTCATGGAGACACCTCACTATCCTTCGACTGTCATATGTTTAGTGTGGTAGTAGATACACCAAGTCTATGGGAAACTTGTACCGGTAAGCTCACATGGAAAGTAGAGCCTAATCCGACCTCTTCTACAAGACTGTTTGGTCGTGACATAAATCAGACCAAATAGATTTCTGCAAATCTCATCAAAATCCCATTTCCCAGAAGGAAAATACTCTTATCGGTTGAGCACGGCCGTCACTTCACACTCATACAACAGCGCTTTCTTCGCCAGACTAGCAACTCCGACAACTGTATCCGGAGGAAGATGGCCATCAGCATTTCGATTCATAAAATCGATCCATAGTTCGCCCCAACCCCTATCCACGACGTCTTTTGCGTCCTGCTCCTGATCACCCGTCTCCTTGACAATGTAATGGCGGACGTGTATCTAGAGCAGAAGCACAGTCAGCAAGACGTTCGCGTAGCACTTTCATAGTAACGTTACAGGAAATTAGATGGGTGCGTACAATGTCGCGCGGTGTTGCACCGGCAGCTTCTAAACACTTGTGGATGGTTTCATAGGCCGCTCTTGCTTGCTCCTTGATACCAGTAGGAACCGTGCCATTTTTCTGAAGACCTGTTTGACCGGCTAGGGTTATGAGCACCGATGAAGGGAGTATAGGCGTGACGCAGACTTGAGAGTAGGTTGGCGGTGGCTCTGGCACCGAAGGTGGGTTAAAGGCCCGTGGTTTGTTGTCAGTTGCCATGGCAAAGACTGTGCACACTCCCAAAGCCAAGTAACAAAATGACGCCAAAAGCAACCTCTCCCTATAGAAATGGCAACAGGCGTATCCTTGAAGCCATGGCTCGGCACGAGGGGAACATGCAGTTGCACTTGGCGTCATGGTGGGCGGGCAAACTACCCCACCTCTCCACTTGGGCCAGTCGTGACATCACCGACACTTCTTCACGCCATGTCTGCCAACACCAACCACGGACACGCCCCAAGGAAGGCTGCGTAACGCCCACAACATGATTGGATCACGGTGGAGATGCAGAGAATGAAATGCCCACGAACGGCTCTTGCAGCCGCACCCGGACGAATAAGGAGAAACCTCGCACGCGCCCGTCTCCCGTTGTGAATGCGGGGAAACCTCCTCCCCCTCTCTCCAGCGACTAGATACATAAACAGCCCCCCGTTTATGCGCCGTCTCCCTTTTCACGACTCTACATAATCCCCATCATGGCGTCCGGCTGGTTCACCAAGGCGTCGAGCGACCCGAGCCGCCCTCCCGACGTGCGCGTGCAAGTCGGCGAACAACGACCACATGATTTCTATCTGCAGCCCAGCTCGGCCCAGACAAACACTTCGATAGTGTCACGTGGCGTGGATACAACACACTCGCAGGTCCACGTGCATAATCCCTCGCTGTTCGATGTCGGCATCCTCAAAGATACGCTGGTGCCGTCGTTTTCACTCCATGCCAGCTTGGCCGTCGTGGCGTATAGCGCTGCGCGGTACACGAACCGTGTTGAAGCAAAGGACTGGCTGTGGCCGAGCGGCCAGGTAGTAAATGCGTGGTGGTCTGCTGTCGGCCGGCGCATCGCTGCTGGCTACACTGTGTCACAAGCTTTCCGCCGCCTCTCGTGGCATGAACGCGTCGTGCTGAGCGGCGTTACGCTATGGGGCGGTCGCCTCTTCTACCGCATTGCTCGACGGTCTCTGCAGCGAGGCGAAGACGATCCGCGGTATGTCGAGGTCAAGGAGGAAGAGGGCTTCTGGAACAGCGCACTGTTCAAGGTGTTTATCCCCGAGGCCTTCTTCCAGATGCTCATTAGTCTCCCCTTCACTGCGCCTTTCCGCCACGAAGGCGCCGTCATGACGGGCTACCATCCGTTTATCCAGATGCTGGCCGTCGGCCTGTTTTCGTCGGGCCTAGCACTCGAGAGTCTTGCAGACTACCAGCTCGACAAGTTCAAGGCCGAAGGAAATAAAGGAATCCTGCGTGAGGGCGTCTGGAGCATCGTTCGCAACCCCAAGTAAGTCCCGCTTCCAGACTCCCCCCTTAGCCCATCCTGCCCCCTTGCTAACGCACATCTTACCAGCTACCTTGGCGATGCCCTCGTCCACATGTCCTTCATCGTCATGCTATACGGCTCCGACATGCTCGCCCCCATTGAGCTCCTCGGGCCCGCCGCAAACTACGCCTTCCTCCGCTTCTTCGGCGGCGACGCCCAAAAGGAGAAGCACCAACACCGCCGCTACTCTGCGTCGTCGCCCGACAAGCTCCGCGAACTGGAAAAGTTCCGCGCTGACAAAAACGCCTTTTGGCCCAGTGTCGACGAGCTCAGCAACAAGTGGCTATGGACTGTGCTCGGGTTCGGGGGCCTTGGAATCGCTGTTGAGCAGACGTTGAGGGCGTTCCATTGAGGTATGTAATAATCTGTTCTGAGATGAAAAAGGACGAAAATCAAAATACTTCATGTTTATGGAGCTGGACACCATGATTTTTTTACTCTTGTATCATACAAATTAGCTATGTAGTTGGCTGCAATATTATGTGTTTAATATGCAATGCCTACACAGGGACTGGCGAACCACACTTCCGTACGAAACAAGGTAATGTTGAATACAAACGATGCATGAGCAACAAAATCGTATAGTCTACTCTCGACACGCTATGCTGCATATACTACGGCTAAAAGCAAAGTCCAATGCTATATCATACACATGGGCCGAACACAACCAACCCCCTTTCTCAATAAGGCTACCTAGCACCCAAGTCCCATATTCTCAGTGTCTCGCCCTTGCCACCTCGCTTCTTGTTGCCCTTCTCCTTGCCGCCCTCGGTCAGCTTCAACATGCACTTGGATACGCCGGCCAGGCACTCGAGCACCTCGCTCATGCGGCCCGTTTCCAGCAGACAGCGTTGCACCCACTCGTTGCTCTTGTCGGCAATGGCAACGGCAACTTCCATGGCCTTGATGGCCGGATCCTTGTTCAGGAACCACGATGCAGATTGCAGCACCGAGAGGTAGGCAAGAATCATGTCGGGAATGTAGGCCTTGAAGAGGTCCCAGGTTTGCTCCGTCAGGTACTCTGGATCGGCGGCCGAGGAAAGTGAAATTGAAGGCAGCAGGGCATCAAATATGGTCGTGATCGAGTCCAGGAGCGCTTTGGTGTGTTGTGTATCTGGCTTGGCCTTTGCGGCGCTGGGCTCTTTCTGACGTTCTGCGCGGATTCTGCATGGTCTGTTAGCTAGTGTGATATGACATTCATCTAGGAGATGACTGACTGGATGAGTGTTTGTTCCTCCTCGCGCCATTCGCGGAAGAGAACGAGCAAGCGAACAATTTGCTGGAGATCATAGTATGGTGCGCTGACTTTGCGCAGACGCATCACCATTTCCCTGTGCTGATCCGCCTCGGGTAATTGTGACAATGGAATGGCAGCAGCTCGAGCGGTCGTGGAGAGACTGTCGCGGTGCTCGTGAAGTTGACGTTCGTCCTGTTCTTCTGTTCCTGGTGTCATGAAGTCGAACGGGTAGCCCATCAGAGCTTCTGTTCGCGACAACGACAGAGACTCGACGCTGAGATCGTTGATGACCTTTTCGGCGGCAGCTAGGCGGCCATTGACTATGCAGTGTTAGTCGAGGTGATGCAGGTGTAGTGTGACAATACTTACGAAGGAAAATGGTCAGCGCATTGTTCAGATGTTGGAAAGTGTTTTCGTAATCCTTGCCAATGTAGTTGTACCATTGCAAAGCATCGGCAATGATCTCATCTTGATGGCTAATCTTCTCCCCATCGAATGTCCGCTTGATGCGCACACCGGGCCATAGAACCTGCTCCTGAGGGGCGCTAATGGGCTCCAAGATCTTGAACCGCTTGATAGGGTTCGTGATGACGGTGTAGCCCGCGCTGCTGAAATGGGTGAAGCCGCTGTCCCGCGCAGCAAATGTGAAGCTCTGAGATACGACCTGAATCACGTCAATTCGGTATGCTTCCATCAGTGCGACGCAGTGTCGTTGCTCCATGTTGTTCTTGATATCAGGAAGAACACGTGCAAGGGTGTAGGCTGCCCGTTCTTCAATCAATTGCGCGGCATAGAGCGGGATCGCATCAAAACGCTGAGTGAGACGCAAGAACTCAATGTAAGCGGCGATTACGTTATCCATGACCAGGAACTGCTTGTCTTGCTGTGTATCCTCAAAGAGCGTATGTAGGCCGTTACGAAGAATGATGAAGATGTGCACCAAGATACGGAACGCGTGTGGATCCTGGACAAGTGTCTGATAATACCGCTCGGCTTCAAAAGTTCGGTGTTCCCCTGCAGGCTTAGGCGATCGGTCTTCCTCTGATGAGTCTGGGTGTATGATGAGACTGTGAGGCCGCTCGTCGTGTTCGAAAATATCTGCCAAGGCCACACCAACCTTTAGCATCAGGTCATCTACATCTCTGCCAATGAGCGCGCCTTGAATGAGCTTCAGGGGCGAGGCAGCCTGACTAGCAGTGCTCTTCTGCTGCTTTAGTATGCCAACAACCTTTTCAGGCGACGCCTCCCAGTCTCCAATGTTGGCCACAGCATCCTGGAAAAGGAACTTTTGGGTCAGGCTTTCCGTCACCTTGGTGGGGTAGTTCTTTTGGAGGTACGAGTCGAATCGCGAAAGAAGAAGAGCATTATAATGCGCATAGAGATGGTCGTCCCAAGATCGGCAGACTGCCTGGACCTGCTTCAAGTCACCGCTCAGTAGACCGTAGACGGCACCTTCATGAGGTATCCGTGCGCCCCTTGCGGCGTAGAAACACATGCGGCGGAACAAATAGCCAACAGTGGGCCCAGCGACATTTGGGCCACCTTCCGGGTGGCTCTCGTAGGCTGCTCCAATGCTGACTCCGCGCCATGATTCGTTTCTCTCGTAGCACCAGTCGACAATCGTCGTCCAGGGCAGTCCGCGTCGCATCATTTCGTATGCAACCATCCAAAGAGAGCGTTCGTAGTATTCGTCATTCTTTTCAAGCGCGCGCTTTTGCCGCGAGGGAGCGTCTGGGTCGAGTTGGGTAACGAGGTTCGCCGTCTTGTCCGAGGTCTGGATGTTCACACTGGTGGGCTTCAGAGGCTGTTCGGCGCCCTCCATGCGCTTCGCCTGCTTAATCTTTGCTTTGGTCTCGAGCCAGCCGCTTGTCCAGGTATGCGCGCCCTTGCCCGAGTGCTCTTCCAGCCCTGCAATGATGGCCTTGACGTCGCTTTCGCTGTCTCGTGCCGTCTGCTCCAGCCAGCGCAGAACAAGCGCCTTCTCTTTCGCCTGGTCATCCTCTAGTATGAAGCGATCCCAGATCTCGCTGTTCTTGCAATACCGCGCGGTTCCTCCAACATTTTGCAAGCGCGCCGTCTTCTCTGCAGCCACATCGGTGTCGGGATCGGGGTGGTAGTGTTCGATGACAAGCCTGAGCAGCTTCCAGGTCGCGAGTTCTGCCTGCCACTCTCGGAGCTCCTTGACGTTGGCGGAGACAGGGGTGGTGTTGTTCTCGATAGATGAAACGATGGACTGGGACGATTGGTTGAAGAGACTCTGTGCATTGTCCGACGCATCTGCCATGCTCTGTATCTGGCGCCGAACTGTTTTGCTCAGACTGCCCTTGTTCTCCGCCTCGGTCGTTCGCTTCAGCTCCTTGACCTGCGACTCGGCAACATCTTGGAACTTGCCCACCAATTTGATCGTGGTTTGGTATTTGGCCTTTTTCGACTCGTTTCCGTGCGTGTGCCAGTGGTCGACTCGCTCTGCGAACTTTTCAACTTCTTTCCCCACCCGGTCGGCCATTGCGCGTAGCGGCTGGAGGGGATCGTTGGAGGTGCTGCCGTGTGCGGGCCGTGGTGCGCCGAAAGAAAGCGCATTGCTGTGTGATGTCTGGGAGTCGTGTCAGCGGCCAGGGCAGCTCTTTGCGTGTCTTGTGTCTGAAGACGGCCGGAGCTCTTTTGATGGCTTCTTACCTGGGCCGTGTGCTGCGACAGGCGCGAGAAGGGTCGTGAGGCCATGGTGCACGCAAACGAGCGGGATTCGGTGATGGTCAAGAAGAGGTGGAGATGGGGCGACTCTGGGCGGGCGTCGGCGGGCACACGTCAATGGCGTGGAGAGGGCTTGCGATGCCCGTGGTTGCACGCCCCAGGCCCATCGACCACAAAACAGAAGTCGCGCCCGGACGTGCCTGCCCGGTTAGCGCGTTGCCAAGCCAGGCGCGCGCTAGCGGCAGGGTGCGAACAAAATCTCGTCGGGCGGCCCGCGCTGCTGCTTCCTCCTTACAATGTTTTTACAACTACATGTGCTACTATAGAGTCTCGTCGGAAATCTGCCCGTGTTCTACGACGCGCTCATGCCATGTTAGAGAAACACACTTCCTGGTAAAACCGCCTGGACTTCCTCGGGGGGTTGATGGTGCGGACGAGAAAGGGAGTGTTACATGCCTGCAGCAGGTGGAATTCGCAGGTGCATGCATGCGATGGGGATATGAGAAGGCTTCTTGGGCTGCTTCTATCGCAGCTGCGGGATATGGCAAGGCTCGCTATTCAGACAGCCAAAGTACATGGCCGGTCCAAGGGCGGTTGAGACGAGTCTATGAGATGCCCTTTGCGCGCTGCTGCATCTTGAGTCGGCAGGCTGTTAGCTCGGCACATACAAAGATGCGGACTGGACCTACTTGAGCAACGAGTACTTTGGACAGCTCACGGTGCTTGCCTTGTCCCCCTGGCGCTCGTAAAAGGCGTTGCAGCACTCGTACAAGGCGTCAATCTGGAGTGTAGTATATCAGCTTCTCTCCAATGCAGCCCTCGGTTGGTGTTGGCGCGCTGACCTCTTTCGTACACTTTTCTTCGTTGTAGTTGTTCCTCTGTATGCAGTCTGCCACTTAGCATCACACACATCAGACCTGATGCAGAACATACTCTGGATGGCACATGCCCGAGGGTGGCACGGAGGATCTGTCTGCAAGTCCTTCTCCATTTCTCCCTGAGGCTTTGTCAATGCCACTCTCACAGCCAACTCCCCAGCGTGACATCATAAGCATACCATGACAGGCTACGCGCGCAAAGCACCGCAACGCTGGGGGTGTGAAGGTGCTGACGAATGGCGGTTCCAAGCTGGCTAGCGAGTGGCGACGCTAGGAAGTAGGTAATAGAAAATACTCGGTGTATGTAGACGGATGGGATGGTCAAGGTGAGGCTGGCTGGCTGGCTGCAAATGGCCCCTGCTTGTGCTTGTCGAGAGAGCGAGAAGCCCCCACTAATTCTCTCGCACCTCACTCGGTTCCAGTTCCGTCACCGTCTTGCGCCCCGTTGCTGCACCGCATCTTTTTCCCACGCGTTGCCACCGCCCGCCCCCGACGTGACCTTCCCATCCAGCGCGTGCCGGTATTAAGGTACGACTATCTCCGCACCATATAAAACAGCCTCACCAACCCCCCCCCCCCCCCTTCCACGGCCAAATCGCTGCTTCCCTCACCTCGCCCGCTCTCACGCGACTGACTGGCTCCCCTCCCCCTCGCCGAAACAGCCCGCTACCTACTCTACTCTCTCTCTCTCCCGCGCATCCCTCGCCGCCTCTCTCCAGCTCGCTCTCGAAGCGCCGCCCCCCCCCCCCCGAGCCGCCCAAAATGTCTGAAAACGGCTCTCCCAACAACGTGCAGCACAAGCCCGAGGACGGCGGCCAGAGCGAACACCTGAACATCAAGGTCACGGACAACAACAACGAGGTGTTTTTCAAGATCAAGCGCACCACGGCCCTCGGCAAGCTCATGAACGCCTTTTGCGACCGCCAGGGAAAGAACATTTCCAGCGTCCGGTTTCTCTTCGACGGCCAGCGTGTGACGGCCCAAGACAACCCGGATACGGTACGTAGTTCCTTTCCCAATGACACCCCCACCCGCCGCCTCTTTTTTTCTCTCCCTCCTCGCGGGGTAACGGCATCTTTTACATGGCACTCACCCACTAACACGACGCGCGCATACAGCTCGACATGCAAGACGGCGACACGCTCGAGGTCCACCAGGAGCAGATTGGCGGCTGCTGACGAGGCAGCCAACAAAAAAAAACGGCGCCAAACCCTGTTTCTGGGCTTCCTACCCATCATCCGCTTCCCGGTCCCGACAACCGGCGGCTCCTCCTCAGGCACCTCACGCACTTGTCTATACTACTCTTCCTCTCTCCCCCCCCCCCCCCACTCTTCTCCTCTCCCCCTCATCTCCCCCTCAATTTGGCCCCCCAGACCCACGAAGATACGATTGCTTTTTGAGCGAAGGCGTGGCGTGAAAATAAAAAAGAGATGTGCTTGATGTTTTTTTTTGTTCTTCCACTTTTTTTTTGGTTCTGCTTCTCTTTGCTGCTTTGACATTATGTTATATCACGGAATTCTGGCGTCAGGGTACTTACCAAGCCCGTCTTGTGCGGCGCTTCTTTGTGTCTCTTCAATTCAGTAGCCAGGGGAGGGGGGATGCGCTTGCGCGAAGATGACTTGAATTCACCAATACGATTTACTTTCTTGATGCATTGGATTTTGGAGAAAGAGACTTTGATAGCAGTGTACTACTGACTTGCGTGGATCCATGGAGACAGATGTGCAATCCTGTCCCGAGCATATTCCATTGGACATGGAAGATGCTGTCCGCAAACAAAAAAGCTAATTTGTACACTTTCGGAATTTATATATACAGTACCAAGGCGAGGCTTCAGACTACTACGACTACTAGACTTAATCATCCCACACAGCCTTCTTCCTCGCCTCTCTCGCATCCTCTTCCTTCTTCTCCCTCTCCTTCTCTTCGGCCCGTCTCCTCCTCTCCTTCTCCCGCATGGCCCGATCATACTCGCGCTCCTCGTCGGTCCTCTTGGGCGCCCTGACGCCCAACGCCCCAGCAATCATGCGCCCGGCCACGGCCGTCGTCTTCTCAGGCCGCTTGTCCAAGTTGGCCGGGCCGCGGCTCTTGGGGCCCTCGCTACCCAGACTATACATGACGTTATCCGGGTACTCGAACTGCGTGGGCGACGCCGGCGTCGGCGGCGGAGGATTTGGCGGCACGTCGCGCGACGACGTGGTAGACAGTGGCGAGAGCGAATCCTGCGGCGAGCCTTTGTCGCTCTTTTTCGACTTTTTGACCGCGGCGGTATCGACTGCTGCTGCGTCTTCGGTTTCCGTGTCGGACCCGCTCAGGGCCTCGTCGTCCCAGCTGTCGGCTACGGGCTTGCTCTTTGGTTTCTGCAGCGGCTTCTCCGGGTGTGAGGGCGACAGTTGCAGGTTGCCGAGGGTACTTGCGATTTCTGAATATCACGGCTTTTGTTAGTTTGGTTTGTGTCCAATTGAGGAGGGATCGCACATGCCTTCTTCGCTGGGTGTCTTGTGGATAGGCGCCATGATTTCTCTTTCTTTCTTTCTTTCTATCTCTCTTATCGTCCCGTCGATTAATCGTGTATGCGTAAAATATCTTGATGTGTATAGAAAAGCAGCTTTGTCCAAGTTTCTCTGGCGGGCGAGTCTGCTGCTCTCAGGGCCTGTCTTTGCGGGGTAGCCAAAAAGGAAAACAGGAAGCAAGCCCCCGTTCCGTGCGGTCTTTGTGCCCAGGAAAGTAGCTAAGAGCCTCGACTTGTGGAATGCGGGGAGCTCCGGCGATGCGATTGCAATGGTTTGTTCTAGCCGGGCCCTTGCTGCAACGCTACCAAAAGGTTAAAACAGGCGATGGGCGAAGTGATTCAGGTTTAAGGTTTCTGGTCTGCGGGCCCAGAGACTGAGATGGGGGAGAAGCAGAGACAAAAGGCGAGTCAGGGAGCTGCTTCCGAGGAGATAAGGACGATGGGGAGGAGAATGGTGGTCGGTAGTAGAGGACGAGGTGGGATCAATGCGTCTGTCTTTGTTTGAGAGACGACGACGACGAGCTATGTATGCAGCGATGCAGGTAGGAAGAAACGAGACAGAACCGAGTAGCAAGGCGAGAAGAAGAAGAAGAAAAAGAAAAAGAAGACGTTACACGTACGTGTACGTACCCTCCCCAATTGGTGTGCCAATCCATTTCCGCATGAGAAAAAGACGGGGTCCCCATGAAGGCGCGCCGTGCCCTGTTTTCCCTTGGATCCGATGGTGGTGGTGGTCGAGGCCGGCGCCCCCCCCCTGGCGCCGATTGCCTCAGTGTGTGGGGAAAAAAGGGCGCGCGTCACCCCATAGTAAGCGCACCGCCCTGGCCCCTCCGCTTCTTCTGAGGCAATACGCGGCGCGGGCGACCAACTTGCCCTCCCCCCCCCCACCTTATTTTCACTTAGTTCGAGTTCCCCTCGGGTCCAGATCGCAGGTGGCCATATGTACTTTTTCTTCTTCTTCTTCCATGCCTTAGCAGAGTCTCCACTGTGGCTCTCTCTGACGTCCTCGCCGCTTCCATTTTTATTCTACGTACGTACATACCTACGTCTTTTACTGTGATCTAGAAGAACAGGACTAGCTAGCATATGTACATGAATATTAGCTGTACTTGGTTGTAACAGCAACGCGTTCGCCATGACGATGACGATAACCAGCGATAAATATAGAATAGAATTCAATCAAACTGCTCCGTTAGTACGTGCATGTCCCTGGCTAGCACAGCCATCCAGCATCTATCTTCCTAGCGAAAAAAAGAGGGTAGGTACTGGGTACATTGAAACCATGTCGTCTTCACATACACTACGCACGGTAAACCCCCTCACATCCCCCCCCCCTTCTTTCCGCCGAATCTCGTCCTCCCCCACATACACACACGCACACACAACAACCCCATCAAATACTTTCCCCCTTGACTCAAGTCCAGCTCCAAAACACATGCATCACAATCACACGCAACCCAAGACAGCGCCCAGCTCTCTCTCGCGTCCTCCAAAACACGCTGATTTGAACTATTTTTTTTAGTCGCTTCAATGCTGCTGACCTAGTATTTGGTACCTTGTAGTTAGTCGTGAGCACCTTAGCTTGTCCCCCAACTACCCTATACCTGCTTACTTATTTGGAGGGGGGGGGGTGGCGGGCATTCCCCTTCATACATGCAACGTAACAGGCAGGCTACACCATGTGTGGACGTGGGCTATGCTATTGAGTCAGTTGCTATATATGTTTGTGTCATGTTATTTTGTTCGCGTGGGGAAGATGATACATACGTAGGAATGCGGGGCGGAGCTGCGGACGAGGCTGATGGGATCGAGATATCGAGAGCAATGCAATGCAAAGATAAGCTACACTAAGTCCAATAGTCAAGTAACCAAATTTTCTTTTTTTTCGCCTCACCTGTCTTGAGCATATCATAAATCATCTTTCATTTCTATTCTTGTCATTGCCCCATACAACCCACCATTCCCATATCCCAAGCCAGCACCAAGAACAACCACATACACACAATATATACACCATATCCATACATTCCAGTTCCTTTTTTTTCTTACATTCATCCATCCACCCATCCCTCTCCCTCTCTCTGCATCTCTCTCTCCCTCTCTGTGTGTCTAGGTACAAAGTCCTAGGTACCTTACCTAATACATAAATCCCCGGCACAGCTATGGCGTATGCGTAAGTACATAAGTAAGGCCTTCCCCACAAATATCCAATAATGCCTCATACCCACATACATGCACATACATGCACATGACTAGTTCTAGACCACACACACACACACACACACACACCACATAATATGCGCAACATGCACACGCACGTCAACAGCGCACGCGTAGTCGTTCCAGAACAAGAAAGTAAAATTCAAAACCCCTACATGTCTATCCTTTGCAGCATGGTTCAACATCATTATTCCCCATTTTCTTTTTGACCCCTTTTCTTTTTGTCTTCGTCTTCGTCTTCATTCTATTTTTTTTTCATGGCTTTGTGGATTTTCTTGGTACATCTAGCTTGCCTTGTCACTACCACTAGCACTACCATGACCACCACTCTCCCATCACCATGACCAACTGTGCATCTGCAAGTATGACTATTATTCATATTTTGATCGCTAGCGATGTACAAGCAGTATATCCAGCCAGGAATGTGAATACTACCTATAAATAGGTCTCTTGCACATGCATATATACGTATTCGTGTCATGTGACGTGATAAAAGGAATTGAAGAGGAGGATTGAGTGTGTGTACGTGGTTGTGGGATTATCAGTATATATGTATATTATGACATCACACTCACACGCACATACACATACACACACACATAAGAGACATGCACATAGGACACAAGGTGAATCTATAAGGTCATTTAAATTCCACAATTTTCATATTTTTTTTGAAGGGCATTAAACTAAAAAATTACCAAAGGTATAAAAACGAGCACGAGCGTTTTTTTTCCCAGTGTGATTTGCACGACAAGGGGAAAAAAAGAAAAGAAAAGAAAGAGAGAAAGCAAAGTGTGATGATACAAAAAAAGGCGAGACGGGGGAGGGGCGACCAGGAATGCTGCGAGTGCATGGCGACAGAGTAGCCGGCGAATGGCTAGCAGAGTGGCCAAGACCAAAAGTACGCATCCCGGGAATCAGAAGAGAGAGAGAGAAAAAAGAAAAGAAAAATATACCAAACGCGCGGGGGGGAGTAACTCAAAGACATCCCCTTCTGAAAAGCAGATTGCCAACCCAATTTACATCATGAGCCGCAATGGAAATGCCCCAGGTAAAAAAACAAACAAACAAACACCGGAAATAATGCAATGCATGTATGCGACGACATCACGTCATACTTCATGCAGTCGGTCCTCAGGCACTGGAACCCAATCTCGCATCCGAGTCTTCATCCCGCTTGCTGAGCTTCTTCTTGGTTTTTGTCTTTTTCTTGGTAGGAGCAGGCTCGGTGGGAGGAGAATGGGTTCCGCGGCTGCCTTGGCTTTCTCCCTGCTTCAAGCCCTTGACTTCCTGCAGCATGTCGCGGAAACCCTCTTCAAGCGTCGTCATTCGCGCGAGCATGATCCTACTCATACGGTTCGAGTCGGAGTCTTGGTCGCTTTCCTTTTGCATTTCGCGCGCCTTCATCCGCGCGGCCATCTCGTACTGCGTGGTGAAGGATGCAGGCAGCCCGCTAATGTTGCCAAAGTTGGGATTCAGCGCATTGTCTCCAATGTCGGATGCCAGGTCCAAGGCGATTGCGGTGAAAGAGCGCTCGCGAGTCAATTCACCTTTCAAGAGCATGTGAGCCGAGTTCCTGCGCGATGGTATAATGGCACGGGGCCGGGACGAGGACGCAGTAGGAGGCGGCACGCGCTTTGGTGTACGTGCACCTGTCCCAGTTGAGCCCTCCAAGCGGCCCGGGGTAACTGTCCCCGTGGCGGTGCCACTGCGGTTGCCCGTCTTTGGCCGTTTTTCGGGAGATGGCGCACGCGACGTCTTCATAGTATCTTTGATGGGACTAAACAAAATCGTGCCTGTAGACGTATTGCGGTTGTGAGTTGGTTTTGCTCGCTTCTTGCCAGGTGACGTTGGCTTTTTCCCCAGATAGCTGGAATCGGATGGCGAAGCTGTAGTGCCCGAGGCGCGTGGCTGCGTCCGCGAAACACCAGTCATTGGCGTACGGAAGAATTCGTCTTCAGAAGTCTCGTAAACAGTCTTGGGCCGCCTACTCTCTTTCTGAGCTGGCTCCATACGGGGAGTTTGTTCGTGGTCAGAACTCGCTTGGTCGTCTTCATCGTCTCCATCGGCATCAGTCTGCTGGGGCGCTTCCTCCATGCCAGACATTTCAGGCTCATCCTCCTCCTCCTCCTCTGCGATAGGGTGAGCAAATGGGTTTACAGCATCATCAGGATCCGAAGCAACGGTCCTAGTGGCAGCGAGTGGGTGCCTTCGTCTCGTCTGGCCAATGGTTTTGGTTCGGCGCAGATATGGCCGATGACGGCCCTCGAGTCGGTCCAGGACAGACCGCGAGTCATCCTGGGGTGGGGTATTTTCGTCGTCGTTGCCCATTTTTTTCATCCAATCCGACACCACGTCACCCGAATTCCTTCTAGCAGTTGGGTAGCGAGGGGTAGGCCGGAAGCTAGGGTCACGATAGGGCCGACGGAATACCTCTTCGAGCGCCTGATCCTTTTGGAACGTCGTCACAGAGGGCTCGCGTAAGCGAGGGCTGAAGAGATCGACAGGGCCGCGAATACTAAACGCAGGCACTGGCGCTTTTGAGGCTGCCCGGCCGCGTTGCTCGACGAGGTCCGTGGGGCCATATGCAAACTGCGAAAGCAGAACACGCTCGTAGAAAAAGATGACAAAGAGGACAGGAAGATGGGTCAGTTTGATTACAAACCTGTTCATGCGGAGAAACTTTTTGAACGGCATTGTGTACTTTAGCGGGATTAACAGCCACCCAATGACATTGGTGGGTGGGATGTACGAGAAGAGGGCATCCGACTTGACCATGGAGATGGTGTTGACGGCGAATAGGAACTGATGCTCCTCGTCGGCGTTCTTGACTACGGCCATAAAGGAGTTGGTCAAGACGGTGACGAGGATGGTCACGATGAGGAAATGACAAATGAAGAGAAACAGGGCAAGCAACGTTTTGCCCAGGAAATTCATCTCTCCCCAGAGATCCCATGCGGCAGGACTGAATCCCATGACGAGCTGGAAGATGGCGTATGCGGCATCTGAAGCACCGAAATCTCTCTTAAAGGCCAGGCTGAATGCGACAAAGAAACCGCTGCAGCTGATGACAATGAGCAGGAGGATGGCGACCAAGTCGACAGCCATCATTTTGAAGGCGATGAGCAGCTGCGAAAAGTAGCGGTAGTGATCCAGGGCCGAGAAGAGGCGGGGAAACAAGAGGACTGCCGTAGACCCGAGCACGTCGTATGCCATGGCCGCGACCCTGGTACTGCTGACGTCGGGCATGAGGATGCCGTACAGGCGCAGGATGTAGTATGCCATGAACATGAGGAGAATGCCTAGATCAAAGGCATTCCAGACGCTCATAATGTACAGACCGAAGCCCTGCTCGGAGAAGCCCACAACCTCATCGAGCATGTAGCCAGCACTCCAAAACCAGAAGAGGACCTCGAGCGCTGTGATGTCATCGGACTTTTCCGAGAGCACAGCGAGAAACAGGGCCAGCATGATGGCAAAGGAGAGCGTCGAGAAGAGGTTGCGGTAGCGGGGAACACGCAGACGCGAGAGCTTGAAGAGCGATGCCTCGTGGGGGTCGTAGAGCGTCACCGTGCGTCGAAGCAGCGGAGAGGGGGGAGGCAAGGGAGGGGCAGGCATGGGCGGTGATTTGCGACGAGGCGGACCTGATCTTGTCCTTGGCGAGGCGTTGCCCGAGACGTTGGAACTGCGCGCCTGGGGAGAATCTGGCTTGCGGTGCAGACTGTCGGCTGTTGCGTGGAAGACGATGGTGCCGGCCCAGATGGCCTCGAGCTGGCGCACGACGAGGGGGTGCGCGAGGAACTTTTTGGCCTGGGCGCGGATGGCAATCTCGAGCGTCGAGATGCGCGCCGAGCGATGGCCCTGCCGCGACCAGCTCGCGCCACCTGGAGTCGTGTTACCGCGTCCGGGCAAGGCCAGCCCCTGCAGCGGGTCGAAGTCGTAGGAGAGGGCGTCAATCAACTCGCGCGTGGAAAACTCCTTGAGCAGGCGCACGGCCAGCAGCTCGCAGATGAGCGCGCGCGTCTTGCTGACACCGACATTTCCGGGATTCTCCTCGCCCTCCTTTTTGAACTGTAGGCAATTGGCGAGCAGGCAGTACAGGAGGCCGCGCGAGAACTGGTCGGAGCGCAGCTGCTGCTGGATGGGCTTGACGAGGAATTGCGAGACCTGGGGGGAGCGCAGCTGGTCCCACGAAAGCGTCGTTTCGCAGCGCTGGACGAGGATGATGCGGATCGCGTGGGTGGTGTTGTAGATTGGGATGCGGTCTTGGGCGCAGTTAGCATCGTGGAGCAAAGAGAAGCAGCATGTGGGTGCGGCGCGCATACCCAGGATTTCCGGCGAGAAGACAGGCAGCAGGGGCCCGTCGCGCTGGTCCTCGTCGTCGCCGTCGTCGTCCTCATCGTCGTCGCCGTCGTCGCCGTCGGGGTCGTAGTGGGCTACGGGGCGCGGGTGGCGGTGGTCGGGGGCGTCGTCGTTGTCGGCATGGTGGCGGCGGCGATATCTCTCAATGGCCTGCAGCAGGGGGGCGGTCTCGGATGGCCTGCGTGACGAGGAGCGCAGGAATGAAGAGAACATGGAAAAGGGGCGGGCGTGTCCAGAGCAGCAGTTGTCTCTCTCGCGGTCGTCGTGTGCTGGACCGGGGCGTGGGCTCTGGCTCTGGCTCTGGCGCTGGCGCTGGCTGGCGGAGGGAGGGCAGGAGGCGGGTGGAGCAGGCAGGTTTCACCACGGGGTGGGAAATGAGGCACAAAAGAGGAATGGGAATCATGAACCGGCGTGGCTAGAGGAGGCGCACATGGATGCTTCACCGCCCAGCTCTAGGCCGTCATGCGGCACGTTGCCGTCTTGGAGGTATAGGCAATCGGCGTGCTGAGGATGGGCGAGAGGCGCGCGACGGCCATGACGCTCTCGTCCAGCCTTGGGGGCGCGCAGCCAATGGGCGGGCGCGAGTTGGACATGCAGCGCGGGCGCGCGCGCGCGCTCTTTTTTTTTTGCTTTGCAGGGGCATCATGGGCAATGGCGTGGAGATGGACACAAGAGGGTGTGGGTGGATGGGAATGGATGGTGATAGTGATAGTACTAATGTAGTATATCGCTCATGTGGTGGCGCGCGCAGCCTTGGTCTGGGGTGCAGGCCTGTCGTCTTCCTTCACATGCAATGCACAGCCGAGCGAACGGCTATTTTGCTTTTGCGCGCTGCTCGACAGACACATGCATGCTACATACACACATACTACTGCGACATCCATCTACATGTATACACATTTAGATGATGATGTCGTCGTTGCGGCGTCGACGAGCCCTGCATGGTGCTGTGTAGATCCGCCACTACCACATTGCATTTGTCACAGTGCCCGCTATCGGCATCGCGCTGCATGCGGCTATCAGACGGCCTCCCATGTCTGTCTCACCCTCGCCCTCTGCCTCTCGCCGCTCGCCGCGCCCTCTCTCGCCGCGCCCGTCACACAGGTCGCCCAAAAAATGCCTCTGGTCGCGAAAAAGCACCGAGAGCAGGGCAGCCGGTGATGTCGTCGTGCATTGGAACGGCTGGGTCCTGCGCGCGCATCACCGCTCCACTCCGCGCCCCGCCATTGGCGGCTTTGGCGAGCGCCCGCCCACGCCCACACTTGCTCGCATCATCGCTCTCCCACTCCCACTGCCACTCCCTCGCCCTCTCCCCCTCGCCCGCCCGGCTCACCGCCCTGCCCATGGCTGCGATGGCTGCGATGGCTGCGATGGCTGTCCCCCGGCACGATGGCTGCACCCTCTCCATCCTGACCACGCCTCTCGCAGATCCTGCTTCCAAGCTGAGTCTCGGTGGACCGCATCCACGCCCATTTTTGCTGGCGCGTCCTGGGTCCCGCCGAGGGTGCAATCTCTGTCGCCGTGTGCATGCATACACAAACACTACATACACATGCCTCCTATAGCGATACCTCCAAATAGCCTCTGTACACACTGCCTATCGCCTCCTCAACACACCCACACCCACATTCCCAACAGACGTCGAGGGCGCGCGACAATATGCAGTGCACCCACACCCTCCCACGCCCTCTGCATCGGTCCCAGCCTAGCTACTACTCCCTACATGTACAGCTTACATACTCGTCATTCGCTTAGGTGGGGCTCACCAATCAACCCCGCCATACCCCGGCAGCTAGCCCATTCACGGTTTTCCCTACTGCACTGAGCCTCCGAAACTTTTTTTTTTTCGTTGCGTCGGGGCTACAAGTTTTCGTCTTTCCCCAACCATTGCCTGGCAGCCTCGCACCACCAGGGTTCCATAGCCCTAGAGCTGTCTCTTGTACCTCCATTATGGCCCCTCAGCCCGACCAAAGCCACAACCTGGCTCTCGAGCTCCAAGATGGCTATGTCTGCTTTGGACAAAGCTTCGGTGCTGACAAGAGCATCTCGGGTGAGCTGGTCTTCCAGACTGGCATGGTCGGTTACCCCGAGTCCATAACCGACCCCTCGTACAGAGGCCAAATCCTCGTCATCACATTCCCCCTGGTCGGCAACTATGGCGTGCCCTCGAGGGAAGACATGGACAGCCTTCTGGAAGGCGTCCCGGCCCACTTTGAGTCCAAGGAGATTCACATTGCCGGATTGGTCGTCGCCACATACGCCGGAGAGGAGTACTCGCACCACCTGGCCACGTCTTCGCTGGGCACATGGCTCAAGGAGCAGGGCGTGCCCGCCATCACAGGCGTCGACACGCGAGTCCTCACCAAGCGTATTCGCGAGGAGGGAAGCATGCTGGGCCGTCTTCTGCAGAGGACCGCACCAGCCCCCGCTGCCCCTCTCACCGACGGCGAGGCAGACTGGAGGGACAGCTTCGACAAGATTGAGTGGCTGGACCCCAACAAGAAGAACCTGGTAGCTGAAGGTACGTGAGCCGCACATCTACTCGAGTCACACGACCATGCTGACCTTTTGCAGTCTCCATCAAAGAGCCCAAGCTTTACTCGCCCGACCCCGCTACTGCACTCAAGCACCCCTCTGGCCGCCCAGTTCGCGTCGTCACTGTCGACGTTGGTCTCAAATACAACCAATTGAGATGCCTGGTGCGGAGGGGAGTCGAGGTCCTCCAGGTGCCCTGGGACTACGACTTCCCCAAGCTTGCCGGCAAGGACTACGATGGTCTCTTCATCTCCAACGGTCCTGGTGACCCAGCCATGATGGAGTCGACCGTGAAGCACATCAAGGCCGCCATGGACGAGGCCCGAACACCCATCTTCGGTATCTGTCTTGGCCACCAGCTGCTCGCTCGAGCAGCCGGCGCCAGCACCATCAAGATGAAGTTTGGTAACCGTGGTGCCAACATTCCTTGCACAAGCTTGCTCACAGGAAAGTGCCACATCACATCGCAGAACCACGGATATGCGGTTGACTCCAAGACTCTCCCCAGTGGCTGGGAGGAGCTCTTCGTCAATGCCAACGATGGCAGCAACGAAGGTATCCGGCACCAGGAGAGGCCCTACTTCAGTGTGCAGTTCCACCCCGAACACACACCCGGCCCCCGCGACACCGAATACCTGTTCGATGTCTTCATCAGCACTATCCAAAAGGCCATGGCGTCATCTCAAGTCATGTCGCAGCCAGTCGAGTTCCCTGGCGGCACTTTCGAAGAGAACAGAAAGCTTACCCCGCGCGTCGACGTCAAGAAGGTGCTTGTCCTTGGAAGTGGAGGCTTGAGCATTGGACAGGCTGGAGAGTTTGACTACTCTGGTAGCCAGGCCATCAAGGCGCTCAAGGAAGAGGGCATCTACACCATCTTGATCAACCCCAACATTGCCACGATTCAAACCTCAAAGGGCCTCGCCGACAAGGTCTACTTCTTGCCAGTCAACGCAGACTTTGTCCGCAAGGTCATTCAGAAAGAGCGACCTGACGGTATCTACGTGACCTTTGGTGGCCAGACGGCACTCCAAGTCGGTATCCAACTCAAGGATGAGTTTGAAGGCCTTGGCGTCAAGGTTCTGGGCACCCCCATTGACACCATCATCACTACCGAGGACCGAGAGCTCTTTGCCCGAAGCATGGAGAAGATTGGAGAAAAGTGTGCCAAGTCGGCATCTGCCAACAACGTAGAAGAGGCCATGCGTGCCGTCAAGGACATTGGCTTCCCAGTTATTGTCCGGGCAGCCTATGCTCTGGGTGGACTGGGATCTGGTTTCGCAAACAACGAGGCACAGCTGCTTGACCTCTGCAACAAGGCTTTCGCCGCCAGTCCCCAGGTGCTCATTGAGCGCAGTATGAAGGGATGGAAGGAGATTGAGTACGAAGTCGTCCGTGATTGCCGAGACAACTGCATCACAGTCTGCAACATGGAGAACTTTGACCCTCTTGGTATCCACACTGGAGACTCTATTGTCGTCGCGCCTTCGCAGACTCTTTCAGATGCCGACTACAACATGCTGCGGACGACCGCCGTCAATGTCATCCGTCATCTTGGTGTTGTTGGCGAATGCAACATTCAGTATGCGCTCAACCCCTTCTCCAAGGAATACTGCATTATCGAGGTCAACGCTCGTCTGTCGCGTTCATCTGCCCTTGCTTCCAAGGCTACTGGATACCCTCTTGCGTTCGTTGCCGCCAAGCTGGGTTTGAACATTCCCCTCAACGAAATCTCCAACTCCGTCACACGCTCCACTTGTGCTTGTTTCGAGCCTTCCCTCGACTACGTCGTAGTCAAGATCCCCCGCTGGGATTTGAAGAAGTTCACCCGCGTGTCAACCCTTCTCGGCTCATCTATGAAGAGTGTCGGAGAGGTCATGAGCATTGGCCGGACGTTCGAGGAAGCCCTGCAAAAGGCGATTCGCGAGATTGATCCCAGCAACCTTGGTTTCAACGAGACCCCGGCTTTGATGGAGATTGACCAGGAGCTGCAAACGCCCTCTGACCAGCGACTCTTTGCTATTGCCAACGCCATGAAGGCTGGCTACAGCGTCGACAAGATCTGGGAAATGACGCAGATCGACAAGTGGTTCCTCAGCCGCCTCAAGTCTCTTAGTGACTTTGAGAAGTTGATGGCAGACTACGACACGGTCAGCATCACGAAGCCCTTGGTCAAGAAGGCCAAGCAGCTTGGATTCTCTGATCGCCAGCTTGCCAAATTCTGGGCTTCCAACGAGCTTGCTGTTCGTCGCGTACGTGTCGATGCTGGCATCTTCCCCGTTGTCAAGCAGATCGATACTGTCGCGGCCGAGTTTCCTGCTGTGACAAACTACCTCTACCTCACATACAACGGCACTGAGCATGACATTGGCTTCAACGACAAGGGTATCATGGTGCTTGGTTCTGGTGTGTACCGTATCGGGTCGTCTGTCGAGTTCGACTGGTGCTCTGTCCGCGCCATTCGCACACTCAGGCAACAGGGCTTTAAGACTGTCATGTTGAACTACAACCCTGAGACGGTGTCCACTGATTACGACGAGGCCGACCGCCTCTACTTTGAGTGTATCTCGCTGGAAACCGTGCTCGACATCTACACCATCGAGAACTCGAGCGGTGTCGTCGTCAGTATGGGTGGCCAGACCTCGAACAACATTGCCCTGCCTCTGCACCGCATGAACGTCAAGATTCTCGGCACCTCGCCAGAGATGATTGACACGGCAGAGAACAGATACAAGTTCTCTCGTATGCTTGACCGTATCTCTGTCGACCAGCCCGCCTGGAAGGAGCTGACAAGCATTGAGGAGGCGACCGAGTTCTGCGAACGCGTGTCCTACCCTGTCTTGGTCCGTCCTTCGTACGTCTTGTCCGGAGCCGCCATGAACACTGTCTACTCCAAGCACGATTTGGCCAACTACCTGAACCAAGCAGCCGATGTGTCCAAGGAACACCCCGTTGTCATCACCAAGTACATTGAGAACGCAAAGGAAATCGAAATGGACGCCGTCGCCAACAACGGTACCATGATTGGCCACTTCATTTCCGAGCACGTTGAGAACGCTGGTGTCCACTCCGGCGATGCCACGTTGATTCTGCCTCCTCAAGATCTGGACCCCGAGACCGTCAGGCAAATCGAGGATGCTACTCGCAAGATCGGAGCAGCCCTCAACATTACCGGACCGTACAACATCCAGTTCATTGCCAAGGACAACGAGATCAAGGTCATCGAGTGCAATGTGCGCGCCTCGCGATCCTTCCCCTTCGTCTCCAAGGTCATGGGTGTGGACCTGATTGAGATGGCTACCAAGGCCATGGCCGGTCTGCCTGTCACCGAGTACCCACCCACCAACGTTCCCGCAGAGTACGTTGGTGTCAAGGTTCCCCAGTTCTCCTTCTCCCGTCTCTCCGGTGCCGACCCCGTTCTCGGTGTAGAGATGGCCTCCACTGGTGAGGTCGCTTGCTTTGGTCGTACCAAGTATGAAGCCTACATCAAGGGTCTCATTGCCACTGGCTTCAAGCTTCCAAAGAAGAACATCTTGCTGTCTATTGGTTCGTTCAAGGACAAGGTGGAGATGCTGCCATCAATTGAGCGCCTGCACAAGATGGGCTACAACCTCTTCGCTACCGCCGGAACTGCCGATTACATTCAAGAGCACGGCATTCCCGTCAAGTTCTTGGAAGTCCTTTCCAGCGGCGAACACGATGAGCAGAAGCAAGAGTACTCGCTCACCCAGCACTTGTCGAACAACCTGATCGATCTGTACATCAACCTGCCATCAAGCAACCGCTTCCGCCGACCTGCCAACTACATGAGTAGGGGTTACCAGACGCGTCGTATGGCCGTGGACTACCAGACGCCCTTGGTCACCAACGTCAAGAACGCCAAGTTGCTGATCGAGGCACTCTCCCGCCACTACGATATGGAGGTTAGCAAGGTGGACTTCCAGGACTTTACTGTTGCTCCCGGCCCCCACGATCAATCCTCTGGCGCCCTTTCAACCCTCAACGGCTCTCTGTCTCTGACGCAGCTCCTTGCGAGGTCGCCGTTCAAGCGGGAGCACATCACCTCTGTCAAGCAATTCTCTCGAGCCGACCTCCATCTTCTGTTCACTATTGCGCAGGAGATGCGTCTGGGCACTCAGCGACAGGGCTGCCTCGATATCCTCAAGGGCCGTGTGCTTTGCACCATGTTCTGTGAGCCTTCGACTAGGACGTCTGCTTCTTTCGATGCTGCAATGAAGCGCCTTGGCGGTGAGGTTGTCGTCATCAACGAGTCAGTTTCTTCTACCCAGAAGGGCGAGTCTATTGCCGACACCATTCGCACTTTGGGCTGCTACGGCGATGCCATTGTGCTTCGACACCCATCTGAGGAGTCCATCGACATTGCCACCAAGTTCTCTGATGTCCCAATCATCAACGCTGGTAATGGTAGCCGCGAGCACCCGACTCAGGCCCTCCTTGACATCTTCACCATCCGTGAAGAGCTTGGAACCGTCAACGGTCTCAACATCACTTTTGTTGGCGACCTGAAATATGGCCGCACTGTGCACTCGCTGTGCGAGCTTCTTTCTCACTACGACGTTACGATTAACCTCGTCTCCCCCGAGTCTCTCAACATGCCGTCGGGCGTAACCAATGCTCTCAAGGCCCGGGGTCAGCTGAACAAGGTCTCGAGTGACCTGACTGACGACATTGTCGCTTCTTCCGATGTCATCTACTGCACTCGTGTGCAAAAGGAGCGCTTCCCTGACATGGCGAGCTACGAGGCAGTCAAGGATGCGTTTGTCATTGACAACAAGTTGTTGAAGGGAGCAAAGGAAAACATGATTGTCATGCACCCGCTACCAAGGAACAACGAGATTAACGAAGAGGTGGACTTTGACCCCAGGGCGGCATACTTCAGACAGGTAAGTCCACACCCAAGAATAAGACAGCCCATGCTAATTGTGTTGTAGATGCGATACGGCCTGTACACGCGCATGGCACTGCTGGCTATGGTCATGGCACCGTAGATGCACTGTAATGCGTACGACTTCATGGCAGGCGTTTTTTTTGCTTTTTTCACGGTTTCATGAATCCCAACAGAACAAGAAAAGTTTCTTTCCTTTAACAGCTATCTCCCTGTGGAATCTACATGCAGGACCATACACAGACACACTGTTGATAGATAGTCAAAAGCATTTCCACGGAGTTTTGTAACACGGTATAAGGGTATATGTATGATGTATAAATTAGACAACGGGTAAGGGGGGAAGTTATTTCAGTTTGATTTCAGTTAATTTGTACTTTTTTTTGTTTTTTTTGTTTCTTATCGTCTGTTGGAATCGATTGGGGTTTCGGGTGGGGCGCAGCTAGCTTGGTTGGCAACGGCTAGGCGCATATTTGGCAAAGGGTCAAAAGGCTATTTTCTTTTTCTCGTCATCACGGAAGGGATCTGCATTGGAGCGGCGTTATTTTATTTTTTTGTTATCAACCGGGAAAGGGTAGATTGGTAGAATGGCTGGATTTCGATATGGGATGGAATGATGGCAAGGGAGACGAAGAAGCAAAAAAGAAAAAGGACACCAGACGCCTTGCCAACCCTTAACGACTTTAATGAAGAATACTGCATACACGCCTGGAAGCGTGTCGACGTGGGCGTAAACGCCTGCTTTCCCTTCCGCAAACGAAGACTTTATTTTCCGTTGCAGACATGAGTGGGTGATTTGGTGTTTTAGAAGAGTCCATGGTTCGTTTACCATGTCGTGGGGACATTTTAGTTATGGCCGAGACATCGGCTCCATCCTATTGATTGTCAGTTGGACGTCCATTTCACGAGCCAGTCGTTGGGCAGACATACCGGGCAATCCGCAGCCAAAGCCGACGAACAAGTACAGCAAGAAGATGACGACAAATGTCAGCAGCACCATGAGCTTGACATTCTTCCACCACATCCTGCGCTTGAGGGTGCGACTCCTGACGCGAAAATCGCGCGCATTCTCGCCCAACCTGCCCGTCTTATCCACCAGCACACTCATGTGCTCGCCGCGCTCAAGCACCCTCTCGATATTCTCCGTCATGATCTCACGCACACCCTCAATCTCGCGCTGAGCCGTCCGCAGCGCATCCTGCTGGCCGGCCTGCGTACCTCCCTGCTCCACCATCAGGCGCTTCAGCGCGCCATTGAAACTCGCACATCCATACGGCGGCAAGCCCGCGAAATCCGTCGCCGCAGGCTCGAACTCTGCGAAAAACTTCTTCTCCAGGTTCGTTAGAAAGCCAAACGGAATGCGCTGGCCCAGCTCGTGCTCCGCTATCACCAGGAACGTGAGTCCCCCCGCGGAAGCGTGCGTGCCGGCGAAGTCGGCGCTGGATTTCACCAGGCAGTGGATGAAGAATTTGGATTGGTCGATGGTTTTGTGCGCCGATTTGTCGTGCGTGATGCGCGGGAGCACGAGCGAGACGAGCGACGAGGCGTTGGATGAGGCTGAGGCTGTGTGCTCGGCGAGCACCGTTGTCTTGTGGGCGATGCAGGCGCTGCGCGAGATGGGTTAGTTGCGGGGGGTGAGTAATGGTGATTTTGGGGGTCATGTCGTACTAGAGTAGGGGCGAGGACGACGATGAGGACGCCATGTTGGATGTGTGTGCTGGGTTACTGTATTACCGCTGCGTGTTGGTTGCTGTCTCAGCTCCCTAATGCGGTGGCAACGATATCGCGGGGGTGGTGTGTAGCAGAGATATCCGGGGAGAGGGAGGGGGGCGAGGGGGTGTGTGTGTAAAGCGTTGCTATGGATGCTGGGTTGGATCGGTCGGTTGGTTGGTTGGTTGGTCGTCGGCTTGGGGGGGAGAAGGTTACAGATGCTTTGCAAGTATGTATGTAGCAAGGTGCGGTAATAGGGCAACTCATGGCGATTTGCTGCGGCCGCTAAACCTGGGGCTGGGGCTGGGGCTGGCTGCGTCTAACCTGGTGCGTCATAGCCAAGGAAGTTGCGCGCGCGATTGCGGCGTGCTTGCGCTAATGCATGAAGCAAGAGAGAGAGAGATGCATCTCGTTCTTTGTTTCCGAGGCTGCAGTCTCTCTCATTTTTCTTAATACTTTCTTTTTTTTCTAGCAACTGTGTCTTGCACGGTAGGAAACACGGAAATCGCCAAGTTCGCCTTTCGTCACACCTCCCAGAACAGACATATGTACCATACCAATACCGCCTTCGCGACCCGCTTACTTCGTAGTAAGTACTTATTAGTCGTATTCTCGAATTGTTCTTTGCGCACGCCCACCCTCTCTCTCTCTCTCTATCTCCCACCACCACTACCCCACCGCACTGAATAAACCATGGTCCGCGTCAAAAATCGCTACCTCGTCGTCAACCTGCTGTACCCGGAGCCCAGCGCAAAGAGCAAAACCCCGCTTCCCGACCTTGTCCAGATGCACTCGCCCACGCCCGATGCGCTCAAGCCGGGCTTCATTGTGCGCATGATACGCGATGGCGTGGAAGAGCTGTTTGGCGATTATGGCTCGGGAATGGTGTCGTCGGGACTAAAAGGTATGTGTGTTTGTGTATCTTCAATTCATTCCGTGCTATGCTGGATACTAATTTCTCTTTTCTTTTTTGGATAATAGTAAATTATTACTCCCCCTCAACCAGCACAGCCATCATCCGGTGTCCACGCGACCACTACGAAATGGTCTGGGCCGCCCTCACATACACGACGCGCCTGCCGCGACCCCTCGATAACATCCCCGTTGTTATCCGCGTCGTGCGTGTCAGCGGCACGATCAAGAAGGCTGAGGAAGAAGTTATTCGCCAGTCTCAGGATATCGTTCGGAGAGCGCGGGCGTGGGATGGCGAGGGAGAAACACCAATGCTGCAGAGCGTGGAAAGGGCTGTCGAGAAGGAGCGCAAGACGGAGGCCCAGGTGCTGGCTGTTGTGGATGATGGGAGTGAGAGCGAGGATATGAGTGAGTAGGTGTGGACGCAGAAACTCCAGCATATGAATGCTTGGACTGTAATACCGGGTGGGTGCAGATCTGCCGCTTTGCTTGTTCGGCTGGAGAACAGCATAACTACGACCAAAGACGTGGAGTTCTTGCCTCCGCTCGACAGGCGCACTCCCGTCACGAGATTCGGGCATATCCACCCAGCCAGAGGGTTCTCCAGTCGACCTGAAGGTGATGGTGTGGAAATCAGCGAGGCGTGCCGGGAGTCAGCAATGGCACGGATAATTCCTCACAAGGTCTTTTTGGGCGGAAGAACCCAACATGCCATGCAGAAACGGGAGCCCTGGGAAATCTCACGGCTCTTCGAGGACCATGTCAACACAGCATGTCACGCGAGGAACCAAGACAGCAAAGCAAAGCACACGGCATTTGGCGTTGGAGAGCCGATAGTACCAGAAATCGAGCTCTCAACATGTTCGCTCCGCGGATAAAATATGAGCATGAAAAAGACAAAGCCAGTTGTATAAATCGTCTAAATACTACGAAGCGAGGCTAGCAATATACTATATATCGCCGAGGAAAAAAAAAGAGTCAAGCACTTTGTGGCTAGATACTATACTACACACACTGCGACACAATGAAACAGCAATTCATCCAGCTCTTTGCCCAAAATCAAAGAATGGGTATAACACATCGATTGTCTATTATCTTATCCACAAGAACCTGGGTATACACAGTAAAGAGTCTATTGTACACAAGGTGCAAACACATGCGCTCTTCTACATAAAAAACTGTATGTGGGCACACACACACACACACACAAAAAAAAACGCAGAAAAATGGAAACGAGACAGAAATTTCTCAATTGGGTCGGAGCATGGCAATAAGCGTAGCAGTAATGACAGCGCCGGCGGCAGCACCTTGCAACACCGCAGTCGTGTAGTCGATTCTGCGCATGGAAATGATGCGCTCGCTGAGAAGATCATTGGCAATGTAGTGAGCCTTTTCCTGCCACGTCTCTAGCTTGCTGTAAGGACGGTGGTGAGATGGGACGGACTCTTGGGCCACGACGATTTGCTCCTCGGGCGTCAGTGCTGCTTCCTCTGGTGTGAGATTTGCGGCTTCGGGGATAGTCGAGCCTGGAATAGGGTCTGCGATGGCCTCGGCGACTTCTTCGGGGACTGATTCTGGCTCTGCGAGTGCAGGCATCTGAGTGCCTTGTGTGGGCGACTCTTCGACGATTTCTTCGACTTCAGCGGGAGAAGCGTTCGTCGCAGGGACCTCGATTTGTTCAAGGGCCCTGTCAATTTCCCTGTCCATGGCTGCGAGTCCTTGGCTTGCGGGAATAGTCGCTACGGCAGTAGCCGAAGCAGCAGCGGTTTCCGTGGCAATCTTCTGCTGAGCCTCGAGCGCATTCTTGATTTCCCGGACCATCCGCCTTCTCCTCCAAGGTTCCAGGATTGCCAGGCTAAGCAGCAGCAAGAAGATGTTGACTCCCATCAGGCCAAAGGTAACCCAGGTGCTATTCCTACGGATGGTATCGCTCCAGATTTGTTCTTCGTGGTACTGTGCACGCTCTCTCTTTTCCAGCTGAGCCCTCGCATCCTCCAAAGCATTCTCGGCATTTGCAACGGCATCCTTGGCTTCGCGGACAGCCTGGTCATTGAGGTGCTCGGATCGGATGAGAGCCATGTAGCGTTCCAGATCGCCATTTGACCACGAGTGTTTTCGTTCAAGCAGGGCGACGACTTCTTTCTGGGAGCTGGCCTGGTGGGCTAGCGCGGTATCGAGGACTTGTTTGGCAGAATCAATGGCTGCTCGGCGGGACTTTACGAGCTTTTCTATGGCAAGGTCAGCGCTGTTTCTTAGATCACATCATGGCAATGACATACCCTGATCTTTGATTTCTCTCCGCAGAGCTTCGACGCCCGAATAGTCTGTTCCCGTGTATGTGTTGACCTTTTGCGTCACGACGGCAAGCTTCGGCAGCAGCTCGTCCATGGCATCCGAGAAACGTTTCGAAAGGCTCCATCTCTGCCTCTCTCTATGTGATGGAAGTTGTTCATCAGGCACGCGGGCTATGTCATCCTTTGGCTCGTCCTTCTTCGGTGGCTCCGGCTCCGGCTCCGGCTCAGGTGGGGGAGGTTTGGGAGCTACAGTAGCTGGCGGTTGCTTCAGGGCCGCGACCGAGTTCTCTGCTGCTCTCTTGATGGCCTTTTGATCTTCCAGCAATGCATCCAGCCTTCTCTGTAGGCGTTCCTGGTCTTCTGGTGATGGCGGGGTTGCGGAAATACTACGCGGCGGTTGGGGTATCGGCTGCGACTCTGCTGCGGGCGGGGGCATTGCAATGGCATCGGGATGCTTTGGTGGTTTTTCTTCTTCTCTCCATCTCGCTGAGCTCGAAAAGGTGTGTCGGGGCCCTATTTCAGCTGCATTGGGGCTCAATTGCAGGCTTCCATGCCACCTCGCTGGCCCAGAAGCTTCGCGATGCTGGCACGTCCGACATGGCGACGACGTGCCCCGGGTGCGGCGGGCGAAAAGACGCAATGAAGGAGCTAGATTGCTAGCAATAAGCGAACGTGAAGCATGCTGAAGCAGTGGCCTCATTCTTGCCTCTTCCCTTCACATGCAGAGGGCAGCTGGCAGGCGACGAATGACGAAAAAGCACCTCCGGGCTGCGGACCTCCGAAGCACTGTGACGTGCCAAGAGGCGTGGGGTGCGACATGACGATCACTGGCCCGATAGGCGTCCCTCGTTATTAACGCCAACGGCATGCCGGTTCAGGGTTTCCCTAGTGCCCCCTCTAGCTTTTCTAGGGACTGTGACGGATTGATTCATTCATTCGACATTCAAAGGAACAGCCCCCGTCTGTCGTTTCCTGCACCTTCTCCAAGACATCCACCTCCTCTACACGTCCGCCATGGGTTCCATTGATTTGGCTGAGCTGCCCGCCATGAAGAGCGACCCTAAGGTAATAAGCATTCTCTTAAACCCGTCAAGCCATGTATCTGACATGTCGCCCAGTTCATCTTCTTCACCGACTTTGACGGCACAATCACGCTCCAAGACTCGAATGACTTCATGACGGACAACATTGGCTATGGCCGCGAGAAGCGCCGCGCAGGCAACCTGGCCTGTCTCAACAACGAAATCACCTTCCGCGACTCGTTCCGCGACATGATGGACAGCGTTACGAAGCCATACGACCAATGCATCCAGTACCTTGTCGACAACATCAAGCTGGACCCGGGCTTCAAGGCCTTCTTCGAGTGGTCCCTTGAGAACAACATTCCTGTCGTTGTCCTGAGTTCCGGCATGGAGCCCATCATCAGAGCGCTGCTGGAGAAGCTCGTCGGCCCCAGCGCAAGCAAGATGCAGGTCCTTGGTAACAATGTCGGGCCGCGCGAGGGCAAGAGCATCAACGAGGAGGGCGGATGGCAGATTCTGTTCAAGCACCCCGACTCTGGCTTTGGCCACGACAAGTCAATTGAACTGCGCAAGTACTCGTCGCTCCCCGAGGGCGTGCGCCCAACCATGTTCTACGCTGGCGACGGCGTCTCAGACTTGTCGGCTGCCCGCGAAACAGACCTGCTCTTCGCCAAGAAGGGCCACGACCTCATCAGCTACTGCGCGCGCGAAGATGTCCCCTTTACCGTCTTCGAGGACTGGAACAACATCTTGAGCAAGTGCAAGAGCATCGTTGAGGGCAAAACGACTGTCCAGGCGGCTGCCAAGGAAGGGTACGAGGCGTTCAAGAGTGGCGAGGCTGGCCTCAAGAAATAGATGGGACTGGGTGATTAGACAAGCGAGGATGGGTCCTCGCTGTCACAGGGTATCTATGCTGCGGCGCAGCAAACCCTTACATTTGGCCACGGCTCCTTTCCGTCATGGATTACTCCGCAAGGGCTCGCAGTAGTGGCTGCGGCGTGCGTGGGCGGGAGCCACCCCGCCATTTTGCATCTGAATGCTATACATGGAAAGTCTCAATGACACCTCCAAGACGATTAGACACGACTACACGATAGACAATAGAAATGACAATTCCGGTTGCTCATGACTTTCTTCCTATTCTTAGACAACCGAGAGAACACATACCTAAATTTCTCACACAAAGCAAACGCAATAAACCACGCTAATCAAAGGGGGGATATCTCGCGCTGCACAGCAGACATAAAACATAGGAAAAGTAACAAAGAAAACTAGCAGAAATCGTTACCATCCCTCTCTCTCATCGACGGATATCCACCTCGGTTGTTCGGACAATCGCCATTCCCCTCGGAATGGGCCTCCTGGGCCCACACCCTCCCTCGTAGCTCAAGATGCTGTCGTCGCTTTGTCGGCCCCCAATTATCGATCTGCGAAAGTCGGTTTTGCCCCGTCCAGCTTCGACGGTATACGACATGTCCTTGCCTAAGACCGCGTCTTCGTCATACGGGTCGCGTCCTGTCGACTGGCTGGCCTCGCTCATGTTTTTCATTGCATAGCTGTTGCCCGTACTGGATTCATTTTGTTTCACGTAGCCGTTGGAGCGAAAAGGGGTGCTGTTGATACCGTTGGAGCCTGTTGTTCGGCCCCTAGTGGCCATGGAGCGTACTTGTCCGAAGACGTTTGACAGGAGAGGTTTCATGGTTGGGAGGCAAGCGGCGATGATGCCTACGTGCATTTCGACCCTGGTGTACGCATCAGTCTCCAGTCTTCAAATGATTATGTATGGCCAGACTTACTGCTGCCAGATGTAATACCACGAGCCATCGCCTGACCAATCTTTGACCTTGAAGAAATTGGCCTGCATCGGTGTCTTGTAGATGGCCACGCCAGAGGCGAACAGACCGAGGCTGAGAATAGCTGCGAGGCCAATGCGTGTTCGTAGCGTGACTTGGAGCTTCCAGACCATGGGAATGGGGATGAGGGCGAATATCAGGTCCGTTGCGATGTTGACCGAAGAGTTGAAAACTCCGACGTTCTTGAAGATTGTTGGGTCATAACACTTGGCGTCTCTGTACCTGTGTCAGTCATTGCAAAGAGCGGCCTCGAAGCTTGTGGTGGTACAAACCCAGTCGGTGGACGCAAGTTGAAGTCCCACCCGGCTCGCACGGGGATGCACTGGAAGATGATTGCAAATGTTGAGCCAATCGTGAATACAACAAGAAACACTGGGTCTGAGGTCAGCCTGCGTTGCACCACATGCAAGGTCTTGATGTAATGTCCGCTTACCCAGCATGCCAATCAGAAACGGCCGCCATTTCGTTCGATCTGCCAATCGCAGCAGGAAGAGACAGATTGACAGTTTGATGAAGCTATACGCGGAGATGATGAGGATCGAGTAAAAGTACATATACATGAAGAAGGGGAAAATGTTCTCGGGGGGAAAGGCTTCGACGTGCCTCCCCAGGCCAAGGTCGATGACGGTTAAGAACAGTCCCAAGGTTGTCGTGCTTATGGCCTGCATAGTGTCAGCTTGGCGGTGGATTCATCTCGTAAACCCCTATTAGTGGTTTGTAGAAAACATAGACATACCACTGCAATCAACATCATGAGATCTGTTGTCGGTACGTCAGTAATATTCGGTTTGGTGAGCAGTAAGGCCACATACCATCCCAGCCAAACGTTTTCAACATGAAAACCCTGACATAGAACCGCAAAAGCACTGCAGTAGTAGACAAAGCGAATAGGGGTCCCTCCACTGCCATCAAATTCGGTCCTTGATTCTCTGCCATGTACTCTGGTGACGGTGGGGGCCCCGATTCTTGTCTAGCAACAAGAAGACGGTATGCCATGTTGAAAAGCGTAGACTCGTAGCTTGTAGAGTAGCGCGGTAACCGAAAGACTGGATTCTGGGGAATTGTGGACTCTATAGTTCAGGGCATTGCTTAAAGGTGTCTCATGCCAGGGTTCTTGAAAGTAGCAGGCAGGCACATGCAGCGTGTAAAGATGGCCGACTACTGTAAAGTAAACAACCGCATCGTGGTCAGTATTGGTCCGGTTCAATATTACTTCCTTCGTGTATGCACGGCACATGATTTTAATGACGACAGAACGGCTCGGCAGGGTAGCGTAACTTGGGAACACCCGGAGTGGCGGACTTAGTGTCCAATCATGTTTGCAAGTGGTGGTAGGATTGGGAAGTCTCGTCCTGACTCCACTGGCTCGTGGCTTAGTTGTTACACATGGAGAATCAAGATGCAAGCCATTCTCGTCTCCCCCCGCTTGAGAGAGACGCAAAGCCGCGGTGTTGTTTGTGTGCGTGTGCACAGGCTGCTGTCTGGAACACTGCCGTACCTTGCATCGCCATTACGATCGTACCTTGCATCGCCATTACGATCGATCCTGGCCGTTGGCTGCTCAAGGGTATCGTTGCAATGACGATGCCGGAGTGTCCCGATGTCGAATGACCAGTACCAACACTGAAAGACAGAATTGGAGGACGGCGGTCGCATGCGAACCCAGAAGCGATGCAGGTGCTGTCACCCTGCATTTAAGCAGCGTCGGCCAGAAAGATAGACACGATCGTACTGAGCAAAGAGCAGAATCTCGCAACGGTTTCCCCTTTCCGCATATTTTCATGCGGCCTCTCGAAGGACGGAAGTCGAGACTGAAGACTTACGCACGGGGATGAGACGGACTTTGCACGTTGGTCGGCGAGAAGCACTCTCGTCGAAGACATGCCTCGGCCAGTTGCAGCAGGGAAAGGCTGTCTCCATGTCCCTTGTTGCCAGGCTGTTTGTTTTATCCGCTGGCCACAGGCAACGCAGTTGGGTATCCATACAGAGGTGCGTCCAGCATTTCCTTGCCGAGTTCGGGCGGGTTGCGCGTTGCCAACGCCGTGGGTTCTGGCACGACTGTCGCTGCAGCACACAGGAGAGCGACTCCACCTGGATGGTGGCATGTATCCAGTAATGTCCGGAATTCTGCTGGGCGCGCCGTGGGCTCGCCGCTGGTGAGATGAACGGAGGGGCCAGGGAGTGTAGTCGCAAAATCACGGGGCGCTAACGGGCAAGGCGAGCTAGGCAAGTGGAGACGGCTTCCGCGGAGTGGATCGGCGCGTCGAATTATCCGCCTTCCGGCAATTGGTCCGGCCACGCTACACGTTCAAAATCCACACACCACACACCACACACCACACGACGTGCCTAGGCGGGCCGCCATGCCCTCTTCCCCCCTCCCGTTCATCGCCCCCAATCCTCGCCGTACACAGCATCTCGGTCGAGCCTTTCCCAATGCATAGAGGCCCGGCCCAGCGTCAAGATATATGGGCCGTCTGTCAAGCTCCTCACAAGACGCATTAGTGTCTTCGCCCCGCGTCTATCGGACTATATGCAAGAAGCAGCTGGCTCATAACACCCACCTAACTCGCATGATGCGCCCGGATAAACCAGCTTACTCTCCAGTCTGCTTATCCCATGGTCCAATCGACTGGCAGTGACAGGCCAACCAATATCTGGCGTGCAGGATCTGGGTACATGCAGTCTATCAAACCGATACTCGCTGACCCCAGGCTCCGATTCTCAAAATCACTCAGAAGAGAATGAATGCCATATTGCATGGATGTGTGGAGCTTGAGCCGCCACACGGCTCGGAGTTCGTCCTGTGCCGCCGCCTCTGAGGAGCCCCGAGTAGTCCTGGCCTATCCATGACCTTATTTCTTCATAAACCCGTAACCGAGGGTTCCAGAATCTGCTAATGCATCCTACCTTCATTTGCAGGCGTGGGCGTCAGACGTGCCCTGGGGTCTATTTTTCAGCTGGGAATGGGGCGAGACTCGTGCGAATCCACGTGCCTCGGGGTTTAGAAGCGCCCCCTTTGAATCCTGCGAGGCAAATTCGGAATTTGAAATCCACTTCGGTGATAGTGACAGGTTAGAAGATGGACTAGGCGGATTTCTGAACTATTTCCAACGTTTACGGAAGGTTGGCGAATGAACTCATAGTCTGCCATGTGCTCGAGGGCCGTCGCCACTGACTCGACGCATATGCGGAATCAACAAACCGAGTTTCTGGGTCCGAAATCAGGTCCGAATGCGTGTTGTCGGTACCTCTATCCCTTGATTAGACTAGATGAAGGGAATGTTGGTATTGCGGCGTGGTAGTATTTGAAGGGCTCATGTAACTTTGCATCTCTAGCCAGGGCATTGTCAAGCTTTGTTCTCGTCGCTAATTCCTGGCTCGTGTCAGCCTTTCGTCCGGAGCCGTATTCAAAAGTGTCGGTGGCACCAGTCGTTTATTTGTCTTCATCCTTCGACTTTTCAGCTCTAACCAGTTTGAAACACAATCATGCGCACAGCTGCACTCCTCTGGCTTGCACCTGCGACACTAGCCAGCGCCATTCCCGCATTTGAAGACGCTTCTCCGGCCGTGCCATTTGACAAGAGACAGAATGTCTTGCCGAACGTTCTCGGAGGAAAGATCCTCCAGGCTGATGTGTATGCTGGGATTGCTGGCATCAACCAGCAGATCTACCAGGCTACACAAAAGGGCGACCAGTTCAAGAAGTGTAACCCCTTGAACATTGTTGTTCGTAAGGAGTGGTACGTACTTATTTAGCCAGGTGCCTAATACTGGAAGCTAACAAATCCAGGGCCACCTTCACCGGCTCAGAGAAGAGCAGCTATGTCAAGGCTGTTCAATGCATGACCAAGCTGCCTCCAAAGACACCCAAGTCTGATTGCCCTGGGTGTCAGAACCGCTATGATGATTTCGTTGCTACCCATATCAAGCAGACATTCGCCATCCACAACACTGGAAACTTCCTTGCGTGGCACCGCTATTTCACCTGGGCATACGAGCAGACGCTGCGAAATGAGTGTGGCTACAAGGGCTTCCAGCCATACTACAATTGGGCACGATGGGCCGACGATCCCATGAAGAGCCCTACTTTTGACGGCTCTGCTACGTCGCTGGGCGGCAACGGTGTTCTTGGATGCACCAACCAGACCTTTTATGGCATCCCCACCAATGCAGAGCCTAAAATCAAGATCCCCAAAGGCAAGGGTGGAGGTTGCGTGACCTCTGGCCCTTTCAAGGACTGGTCCGTCAACCTTGGGCCCGTCTTCACCGACTCGCTCTGCACGCCTCCTAACCCCATTTCGGACTTCATGGACCCTAACGTGGGCCTTGGACACAACCCCCGCTGTCTGAAACGAGACATTTCATCTTGGACATCCAGCCAATGGACCAACGATGAGATGGTGGTCAAGCTGCTTAACAGCCCGGACATGAAGACTTTCTGGTCTCAGATGCAGGGCGGCGACCCGGCTTTCGACAACAACTTTATGGGTGTGCACACAGCCGGCCACTTCACTGTGGGCGGCGACCCCGGCTCCGACTTTTTCACGTCTCCTGGTATGTTTTCGTGTTCTATGATTAGATTGATGGCACCGACTAACGCACAACAGGCGACCCATATTTCTTCTTCCACCACGGCCAGATTGATCGTGTTTGGTGGACGTGGCAAAACATGAACCCCTCAGAGCGCACCAGCGCTATCTACGGAACTACTGTGATTTCGGACCCCACTGCGCCTGCGTCCAAGCTCACCGACAAGATGACGCTTGGCTACGCTTATCCCCAGGACATCACCATTGGTGACGCCATGAGCACCATGGGCGGACCATTCTGTTACACATACATTTAGACGTAGACGCATACCGTCCCAGAAAAGCTCTTGCACCATTCACGTAGATAATTTTTAGTAGACAATGGATTGCTGCTGAAGCACAATGCCAAAACAGACAAGCATCTCCAAGCGACGGGTGTGTGAATCCACCAGTAACGGACGCTGTAACAGGCCTCTACCCACAGCCATGGGACCGGCGGACTTTCCCCAAAGCTGCCTGACGACACGAATATGGTAAATTTATCGTGTAAGGGCGAAAAGTGAAGCTAGAACGATCTGATGGAGCGCTTCGAAGCGACGATTCGACAATGTCCCGCAGCGCTAAGCGGTCACCATACCCAGGCTGCATACTGTGGGCAACGAATATGAATGGGCGGGGTTTCTCCATGCAAAAGGCGCGGAGACCCTGCAGTGCCAACGCATCACCGCTGGAGGATGAAAAGAAGAGCAGCAGGGCCAGAAAAAAAGAGAATCATGTGCACCAATCCCTCAGACACACGCCCCCCCCCCTTCCCCCCGTTTTCTAAGATTCCTGGTGAGATTTCCAGCCACCGCCCTCGAACCTTGCCAGTGAGATTGCGCAGATTATTGGCCGGCCTTTCCTTCTCTTTTCCCTTGGAGAACGCCTGCTCGTCATAGTTGGCGGGCATAGTACACCCAGTAATAGTAGTAGCAACAGCAGCGGCAGCAGCAGCAGCAGCAGCAACAGCAGCAAGTTGGGCGGCGATTTTGGGAGAGAAAGCTTACCTGCCCTACGCTACGCTACCCCACTAAGATATACCTAGTCCCCGCCGCGACAAGCCCATCCATTTCCAGGGTCCCTTTTTTAAGGGGCGGCGGCGCAGAAAAAAAAGAAGTCCCATTACGAGTCTTAACTTGGGCACCATCGATATCGCTATCGCAATCCGCTACTATCCAGAAACGCCAGATTACTCGCCCATTTACCATAAAGAGACTTTGAAACATATTTCGAGAAAAAAAAACTAAACAACATAACCCTCTTTCCCAACTCGCCTCCCCCGATTCTGCCGGTCCCCACCCACACCCGCTATTCGCTACCATGAACGTCGACCCTATAACCGGCGCGCCTCTGCCCGCGACGGCAATCCAGCGCATCCTGTACCTCGCGCCCAAAGTGCACATCTACCAGATCCCGCCCGCGACCACGACAAAAGGATACCAAGCGTCGACATGGACCGCCAACAACAACCAGCTCCAGATCTTCACTGCGCGGTTACGCGTGGTCGAGACGTCGATACCGAGTGCGAGCGAGAAATCAGGCAACAGCAACAACAACAACAACAACAACAACAACAACAACGACGACGAGGACGAAAAAGTCACGACGACGATACTCCTCGAAGACGCCAAGACGGGCGATTTGTTTGCCGCCGCGCCGTACACGAGCGAGCGGACGGTGGAGCAAGCGCTCGACAGCAGCCGCTTCTTCGCCATCACCGTCGTAGGCGAGGGCCGCAAGGCCGTGCTGGGCATGGGCTTCGAGGAGCGCAGCGAGGCCTTTGATTTCTCCATTGCCCTGCAAGACGCCCGCCGCGTGCTGGGCTTTGACTCGCAACATGGCAGTGCATCGGGCGCGGCATCGGGCGCGCGCTCCTCCTACTCCTCCTCCAAGCACGGCGGCGCTCACGCCACATCCAATAACGCCATGGTTGGCGCCGACGCCGCAAAGCGCGACTTCAGCCTCAAGGCTGGAGAAACAATATCCATTAACCTCGGCGGCCTCAAGGGCCGCCGCTCCCGCAGCCATGAGAACGACAAGAAGACCGAAGAGGAGGGCCGCAAGAGCGATCAAGATGCCCTGTTTAGTATAAAGCCGCCGCCCGGCCCAGGAGGCGCCTTCTTGCCCCCGCCGCCCAGCGCAAAGAGCGTCAAGGAGGAGCGGAGGCGGAGCAGGCAGAACTTTGACGCTGCGAGCTTGCCGCCGTCGAAACCTACGGCTGAGGATCTAGGCTTTGACGATGGCGAGTTTGGCGAGTTTCAATAGGGGGGTTTTTGTTTGGCATAGACCCCGAACGAAAGGGGGTTCGTGGGAAAGGCCATTGTGTGTATGTGTGTATTTAGCAAGGCGTTTTTTTTATATTTTGTTTCCTCAAACTTTGCATTTGGTCCTCACGTCTGTGTCTTGCATGGCAGGCTGGGTGAAATTCAACATTTTTAAAAAAAAAAGTCAACGAGGAGTTGTTCGTGTTTCTCACTCTGCATGCGTGGTTGGGATGGTATGCGTATGTGTCTGTTGGATATGCACAATACGCCTGGTAGATTGGGTATCAAGTTTTCTTGGACGCCTGCAGAAAAGCCTTCAAACAACGCCTTTGTGTGTGGTAACACGAAAAAAAGAAAAAAAGGGGGGGTTATACATCATGGACCAGTTATTGTTCTTAGGAATACGTCCATCCCTGGGCCTCTTTGTATAGCCTCTCGATGTCGCGGATCAGGTCTTCGGGCTTGTCTCCGCCCTCGCAGTCCTTGAAGTGACCATCATCCGCTACACATCGCACTTTGTCGTCGAGCCTGATGGTGCAGCTCGTCGTCACGCCCACATCACTGCTATGCTGAGCGCTGTCGCGGAGCAGTCCCATGCCGTATGCGCCGTTTTCCTTGCTCATGCAGTCGTTCAGGACGTCGAAATCGAGGCCATGCTCTAGCGCGCAGTCCTCAATCAGCGAGCGGGCAGGTATCTCGGGATAGTCGGTGATGAGGCAGTTTGTGAATCCGAGATGGAGTTTGGGGTCGGGGTACGAGGACGCTGCGCACAGCATGACGATGTCGCCGAGGCACTCGGTTTGGCCGTGTTTGCACAGGACGCCGTCGTCTTCTGTTAGCCTGCTTGGGTTGTCAGCATCGCCATGGCATTGATGGATTGCATGGGCGGGGGGGATGCGACATACGTGCCAATCATGCTCAGTCTAAAGTCGATCTTGTCTGACACATTTGCCATGACGGGCAGCACTAGTTTGTTCATACAGTCACGCGCGTCGGGGCATTTCGACATGATGTGCACGTCCATGGGCACCTTTGTATCGGCCTCTTCATGGTGGTCGGCGCAGGTCCACGTACTGGCGAGCCAGAACAGGCTGACGAGCAAGACTACCATGGCCGCATGGAAGCGGCTCTTGCTGTGGGACCTGCGCAGGGCCATGGTGTCGTCAGCGCTGGTTGCATCTGCAACCTCGCGGGTGTCCGGGAGGAGTGGCGCTTTCTCTTGCATTGTAGGCGACGGCATCGGGGCCGATGCGGGCTTTATGTAGGGACCTGGGGTGTTTGTCGATGCGGGGGGCGAGGGATGCAATCTAGAGGACGGGCTGGGCTGGGCTGGGCCGGGCTGGCTAGGCTGAAGCTGGAGAGGTAACAGGCTTGGATGATGTTGGGGGGTTGCAGTGTAATGGGTGTAGGTAGTCGGATTGGGTGGTAGTGACGGGGCTGATAGGCGTTCGGGGCTTCTCAATAGCGCGGCCAACTAGAGTGGAGCGGCGGATCCCGGGCGGGCGTGTATCCGGCTATTATGGATTGTGTGGCCAGGGCAACGCGACGGCGAGACGGCTGCATGGACTGGATAATGGGCGTAGGCGTAGCATGTATGTGTATGTAGTATGTAGTCGACACAGACATGTGTAGTGCATGCATGGCAACGGGCGGCTGTCACGTGGCGAGTCGGCGCGGAGGGCACGTGGAAAGCGGCGACGGCGGCGGCAACGACGGCGGCGAAACATTTGGCCGTGGCGGCGGCGGCGGCTGTTTTGGCCGCGACATACTAAGCCCGAAACTCGGAGGGGCTGCGCTGCTCACTCGCATCCCGCCATTCACTCCCGCACATCCATCGCCTGTCATCCTCCCTTGACTGGACGCGGACGCGAACCCAAGCCCCCCGGCCCTACCCTGCTGCCGTTTGTTTTTGCTTCTTACGCTCGCTCACCATGAACGGGTCACTTCACTTGCTCCCATTCTAATACCCCCACGTTTAGACATAGCCTCCTGCTTTCTTGCTCGGCTCCCGCTAGGCGGCCGCCCTCTTCTCTTCCTCGACTTGGCCCGTCATTGTTATATTTCCATGGTCCATGCGTGCAGCCCTGCATTGCCAGTCTCGCGTTCCTGCACCTAGCACAAACTCAAAATGGCGTCAACTAATCTGCCTGACGCACCAGAGCCCATTGAGGCCTTTACTGGCTTCATCAATCCTGCCACTTTGCTCGACCTGGCCCGCCGCTTCTCGGCTACATACAGCGATCTTGCCAGGACCTCGACAGAGCACTTCCTCGCCACCCCCGTCACGGCCTTGCCGACCGGAAAAGAGAAGGGCAGATTCCTGAGCATCGATGTCGGTGGCACCAATCTAAGAGTTGGCTTCGTTGAGCTAATCGGAGAGCCAGATGGCCCTGCGGATACCGAGCGTCAGCGGAGCAGCACCGTGGGGGACAATGTCTTTGCTCAGATCAACAGGAGCCATGACAAGAACTGGCCAATTGGGGATCATCTGAAAATGGACCAGGCCGAGGACCTTTTTGCCTGGATTGGCGACTGCATTGCCGAGGTGGTACAGAGCGCTCTCAAAGAAGAGAGGAATAGTAAACGTGTCACGTCGCCTCTTGGAGACGAGATCCTGCTTGGTATTACCTTTAGCTTTCCAATGGCGTGAGTCTGTCCGGTCAATTCCATACCACACCCCCCCCTGCTACGCTAACATCCTTGCTAGCCAAACTCGTATCTCAGAAGCGACTCTGCTGCCAATGGGCAAAGGCTTCGCCATTACCTCAGACTTGAACCTGGGCAAGATGCTTCTTGCTGGGTACGCACGGCACTGCCGCGTCTCTGAGCACAATCAGGCGCCATTGCCGAGGATACGAGTTGCTGCCATCACCAACGATACGGTAGCGACGTTTGCGTCTCTTGCCTACGCAGTCAAGGCCTCGCCCCATAGCCGTGTCGCAATGGGATTGATTGTCGGTACTGGAACCAATGCAACAGTCCCCATGAAGCTGGAGCGCCTACATCCCGCCAAAAAGAGCGCTTTGGCCAATCCTGACGCGGTCGATACTGTGGTTATCAACACTGAATGGACAATACGCGGCACCGACAAACCCTTGGTTGATCTCAACATCAAGACGCCCTGGGATATGACACTTGATGCTAATAGCGATGCACCAGGCTTCCAGCCGTTTGAATACATGACCTCTGGGCGATATCTTGGCGAGATTGTGCGCCTGATATTCGTCGATGTCGTCTCCAGAGAGGAAGGCGTCCAGATCCCATCGTCGCTGCTAGCTAGGAATACCCTACCAACTCGGTTTCTGTCAGAAGTCATCGCAAGAAAAGGGGGCCGCATCGTGCAACAGGAGCTCGAGAGCAGGTATCCGGAACCAAATGATGCTGAAGATCCATTCTGGACGGTAGACAGGGTAGAGATGATCCGGGATATCGCCGAGGCCGTTCAGCAGCGATCCTCGGCCCTAGTCGCTGCTGCATGTGTGGGGTTGCTAAACTGTGTGGGTGAGATTTCGCTCGATGGCGCAAAATCTCCTAGTAATGGCAATGGCGCCCACACCAAGGGCAAGCGGGAAATTGAGGAGTTGGTCATAGCCTATGCTGGCGGCACGATATCGCAATATCCAAAATGGCTGCAAACATGTCAGCAGTGGATCGATATCCTGGTGGAAGAAGGCTCTTTCGCAAATTCGGCCAAGCAAGTCACGCTCAAGGAAGCTAAAGACGGTGGCATTGTCGGTGCTGGAGTGCTGGCAGGCATGACGGATGAAATGGCATGACAATTACTTGCACAAATCTGAGCTTGTTGGATGTAATGTAGACTTAGAGCTACCAGATAACTGTACATGATACCCTGGGGCCTCTTCCCGCTATCATAAGAGAGTATCGTGATGATTGGGCCCGTGAAGCCGTGGACTATGCTGTTCTCAAAACACGCTCTCATCTCATAGGCAACTGATTCTGCCACTCTGGATCTACCTTGCTCTGCTTGAAAAAGCTCTTCCCCCTCAGCCACTGCCGATACGCCTTGTACCGCTTCTTCCCCGTATCCTCCTCCTCGACATCAAGCGGATTCTCCTTGACACGCAGGAACTCCTCAAACTCCTCAATGTCCTCCTCGGGAGTCTGGAATTTCGTTCCAGACGCCTGGGGGTAGTGGTGGTGATGGGGGTGCGGCGACGGCGGCGGCACATCGTTGTGCATGTGGGGATGCAGGCCGTACGACTGCGGGTACGAGTACGAGGGGGCGTGGGAAAAAGGCGTGCTGACGGACTGCGAGGTCATGGGCCGCACGTGCGAGGCAAACGAGCGGACGGACGAGGCGTCGGTGTCGTGGCGCGAGTGGTGATCTGCCAGCGTGATTTGGATGCCGTCTTCGTCAAAGTCCTTGGGCGCGGAAATGCTGCCGTCCGTCACGGACAGGTAGTCGTAGTATCCCATGGCGATGGGGTCGTCGGCGCTGGGCATGTCGCTGCTGACGACAAGCGGCAGGTTCAGAGGGTGCTCGATGTAGCGCGAGTACTCGTCTTCTTCGGTTGGTGCGACCGAGGGGTTCATGCTGTTCTCGTAGAATTGGCGGAGGGTCCATTGGTGCACGAGGGCTTTGTCGGCTGGCTTGAAGCCTGGCTTGAGCGTCGATGAGAGCCCTGTTGATGTTGACGTCGAGTTGTTCAGTGACTGGTACGCTGATGTCGTGGAGCCTGACATGTGGGTTTCAAAGTGCGGATCCCGGAGGATGGATTGTCGGGCAGGCTGGTCGGCTTGGGGCACATTGATATGTAGGTTTCTTCCGCGGTGCGCTGGGAAGCGGCTGGGCCTTGATTCGGTTTCGCTGGATGGGTCAATGATGGTGACACCCTTTCGCAGCCCCTTCTTTTCGTCTCGTCCTTGTGCATCAAGCTCCTGTTGCTTCTTGCGAGGTACAAAGGGGGACATGTTTTCTTTCCGCGTTGGATACGTCCCGTCCCTGCTGTCGCGTCCGGGCCGTGGCTTGGCTAGTCGGAAGGCAAAGATCTTGAGGTAAGACGAAATGGCCAATGGTCGGTAGTACTCAAGCCAATAGTCATCACGGAAGCTGATGAAGTCAAAGGCAGTCTCCTGCAATGGCCGTGCTGGCATAATCGAAGGGGGCAGCGTGCGCTGTTGAAGATGCGCAAGAGTATACCAGTAAATATAGTCTCGTCGATTTCGCTCAAGGGCCGTTTGCGGCATCTGGTGATGAAGGTAGTAGTCAGTTGATAGGTCCCACAGCATTGGCTGCCCCTGTGAATAGGTATAGTATCCAAGGAATAGGTTGTAAGCTTCTTGACGCTGCGAGTCCAGGAAGGAGTTGTGATAGTATCGCTTGAAGCTTTCAACCATGTCGCGTGAGCTGCTTTGCCACTGATTGATCTTTCGGTATGTGGCCATGGTATTGACAAGGTGTGATCCACCATACTGAATTGCAATGGTGTCGCCATGGCCGTGGAACATTTGCGTAAACAGCTCGACACAATCAGAATCGTACTCGACAGTGTTCCCGGAAATGACACCCAGAGCTTGCAGCTGACGACCAAGCGCTCGCTTCCCGATGACAAACTGTGCTGCGTTGGTTCGATCCAAACAGTCGATGCAGTTTGTTCGGGCGACACCGTTCTGCACTTGGGGCTCATCAAACTCGATGTCACCATTCCGGAAGAAACCCGTTTTACGCATCACCTTCTCAGCAAGATTTTCGAGCGTGGCTATGACATCCTGTCCTCTTGTTTTTGCCGCTCTAGACATGTCAAATGCCTCATACAGTATCTTTTTGTCCTTGGGTAGAGATTGATTCAGGTAATCAACAGCGTGCTTATATGCATGCAGCAGCTTAGACTCTCGTGGCGTTCGTTCTCGAGCCTTGATCAGATTCAGGACATAGACAGGAGCTCCGTATCGTTCGAACAAGTTGTCAAAGTGTAAGGCTGCGGCGCTGTAAAAGGGATCAACAAGGTTGAGATCGATGTCAGGCTTGGGTGTGACGCCAGTGTTGTCTTGTGTCCAGTAAAGCGGTATGCTACCCCGATGCTGCACGTACGATGTGTAGTTGGGGTTAGCGTATAATCTTGGCCCAGGCGCATGAAAGGACGTCGTGGTTTGCTCGGATACAATCTGCTCAGTCTCAACATCGTTTGCCACATAGCCCAGGTCGTTCGTTCCTCGCTTCAAAAACCGAGCACCAGCAAAGAACCTAGATCTTCGAGCAATGATGGTGAGATACACTCGTCGACCAAACACGTCAAGTGAAGACTGGTCAACGTAGCCGTGTATGATTGGATGACACCAGTCGTACATATTCTTCAGCGCATCGCGCGCGGGGTTGAGAAGATGGTGGTTCCAGACAAACATATCCTGGTAGTCGCGATCGGGATTTGTAATGCCTTGGTTCATTGCATTTCGCTGCTGGATGATATTCTGCTGCAGGCTTCTCGTTATGTTGTACGAGTACGCAAAGTAGAACGACCGCGTCAGGTCCATGTTGTTGAGAATCGACAGGAATCTCGCCTCTTCTGGATTCCTGTCTTTCTGGTATTTAGATGTTGAACCCGTTGTCAGAGGAATCATCTCTGTCCCATCGATCTGATAGATGTAGTGACCGCCTAGCATAGCCACTTGCGATCTCTTAGAGATCAAGAGCATGTAGTAAGCCTCGGTGAAGCGGATGAAGCCCAGCAGCCCCCAAGTACTGCATTTCAACTTCATGCCTCCGGTTGCCTTGTTGCCGTCAGCTATTGTGTCCAGGAGCTGGTGCATCTCTCGCCGATTGTACACTATATCATCTTCGAAGATGTTCAAGTGCCCCGGCGCAGCTGTTCGATCGATCTTCAACACGCGAAACTGCTTGTCTGTAATGTCGGCACCGATGAGGTAGAAGCGGGTACTGGTTTCGTAGAGAGAAAACTTGTGCATCCTCTTGATGCCGCTTTCGCCCACATTCTGGTATGTCGAGCCCTTGATCTTGTGCACAGTTGAGGGCGTCGACGGTCCATGGAATGCTACATTTACATTCGGGTTCTCCTCTTCACCGCCAAATTTCGTAGACTCAGACTCTCTTCGGGGCTTCCCACTATGGGGCAGCTTTTCCAGGTCAGCTTCCGGCTTGAAGCTGTTGTCATGTTCAAGCGGCGACATCTGCGGGCTTTCAACAACAGTTGGGGCCTTCTCAAAATCATCTAACTTGTCCTGGTTGGTGCTTTCGTGCGATGTCGTTGCTCTGGAGGCCACTGAACTGGCCCGCTCTGGGGAGTCCAGCGTGGGTTTGGACTTTTCCATGATTAACTATTAGTTGGGGTTTAAAGCTCGGACGCGATATAGCGAAAGGAAACGGGTGTCATGTGGTCACGGCGTATGCGTTGGCAACTCAGAGTAGCAGGCTGTGCAGATGATACATGTCAGATAAAAACCGCGCTCACGCTTCTTCTTGAGCTATACCTGACGGAAAGAAAGTTAGGCGGAAGCGCTTGTTTAGGCGGTGAGCCCTATCGTACTGCGAAAGAGGTGTGATGCTGGAGGTTCCCCACGGGTTCCCGGACACGGAACGCTTGGCGCACGTCAATGCACCTATCAACACGCCTACTAGGCGGTGCACTATACCCTCTCTGAATGTGTACAAGCGGACTTATTAAGCTTCTCTAAATTAAATAAGATTAAATGCCGATATCTAGAGCATATAAGTAGGCTTTTTCCTCTCTCGCCTCGTGCTTCCACCCTCCTCCAGGGGCACACCTGCATATATGGCGCTACCGCCCTCCTTCAGTTTCCTGTTCTCTTTCACCAACACCCATCTTAACACCGCAGCGAACACCGCAACAGACAACATGAACACAGCACAGATGCTCATACCCTTGACAAAGTATGGCGCATCTTCGTCGGGAAAGATGCTTGTGCCAACCAGCGGCCCCATTTGTCCAATCCCATTCAGAATGGCCATCCCAGCACCCTTCTTACTGTCGCTTTCTTGGTTGTTGAGCGTCCATGCTATAATGCATGTGATCGCGCTAAAGAATCCAGCAGCAGCAGGGAAGATGGCTATGTAACGAATCATCGTGTTCTCAGATTCGAGATAGCCAGCAATTGCGATTGTGCCGTATCCAACCGTCGCAAGTAGGGAGTGCAGTATGATGAAAGTCGAGCGCGTCTGCAGCCGATCCGAGTACCATGCAGTTGCGAGCACGACAATAAATGCGAACAGGTACGGAGGCGCTGATAGGCCTTGGGCGGTGATTGATTCCCAACCCATATCCTGAATGACCGTGGGCAAGAAAACCGGCATTGAGCTGAACGCAACATTGCAAGAGAAGAACATGAGCGCCGTTAGATAGGCCTTTGGGTCCTTCAGAGTCTGGAGCACTTCGCGGAAATTGATACCTCCTCTTTTCCGCTGGCCCTGGTACTTCTCGTCTTGATCGTCTTGGACCTCGGCTTCCTTCTCTGATCTTAGTCGCATCACGGCCACCTCGCGCTGTCTCGGGCTTAGCCACTTTGCAAGACCTGGGCCGTCTGGTATGAAGTCCCAAGCCCAGACAGCAGCTATGACAGACGGAAATCCTTCGACTAGAAACAACAATCTCCATGGGCTGAGCGGACTATGTTCCCCGATTTTGGTGATGGCATACGCCAAAGCGCCGGAAAACGATGCCGAGAGTGGACTTGCACTGACAATGAACCCAGTCCGAAAGGCAATCTCGTCTCGACGATAGAAGAACGATAGGTAGAAGGGTATACCTGGGCTGAACGCGGCTTCACCGATACCCAGTAAGAGCCTCAACACGAAGAGGAAAGTGAACGAAGTTGCTACCGCTTGGAGCGATGCTATAATTCCCCAGGACATGATACATACGGAGACGTAGATGTGTGCCGGTACGATGCGATAGCTAACTACAATTAGCAATGTTCCAGACTTTGGGTGGCTGAGACGGACAGGAGCATCATCCATTCGAATAGAATGTAGGACATGTAAAAAGCCCACAGCAGCCACTCATATTGATCAGAGTCAATTTTCAGGTCATCTGCGAGGCCGGCTATGCGCGCATTGCCAATATCTGCAGTTTCTGTCAGCATCCATCTGGTGTGCCTCCTGATCCCCATTGTACACGCCCCTGACGCAGACATGGCCTGTGAAGCCCATTGGATGCAGGATCTACTCACTCGACCGATCCAAGAAGCTCAACATGTACAAAAAAGCCATGGCAATGACTAGCTTGCGATCGAGTTTCCTGCGGACTGCCCGGTCCTCATCTGGGGTGTATAATTCATAGCTTTGAACCGAGTCGAGCGATGTGCGTCGAACATTATGTAGCAACGCTTCGTCAGCCTCGCCAGCTTCGTCTCCCAGCTCTTCTTTCGAAACAAATTCTTCGCGCGAGGAGACAGGTCGCAGCTCGAACGCGTTCGGTTCGTCGATCATGGATGGGCCATCGGAGGAGTGCGAGGAGCGAGGCAGGCGTGCATTCTTGGACGAACTGCTACTTGCGCTAGAAGAAGAAGCTGGTTTGAGCGGTGGGCGGCGGGACGACGACGACGACGAAGACATGTTTGCTGTTTCTTTGTTCGCAGAGAGAAGAAGAGTCCCGCATGGGAATCAAAAAGGGATCACATCGAACGAGCAGTAAGCCGAAATTTCCGACATCCAACCATTGCGTAGGCTCAAGGATGCCAAAAGTCCTCCCCGTAAGCCCGCGCGATCCTGGTAGGGCCTTCTTGGATGACGCGGTGGGGCTCGTGCATCCTACTACCCCACATGTCAGGGTAGCGTTCCCTGATCGACATGCCCGTCAGCGCATCCCTTGAAACATTTGAGCTATTAGTCTTGGGAACTACTTCAACGGTGCTTGTTATTGTTATTCCCGTCTGATAAGCTGATAGCCAGGATCAACGTGAAGCTTGCAAAAAAAAAACCCATAACTTGTTGAGGTTTTCGCTGCTCTCCTATTCCGGAAGCCTGTACGACATCTGTGCTGATGAATACGATGATGCCACTGTATGAGCATGCACCTAGTCATATATGGACCTTTTGCATCTCTACATCATGCATGTTGTTCTGGTTGATAATTAGAGCTCTGCAGTCTCTACTCACCGCTGAAGACGTAGATAAGTATCAGGATATGATCCAAAACATGCAATCGGAAAAGACGCCTTCGATGAAATAGTAATCAAATTCATAAGCCTGCAAACACGCCAATATCTTTCGGCCCTTGGGATTGTGTCTATTTTGGCAACTGCCAGTCCTTGTAGCTCCACTTCTCGGACACGGTGTACTTCTTCTGCTTGGCGTATGGAATTTGCCTCCTGGCCTCCACCTTGCCTTGAAGCATCATGTTCCTGAAGCGGTCTTTGAGCAGGTTTCCTTCCGGCTTGAGAAGACGCAGCGAGTCTCTCAGCTCATCTGGGAGTACAACTTCGAGTGGAGCTTCCGGCAGCCTGGATCATGTCAGCAAACAGCGCAGCTTTGAAATGGATGAGGAGACTTACGGAGCCTTTCCGAACTGCTTCTTCCTAAGCTCCACCTCCTCGCCGTCATCCTCAAATTCCTCGGCGTTCTTCTGCTCAAGAGCCTGGCGTACAGTAGCCCTCGCTCTCTCCTTTTCCTCGACACTCTTCGCTAACCTCTTGATCTCTTGGAGTTGCTGCTCTTTCGCCTTCATCTTTGCCTCATGTTTGGCCTTCCTTTCCCCCTCTTTTCTCTTCTTGATCTTGTTTCTCTGGGATGGTGTTTTCCTCTCTGGCCTCTTCTTCTTGGCTTCCTTGTTTTCACTGTCACTGAAGCCCTCCCACTCGCTCTCCCAGACGCTCTCTTCACCAGAGTCTGATTCAATTTCAGCAGCAGCCCGCTCCATCCGCTCGGCCTCTTCGCGAGCCTCTTCGAGACGCTTCTTTTCGGCCTCGACAATCTTGTCAGACTCGCGCATGAGTTCGTTTTGCCAGTCCTCAAGCAGAGGGTTGTATGATTTTCCGCCAGCTGGCTTGCGCACTGCTGGAATGGTCTTGCCGGACTTTGCTTGAGAGACAGGTGCGCGCTTCAGAGTCTTGGGCTCGACCTTGGGCTTCTTCTCTTCCAGGTACTCAAACTTGGGATCCTTCCTGGCTTCCTGCACTGCCCATGGGTCATACATGGCATCGCTGGTCTGCACCACATCCTTCTTGACCTGCTCGCCGCCATAGGCAATGGCTCTTAGCCTGTCGTATTCTTTGCTGGAAACCTTGGCCTTCTTTCTCTTGCCATCATCAGCGATATCCGATAGACGCTTCCTAGTCGAAACAGCAGGAACGGCAGAGCGGCGAGCGAGGATCTCGTCGACCTTGAGAGGCTTGTGTCGCTTCGCAACAGATTTCTGGATTTCGGCAGAACCAATGGTGTCAACGGCGAAAAGTTCATCGGAGGTCTTTTCCGCGACCACGCCACTGTAGGTTGTCAGCAAAGTACAGAGGCTGCAGCAGGCGCAACACATACCCGTGGATTATCTGGTCTCGCACTTCGTCGAGGCCGGACTGGATCTGTGTGACATCGACATTTTTGCGCCAGGCCTTCTTGCCCTTGCGGCTGGACTGCTTGTACTGCGCCGGCGCTGACCCTGTGTCTGCCATTGTATCTGAGCGTCGTTATGCTGGGGCGCCGTGGGGATGTTGAATGTCGCAAAAAGTTCGATCCAAAATTCCGACGCACCACGCGCACGGACTATCTGAGAGGACCCACCGCACCCCTGCAACTCTCGGTAGTCGGTCAGGGTGCAAGGCGGCCAGGTTCGACCAGCACTCCTATTCAGTCACCGCACCCCCGCTAAGATACACCAGCCGCAACCTCGATTACTGTCGATACGTGCGATCTCTTGCTTTTCCTTCTCTCCACTCCCCCAGGCTCTCTCGGTTTCCCTCCATCATGGTCCAGACAAGCTATTCGAATCCGCTCAAGAAGTTCAAGTGAGCTGTCCTCCGCGGCGACCATGCAGGTCATATACTAAAATGCTGTAGGCTTGTATTCTTGGGCGAACAGAGTGGTACGCATGCTCCACACAAGTGCAGCCGTCGGGCCACATATACTGACTGAATTCCTAGTCGGCAAGACATCTTTGATTACCCGGTTCATGTATGATTCGTTTGACAATACCTACCAAGCGACCATTGGCATCGACTTCCTGAGCAAGGTGCGCCTCCAGACGGACCCTCCGAGCGCTCTGTTGTTGCGGGATATTTAACGTCGACTGGCAGACTATGTACCTCGAAGACCGAACGGTCCGCCTACAACTGTGGGACACTGCTGGCCAGGAACGATTCCGCTCGCTGATTCCCTCGTACATCCGCGACTCTAGCGTGGCCGTGGTTGTCTACGATATCACCAACAAGAAGACGTTTGAGAACACGAGAAAGTGGGTCGACGACGTGCGAGCTGAACGAGGCAACGATGTCATCATTGTGCTTGTGGGAAACAAGACCGACTTGAACGACAAGCGCGAGGTGACAACAGCCCAGGGCGAGGAGGAGGCCAAGAAGAACAACCTGATGTTCATTGAGACTAGCGCAAAGGTTGGACACAACGTCAAGGCACTATTCAAGAGAATTGCGCAGGCGTTACCGGGCATGGAGGGCGAGGGTCAGCAAGGGCAGAGTCAAAGTAGGTTGCCGAGGTCGCCTCTTGGCACGCGCCATGCTAATCCACGGCACAGTGATCGATGTCAATATCAACCCCAGCCAGCCCGCGCAGGAAAACTCGTGCTCGTGTTAGAGATGTCATGCCCATTCAGCAATCGACTTTGGTTTATTCGCTCACAGCGTATTGTAATTATTTGGGATCACTTGCAAGTCTGAGCAAGGCATTGTCAGCAAGGCGTTTGGACATGGGCTGCATGCATGTTTAACGTCGGAAACGTGTTATCTGTACTATACCAGGGGCGTATCCGTGCGAGCTATGGCATGACGTCAATGAAGCGACGCCCGGCGCTGTGGGATTCTATGCATTCAAAGCCCGCCTGCCACCACTTGTACCAGCCCACGTGCATCATCATCATGCTGAACCGGAACGCCGACCGTGAGAGAGATATAGAGAGAGAGAGACCACATGGCGCCATTACATATACAAGAGTGTTACATGGGGTCGTGATGAGAGAGTGAGAGAGAGAGAGGGGTTCCGTAAAAGATTGCTGAATTGATCAAAGAACTATCGTCGCAGCGACTTTTACTCGAGATCACCTGCCGAGCCAGCCTCGGACGGTGTCTTACTGCCGCCGACCGGGATCGAGGTGTCCACGGCGATCATCTCGGCTAGGATGTCCAGGACGGGCTGTGTCGTGTTAGCAGGCTCTGAGCAGAGTGTCGCGGGCAGCGGGCGCGCTTACCTTGGGGACCGTCTTGTCGTAGATGTTGATCAATTCCCGCGGGTTCGGGTAGACCTTCAGTGCGCGGTAGAAGCATAGCGCCGCCTCGACGTTGTCGGCACCTGGCCAGCAATTAGCACTCTGTGATAGCCGTGCCCAACCGGCGAACACGATCATGGCATACCCTTCTGCACCATTCCCTCGCCCTGGGCAACCTCCTGCATAAAGTATGCCTCGACCTCCTCGGGGTCCTTGGGGAAGCCCTCGTCGTTTGCGCGCTCGACCGCCTCTCGGATGGCCCTCTTCTGCTCGGCGCCCTGTGCCTCGGCTTCCTCCTTGGCCTGTCGCTCTGTTCGCTTCGACTCCTTCTTGAGCTGCTTGCGGAAGTCGGGGTCGTTCCGCCGCTTGTAGTCAAAGTAGGCGGCATATGCGAGAAGGCCTGTGACTATCGTGCCGGCGCTAATGGCCGCAATGGTGGAAGGTTTTAACGACGAGTTGGACATGGTGGCGGCCGAGAGTGTGGAATTGAAGAGCGCTTCGGGGCGGACAAGGCACGACGGTACACCTGGGAAATGGAGCGGCGATGGCGGTGGTGCGGGTGTGTGTGGTGGTCAACTTTTTCCTCGAAGTCAGGGAAGGCACGATTCTACATGGTGGTGGGTCCGAGCTCGCACTCTCGAACCGCGGCGCCCCCCCATGCATGCATCATGCGCCGCACCGCCGCTTACCTGTCACTTCTGCCTGCTGCTACTACCGCTGATACTAACACTACCACAGCCACCACCACCACCATCATCCCCATCAGCCCGCCCGTTTGCTGTCCCGCGCCCCGGAGGCCGTGGTTGCTGCAGCCGCCATGTCGGAGAAGCAAAAGGGCATCTCCCTCCGCAAGAAGCGGGGGGACAAGGCCAAGAAGAATGCGCCCCCGACCATCAGCGCGCCGCGACAGATCAGCGCTCCTATGCCCGTGACGGTAGCTCCCTCGTCGCTGCCAGGCTCGTCGCGCCCCTCGAATGAGTCGAGCCGCTCCAGGACCAGGCCAGATGGGCCTCCGCTGCCGCCGCAGGTGAAGCCGCAGCGGCCTGACAAGACGGCCGACCTGGTCAAGAGGCGGTACTCGCAGAAGGTGACAACGGGGCCCCCTGGCGACTACCGGAATCGAGGGCCCAGGCCGGAAATGCCCAAGATGCCCTCGCAGTACAGGGACGACAGGGAGCGCAGCCAGACGAGAGAAGGGAGGCCGCCAGGGAGCTCCGGGGGCCGCGTGTTGCAGGTCGATCCGCGCGCATTGAGGGACCCAAACCTGCAAGTAGAGCAATGTGAGGCTGGCGCGCTGGAACACACTGCGACCGAGTACTGATCAAACACATGCAGACGTGTCCACCATCCTCGCAGACGCTTCCGAGGCCGACATCAACCGCTACGAAGACGAGCTCCGCAAGACGAAGCACCGCACTTCTCTCGATCTCCAGCACAATGTGTACCAGAACCGCACGCAGTTTATCAAAATCAGTAAAGAGGCAGAGAAGCTCAAGGGCGAAATGCGCACCCTGCGCCAGTTAATGGCCGACCTGACCACGACGCTGGAGCAGACAGCATCGGCCACTGGCGCCAACAGCGATGCCGCAAGCTCGCGCAGAGCCAACAGAAGCTCAATTGGAGACCTCAACCAATTGCGAGCAGGCCAATTGCAGCAGCTATACAGGGATGTTGAGGGCTCGCAAAAGTACCTGCCTCCTATACCCGGGCGATTTATTGTGTGGAGGTCGGGGAAATGGTTTCAGCTGGATTCTGCGACCTTGAAAGCAAAAAGAAGAGTCAGATTGCTCCTGCTGAATGACCATCTTCTAATCGCTTCGGAAAAGAAAGCGCGCAACGATTTGCCCGGTCAGCGTGATGGCAACCGAGTGAACATGGAGTTTACTGCACAGCGATGTTTTCCGCTACAGGATACGCATGTTACGAGGACACCCGAGGAGCGCATCATCATCCGTGTTGGCGCGGAAACATTTACATACGATACCAAGAAAGAAGACAGTGGCGACAAGTCCGCTTTCGTTGCGACCTTCCGCAAGACCAAGGATGATTTGCGCAAGAGCCAAGAGGCCGATGTGCAAGAAAAAGACCGAGCTCAGGACTCGTATAGTCGTATGCTCGCGCGTGACCCTACGCTCATGAACAAGATGGAGCTTCTGGATAACCTTTCTGATGGCATCAATAACGAGCAATCCAATACCTTTATTGATGTTGACGGCCAAAAGCGCAATGTTCGATGGGTAGAAAGTCAATTGGACGACTTGGACATTGAGATTGCGCTTCAGCATTTCGAGGAAGCAGTGGTCAAAGTCGACCGGCTCAAGTCATTGGCAAAAAATATCAGAGGCAACGAGATGGCAAAGACCATTGTGACGTACAAGGTCAACGAGCGCGCTGCCAAGCTGGCAAACGTTCTAGTCAAGCACATGGTGGAGCATAACAACTGGTTTTCTTCGGTCAGACAGCATGTCACCTGGGTAGTCCAACTTGGTTTCGAGGACAGAGCGCGAGAAGACTATCTTGAGGCTCGCGGTAACCTTATCAAGACCCGTTCACGGTTCGTCGCGTCCTTCTTCGTTCGTAACCTTCTGCTGACATTTCTCTCAGTCAATGCGTTTTCGAAGGCAATCTGCCCGACTACATCTTCCAGATCTCGTACATTTACTTTACTGTTATCAAAAACACTGTCGATATGTTCCAGAAGTGTTTCCCGCAACAACTAATGTCTGCGTGCGTCAAGTGGGCAAAGGAGCATATTGATCAGTTCAACATATTGCTGAAAAGACAGCTCAGCAGTGTGGAGGAAGGCGGAAATGTTTGGAATGAATGTATGACGCTGGCGCACGAGCATGCGGAGATGCTTAGGGAGGTTGGGCTGGATTTCACAGAGTTGGTTGGTAGGGGAATCAACGAGCAGGATGGCGAGGGTATGCAAGCCGCAGTTGGATTAGGAGTATCTTCTTAGGCAGTTCCAGGAAACATGCCAAGGGCTTCCAATGGATGCTTGCTGCCCGTGTCACTTGGCTACCTCGATTTCTAGTACATATTTTCTACCAATATAGACCCATATATAGAACTAAATTAATGTATCTTTAAGTATATTCTGAAGAACAAAGAGCGACGTCTTGTTATGTCTAGGTAGTGTACTTAGGTTCCATACCCATTGGAAGTCGAAAAGCCATGCGTTTATTGTATATCCCTCAAGACCCAAGGTAGATATAGCAGCATTGGAGCCTCACGCCATTCAGTCTTTCTGTTTCTGGCGTGTGGCCTTGTATCGAGTGACCCACTCTCGGTCTACGCGTCGACGCTCCTACCCCTTCTAGCGCTAGAGTTCACTCTCACCAAGACTTTCTCAGACTCACCTTCACCACAAACCTTGATAGTTCTGCGAAAAAAAGACGCTAACCATGGCTGTGTGTCGCACACAGTCACTCGCCTATGATATCACGCCTTCACTGAGGATTTAAAGACAGCCGTGGGACCCTTCTTGTCAACATCTTCTACTACTCCTACACTCTACAACATATCCTGCGACGCCAGAAAAACCCTCGTTCCAACAACAGCACCCACGTGTGTCTGCATTCATCGAGATGCCTACCGAGGCCGAGAACATCCAGTTCCTCTACCTGGTTTTGACGTACGATAACAATCCCACTGTAAGTCATGGCCCTCCGTTTGTCTACAACAGCATTACCAACTTCGCCCTTGAACATCCTACCCATCAAGCATTAGGCTAATCGGCGGTAGATTGATTGGGATGCTATCGGCCATGTTCTCAACCTCAACAAGGGCGCGGTTACCAAGCGTTGGTCGCGTCTCAAGAAAGCCATAGACCAGGGAGAGACGCCCAGTGCCTCGGCCTATGGCTTTCTTTGGCTCTGCGTTAAGCATAGTACACGTGCAAATGTAGGTTTTAACCTTCCCTCTCATCGTAAATTTTCTCAACAACTCGAAACCGCGACTGACAGCAACGCAGGCCCCTAACTGGGAAGCCATCGCCAGCAAATGCGATACTACAGCTGGTGCAGCGTCCAAGCGGTACTCTCGCATGAAGAAGGCTTTCGAAGAGAACGTCACGGCTCCAAACACACTTCCAAGCTCACCAGTCAAAAACACTCCTGTCAAGCCCAAGAGCACTCCCAAGTCCGCTGTCAAGAAGGGCACTAAGGCGGCCGAGAATGATGCAGCATCCCCGAGCGTCAAGCGCAAGCGCTCAACCGTCAATACACCTGCTTTGACTGCTGACGCAGATGAGAAGTTCAAACCAGAACCCGACGAGGAAGACGATGAAGAGCTTTTCGATGTGAAGCCCAAGCGTGTCAAGTCCAAGAGCACTACCAAGATCATTCCCAAGCCTAAGCGCAAGACGGTTGTCAAGAAGGAAGTCAGTGCAGATGAGGAAGGCGATGTCTTCTACGACGCCGAAGAAGAGGCCAAGCAGGATGCTGAGGACATCACTCATGAGCGTTAGTCTCGACCCCCCCGGTTTGAATTGGTCTTTTGCAGCTCTGACCATGCGTTTGTATCAAGACTCTGCAGGAGTACGCGCTGGCTCACTGTCCTTTGACAATGTATTTATCTGAGCGATACGTTCTTATGGAGCAATGTGAGCATTTTCGTTCACACAGCAAAAAAGCTGCTAATGCGATCTTCAATAGGGACTCTACAGTGGCTCGAGGAGTGTGTCTCAATTTGGGGGAAAGCGATGCGATATGGGCTGGATGAATGAAGTAGGAAGGTTGAATGATTGAAAGGAAAGTCTAGGTAAAGGTTTGCATTTGAGAAGGGATTGATTAGTATGGGTAATATTCACGGCGACTTGAGAGATAGCCGCACATATTGGGCTACGACGTTCAGATGGAGCGACTTGCGTATGCGGTTGCATTCTGAATTCCTTGCAACCTTACAGATTCGCTAGTAATTCAATCTAAGGCTTCAGAAGCAGCTTTCCAGTCGTCTTCCTGCTCTCAATGTCCTGTGTCGCCCTCACCACGTCGCTTAAATCATAAACATCGTGAATCTTGACATTTAGTCCATCCTTTTCAATAAAGTTCCACAACTCGTTTGCAGCAGCCAAGGCTTCCTCGCGGGTAGCGAGGTAGTTGAACAGCGTAGGCCGGACGAGCTTGATGTTCTTCGCCGACAGACGGCTAGCAGTGTATCAGCAATGTTGCTCCAGAAAGATTCGTGCATGTTGAACAGAGAAAAAAGGGGAAAGGGAAACTTACGCAAGAGCAAATCCTTCCACAGGCCCGGACGCGTTACCAAACGAACACATGGTTCCTTTCCGCCTAACGACAGCCAGCGAGCTATCAAACGTCGCCTTGCCAACGGAATCGAAAACCGCGTGAACGCCCTCGCCACCCGTAATCTCAAGCACCTTTTTCACAAAAACGCCTCGGTCGTCCTCGTGGTACTCTAGCAGCACCTCTGCGCCGTTTTCCTTGGCCAAGTTTCTCTTCTCCTCCGTACTCGCCGTCGCAATAACGCGTGCGCCAACCGCCTTGAGCAACTGGCACAGCCACAGGCCGACGCCGCCAGCGGCGGCCGTAACAAGGATCCAGTCGCCCTTTTGCACGGGATACGCCTCACGAATCAGCGTCACGGCAGTAAGCGCCTGGAGAAGCGATGCAGCAGCTACTTTTGCGGAAATCGAGTCTGGGAGAGGCACCGTGTACGTGGTAGGCACAGCCACGTACTCTGCATATGCAGAACTAGCCATGTAGGCTACTCGCGCTCCGGGCTTCAGGTCGCTGGGAACATTGGGGCCTGGAGCTGCGATGGTGCCCGCGCCTTCGCGGCCGAGAATGTAGGGATAGCTTGGTGCCTTGTAGACGCCTGAGCGGAAGTATCTGGTTGAAATGTATTTGAGCGATTGATTGCAAGGGGTGGAGGAGAGCCAAACTCACGTGTCGATGTAGTTGATGCCGATGAACTCGTTCTTGACTAGCACCTCGCCCTCCTTGGGTTCAGGAACAGGTACATCCTTGTACTGCAGGACTTCTGTTCCGCCCGTTTTCTCGATATACACCGCCTTCATTGTCTTTGGAAGCGAGGCCATGGTTCGGATACTGAGTGGTAGCGCCCTTGAGCCGAAGTGCGTACTAATAGCTAAGAGTCGGGTTGATGCAATTGTTGGTCTGCAAAGCAATTGAGTCGAGCGGAATGCTTGCAAAGCCAAGTTCATGTATTAAAATTGGAATTGACGGATGTCCTACTAGATATTGGGGAGGGGGGGGAAATTGTCGTGATGATAAATACAGATGGCTTTGCCCCGCTCCTCCCCACGCACGCTCTCGTTTGGGGATTCGGACTACTCGGACATGAGGGGCTATGCGACGGTTGCATGGGAAAGCATTTTCAGCACGTTTAGAGGCAGTTTGCTATCTTCAACTCGTCTGGAATAGATGCTATTATTTGATGCAATCTTTCAGATATCTTCAACATGTAAAATAACATTGCTCAGAAACCGAGTTCTCATGTTGTAGATTGCCATTTTTGGTGGGGATGTTCTCTCCGACTTCTCCGCCTGCCCCGAGAGCCCCGCAGACGTCACCACATATCGTCTTATTCCGCAATATTGCGACATGCGTTATGATACAGCGCTGTCGTTGGTTTTATATTAGAGGTTGGTGTGATGCATCCCCAGTTCCTGTCCGGTACTTGCTAGGGCGTATGTCATGTGAAGGGCGTATGGGGTTACCGAGGCCTATGTATATGACCGTGCCGATATCGCTTGCCGTGAGTTTAGCACCGAATGCTGTATGTAAGCAATGGCTGTTTTTAATACCGAAGAGAATCTATTTTTTTGTTATCGAATATAATGCGTGCGATGTGATCTCTCTGGTTAAAGCATGGAGGGTTTATCGCCCATTGCCTAATCACCTTATACTAGACATGTATTTCTCCAGGACCATACTGAATATCCAAGGAATTCCCTTTCTAAATTTCTAGTCTTATCATTCATCTCTGGCTATATGAGTCAAGATATTGCAACGAAAATTTTAAATAAATTGAGGTAAATGTCTAGAAAGACTCTAAGACAGATATCTTGGTCTAGCATTGACACGTACTACATCTTGTCTTAAGTGAGATCCACCACTCTACTTATCGTTACAAGTGTCAATATTAGCATGAATGATACGAATTCGTTATGTAAATGGAAATCAAGCTTCCATAATCCCATTAGTAACCAACTCAACTCTTGTCTTCACCTGCCAAAATAGCATCTGCATTACAACCTCTCAACACAGCAAGGCCAGCCTTGCAAGATATCTCTTGGATTAAGTTTGCTGATTACGAACATTCAACGAGCACAGATGCAAATGTTAGTAGGATAGCGAGATCGTGTGTCTTATTAGTGATTCACGATAATGTATAAGCCGAGAAGGGAAAACGTGCAAACGCTTTGGTCTTTACAAAAGCTCAGCCTCAATTACAGGAACCTCCACCTCTCCCACTTCCCTCTTTCACCACCAGCAACTAGGTCTACGCTTTTCCACCATGTCTACCACATATACGACTCATATCCCTCTCGAGGTGCTACAGGCATACGCAGTGAAGCATTTCCTCAAAGATTTCGCCAAGCTCCCGCCGCATACAAACTGCAAGACGGAAAAGTTTGGAGACCAGTTCAAGTTGCGGGTAGGTGAAGCACGCGCCATTAGCAAGTTCTCCAAACCCTATCTCAAGCCGGAGCCTGTTTATGCCGTGGTGGCCGGGAGCGGATTTGAACTGCGGAGGGAAGACGCAACCAACAGTGTCATCTCACCACACAACGTTGTCTTCGATGCACCATTCTGTTACTTGTATCCGCATGGCGTACCCTACTTTTCAGTGCGAGATCTGCACATTGTACTCCGCTACTATTTCGAGTCGTTTGGCCAGTCGGTACCTGTCGACCCGGCTCGTTCTGAATTCCTGCTATATGCACAGCAGCTTCGGAGTGCGTGTGCCAAGATTGCAGATGGGCAAGCAACAGGCACCGAGGAGAGGGAAAGCATTGCAGAAGGTAAGTTTTCCATCATGCATCGTGCACTCACACTGACAAGTAGCAGAGAAATCCGACATCACCACGGTATGCAAATATTCTTAGCTCCTGATGTCTCATACAAGCTTACTAATAAGGAGAAATAGTTTGAAGATCAGCTGCAGCGTATGCATGCTTGTTACGAAGCTTTCAAGGTACAAGCGCTCAAAGATGAGGTAGCGCTTGGAGAGTTGGAGCTTCGAGAACAGGAATCAAAGTTGGAGAAGGAAAAACTTGAATGTAAGTTGAACACAGAGTTGAGGAGGGCTAAGGAGGAAGCCGTCATGTGGAAGAGCAGATATGAGAGGCTTAGAGAGGCTATCTTCGCCAGTCTCGGTACTGTGGAGTCGGACAAGGTGAACTGAGTCAGTGTCTTGAATGTCAATGGAACGCTACTATGGGATGAATAGGTGACGTCTAGTCAACTCGTAGTCGACGCGCCATGTTCAAAAAAAGCGGAATTTAGGGCTGCTGGAAAGCTTGCTTGATAATATCTCAAGGGCTTTGAATTCTGTAGGGATAATGCTGTTTTCGTGATACGGGCATTGATTGTGGTCACAGACAATCTTGGGAACAAAGACGTACCTTGTCTCCAATGACAACACCGTACCCATTTTCAGTCATTGACCTTGTGCGCAGTATATGAAACTTGAACAATGAAATTCAAGTACTTTGTAGCACTCGTGTGGACTTCTGCTGTGAATCATCTGGGTTTGAGCCTTGAATGTGTCCATGTCATGTCCTGTGTCGCACATGCAAGCCCCGTTGTTTCTAGTCGCGATCGAAGTCTAATATAAGAAAGCAGGAGATTGGTATTTTGTAATCTGAACCCCAGAAAGGCCACTAAGCCCCAATCGCAGATACCCACATAACTGTGCAGAATGCCATTCGCCAGTTACTCCGAGCTCGCAGCCTATGCCGAGGCTAACTTTCCAACCGCGTTCCGAGCGCTACCCGATCCAAACACATATGCGATTGTCAAATCGAGCCCTTTGGGACCGAGAGTCAAAATAGGGTATTCATCCGTAGATTCACAGTCCGCTGTCTGGGCGCTGCTATGGAGTTGCCATGGCCAGATCACATACATCGACGGTGATGGATGGATCCCGGTTGGCAGTTTCACGCTTGAAGAGCCCTACTCCCAGCTATGGGATGGAGAGGCACAGCAGAATGCGCTGGGCCATCCAGATGTATTTGATGCCTTCATCAGGTATAGCATCATGGCTATGGGTCAACCAGGGTACCTTCAGGTATCCAACAACCCACTTCGCTACCATTTCCAACCAGTATTCCGAGAACTATGCGAAGGATGGCCCAAGGCCTCCCTTGCTGATGGAGACAATGGAGAAGAGAATACCGCAACAGTAGACCATCCAGATATGCTTGTCTCGTCAGTAAAGCTACATCACCTACTGTCAGAGATCGAGCGACTAACGCTCCAGTCCAAGACCTCCCAAGTACTTCTTGAAGTCTTTGAACACGCCCACAGACGCAAACATGGTCAACACCGGCGGCGCGCCGCGAAAACTAAGAGACAAATTAAAGGACTGCAGTATAAGCTTTTGTTCGCGAATTGGGCGGCACAAGGATGGATGATCAAGTACGAGAGGTTGAAGGAGGATTTGCGGAAATTAGCTGGAGAAAATTAGGATACTTGATGTGAAAATGAGCCACACAAATAGAAACCCCCCCCCCGAAACTATCCACCGAACAAGCGAAGATGTGGTTCTCACCATGGGTGTACTTGTTCCATTGAAATCCCAATCGCAACGTCCACTGAAGTAATCGTCTCGTCACAAAATGGCAGGCCAGGGGGTTGCCACGCTCGTGCTCGCTCGCTTGTTTCCCACCCCAACCCGTCACTATCACCCACGCGGCCGGCAAGCAAACCAAGTTCAGCGGCGCCACTACGTCATCGCTCAACAACAGCCGCAGACATCAACAACCAAAATGCTCTCTCATCGCCCGCGCTACTACATAGGATTCCCCACTCCTAGCACGATACTACAATTGCATCCTGCATATCCCTACTGAGTTGCTACTTTTGTTTTTCCAATACATTTGTTTTCTTTTGTGCGTGCAGGATGAGCGCACTACTATCCTCTATCCTAGCGCCTATCGCCTTGCCGCTAGGCTCATTTCTAGCTATTCCAATGCTGAGCTCGTGGTCGACCAGCTTGAACCTTATATTCCTATCTGTCGCATGGACAACAATTGCCGCATCGTATTCTCCGCTGCAGCTGGAACTCGTCGCGCCGCTCGTCTTGCGACTGTCCTTGTACATTATCCCTAGCCTGGCTTTTCTTTTATTCGACATTGGCGTGCCTAGCCTTGCTGTCGAGTTCAAGTCCCAGGGGAAATGGGGGATCCCGAGTAATCAAAAGGGAGGCGCGAAAGTAGTCCGGAGAGTAGTAGCGTGGAGCTGTGCCAATGTGTTGCTCACGGTTGTGTTGCAAGCGGGCATTGAGTTTCTCGTTACGGATGTGTTGCGCATGAAGAGCCTATTACTCATCAAGGGCAGTAGGTGGGGACTCAATCACTTGCCAAACCCGTGGATAATGGTCAAGCATGGCATCATTGGCCTGGTTTCGCGGAATGTAAGTTGTTGTCTTTCGTATTACCAAGTAGATTTGCACTGACGCACAAATCAGGTCCTCCAATACTACATTCACACTCACCTTCTGCATTCGCCAACTGGTGGCATCCTGTCAGACCTCCACCAAAGTTGGCACCACAGTATCCGGATCCCATACTCTTTTGCGGCAAACTATGACCATCCCATCTGTCACCTCCTGCATCGCTTTGTGCCCCTGTATCTCCCAGCGATCGCACTGCGGATGCACATATTAACTTACCTCATCATGGTTGGACTTTTTAGCCTAGAAGAGACGTTTGTCTACTCCGGCTACAATGTACTCCCATCGACCATCATGTTGAGAGGTATGGCACGTCGCGCTGATGCGCATATGATGAGCGAGGGAGAGGGAAATTATGGCTGCCTGGGTGTGATGGACTGGTTTCATGACACGACCTTGGGCAAGGATGTTGTGGAGGATCTGAAAGCGGAGATGGACAAGCACAATGTGGAGGCCAAGGCTGGAAAGGCTTTTGAAACTGCAGGGGATGCGGCAAATGGGTTTGCGGGCAAATTTGGAAGATCCAAAAAAGGAAAAGGGAGGAAGTGAGTGGCATATCAACATATACTGGGCGCACAGAATGGGGCAGTACAGATTGGCGCAGTCAGTCCTGGGATCATGGTTTGCTGTTGGTTTGATACCCTTACGTCATATTGGATGTAGGTAGTTCGCGTGGCAGCCGGTGCAGGGATCGGTCGAACAATGTAATGTCTGTATCTCTATTCCTTGCATCAGTACTCGATTACCGCCCAGTATGTACCGCGCCAATTCAAACGCCCAACTATGACATCACGCAAGCGGAGACCAAATGTTCACTTCTGGACCGTCTCAGATTCGCTTGCTCGTTATAAAGTCTTATGGTAAATGCCTTGGCGGTATCCTCCATGAAAAAAATTGGCTGCCCTGCCGCTGCGGTTCTTGGTCCTCGCTAGTACGGCTGCAGTTTGCCGAAGTCATCTTTCATCCCATGCACTGAACGCCGAATGCCCGATCGTTATCCGTCGCTTAGAAGACCATCGCGTGAGGCCTGTCTGAGCTGCGGAGGCTGAAGCTGGCACCGAGGTAGTCAACGAGGTGGGCCTCCTTCTTGATGGTGGCCAGAAGAGCCTTGTCGACGGCCTTCTGGTCCTCGACGCGGTCCTTGGACGTCTCCTTCTTCTGTTGCACCCGTTAGTCTTGTTTGCGCGGAGCGCTGTCGTCGTGGTTACGCACCTCGGGCTTCTCGCCCTGCTTGAAGAAAGCGTCCTCGCCGGGCTTGTGGGGGGCCTTGTCCTTGGTGAAGTAGCCGTCTTGGCTGGCCTTCTCGATAACCGACTCGTCTACACCCGCGAGGTCGACCTTGGTGGAGGTGGCAATGACATATCGGGCGTTTACTCGGCGCAGGGGAACACCGTTAACTTTGAAGGGACCAGTAACAAGGAGAACACCCTGGGCAAGGTGCTTGAGGACAACAACGCGCTTGCCACGGAAGCGACCAGCAAGGAGGATGACGACGGTACCGGGCTGGAGGGACTCGCGAACCTTCGCAGGGCGAACTGTCTTGCGGGCCTTTGGTCGCAGTTAGCGGAGCTCCAGAAGATGCTCTACTCGCCAAAATTCCGCAATGGCACGCCCGCTGCGTGCCGTCACACGGAGGGTCCTTGCCAATTCCCATGTAGTCCTTCTCTTTCAAACTCCCATCGCTATCGCAAACGTACCTTCTTGGGGACAGCGACGTCCTCAGCAGGGTAGTACTTGCTGGCCTTTTGGCTGTGGTGCGGTATCGACCTCTCCCCCTTGGAGAACGTCTTGGTGGTGGGCTTCACGTCCTCTTGTTTGGCCGCCATTTCGTTTCGCTGTGGTCGTTAGTGCTGGTCGGTGGTGTTGGCGATGGAGTCGATTTTCGTGAAATCCAGTGTGTGCCAAGCTGTCCAATCGATACGCGCGACCGGGCCGAGCATTGTTCCGGTGGGCACGGAGCTTGCCGCCGCGTCGCCGCCAGCTCCACCGAAGAGGCCCAGGCAGCTTGAACATCATTGTCACAACACCACAAAGATCCCCACAAACATGTCAGTTCAGCCGTTAATTACCTTCAAGGCGGGCCAGTGCGAGCTCACGGTAAGCTGCATCCATGTCTCCCGATCGCCTTCCCAACTCTAATCGCGTAAACAGCGCCGAGATGGCAACCAGCAGACGGTCAAGCCAATACCGACTCCCGGTTACGTCTACCTTTACCAGGGAGAAGATGGTTTGTCTACAGCTGCGTCATCCCGCGCACCCACTGACGCCTCTAGAATTCGTGCACTTTTGCTGGCGGCCCCGTGACAGGCCTCTGGACCAGTCCGAGCTTGACCTCATCATGATCCCCGGCGACGGCTCGTTCCTCCCATACACCGGCAAAGAGCCCGGCGATGATTCCGAGAACATCAGATCCCCCACCGACGGCCGCATTTACGTCCTCAAGTTCTCTTCCAGTTCACAGCGCTACCTCTTCTGGTTACAATCCAAGTCGGAACACCCACGTGGTGCTGCCTGGTTCAGCGAGCGCGATCAGAAGATTGGCCAGATTGTTGATCTTCTCCTGACTGGTGAGGAGATTGATGTGCAGGCTGAACTTGCAGGTCTCTCCGACTCGCACGGCGGCAATGATGAGGACGAGACGATGGAAGACGTAGGCCACTCATCTAGCCGAAACCGCCACGGTAGCACCGGAGGCGCAGGAGCTGATGCTACTGGCGGTGACATCCGAGAAGAAGGCGAGGAGTCCCGAGAAGGTGGTGCTGATGGTGGCAGAGCGTAGGTTCCGTCTATTTGTATCGTATGCGGCGTCGTGGCGCAGTGGACTCTTTGAAAGCACCGAAACTGCTGTGGAAGACTGTGCCAGTCTCTTTTAGAAACACTTCTCCAAAGATATCCTGTTACGGTACGGCGTTTGGGAAAGAAGCATAAGCCCATCCAATAAGAATGGTATATTGGCGCTGGCTGCTCATGTACAACAATAGAAAATAAGCATCATGCTAAGCCTCTCACCGGCCACGCCACGGCGCTCGCTCTTTTGTTTTTCTAAGCTTCACGATACTGAGCACAGCGCTAACGTTCCGACAGAGCCGCAGCAGGCGATGTCTCCGCTATTGTCTCAAACTTTATGGATTCGCTCAAAGGTGGAAACATGGGCGGCAGCTCGCAACGCCAGGGTGCATCTGCCCCGTTCACTACCCTCCTCGACCTCCTGTGGCCTTCACACACCGTTCCCACTGTTCAAAACGCATCTGATGACATCATCGACGCTCTGTGCGCCCAGCTTCCCACAACACCCTTTCTGCTAGAAGCCGAAGTCGAGGACGTTGATCAAATCGACCCCAACTCGGAGACTGCGCAGATGGCCATCCAGACGCTGAGCCGAGAGGAGAAGATTGATGTCCTAAGCCGGATTCTGCGTGCGCCACAACTGCGGGCAGCGCTGGGTAGCTTGACCGAAGCGCTCAAGACAGGTGCTCTGCCGACAGTCAGCCAAGCCCTGAACGTCGACGTCGAGAACGGCGGTTACATGCGGGGCGGTGCCATGCCGCTCGGCGGAGGCGATGCAGTCAAGGCGTTCCTGGACGGCGTCAAGAAGACGGTTGAGAAGGAGAAGAAGAACAAGGGAGGCGATGAGATGGACACAAGCTAGATGTCGCAAAGACGCGACAAAGAGCTGGATGTGATGCATCACGGAGTGAACGACTGACCCATGACTTACGGTACATATTGGAAATGATGCACGGCACATGCATAGCATTGCTCAGGAAGAATGGATCATCTTGATCTTTGGTCCCCGCTACCTCCCCGTTATCGTGTATGAAGTGCTGCAACATTGCCTCGCCTCCCATCCCACTCATACCCTCTGATCTCATGCCATTCCTTCAGCCATACCCAGTGTACACCCACATCTACCCACCAAACCGTTCCCTAAACCCCGAAATCCCACTCAACTCTTCCAGGTCCTCTTGCTTGACTCCCACATGGTCATCCTGGTACTGGCTCATCCACGCCTCACGATACCCACTCCACTCTGGCTTCAAATAGCAGCTCCGACAGGGTACGTTGCCGCGCGGCAGATAGTGCGAGAAGTAGTAAGGGCACAAGTTTGGTTTCTGCGTGCTACAACAAAAAGGCACATGAATAATCAATAATCCAGTTATTATTTCATCCGGGCACACGCGGTGGAGTTCATGAATATTTGCAAAGAAGGGTGGTGGAAAGGGAGGACGAGTGCGAGATATCTGACTTACCTATAGTTTTCTCTTCGTTTTGAGGATACGAATACCATGCGTCCGTGGAAAGATAGTGGCTGCACCGTGGAAGATGTAGGAGAAGGCTCCCGCGACGATGTAGGTGTCGGTGTTGTCGAAGATGAAGAAGATCTAGGCGGCGTGTAGGCAGATGGTAGTGTTGCGGGCTGTGGATGAGTGGCTACGATGCGGAATGCGCTTTGCTGGTGTATCGGTGGCCAGGACGCGACTACGCGTAAGGGCGAAGGGTAGACTGCAGACTGAGACTGAGACTGGTGGGATCTGTCGGTTATGTCGCTTCTTCGCGCGGCTGCGGGTGTAATAGGTCTTGTTGGCGGTGCGGAAGCGGACTGCGACGGCTGTGATATGTGTAAATTGCTTTCCTGAGTGCGCTGGCATCCTGTAGCATGGGCGTGCGGACATGGTGTGATGCAGACTAATTTGCGGTGGCTACAGGCGTAGATTTGGTATAGATTGTGGCACATGGTAGTAAGAATTGTTGCAGTGGAGAAAGACAAAGTTGAAAGTGTGTAACACTGCTCGTCAAGAACGAAAGTGCCGACTATATGAAAGGAAGAAGCCGTGTTGATATTGACGTATTGACAGCAAGCTCTTGCACTGTCATTCACAGATAGTAAGTAGATGCTCGAAATTTCGGCTTGCTTAGCTTGTTCCTGTCTGTTTGCTGATGCTGTGTCGGTCACATGTTCCTGGTCGGCGGAGCGCGCGTAAATAGAGGTCTTTGACCAATGCACAAAGCTTTTTGTTTCATGCTAAGGGCCGTACCGGGCATTATAAAGTCGAGAATGGTTAGTGTAACGACAAACTCTTCCCCATGCGGCGAACACCGTGCCACCAAACTCCATGCCACCAAATGCTCAAACAAGAAATGACTCCACAAACCCCGACCAATAGCGCTCCACTAGTAGCTTCGTCCGAACAAGATCCACTGCTTGGCCGGAGTCGAGCAGCTTGGGTTGATACACTTGGTCTTGCCAGGCTCAATCCCTTCAGGCTGGTCAAAAGGAATACACAAACTCTTTGCGCCCATGGCAGGGGCCTGCTTGTCCTCGGCAACACCATCACCCAAGGCTGTCCTGGCGCTCTTGGCCTTAACCTCATCCTCGCACTTCTCACCCTCACAGTGAGGAACCAAAACAACGTTCTTGCCGTTGAGAGTAGGAACGAAATCGTCCCAGTTGGTGAGCTGAACACGGCGCTCGCGGAAGACCTTGTCAGCCTTTTCGAACATGTCCTTTTGGATTTGCTCAAGTAGCTTGGGCACTTCTTCTGTGAGGCTGTCAACGTTGATGGTACCACGTGCAGCGTCCTTGTCGTCGATGTCACGGCGGGAGGTGGTGACAACACCCTTCTCAGCATCCTTAGGGCCGAACTCGATTCGTAGAGGGATACCCTTAAGCTCCCAGTCGTTAAACTTCCATCCGGGAGAGTAGCCTTCACGGTAATCGGTTTCAACACGAACGCCTGCGGCTTTCAAATCATCTGCAATCTTCTTGACCTTGTTGTAAAGATCCTCCTTAGCCTCGGGCGCCATCCTGCCAAAATTAGTAACGCTTTTCTCAGATGAATTAGAGAACATACTTGGCTGTGACGCCGACAGGGATAACGACGACTTGGATCTCAGCCACTCGAGGAGGAATGACCAGACCTCGGTTGTCACCGTGAGTTAGGATCATAACACCAATTGAGCGAGTGGTCAGACCCCACGAGTTCTGCCAGACGTGAACGTGCTCTGACTTTCCAGCCTCCTTGGCATGTGGGTCCTCGACAGTGATGTTGAACATCTTTGAGAAGTGCTGGCCTAGACAGTGAGAAGTGGCCGCTTGGATGCCACGACCTGTAGCAGGGATGAAACCTTCGATAGTGGTGGTGTAGTCGGCTCCAGGGAACTTCTCGTTGACCGTCTTGGTACCCTTGACAACAGGAACAGCGAGCAGGTTTTGGTAGACATCGGAGTACCAGTCCAGAATTTGGAGAACTTCTGCGCCAGCCTCCTCCTTTGTCAGATGCGCAGTGTGGCCTTCTTGCCAAAGGAACTCTCGAGATCGAATGAATGGCATGGGGTCTGGACAAGGTTAGACAACGCATCAAGACAGATAGTTTGGAGAGCGTACGCTTGAACTCCCACCGAACGACGTTGTTCCATTGGTTGAGCTTCAGAGGTAGGTCGCGGTGAGACTGAATCTTGCGAGCAAAGTAGGGGTACATGGCAGTCTCGGATGTCGGGCGCACAGCCACGGGCTTCTCCAGGTCAGACTTGCCGCCCTTTGTGACCCAGGCGACCTCAGCAGCAAAACCCTCGACGTGCTCCTTCTCCCTTTCCAAGTTGTCTGAACTGATAAAGATGGGGAAGTAGGCGTTTCGGACTTTGAGCGTCTTGATTTGCGCATCGAACCAGGACTTGATGTTTTCCCAGATGGCATAGGACGAGGGTTCGAGGATATAACATCCGGCGACATCGTAGTACGAGATCATCTGGCCCTTGGTAATGACCTGCTGGTACCACTCTCCAAGGTCGACCTCTTTCGCGACATCGATACCGATAAGCGCAGATCCCTCAATCTAACATGCGGTGAGCAGGGAAAGAAGTGTAAACGCGCCCAAGATGTGTGCGACTGACCTTCTTCTTTTGCTGCTGGGGCTTCTTGGCAGCCTTTTGAGGGTTGCCATCCTTCTTGCTCTTCTGCGTCTCGGAAATGGAAAGATCCTTCATCTTCCCGTCGGCTGCTGTAGCTTCCGCCATGCTGAGGGTCTGTTGTAGACGACCAATGTTAGCACTGTTACAGGAAAAGAAGTGGCCAAAAGAGGGCTCTAGATCTTTTGAAGGCCAAGACTGAGGCAGGTATACGCAGATGCGATCTGGTATGTATATGGGAGGTACAGAAGATATAGGAGGTATTGGTGGGGCAAGCGGGGTATCGCGACGCGAGTTTGGGTAGCTTACATGCAATTGAGGGACGAAGAGCTGGGTTTCAACGCGTTAGAAGCGGCAGAGAGCAGGTGAATGACGGTGACAGGCAGAGACTCAAGTCAGAAAGACTGCCTTGGTGTAGGCTCGTGTGAGTCTCCAGCCCAATGTGTGGAGGGGCCGAGTCATCGGCGCAAGGGTCCACTTTAGCGCGACTGGCACAGCAGCGGAGCGACAATTCGCCGACGCGGGCGGGCGTGCTTGGAGATTTTCTGGACCGCGTACTGGCAGCTACAACACAGCCAAACAGCTACACGACGACCAAATGGCAGGCATTTTCGAGCAGTCACGCAGCGGAGGGACTCTGTGTAAGCTTGCGAAGCTCGGGCAGCGGCACACGAGCAGACGGCTAACGACAAGACAGTCCTTGGAGGCACGAAAATCAGCGGCCAGGACATTCGCGACCAGAACGTCCTCGCAACCCAGGCCATTTCAAATGTCGTCAAGTCCTCGTTTGGACCCTCGGGTCTGGACAAGATGATGGTCGACGACATTGGCGATGTCACGGTGACCAACGACGGTGCCACGATCCTCAGTCTGCTGGACATCGAGCACCCCGCAGGCAAAATCCTCGTCGACCTCGCACAGCAGCAGGACAAGGAAGTCGGAGATGGCACAACGTCGGTGGTCATAATAGCGGCGGAGCTGCTGCGGAGAGCCAACGAGCTCATGAAGAACAAGATCCACCCCACGACCATCATCACAGGCTACAGGCTGGCACTGAGGGAGGCGGTCAAGTACATGAACGAGAACATCAGCACAAAGGTCGACGCCCTCGGTCGCGACTCGCTCGTCAACATTGCAAAGACATCCATGTCCAGCAAGATCATCGGCTCCGACTCGGACTTCTTCGCCAACATGGTGGTCGACGCCATAACCGCGGTCAAGATGACAAACAACAAGAACGAGGTCAAATACCCAGTCAAGGCAGTCAACATCCTCAAGGCACATGGTCAGAGCGCCACCCAGTCGATACTCGTCAAGGGCTATGCCCTCAACTGCACAGTCGCCTCGCAAGCCATGAAGACCCGCATCACTGACGCCAAGATTGCCTGCCTGGACATCAACCTGCAGAAGGAGCGCATGAAGTTGGGCGTACACATCACCATTGACGACCCAGAACAGCTAGAGAAGATTCGCGAGCGCGAGGCAGGCATCGTTACTGAGCGTATCGAGATGATCTTGAAGGCTGGTGCCAACGTCATCCTGACCACAAAGGGCATCGACGACCTTTGCCTGAAGCATTTCGTCGAGAAGGGCGCCATGGCAGTGCGAAGGTGTAAGAAGGAGGATCTCCGAAGGATAGCAAAGGCCACCGGCGCTACCCTGGTCAGCACACTGTCCGACCTGAACGGCGACGAGAAGTTCGAGGCTGCCAACTTGGGTTATGCAGAGGAGGTGTCACAAGAGCGCATCTCGGATGACGAGTGCATCCTCGTCAAGGGCACCAAGACTTTCTCCTCTGCATCCATCATCCTGCGAGGAGCCAACGACTACGCCCTTGACGAGATGGAGCGATCCGTGCATGACTCGCTGTCTGCCGTCAAGCGCACACTAGAGAGCGGACGCATTGTCCCGGGTGGCGGTGCCGTTGAAACTGCGTTGCATATCTACCTAGAAGAGTGGGCGACGTCAGTGGTAAGTGCATCTAAAATCTCCGATATCATCACAAGACTAAGCATGTACCCAGGGTTCTCGTGAACAGCTTGCGATAGCTGCCTTTGCGCAATCCCTGCTAGCCATCCCCAAGACTCTTGCTATCAACGCAGCCAAGGATGCCACTGAGCTTGTTGCCAACCTAAGATCACGACACGCCCTTTCACAACGCACAGTGAACCCATCAGACCCATCTTCGCAAGACGCCAAGCAGCTTGCCAAGTCAAAGAACTACAAGAACTACGGCTTAGATCTGGCCAACGGCAAGGTACACGACAGCTTGAAAGCGGGAGTGCTGGAACCCAGCATGAGCAAGGTCAAGCAGTTGAAGTCGGCAGTAGAAGCATGCGTTGCCATTATGCGAATCGATACCCTGATCAAGCTGGACCCGGAGGAGCAAGGAGGCGGTGACGATGGACATGGACATTGATACCATTAGAATCGGCACAAGAAAGAGATAGTCCAGAAAAGATAACGACAGCGTAATGAAGGCTTCGAAGCGCCCACGTGCACAACCCCCACTGCACTGCCCACACCCCGCTACCAGACCAAGGTGCACTAACTTTTTAAATTTAACAACCGAGCCGTGTGTGCAAGGCACACCGTGGTGCTAAACCATAAAAGAGTGAGGGGTCAGCCAAATGGTGTTATACAGGAAACGTTGTCTGCCAACCGGTGAGCCATGTCTGTCAAAAAAGGGACCGAAAGGTGCCTGGCGGTCACCTGAAATGGCGATTCATGTGCTTGGCAGCAATCATCGTGACCTATCAAATCTACGGACATGCAAGGCTGATCCTGTCTGTTGGCTTTGCTGGCTCAGCTCGCTTACCCCTGGACATCGCTACACCACGTTCCATGTGCATCTAACTGTTGTGCAGCCGCTGTCCCTACAACGAGCGACTTCGGAATTTGACATGGCAACAATGAAAAATACCAAGTATGGATCTCAAAGACGCGCGAAACCGGCATACATGTTGTAGGATCAGAAAGAAAAGACACTATTGTCTCTACACAATTGATGCCGCTTTGTTGTACACCGTAAAGTAAGTACGAGCTTCTTGGCACGCTATCTCCAGCTGAACAGCCTTTCAATGTTTTGACCCCGTATTTGTACTGACGTGCAAGCCTCAGTGGGTCCATGGGCGCCTTGCGGCAGAGCAATTAGCATTTCTCATAGCCCAACGTTATGGTACAGGGCTTGAACAAATCTACATTTAGCCAAAGAGTTTCCTCGCTCTTTGACACTTTGTTTATCAGAATTTGCAACCATGGCGCGCAATATGTTCGGTCCCTTGTTGGTCGCCCTTCTTGTCCAGGATAGTGTCGCTGCTATCATGTCAGCGCCGCCTGCCACAATCACCACAGCACCGTTAATTAGGAGGGCCGTCACTACTATCGGATACATCTCCACAAACGAATATGATGGCACTACTTTTTGTGATTCAACCTACGCAGTCTTTACTGTCCATCACTGACTTTTGCAAGGGGATACAATAACGGCAAATGATCAAGGCAATATCATCGCAACATCCGACAACCTATTTCAGATCTGCGACGTGTCGAAGCCATGCACTTTCTTTACCTGCTCGAGTGATTGGGTCGTATTTGCGACTACTTCTTTGTTTTGGTGCGTCAACTCATGGATTGATATACGTCTTGGCCATAGTGACTGATGACAGTGGCACAGCGGTGGATCATCCAGCACATGTAGTTATTGGGAGCTGGCGACAGATATCAACGACAAAAATCCTCTGACGAATTATTGGTGCGATGCCAAGACGAGTGTTGGTGGTATCATCTACATGAAAACACCCGAAGCTGGTATGTGCTCTTTACTACATGACAAAACAGTCTCTCTGACAGTCCATGTTGAAGTATCGGCATCCACGACAAGAACCGGAAGCTCAGTATCATCGGCCACAGGCACATCCAAGTCCTCTATAGCCCCAGTCACCGTATCCTTTACCTCGGCTTCTGTCATCGCATCTGAGCGCGTGACATCCATCTCCAGCTTGGGGCCCGGCTTGGACCAAACCAATGGCAAAAATGACTCAAAGGGTAAATCAACACCAGTTGGTGCCATAGCAGGCGGTGTCGTAGGCGGTGTCGTCGTTCTCGGCGCCATCATATTCGGAGTGTGGTTCTGGCTTCGACGCAAGAAGCACAACCAAACCAACAACGCCAATATCACTCAACCCACACAACAAACATCTCTGCCTCCTTCCCAAATGCAGCAACAAAGCCCCCAGCAGCCCCCCGCAGGCGTCCAGTACTACCATGAGCAGAAGCCTGTTCCTCAGCCGCAGGTCCAGCAAGTGCCTCCTCCTGCCCCTGCTCCTGCTCTTGCTCCTGCTCAGCAGCCATACGGCCACTACGACCCCAATGCTCACTCAACATATGTGCAGCAGTCGCAAGGCTCATACAGCATGTCCCCAGATCAGACGACAACATCCGTGACCACGGCTCAGCATCACCAGACGCACTCGTATTACGCGGAAAGCGGATCTATAAGTCCTGTACCACAGTATTCGCCCAGCCCGTCTCCCGCCGTGCCACCCGTGCCACCCAACATGAACGAGTTGTCTAGTGAGAGGATGTAAATTATCGGATAATTTGAGGTCAGGAGGTTTCTCTTGATTTTTTGCCTCTACTTTGACAACATCTATCCAAGCTGCGACATGTCTTCTTAGATGGGTTGAGATTTTGTAATTGGCTTTTGGCCTTCTCTTAGATCAACGCTAGATTGCAGCATTGAAGTTCCTTCTTTTTGATAAGGGAATGCGGAACTCGGGCATTGCAATCATATGGCACGCTCTTTAGCAATGTTTTTTTTGTGGTACGTATGTAGTGGGCGTGCTGCATCCGACGGTTTTAGTCGTGTATTGTGATAGGTTGTTTGAATGATACCCTTAATGAGTTGGATAAATAAAAAGAAGTTGTTATGTGATTGCAATCTTGTAAAACGGCATTTCAATACTAAAGGCTTCTGAATAGAATCGAATACTGCTTCTTTGTCCCCAGACGTAGGCTTCGCGGTTGTATGCCATACCGCATGCCCATATCCGACCCATGTGCCTCGTCTCCCCAAAGCTCCCATGTTGCATTTTCAAAATCCATGTTTTGATGACCAATAAGTGAGATTTTGTCTCTGAAAATCAAAAATCAAAACTCAAATTGAAAATCAGATACTGGTGAGATAAGTCAAGGTGTATGTAAATGGGAGATCGACTCGTTGGTGAATGTCTGACTGAATTCGCATCATCAGCTAGCAAGGAACGTAAGAAAAGAAGCAGATGATGTAAATACCGCGCTAGGGGTCTTGAAGAAATATTAGCATCTTTCTCATCTATGTCTTTGGCAAAGTTCCTTACTTCTTTTGTAGCCTGGATGCTGAATATGACTTAATCAAACCGAGGTTTCTTCGAGGTAAGCACCTCGTCGTCGCCTGTAGGGCTGAGAGACCGCTTCTTTTCAGCTTCTGCAATCTTCTGAGCTGATGTATCTGACTCCGAAGGCTCTCCAGCATCTTCCTCCTCGCGCTCTGAGGAGCTAGTACCGATTTCTTCGTCGGATTCGCTGTCATACGTATCTTCATCTGCTACGGATTGGGTGTTCTCGTCACTAGTCACACTTGCGCTCTCGCTCTCATCTTCTCCGCGTTCTTTGGCCTTCTCACGTACCTCAATCAGCTCGAGAACTTCAATAAAAATAGGCAAGCCTTTTCCCCAGTCGAAGTCGGCAAACATCTCGGCTTGGCCAGCGTACACAAAGACAAAGGATACCAGTGCCTTCATCTCGTTGCTCCAAGCGTACCCCCCAGCGTCTCCAGTAATGGCGCTAAAGATACCCTCGCCTTGAAAAGTACAATAGCCAAGGCTCAAGATTCCACTGTCGATCGAGCGCACATCTAGCCACGGCTTGCATGAACCTGACATCTTGACCCATGCAGGGCAAAGCCGACTGTATCCTGTCTTTCGTCCGATTCGGAGATAGGTTTTTCTATTGATAACTCGGAACTCGAAGGTGCTCGGGTCGGGAAAGCTTGCTAGAGCACTGGGACATGCGGCTTGGAGTAGCTTGAGCAACTGGCCCTTCCTGTATCGCTTTGCGTACCGCATTTTGATGATTTGATCACTGTGGATGCGGTCAGTGTGTAGTCAAACATGACGATTGTTAAGGCTTACGCGACATTGAGGTGTCTTGAAGTGTTGCTGAGTGGTCAAAAGGTGCTGTTGAGTGTAGTAGAAAGTCGTAGGTGCTGAAGATTTGTGGGGTTGAAAGCAATCTTACTTTATAACTACCAGATAGCGGGGATCCTCTCGTAGTCGCTGGCTGGTGAAGTAATAGCAGTAGGATAGTGATATAAATTCTGTAAGGATAGCGCGAATACTTACGCGGAAGTGATGCTAAATGTCCCAGTAACCACCACCCTATCATGAACTTGCTATCTAGCATCAATCTCACTTAGTAAGAAATGATATCACGGTAATTACATGGCAAAACACATTATATTCCACAGTGAGTGAAGGAGTGTACCATCTATGTTGTAACATAGCGATTGAATCCATAGATGACTCTCATAATAAAGGCCTCTCAAGCAAGAAGTATAATCCCAAGAATGATTTTATGAATCCTCCATGAGAATTTTCAAAAGTAAAACTATAATTCACACACACTCACGGACACATGTCGACAACAAGGACTACATGTCAGATCAGCAAGAGTAAAGCCGTCAGTGCATGAACCATAGTCTGGGCAGAGCTTAACGCATGCAGAAACTGCAGCACTTATGCAGCGCGAAATAGTAAAAGAAAAAGCACGGTAGTTCGCACGTGCTTTCGTGCATTAGCGTTCATGAGGTGATTTTTGGGGAAATACCCCCGTCGTAAAATGATCTACCACGACGTCGATCATTACCAACGTGTGATCTTGGAGTCTGTGAGTCTTCTGAAATGTTTCCAAAGACTTTTTAACATATTTTCTTTCATTGTTCGCTCTTTCTATGTGAAGTCGGTGCTGAAAACTGGCCTTGAGAATACAGCCCGTAGGATCCCCCAAATAATATATTTTTGAGAAAAAAGCTTCCTAGTCTCTAAAGCAGCCGCATCTCGCTTTCGTCGATAGATCTGGTGGGTTCACAGGGTACTCGTTCCAGTCATACTATTTCCTCCACTTGCGTTACGCGTCCAAAGTCTCATTTCATCGTCCGCTGTATTTTGTTGGTTCGTCGTAGTGTCTATAGATACATTGTCGTGCACTTCCATCTCATAGGTATTACTCTTACTCTGGCCACTGACATGTGATGGTGAGCTTTGAAACGATGGACCAGTATTCTTGGGCGAGCCATGGTGATCCCGGCTGCGGAAGTGGCTGCTCAGTAGTCCAGGAATATAGCGAGAGAAAAATGGTTTTAGTGCAGGAGCACATGCACAGAGAATGCTGGCATTGACTTCTGCAAAGCACCACTCGAACTGCTCCACTGCATCCCAGGTATAGTCGGTAGAGACCATGAGCGATGGCAAAAGTGTTGTCCGTCGAATAGCAACCGCGCATACACTGATTAGGTGATCAGCGAAGCATTCCCACTGGTGATGGATAAAACCTACAACGCACCCGTGCCGAAAATCCTACATATGGTGATCTTCTGCCTCATGGGCATCTGCAGTCCGACAATTATAGGTATCGGGAGTGCCAGAGTGGCCACGTCGATGATGATATTCAGGACTGAAAGCGCCATGTACTTGGTCAGTTGATTCATACACCTTGCCTCATGCATCAACCTGAGATCTCAGGTCGCAGCTATTGGTGTGCACCCAAAGATGCTAATGAAGTTGTAAACTGTTGCATAAAGGACGACAATGGCAATAAGCAGCCAAACACATCTGCGAAACCACGTATGCGGCGACAAGCGCCTGTAAAAGAGGAGAATTGAGAGTTTCGAGAAGGCGAGGCTTGTAGCGTATAGGATCGTGCCGACGAGCGTCCACTGTGTTCTGCTATTAGATTGAGGCCAAAAGCCCAAGTTTTGGATGGAGGCATACCTTCTGGAATGGCGAGACAAAGCTGTCTATTTTTACGTCCCAGATATGGTAGCCCAGGCCAGATCGCATGTCTACGCAATGCTTAGCCTTGCCAGTTTGTTAACGGAAATGAGACCCACGTGGGAAATTGCAAACAAGCAATGCAAGGCTGAAGGTCATAGCGATAACTGCCATGTCTATCATTCAAGTTGTTAGTGCTTTTGATCGGATTAATCGAATCGAATAAAGGGTCAACTTACGGTCGTTGACATGAACTCCCATCTCGGTTACTCGTGCTCTCGTAAAGAGACGTAGAGTCACCGCCACCAAAGCTACTGCAGTGGTTGACACTCCCACAATCGTGAGTTCCATGTGCAGGTTCGGAGGATCAATTGGATATCTAATTTGACCAGGCGGTGGCTCCGCCACGTAGGTGGATGAAAAATCCATCTCTGGGTAAGTAAGGAAGGAATATGAGGCGCAAAACAAGAAGAAAATGGCTGAAATCTTATGAGGGGCAGAAGAGTCTATCGAAGATCAACACACACACTGTGCCACATCTTTGCATGGCACGACGGTACCAGCAGAGCGGTCCTATCAAGCCAGTGCCTGGAGGTCGTGAACGAAGAGATTGTGTGATCTGGGTGCACAAATGATGAAACAAATTCTGCCCTTCGGTACTGCGATCGGCCCAAAACGGTCATGATGCGTTGTGCAATTGATAGTATCCAAGACCTAGCCGTCCTACGATTCCAAAACAATCCAGGTCACGCCTGTTGAATAAATCACTCTACCGCCTCTGGGCGATCACATACATGCGGTGTATAAATGCTAGCCCGTTGTATTTGAAGCCAATCAGCCAAAAGGAGATGGGTGGGTGGGCCATATCCAGGGATTCCCTAATACAGCCACGGCACGCATATGTACAGCCCCACTAAAGGATGCAGTGCATTGGAAATCATCAGGTGAGCGTCTGCAATCCGGATCGCCCAAAGGTATTTGTATTCTATATCGCCTGTCATGTATATAAGTTCTGGATGACCGTGCATTTCCTTCCGCCTTTCCGGATACTCACGCCGTCTCATCTATTCCGTGATCATGGGTGATATGACGTCCTCACTTCCGTACGCGGTCAATCTGCTCCCTTTCGCAGGCAAAGTCATTGCTGTTACTGGAGCCAGTCGAGGACTAGGCTTGGCCCTATGCAAATACTTGCTGATACGAGGCGCTACCGTGTCAATGTGCGCGACATCAAAGGAAAATCTATCCAAAGCTACCAAAGAGATCGACAGTGAACTCCCTAATGCAAAGGGACGTTACTGCACGTGGATTGTTGATATTTCCAACCTGGATAGTGTTCGGATATGGATTGAAGAGACAGTAACGAAATTTGGAAAGCTGGACGGCGCCGCTAACGTCGCTGGTAAGCTCTGTTGATCTGCCATGTTGCACTGGCTGATATATTCATGCAGCGGTGGAGCAACGCGACATCTTTCCACTTACAGATCTGGACCCGGAATACTTTGCAAGACTAGTCAATGTCAATGTCGTCGGTACCTTTCACTGTCTCAAGGAAGAGATGAAGGTGATCACAGATGGTGGTTCAATCGTTAACGTAGGAAGCATCGCAAGCCAGTACGCAATGTACGGCGCTTCAGCATATGTTGCTGCAAAGGTGAGACTCTTATATACTAACTGTATGTGAACAAGACTGACTGAGTACCAGCACGGTCTAATTGGATTGACCAAGGTTGCTGCCCTTGAAGGAGCACCGAGACGAGTCAGAGTCAACGCCATGTGCCCGTAAGTAAAAGACGTCGAAATATGTATATCTGGAACCTAACAATCAGCAGTGGCTGTTTCAATACAGAGATGATGACCAAGCCGTTCAACTCTCCTGCTGGCGAATTCCACCTCAACAAGGACAATATCCCGTGCATCTTGAACCGCGAACTACCCGAGACATGGGAGATTGCTGGGTCTATTGCATTTCTGCTCGGGGACGAGGCAGCACACGTTACGAAAGCAGCATGGTATGTTGATGGTGGATGGGGAGAGGGAAAGTTAGGTGTGTAAGCAAGGCAACTTGGCCCGTCATTGCAATGGCTTACTTATCGCGATTGGCTTTGCTTTCTACTCGACATACGTCGCCCTAGGAAGAATTCGTAGTGGTGTCTGTGCTAGACTCACGCAATGTCATCTTCCCAAGCGACTATCGTGGCTAAACCGCCATCCGTACATAACGCGAAAGCACGTATGTAGTTAGTATCCCCGCAGCCAACCCGCTGCTGTTCACTCCCCACCCTCTCCGTCGGGAAAGATAAGACGGACCCTGCACGTATGCCGCTCTACTCGACAACATATCTAGCCACATGTCTCCTTTCCATGACAGCAAAGACGGTCTCGAATACTGTTCTTCGTCTGTTACCTGACTAGTAAATTTACAATGTCTCGGCCATACGACAATGCCAATGTTGAGCAGCTTCAACGCGATGCAGACGATTGCCTGCTTACCTACGGAACTTCCTTTCACCCCGAGATCATCACGTCTACAGATGGCATCTATGTGGAGACTGCCTCTGGCCACCGAATGATGGATGCACGTTACTTCGAATCGTTCCATAAAGCCGCAAGCAAATACTAATATCAAAGTCGATAGTTCACTTCAGGCCAAATGAGCACACTAATCGGGCACGGTCACCCCGAAGTCGTCGAGGTAATTAGCAGTCATGCGCAGCATCTCGACCACGTCTTCAGCGGCATGATCAGCCCTCCTGTCATCAGTCTGGCGAAACGCCTAACGGGCGTCGCACCAGCTGGCCTCGACAAAGCCTTTTTCCTGAGCACCGGCGGCGAGAGCAACGAAGCTGCAATCCGCCTGGCAAAATTCTTCACTGGGAAATTCGAAATCGTCGGCCTGGCTGCTTCCTGGCATGGCATGACGGGCGCGTCTCTCGGTGCCCAGTATCATGCTGGTCGCTCGGGCTACGGCCCCAACATGATTGGCAACCTGGCTCTGCCCACACCCAATGCCTACCGCTCGATATTCCGGAAGGCGGATGGGACGTATGACTGGGAGACGGAGCTCAACTATGGCTTCGACCTGCTGGACAAGCAGTCCTGCGGGTCTCTCGCAGCCGTGATTATCGAGCCCATTCTTTCGAGCGGCGGCATGCTAGAGCTTCCGGCGGGCTATCTGAAAGCGCTCAAAGAGCACTGTGAGAAAAGGCACATGTTGCTGATTATCGATGAGGCGCAGACGGGACTGGGCCGCGCAGGCGACATGTTTGCCTTCACGCACCACGCCCAAGACAAGGGCGTCGTTCCCGACATCCTGACGCTCAGCAAGACGCTCGGAAATGGCATCCCGCTCAGCGCTGTCTTGACTTCGAATAAGATTGCCAAGCATGCAAAAGACAACGCCTTCTTGTTCTACACCACACACATCAACGACCCCCTCCCCGCTGCCGTCGGCGACAAAGTCCTCGAAATCGTCGTTAGAGACAATCTCTGCGCTCGCTCCAAGCGTCTCGGCATCAAGCTGCAAGCAGGACTGCGGCGCCTCCAGTCTCGCTACGGCTGCATCGGCGACGTACGCGGCCGCGGCCTCATGGCCGGCGTGGAGATTGTCAGCGACAGAAGGACCAAAGCCGGGGCTCCGGAAGTCGGTGCAGCCGTGGCACGCAGAATGGAGGAAATGGGGCTGTGGGCCCAGCTGGCGACTATGGCCTCGTTTGGCGGCGTGTTTCGAATCGCTCCTCCCATTACCGTTACAGAGGAGCAACTTGATCGTGCGCTGGAGATTCTCGAGGACGCGTTGAGATTGACGCCGGGAACCATGCCGTTGTATAATGACCCCGTCTGATCCGTAGCGGGACCTTTGCCAAAGGGGAGAATATGACATAGATATCTTATGTGGTGTTTGTAAGGAGAGCAGTTGGACGTTTGATTTGTTATCCCATAAGTAGACTACGCAGGGGGTTGCTTCCAACACCATGACTTTTTCCATTGATATTCAAGTAAGTATCCACTCGTTCAACTCATCCTCACTCCAAAATCTTCCTCGCATACCCACACATCTCTATTCCAACCACCTTTATCACAGGATCCCTACGAACAAAGCCTGTTGAATTTTCTTTTATTTTTTTTTCCCAAAGATCCCAGGAACTGGAAAACATACAACGTCACGAGTAAGCAGCATTTCAGGGAGAATCCATATTCCATAGTATCAACAGCGAAAAAAAGAGTTTTTGATTTTGCAATAGCCAAAGACAAGAAAACATTGTCATTGTCTCCACGATCAACGAGGCTCCCACAGAAGGATAAGATATTTACAGAAGAGAAGAATAAACCAGCACCACACACACATACACATAATCGCACATGCTTTGCGCGATTCAGCATTGCCCATCATGTAGCCAAGACTGCAGTCAAGCCATGGCCATGAATAAAGGGTGAAGCTAACCCTATTTACGGGCAGTTGACAGTGATGGAAGCGCTGCCAGAGGAGAAGTAGCCCTCAGTAGCGACAATCTGGTAGTAGTGAGAACCGAGGTTCATGCCCTTGCTGGCCCAGGCGTCAAAGTGCGTCTTCATGTTGACGGAGCCGGACGAGCGCTTGTTCTGACGAACAGACCAGTACTGCTGAAAGGTCCTGGTGCCGTCGATGGACGGCTGGTTGGTGCGGGTGGACTGGGCAATCTTGTACGAGGAGCCGTCCGAGGTGACGGTGCCCTTGTTCTGCGCCTGCGACGACGGGTCGTACGTGCCAAAGTTCTCGACGACGTAGTACTCGACGAGCGGGTTGCGGGTCCAGCCGTAGATGGCGAGGTAAGAGTTGCCGTTGGGGTTGTACTGGCCCGAGTAGGTGATGGTGCTTTGAGTGTGTTAGTCAGGGCTGCAATGCGTTATACATGCTGCAGCAAAAGGGTGGCTTACCGGGCAGTTCCTGGGTTCCAGCCCTTTCCACCGACGAGGTTGCCGCCAGTTCCCCAGCTTACGCTGTAGCTGCCTCCGGCTCCGTTAGTGTAGGTAGCCCGGGCACCGCCATCAGACCACCAGGAGTAGACTAGAGAGATGGGTCAGCTAGTGTGTTTGTATGGCTCTGAGAAACAACTTACAGCAGCCGTTGTGGGTTCCCTCGCCGTTGGGAGTGCTCTGGCGGGCAACGAGGTCGCTGGGAGCGCGGGCAGCGATGTCGGTAGCGGGGGCGGCGAGAGCGCCAGTGGCCGCAACAGCAGCAGTGATGATGGAGGTGAAAGAAACCATTGTGAATGATGTACTCAAAGTCGTTGAAGCGAAAGGAAGTGATGTGCGGTGGTTGTGCTCCTGTTTTCGAGGCTGGTCCAGGATGGCTTTATACTCGCTGTCGCTGTTGCAAATGTCCACAGCAGCATGGCCGTCAAGGGGAGATACGCCCGGATGGAGCTCGACAGAGCCAAGACAAGCATTCTCGTCATGATGGCGGGATTCTATCCACTAGAAGCTAGGATGTAGATCAAAAGGCTGTAGCGGAAGGAGGAGTAATCTGTACGTCTTGGCTCTTTCATCACAGAATGCGTCCAAGAGGAGCCCATATGGGCCAATAGTACCAGACCAGCATGCAAACGGTTTGCCCATTTCGAGAAAGTCATAAGCCGTGATTGGATGGAGGAGGCTGAAACATGGCGGGCGGGACAAGGGCGGTGCAGTCCCATTAATTTAGAGGCTGCCATATCTCCGTCTGGTGTGGCGGCGGCTGCATCTAGGCGCACTAGGTGTACGGCTACGATGCTAACAAGACACCTCCACTCGTGCCACCACCATCTCATTCCCATGCATATGCCAAGTTTTCCACTTTTAAATTTTACCAACGGTTAAACAATGACTTGGCAGGACGACTTGAATCGTGGACCCGAGAGGCGGCAATCAACGTGAAGCTTCGGAGGGCTTTGTATTCTTGGAAGCAGCGGAGAGGTATGCATGTATGTATACATTGCCACATGCGTATTGCTGCTAGTCGGAACGTCGTATTTCTCGGTCTCTCTACGCTGGCGTTCACCGGTGATATTCAGGTACGGGCCGGGAGGGGATTTGCAGACAAGACAGCACGGGGATTAGCGCGGGGCCGTCCAAGCGCAAAAGGAAAACGGGAAATTCGCTGGCTTGCCTTGGGCGACAGGTGTTTCCCACACACACACACACACACACATTTTGGCAGTATCCACACTGTTTGTCAGTATGTAGTATGTAGGCTAGCGGAGGAACAAGGGGGAAGTGAAGTGGAGACGACTGGCAAACCCGTGGTGTTCGATGCCAAGCCCAGCCAGACCAATGGCCCGGGCGTTTCCGCCCTCATCTCCTTCTCACAGTCCCGTTCGGCTCTAGTACCGAGTAACCGGACACCCGCAAAGCCTATCTTTCCGTACGCCTGCAGACACGTGCACGCCCGAACTGTACTGCCAGGTTTATGTATATTATCATGCTCATTATTTTCTTGTGCACCAGCGCACGAGGCCGCCACAGTTTTTACGCATACTAACTCATTGCCACTTGTCCCGGCGATGCTTTTATTTTTCTCCCTTTTCCGGCTATGCGAGTCAAGTAGACGCATGACATCCCCCCCCCACCCCCCTCCCTTCCTGCAGGATGGTGACTAACTGCTACATGCCAGATGCTGTTTGCCGACATGCGGAGAATTGTAACAATGTTTGGTAATCTGGGGAACATGGCCACGAATCACCATTTACCCTAGATATTGCGCAAGCGCTTTGTTTTACCAAGGCGGTTTTTTTAGTTGCTCGTGGCCCGCCTGCACCCCGGATTGATATTGCATCACGCCCTACTTCTGCCCAGCCTCTTGGTATCGTACAAGATGTCTTGTCCAGCCTTGTCCCGGCGGGTGAATGGTGAACCAGCGGAGCTTGGTTGGACCACTGTTTATGAAGGGTACGGCTGTGAGAGGCGTAGGTTTTGTTTTGGTTTCAAGTGAAATAGCGTGCGTACTGGGCATTTTGGGCCATTACCTTGGATGCGGTAGCTTGCTGGCGTCTCCTTGCCACTGCAGTTGCCACGATCTAGATTGACCACTTCCCTGCCGTGCCACCTTTGAGCCGATGCCATGTCCAATTCTTCATCGATGCAGACTGACCACATGGCTCGGAATGTAGTATACTAGCTTCCTTGTTCTGTATATGTCGTGCAACCAGTCGTCATCCCTGGTTTCTTTTTTTTGTACACCACAAGGTCCTCGTACTTACATGAACAGAAGACAAAGGACACTTTCATAACGCAAAATACCATAAGCCCACCGTCTCAAAAATGAAACCCCACAGTATCGAAGAAAACTATTCCAGAATGCTTCTCCCGCGCAGGAACCGCCGCATAAATGACACCACCGTCTCAGAACGGGGCCTTGACTCCGCCAAATAGCCAGGCAGTGCATCACCCTCCCCCCCCCCTCAAAGCACCCAAGAATAATAATAGCCCTCTTATTTCACCGCACACCGCTTACCTGCACGTCCCACTTGGCCTTATATTGCCGCATCCAGCCTAAAATTTTAATACTGCTGTCTTATTACTTTTGGTCCCGCACTGTGACAAGACTGCCGACCGCGTGGTGCCGGTGGGTTGAATAACGGCTATCAGTAGAATGACCTTTGGAGAGGGAAATGTGGAAGAAGAAAATGAGTGGGATTAACGGGGAACGCGGATGAAAAGTTGTGTGGGTGTGTGGGTGTGTATGTGTGTAATTATTTCAACATGGTGTTTTTTCACTCAAATAAAAACTTGTGTAAGTATCACTACTTCGTAATGATGCGTCGACAAAGTGTGTAATTGTCCTATACTCAAATCAAAAAAAATCAGTATCTCTACTCATTACAAATATCCAAGAAAACTCGACATCAAAATATATATTCGTGCAACTTACAAGGCAAAAATAGCTTCATCGTTATTACTCAAAACTCTGTAAGTATTTCCTTTCCAGCCACAACGAAAAAAAAAAGCTCAGTCCCAAGTGTGCGATGACGATGACTGATTATGAGACGGTTTGCTACGTCCATGTATGCTGGAGTTTGTATGACTTGCCCAATCACGTACATATGCAAATACTAGATGGGCTCAGGCTAGGGCTTTGTTATTTGGGGAGTTGCCAGAGCAGGTGGCAATACAAGTCGCGCGTGTCGTTACCAACATCTATTCGTCGCTGTGTAGAAGGCAAACTCATTACTTGCACTCCCATTCTTATCCTTTAACACAAATCCCGTAAACCATGAGCAAACCAGAAACACAGTCTATTAAAGATACACATGTATCATATATACTTGGCTTTAAAGTACTGCAGCTGTGATACGTGCGAAAATATCCTCAAGTCAATATATATCAAAAAAGAGATACTAGAAACCAAATTCATGAGCAAAATACACAGTGAACGAGTGAAGTGGGGGAAGTGAGGGAGAAGGAAAGTCACGATACAAAGGGGCATTTGGAGAAAAAAAATTGTGAGGTTCCAAGAGTCCATCGCCGGAAGGCGAGAAATAAATAAAGGTGAGAATTTGTACAAAGCGAGGGTATATAGCTAGCATGTCGTGATGCTTTCGAAAAAGAAAAAGAAAAACTCCCCCAGTCCCAACTCCAGGCTAAGAATTATCATAGGGAAAATGTTTTCACAGTCATAAAGTCGTCGTCATCAATCTTTCTTTCTTTGTTTCAACAAACGCCGTTCCTTGTTGCCCATAACGCCTCACCTCACAATTGCTTGGTGGTCTTTCGCGCTCTAACAGCCTGTAGGAATGCGCCGTAACTCCAAGTCAGATCCTCGGCTCCCCTCATGTAGCCAGTCACACGGTCGAATTGCTCGCTCATCCTGCCATCGGCATCGACGTGCGTCTTGACGACTTGGAGGAACTCGTCACCAACGCTCTGTAGGCGTTCGATGACGGAGTGGAAGAGTGCATCAGAGGGACTAAAAGTGCCCGTGTTCACGTCGAGAGATGAGCTGGCAAGGAGAGCTTCGTAGAAAGGAAGGCCGGTTTCAGTAATGGTCAGTGTTCCGGCGACAGAAACGTGGGAAGCGGTCTGGAACAGGACCTCAGCGGCGGAAGAGGTGCATAGGAACCAGGGGTTGCCACCGCGGCGCGAGTTACCATAGCCGTCGTACACATCTTCAGGATAACGGCCAATGCCGGTTCCTTGCAGAGAAGTCTCGTCTACATCTTCATCGTCCTGGTCAGAAGGACGGCTGTTGATGGGGAAACGGTTGCGCTGGTCGCGTGTCAAGGCGAGCAGAGACACAAGAATCTCATCAGACCACGGCGGGTAGACGGCAGCATCCTCTGATCCCTTTTTAGGAAGGGCGTGCAGAGAACCGAGAAGTAGCCCGCAGTCCAAGCCGGTCCTCTTGCTCCACAGCGTTTCAACAAGATGGCCTTTCTGTGCGTTCCAGAACTTGGTCAACAAGTTCTCGGCGTACTCAGCCTGCTCCTGGTACCAGTCTGCCGCGCCAGCATCTCCAAAGGACCTTGCGAGATGGCTGCCTTCTCTCAAACTTCTCGCGCTGACCATGAGGGTGAAGAAGTGCAGACCCTCGACTTCCTCCCAGAGGTCAAATCCAGACTGGTTCCAGAAGTGGCTCACATACTCGAGATCGGCTTTGATGATGCTACGCGGAGGCATCTCGGCGGTATAGAATGGACCGTAAAAGTCTTCGGAGCCGGCCGAGGTCCACAGCGAGGGGTGTGATGCGTTGTACTCGCGTAGGTAGTGCATGAGCGTCAGTGCGCGCAGAGCGGGGCCATCACGTTGCGGTCTTCCCCACGAGCCGGTGAAGGGCTTCCCGTCGACACGGAACTTGGGCTCACCAAGGCCAGAAAGGTCATCGAATTTGCCCGATGGGTTGGACGTGTGCTGGATACTACTCTGAAGGGAAGTGTATGCGTCGAGGATAGTGGAGAGAGAAGATGCACGTGAAGACGTAGGATCGTCGGCGTAGATGTTGACTAGAGCGTCCATGGTAATGGCAGCGTCACGGACCCCTATGACATGTCAGCTCCAGCAGGCCGTCAGGTGATATCGGGCTATACTTGCATTGGTACCAGTAGTCGGGACCGTTCTGGCTGGGACTGGCAATGACTGTGCCATCGGCTACGCCCTTTCCCTTGACGTTGCTGCCTCCAGGCGCGACATTGGCGAGGAGCTTGTCGAGTGCCACCTCCTCTTCATGCTGTATCCAGGCATCGAAGGGATCCTGAAGCGGCTGCTGCTGCTGCGAGTGGCCGGCACCAGCAAAAGTGGCGAGAGAGGGCAGCCGGGGTATTGAGAGGGCGTAGGTGTAGGGGACGAAGCCCGCAAGGAGGACGAGGCGAGGGAGCATGATGGCTGCCCCGAGGAGAGTGCCTGGACGTGTGTGGAGAGGGCGGGTGGTGAAGAGGAGCGTGGGTTGATCAGCAGCTCATAGCTAGCGCTTCCCCGGGTGAAATATGAAGGAGGTCAAAAGGAAGATGGCGGATGATATCAGCGAACCCGGGGGGTTTGGCAGGTGATGGCGGCCAGGCATGAAGCAGCGTCGGGGCCAGGCAGAGGGCCCACGGCGTCCGTTCGCGCGGCCATGACGATGTGGATGTGCCATGATGGGCGTCGGGGTGGCCATGACAGCGGCGGCCATGACAGCGAGCACCCCCGTGCGCGTGCTAGCGGATGGCGTGGACGAGTGAGAGGCGGTGGACGAGGTCGCGCGGACGTCCAAGGTCCAGTTTCAGCTGGGCGGGTGATGTAAAAGAGAGCACGCGAGTCATCACCACCAACGTCACGCGACCCGTGCCCGCGGATCTGGGGTAGGCGCATGCAAGGCACTCTCACCACACATGAACCCAACGCCCGCCCGCCACGCTCACCACCGCCCGGCGCACAACCACGACCGAGGCTCCAGCACGCGCGAGAAGAGAGACGCATATTTCATGTGCAAGCCGCCCGCCCGCCGTCGCTGCGCGGTGCTGCAGACGTGGTACACGACAAGGGCACCCCCCAGCAGCCACCGACGACTCAGACAGCCCGAGACAACTCAGACACGACAGCCTCGGTGTCAGACTCACCACCATGCAGGGCCTGTCGTGGAACCAGGATAGCACTGCTGCTCCAAACGCCCACCCACGCGCGGGTGCGGCCATGGCATTTGTGCCGACACGTGCAGCCTCCAAAACCTCCCGACACGCTCCGACGCGGGCGGCGGCTGAGGGGTAAGTACATAGCTCCCTTCGGCTACTTACTTGCAGCCAAGTAGCCGCCGCCGCCCAATCCGCATCGGCTATTCCCAGTACATGCCATCATGTCAAGACGACGTCCGCTGCGCCTGTCGAGAAAAAAAATACTCTCCCAGATACGACACTCGGGCTGCGCGCGCATACCCTGCGGCCACACGTCGACTCGCTCTCGCTCGCCCTCCTGCTCCCGCCGCACAGCCAAGTCTATGACGTGTTCCTGAAGGCGCACCCTCACCGCATCAGCCATGCTCGCCCACCAGGCGAATAACCTGCGCAGCAGCCTGTCCAGGGTGCGGAACCCCGGCCGTCGAATCCCATCAGCGTGTTTCTCCACCACTTCCACGCGCAGCAATTATGATGCTACCATCCAAAACCTCAAGATCGGCGCCCACACCCGTGTCATTTTCCAAGGCTTCACCGGAAAGCAGGCGACTGCAAATGCAAAGGAGTCAATAGAATGGGGGACAAACGTCGTTGGCGGCGTCAAGCCCAACGGCTCCGGAGAGCATCTGGGACTGCCCGTCCTGCCTTCGGTAAGGGCGGCCATGGAGCAGTTGAAGCCGGATGCCACGGGAATCTACGTTGCGGCCCATCAGGCAACGGCTGCAATCGAAGAGGCAATCGAGGCCGAGGTCCCGCTCATCGTCGCTGTGGCTGAGCACATACCGCTGCATGATATCATGAGAGTCAGTCAAGAAATTCACAAACTTATCAAACTCAAACTCACAATGTCAGATTCACTCCATGCTGCAATCTCAATCAAAATCGCGACTTGTGGGTGCCAATGCTCCAGGAATAATCTCAGCCATTGGAAAATGCAGAATTGGCTTTCAGCCCCTGCCCACATTCTCGCCGGGTCACATTGGCGTGGTGGGAAAGTCCGGCACGCTGTCCTATGAAACAGTGGGATCCTTGACAAGAGCGGGTCTTGGGCAGAGTCTGTGCATTGCAGTCGGCGGCGATGTTATTGCAGGAACAAACTTTATCGATGCTCTCAAAGTCTTTGAGCATGACGAAGACACAGAGGCTATTATTATTGCTGGTGAACTCGGAGGTACCACGGAAGAAGAGGCGGCCGACTGGATCAAAGATTACCGGAAGCGCGTCAAGAATCCTAAACCAATTGCTGCCGTCATTGCAGGTTTCCAAGCACCGCCTGGAAAGGTAATGGGCCATGCTGGAGCCTGGGTTGGCCTTGGAGAAGGCACCGCCGAGGCAAAATACAAGGCATTGGAGAATGCCGGTGTGACCATGGTTGATCATCCTGCCAGATTCGGCGGAGTCATGAAGGAGATTCTCGCAAAATCAGGCCGTAACGTCAGAAAGATTGTATGTTGCTACTCCAAGCAAGACTGCACAAATGCTAACTATACACAGGAGCAATCGGCAGCGCAGCAACGTCGCTCATACCATACAGTTCGCACACGACGACCCATGTTCAATTCGACAACAGGGCCTTCATTCCAGCAGACACGCTCACTCCACCTCACAAAAGAGCAATCCGCAAATCTTCTCAAATCCTACAACATCAACCTCACCGTACCGCCCGAAGGCTCACCCTCAACCCACTACCTGGGCATCTCACCTGACCGCTCCACCCGCTCCCCCTCCATCATTGCCGCCCCAACAGCCTCCCCCTCAAGTCTTGACCGCCGCGTACGCCGTTTCCCCTTTGACTACCGCACAGGACCCAGCGAGTCTGCCATCGCCGCCGCAACTGCGCACATGCAACTTTCCGCGCTGCCCCCGAAATCCAAAGCCCAGCTCGTCGAAGCCATCCACAACCTATGGAAACTCTACGTAGCCAAGGAAGCCATAGACGCCCACGTCAAGCTCGCCCTCTCTGTCTCAACCGACGACCTCCTCTTCTACGACCCCTACCTCTTCTTCGACGACGCAGCCTTCAAATCTGGAAAACGACAGGCAGACCTCCACGCCCTGCGCGATGCTGAATCTATCAGCGCGATGCAGCGCGAAGCCGAAGAAGCAGGCATCGTGTATATCCCTCTCTCCCCCACTCCCAGCACACAAGACCAAGACGCACAATCGACCCCAAACAACCTCGTCGGAACCCTCGTCAACGGCGCAGGCCTCGCCCTCAACACAAACGACACTTTAGCCCTGCGTCTCGCGCCGCACACATCAGCCGCCAATTTCCTCGACACGGGCGGCAAAGCCACAGCCGCAACCATTGCAACGAGCTTCAAGCTCATCCTCGCCGACCCCCGCGTCAGCGTCGTCTTCGTCAACATCTTTGGCGGCCTCACCCTCGGCGACATGATTGCCCGCGGAATCATACTCGCCTTCCAAGACGTCGGTGTCGACAAACCCGTTGTCGTGCGTTTACGCGGCACAAACGAGGAGGCTGGACGTAGGATCCTAGACGAGGCCAATTTGCCGATTCTCGCATTTGATGATTTCGAAGAGGCGGTGCAGAAGGTGGGCGAGTTGGCGAGGGGGGGCGGCTGAAAATAGCTGCTAGCCAGGTGCGAGGTAGGATGCATGCATGTATAGAGCGGGTTGCGTTGTGGGGGTTCTGAATAAGTCATGGTATGCAAGAAGTGAATGAAGGAGTATGGAGCAAAGAAAAAGAATACCGACATGTGTATTCGACGTGAAATAAAAAAAATTCATTATTCAGTATCACGTTTACTTGCCTTACTTGCCTTGGTTGGTTGCTTCTTTCCTCTCTCTCTCTCTCTCTCTCTCGCTCTCACACACACATATACATACATGAAATATAGATAACTATCCCTCCTATTCCTATCCCTATCCCTATTCCTACCCTTTTTCTTCAGTCATTGTTATGCTTGATCCCTTATCATCTCCCACTATCACCATCATCATCATCATCATCACCACCATTGCCATTGTCAAACAGTGTCTAGCAGTACCTTAGGCAAACCACTACATATATATATACATATATATATACATGACATGTATAAAAGAAGGATTTTTTTAAAAAAAAAAGAAAAAAGAAAAAAGAAGAGAGAAAGAGAGAAAGAGAAAAAGAAAGAGAGATGATAAGATGATAAAATTAAGTTATAGAAATTGCAATGACTAAAAGAGTGGTATGTATGTATGTATGTATTTATGTATGTATGTATTTATTTATTTTTCATCTATCTATCTTATCTCTTTCTATATATATATTCATTTCTTCATTTCTTGCTCAATGTCTCTAATTTCCCACTCACATATACATGCAGTAAGGATAACAAAACGAGAGAGAGAGAGAGAGAGAGAGAGAGAAGAAAAAGGAGTAAAGGACGTTAAAAAAAAGAAAAAAAGACTACATTAGAACATTCAGATGGAGAGAGAGGGGGGGGGAGGTATTTGTATCTGCGAGAGCTAGATCGACATCGAGAGATCAAGATCGACATCGAGAGAGACATAGATATAGAGGCTAGGTAGACAGAGGCAAGTAGTAGTAGTAGTAGCAGTAATTGCATAAGAGTGTGAGAGTGAGTATGAGAGTGAAGTTCCAAACGAGTTTCTTCCATTGCTTCTTCCCATTGCACACCCTACCCTGCGCATTGCCCTGCCCTTTGCATCCCCCCCCCCTCCCATGGGTGTACCCAAAAAACCCCCCAAACACACACACATACATAGCCGGGCGGAGGAGTTTGTCATTTGACATCAAGAGAGAGAGAAAAAAAAAGCGCAAAAAAAAACCACCAATCCAAGAAATAAGGTGAGATCGAATTAAAAAAAAAGGTGTGAGGGATATATATGTAGAGAGACACAGAGAGAGATATATGGATCCGCACACTTATACAAAGTATTGGAATGCGGTTCTGTGAGAAATGTGTTAGTTATCAGCGTATTCTTGCTGGTGAACGAAGTAGTGGTGGACTTACCCAATAGCAGCCATGACTCCTAGACCAACCAGTGCCCTCCGTGTGACCTTTTCCTTTGTCATCTTCTGTTCGGTTGTGTATGCGACCTTTGCGAGTTTATTGAGGCGCTCTTCGGCCAGATCCTCCGCGTCGAGCACGTCTTCGATGCCACGCTTCGATGACCGCGTAACCGTGGTTGCTGAGTTGGCGTCGAATTGTTGTGCTTCGGCAACCATACGCTTGGCCTCGGCAATCATGGCCATGGGGTCTTCGGGCTCGGGCAGCGCAGCATGGTCGTGTGGGACATCGACTGTGACGTTGGTGCTCGTCTTCTCCGTGTCGCCGTTGGTCTCGACGGTTTGCTGCACTTCAATGCGGACTGTGCCCTCCTTGACCTCAGGCTCTGGCTTTGTCTCGCCGTTTTGCGCAGCCTCGACTTCTGGCTCCTTCTCTTTGACCTCGCGCTCGACTGATGGTGTGACGGGTTCCGATACGCCATTAGCAATAATGTTTTGCAGCGCACTTGACGGAGTAACGGCCTCGGTGGGTCTAAAGACATCGTCTGCCTTGTTGACGTCTGGCTTCACGGTGCTTCGTGTCGTTCGTGGTTTGCGTGGGGTGGCGTACTTGCGACTTGGTGTCATGCCCTTGCTGGGTGAGACGGATCGGGCCGAACGTGCGCGCGTTGTGCGAACAAGACCAGGCGTAGGGAGAGTGGCGGGTTGTGCGTTTGCAACGTCGAACCTGGGGGGCATCTGAATGTGCACGTTTGCCTTGTCCTTGTTGCCCTTCTCAATGGGCGCGGGGTCGAGCAGCGCCTCTATCCAGTGGCGCATCGAGTATTCTTCCGAGAGCGCAAGAGCTGGGGATTCCTGTCAGCACCATTCATGCCAGGTGGAGACTGCCAAAACACTCACCCTCCTCTGGCGCGATCCAAACGCTGCCGGCTACCTCTTCAGCGCCGGCGGATGGAAACGTCTTCTGGTACTTGCGTTCGAGTTCCTCTTCCTGCAGAGATGCCCATGGGAATGCAGCCTTGAACATGCCGGTAGCACTAATGTAGCCATCGCTGCTGCGTCGCTGTTTGTCGCGTTAGTCGTCGGGTGCGCTTGCGGCAATGCGCTCATTGTTTTGCATGGCGTACCATCAAGAAATATGACTCGGGGAAGGCGGACATGCGGTTTCGCGAAAAGATGCCAGAGCCCGAGAGGTCTTTTGGCAAGGGGACCCTCAGGTGCGCGTAGTCAAAGGTGCCCAGGTTTTCGGGCTTTGCCGCGTTGGTGAGGCCGACCTGGCCGGCCTTGACGCCCAGGTTGGTCTGTCCCAGGCGGCGTCTCTCGATGAGGATGTCGACTTTGCGCGTTTATTAGTCGCGTTGGCGGATAGACGAGATGCGCAACGGGTACGTACCAGCTGTCGAGTCGGTGGGCTCGAGCAGAGGGTTCTTCCTCTCGGGCAGAACGCGATCAACAACCATGGTGGTGGGCTTGTCGGCTAAGATGGGATTACAATGGATACGGGTGACGGGGGGCGCGCAGCGCAAGGAGAGTCGCGAAAAGTGTCGGAGTAAGACTACGTAATACGCGCGCAATTGGCGGGACGAGTGCAGGGAGGGCCGAGGCGTGCTGGGGCGCAGAAGAGCGTCGAGGGGCGGCTCGTGGGGGGTTGTGCGACGGGGGGGACGGGGGCGACGATGGTGGAGAGGCGCGCGCGCGAGCGACGTGATGAAGGATTGTTTGATGCGACAAAGGCAGTGAGGCGCCCCGGAGCGACGATGGGGGAGCGGTGCTATGCCATCCCTGTGCACTAGCGGCTGCCAAATGCCCGCCCAGCCACCCCCGGGCAATGCCTGCGCGCCCTCGCACCCACAACTGCTCGACCTAATTCGTACAGCATGAAAGATGATTTCCGCCTGCCGATTGGCGCTGCCGATATTGTCCTGCCATCGCGCGCCTCACGCAGCATCGCCCAGCAGCCGGCGCGCGCTGCTTTCGGAACAAGGCCTCAGGTCACGCGTTGGCGCTTCTTTGTCGTGACGCGTTGCTGGCCGGCCCCAAACACGGCGCACGGCGAACTACAAAAAATGTCAACAGTGGCTGCCAAACAGAGACGCATCGCATCGCCATTGTTGCATAGGGTTGACAATTATTGGGTGGTGGTGACTCTGGCCTACACTCAACGCATCGGATGCGCAACGGGCACCCCAGGGCAAGAGGAATGAATTCATGCAAAAAAAAATTAAAAAAACCACACCCGCGCTGGAGTCTTCTGGAGCAGGCAATGCCGACCGCCTGCATATATACACAGGCTAGTCCTGTTATTGCATCCTGACAATATCTCCGAGGCGATAGCCAGACCAGAGACTGCAGCGGCTGTCGCTGCTGGCGCTAAACACGTCACGGCGCTGGCACTGGCACTGGCACTGGCAATGGCATTGGCAGACTGGACAGTGTGCTTTTTAGTTTTTTCGTCTTGCTGGGGAACAGGCGGGGTTGCACCCAAGCGCGAGGGTGAGACGTCTGCGCCCTCAACCAGCTGTCACTGGCGGCGGGGGGCGTGTGTGTATATGTATTTGCAGCAGCAGCAGCATGCTCATGCAACAACAGTGTCGCAGCACGAGTCTGGACGATATGCGGCATATCCAAGGGGTCCACGGTCCACCCAGCAACGCGGCAGGCCCCCGCCAGGAACGAGCCCCCTTGGCCGCTTTGAGCTGCTGGAGCGGTGAAAGTGCCCCGCTAACCTCGAGGCTCAACATGAGGCCGCGCCTACTTGGGCCCCTCATTCCTCCAATTGACCCTCAACTTCTCCACACCCTTCTCTCGCCGCCCCTACGCCCAATCACCCACCCTTCCATCCCACATACACTCACCCCCAGCAGCCATGGCCGACCACGCAGACGACCTCCACCCGGAGCAGACCGAGGGCTTCAAGGTCGGCGAGAAGAAGACGATTGACGAGTACCAGAAGCTAGGTAGGTGCCACGACACTGTGCAGCTCTCCTCGCCGCCTCGCCGCTGCTGACCACGCCGCCCGCCAGACCAGAACGACGAGTCTCTGCAAAAGTGGAAGGCCTCTCTGGGCCTGGGCCAGGGCAAGGACATCTCGGACCCCAACGACCCGCGCAAATGCATCATCCTCTCCCTGGGCCTCGAGGTCGAGGGCCGTGAGGACATCATCATCGACCTGCGCGCTCCCGGCGCCCTCGAGGAGCTCGAGAAGAAGCCCTTCACCATCAAGGAGGGCGCTCGTTTCCGCATGAAGGCCCAGTTCAAGGTGCAGCACGAGATCCTGGCTGGCCTCAAGTACCTGCAAAAGGTCACCCGCATGGGCGTCAGTGACAAGCTGCAGGAGATGATGGTACGCCACTCTTGCCGCCATGCTGGCACACGTCGGGCACACGCTAACCGTCTCGACAGGGCTCATATGGCCCCAACACGGAGGAGAAGCCGTTCTACGAGAAGAAGTGTATGTCTTTGCGCCCCAGCGACGCTGCCGCGCTACCCTACTGACTATGCCTCCAGTCGAGCCCGAAACCGCGCCCTCTGGCATGCTGGGCCGCGGCCACTACACGGCCCTCTCCAAGTTTGTCGACGACGACAACCAGGTCCACCTGCAGTTCAAGTGGTCCTTTGACATCAAGAAGGACTGGTGATGCCACGTCTGCAGTGGTGGGAAAGGCGCCATGTCGCCACGTGGCCAAGAATGGTCTTGTCTTTGAGTTGGAAGCGGTGGATATCCAGGGTGCTCAATCTCCTACGAAGTAACGAAGTGACGGCTGACGGTCGACCATCTAGACGGACACACACGTCCGCCCCGATATCGATCTTGTAGCATGAAGGAATCAAAATTTTTCAACGCCTCTCACTTGTCCAATCTCCGTGGTTCGCGTGTGCTGGACGCTCGTCGAGCTCGTCCAAGTGAAACCACCTCCCTGCGATCCGTTTCGCCTTGACGGTCCGGCCTGCCCACGCTCGCTCCGTGCTGCCCGAGCCAAACCTGCGTGCTGAAACATTGAGAATGGACACTTCCTGCTCCCACGCGTCGCCCGTGTTGCCTGGGCGTCGGCTCGCGTCGAGCCCCTGTTCCGGCTCGGCATCCTCGTCGGCGCGCGCTGCATAGACATGATGACGCTGCTCGCACTCGACCATGTGAAGCTGGACGCCGGTCCTGAGCGCCGTGTCGGCCGCCGTGGCAAAGCATCGTGACAGGCCCTGGGCCGAGAAGGACGGCGTGGATGCGTGCAAGGCCAGCGCATTCACCAAGACGACGCGCTCCTCTGCGCCGGCCGCGGTGTGCCCATAGGCAGTCAGGTAGGCCAGCAGCGCCGGCACCGATGGGCAAAAAGCAAGGCGGACATGGCGAGTCGTGGACAGGTTGTGAAGCGAGGGCGCCAGCAGGCGCTGGAGCTCGTCTGCGCCGTCGCCGTCGCCGTCGCCGTCGCCATGGCCACGGGCGTGCTGCAGTTGGGCGGCGAGCTGCTCGACGAAAGCCTCTTCACCGGAGCAGACGATGAGCAGGGTCGGGCGGGCGCTGGTCGGCTGTGTCGTCAGGACATGGTGCAGCAGTGCCGGCAGCGTTAGCGGGCGGAGCACTGCCGGCGTCGGCGACATGGCAGATGCTGGACTGTCAAGCCGAGTTGGGCTGCCATGTGTCGGTCGGACGGTCGAGCGCGTCGTCGCTATGTGCTGCGGGCTGCGGGCTGCGGGCTGCGGTTCTTGGGGGGGGGGTGCGGGTGCCGCGTGCCGTACAGTTTTACATTAGTAGAAAGGCAGCTCGTCAAGCCAAGTCATGGTCGCGCTCGGCCGGCAAGTGCCAATCGGCGGCTGTACCCGCTCCCCGTCAGCGCCCCCCTCCCCCCACCACTGCTTCCCTTCGCTGGCCATGGCAATGCCTCCAGAAACTGCCCCCAGCGCATGCACGCTGCCACGGATCACCACCACCACGCAGCCCAGCGCCCCCTTTCCCTGACTCTGCTTAGTTGCCATCCTGGTTGTGGGCAGTGACGAGCCGACTCGTGCGCCCTCCGGACCCTCCTCTCGACTTCCCCGCGGGCTTATGTCGCTGTAATGGAGTCCATCAGTCGCATATCGAGCTTGTTGGAGACAGGTATGGCGCCTTTCGTGATTTTCCCTTCGTTCGCCCTTCCATCTCACGCCCGGCGGCTCACTCTGCCATGCGCGCCCGTCCCGTGGCTCCTGGCCATGTAATTGCGTCGTCTGCTCGCTATGCATCCGTCCAACTTTGCTCATTGGTCTCTCTCTACAGCTCGCGACCTGACGCTCGAAGCCGCCCGCGATGCCAGCAATGTCCGCCGCGCCCCCACGCGAGAGCTGCCCTCGGGCCAGCTTAAGAAGCTCCTCGACAGCAGATCTGAGCGTGACGTCTTGGAGGGGCTGCGGAGAGTCATCACTGTATGCCTAGCCCCACCATCAACTCGCTCCCTTTCACCACACACGCCACGCCTTGGGACGTGTAGTGACTGACTGTAGACGCTCTAGATGTCCTACCGACAGCCGCCTTCGCAAACGCTGCCCTTCTTCTCCCACGTAATCAAGAACGTTGCCTCGCCCTCGCTCCAGGTCAAGAAGCTCGTCTACATATACCTCCTTCAGCATGCCGAGCACGAACCCGATACCGCTCTCCTTTCCATCAATACCATACAAAAGTCGCTCACCGACACGAATCCCCAGCTGCGCGCACTGGCGCTGCGCGTCATGTCGAGCATCCGCGTGCCCGTCATTAGCCAGATTGTGAGCCTGGGAATCAAGCGCGGTTCGGGAGATATGTCGCCGTATGTGAGGAGGGCAGCGGCCTTGGCGATACCAAAGTGCTATAGACTGGACCCCAACACTGAACCGCAGCTGCTGGAATATCTCTCGGCATTGCTGGGCGACAAGCAGTATTTCGTGACGGGGGCTGCCGTCTCTGCATTCCTAGAGCTGTGCCCGGATCGCTTGGACCTCATACACCCACACTACCGCTCCTTGGTACGGAAACTGGTCGATATGGATGAGTGGGGACAGCTGGCTACATTGCGGCTGATGATGGTCTATGCCCGGAGGTGCTTTCCCAGGCGGACCAAGAAGGTCAAAAAGGCGGCCGGTGCCAACACGAACAGCAAACCCACACAGTCTACCAAGGGCTTTTACGATGATTCTGAGAGCGAATCTGAGGAAGAGCAAGAGCAGGATATGGAGGAGATTGCCGTGCTAGATCCAGACCTGGAGTTGTTGCTAAAAGGCTGCCAGTCGCTTCTTCAATCCCGAAACGCTGCCGTGGTAATAGCGGTAGTGAGAACTTACCTCTACCTCGGTACGCCCGAGTACCTGACCCAGGCCATCGGGCCGCTTATCTCCCTGCTGCGATCTGCAGGCGACATTCAGCACATAGCCCTGTACAACATTGTGCAGGTTTGCTTAGCGCACCCCGAGCCGTTTGTGAAGTACTACACGCATTTCTTGGTACGATCGACAGATGCACCGCATATATGGCAGTTGAAGCTCGAACTGCTTACTTTGATCTTTCCGCACGCGCAATCGAGGTTACAGAGCTTGATACTTGCCGAGCTCAGCCATTTCTCACACTCGGGTAGTCTGGATCCAGCCCTGGTCAAAGAGTCTGTACGCGCAATTGGACGCTGCTCACAAAGTCCTGCAACGAGTCCCCAGACGTCTGCCAGGTGTCTCAAGCTACTCCTGAAGCACATTGGCTCTGCCGATGCCCATTTAGTAGCCGAGTCGCTCGAGGTTATCCGACATCTCATCCAGCGAGATCCAAACGCCCATCGCACGACGGTTGTTCGGTTGGCAAAGCATTTGGATGCAGCCACGAGCCCTCAAGCTCGCGCAAGCATCATATGGCTGGTCGGCGAATTCGCCGGTCTTGATCCGGAGAACAACATTGCAGCGGATGTGTTACGCATTTTGGTCAAAGGCTTTGCGGACGAAGCGGAGCCAGCCAAACTTCAAATCGTGTTGCTAGCAGCCAAGGTCTATGTGCATCACTTGGCAGCCAACCCGCCCCCGGAACCAAAGGTGGAAGAGCCCAAGCCGAATCCGTTGGATACCTTTGAAGAACAGGGCGGGTTCAGAGACGAGCACCTTGATTCGCTTGCACAAAACACGGAGCCCCAAGAGGAGGAAAAGCCGCATATCATCGAGGCACTGTACAACTACGTTTTGTTGTTGGTAAGGTATGATACCTCATACGACCTCCGCGACCGTGCTCGCGTCTACAGGGCATTACTCGCGACGCCCACTTCTACGCAACTTGCCTCTCTCCTACTTCTGGCACCCAAGCCGGTGCCGCATATTCCCAGTCCTAGTGAGACTCGAAAAGGATATGTGCTGGGAAGCGCCAGCCTCGTCATTGGCGATGAGGGGGGCGTTGGTGGCCTCAAGGGCTACGAAAACCTGCCTCGGTGGGTCAAAGAGGGCGAAGAACCAGACGCAGCGCTACGTGATGAGGCCGCTTCGACTTCTTCGTCAAACTACGTATCGGCGTATGAAACGGCAAGGAACATGTCGGCAGCCGAAAGGCTGGATGCAGCCGCAGGCAGCAGTGGCAGAATGGCGGGTGACAGCACCATGAGTCCAAGGGGCCTGAACGGCGTGGGTGGAGACACGGGCGTTGGCGGAGTACCAAAGGTGCCGCTCAAGGAAAAGACGCTGGACGACTGGCTAGCCGAGGAGGAAGAGGATGGCGAGACTGAGACGGAGAGTGAAGAAGAAGAAGAAGAAGAAGAAGAAGAAGAGGAAGAGACGGACGAAGAGGAGAGCGAAGAAGAAAGCGAATTCGAAACAGACAGCGACGAAGAGGAAACCGATGATGAGCGAGGCACTCTCCTCAAGTAGTAGCTTGTTTGTCATGATGATACATTGAACAAGAGAAGAAGAGAAGAAAAAAGTACTCTTTACAAAATTTCCAATTCTCTCTCTCTCTCTCTCTCTCTCTCTCTCTCTCAAAGCCTAGCCATATTCCCCCTCTTCCGCATACTCTTCACCTTGGCCTCGTCTCCTCCCGCTCCCGCTCCCGCTCCCTCTGCAGCACCAGCACCAGCACCATCAGCACCACTCTCCTTTTCCTCATGGCCATCCTGCCCAGCCACAGCACCTTCCCACAGCCGTTTCCCAACCAAATCGACTAGTTTCAAGACACGCGTCTGCACCGTCGCGCCATCACGCCGGTTCTTGCCTTCGCGCCGACTCGCGCTGATGCGTTCGGCGAAGCGCCAGAGAGGACCGTCGGGTATGATTCCAGTGTTATTTCCATTTCCACTCTCACTCACACCACCACCACCACCACCACCACGGCTTGGCACCCAGCCCTCCGCCAGCCGTATACACGGCACCGATTTTCCCTTGGCATCTCTCTTCTTGGCCACGACAATCATGCCCTCCTGTTCAAAGCGCGTATACGCATTCTTGAGCGTTTCCTTGTTTACGGCTTCGAAGTAGGACAGGTCGCCTTGGTGGTAGAGGGTTTTGCCTAGGAGCTGGGCGTGGTCTTGGGTTTTTTTGAGGTCGAGCCAGGGTGGTGATGTGTTGTTGTTGTTGTTGGGAGAAGAAAAAGAAGAAGAGGAAGACGGTGGTGGTGGTGGTGGTGTAAGCATCATCAAGCTAATCGCACCAAGCCACGCGGCTTCGATAAACGGCCAGATGAGGAAGCAGTAGAAATCGTAGTTTTCGCGGCCTTGGGCACGTTCTGTGGGTGAGAGTTGGATCCATTCGAATTTGTCGTCTTCATCTTCTTCTTCTTCTTCTTCTTCTTCTTCTCCTCCTCCTGCTCCTTCTTGGCTTGCTGGAGATTCCGCGCGCGTCAGGGTAATCACGTCGTCTTTTTCGAGGCCGCGCAGTGTTTTTGCGAGATTGGTGTCGAGACCTTCGGTCGGGAAGATGAATTCGCCGCGGAACAGCTGGGAGAGAAAGTGGACTTGGGCGCGCAGATGCGTGTACGACATGCTCTGGTACTCTGGGCCGCCGCCTTGCTTGACGTGCATGTAGAGGGCGGCGCTGACGAGGCTCTGCAGGATGAAGAGGTGGATCGTCATGTTGCGGTAAAAGGAAAGCTGGAACCGGTCGACGGCGTAAAAGGTGTCTTCAGGGAGGCCCGGGACAAGGCCTACGAGGCCTGGACCGAGGACTTCGAGCGCGCGGTCGACGACGACGCTTGTGGGGAGATTGCCAAAGTGGGCGACGCGGCCGCCTTGGGCGCGCACTCGGTTGCTGAGCCATTCTACGCGGCGGATGAGTTCGGTTTTGCCGACGCCGCGGCCGCGAAGCGTGAGTAGCACTGTGCCGACGAGGGCTGTAGGCATGACGACCGAGACGTCGTTGATCTCGGATAGCACCTTGTAGCCCAGTGTGTGGAGGAGGCGGAGTCGTTCTTCTTTGGTGCTGAGCTGTCGGGGGAGCTTGGAGAAGCGTTCGCGTTGCTGGGTGATGAATGATTTGAGAGACCAGGGCTCGTGGAACCGGACGTCTACGCGGCCAAGTTTGAGAGAGAGAACCGACGAGGCAGATAGAAAGTCGACTAGATTTTCTTTGGGCTTGGGTTGGCCCAAGAGTTCGCTGATATATGAACTGTTTCCGTGTTAGCCTGTCAATCTTGTGCTTGAGAATTCAAAACGTACTCGACTTCGATGACCTTGTCGTACTGTGTTGACACTGGACAGATGATGGCATCATCTACTCTTCCACTGGCCACACTATCCAGCATGTAGCTCAAGATGCCAAATTTTGGTGGCAGGAGTTTGCCGGTCCGACTCCTGCCTCCCTCGACAAAGCACTCGAGGTTGTAGCCGCATCTTAACAGGGTGTCTATGTAGGCCTGAACGAGCGTGATGTACAATTGATCATCGCCAAAGCTCCGTCGTATCCACATGGCGCCAGCATGCTGGAGAAAAGAGCCCACGACGGGGAAGTTGAGATTGTCGCCCGCCACTACAGTTGGCAGCGCAAGACCCAGCCTGTAGCAAATAATCTGGAGGGAGACGTAGTCGACATGCGAGCGATGGCACGGGAGGAAGATGATGGAGTGCTTATCCTTTTGCGCCTTTTCCGCCACAGCACGCAAGCGCAGGACCTCTTCGCTCGAAACGTGGACACCTTGGTGGTAGGCTCTGGTCAAGAGCTGCGTCGCAAAGTAGTATGCACCTCGTATAAAGGTTTTGCTTTCCATTTTGCAAATCATCGAGTCTGTCCAGCCCTCGCTGACTTGCAGCAGCGACTCTTCTATCTCAGCCCTTCTCCTGCTCTTCCGATCGTCATTGGGCAACAGGCCCTCGTTGGCTTCAACGTCGACTCTCTTGTCGGCCAGCTCGCGGATCTTGGCGAGGAGCATGGGGCTACTCAGCACCCTCCCCTTCATTTCCTCGCTGAAGCCAGGGTAGAACTCTGGTTGGCCAATATGATTGTCAAAGGATCGCCACCCGGTGCCTGAGAAGTGGAGCGAGACTTCGCGTAGAAAGTCGAGGGGCGAAGAGCGGAAGCGTGCGAAGCTGTGGATGAGGCCGCGATCGGGCGACTCGTTGTAGCCGGCAGCGTGGAGGTGCACATTGTCGTCGGCAGTGATGCTCAGGTCGGGGGCTTGTTCCGAGGCCGGAGAGCCATGTGTATTGTCTGAGGGGGCCATGGTGTTGAGAGGGTGGGCAGGCTGCTGTGCGCCGGGAGGTACGTCTCGTCGGGAGAGGGCGCAATGGGTTGCGCCGATTACATGGGTATACGCGTTGTCGCTGTTATGATTTGTCTGCTGTGAGTTGGTCTGTTAAATTTCGTCTGTCGTGGAAGACGTGGGATTCAATGTCATGGCATGTTGTAAGCCGCAAAGTACGGTGACGCGCAGAGGACGGCGCGCCTGCGACGATGGTGGACCCACTTCCCCGGCCTTTTCCTCGTGCCTCGGCTTGCGGGGGACACGACGCCAGCCTTGCACCTTTTCGACTCGCAACATTGTATAAGATCGAGTTAGCGGATCGCGCCTCACTACATTGTGGCACTCGATGGCCGCGATATCATTCAAGTCTGTTGAATTGGGATAAATTAACTAACCATTTTTTAAAAATTAAAATACCTCCCACAAACTGACCTTGCCATCCTTGGCCCCAGCAGCAACCCAATGCTTCATCTTGGTTTCGTCTTCCCGTTCCTTGATACGGCCTTGGAGACGTCCATCTGGCTTGTACTGCCCGAGCAGCTGCTGGAAACTTGCATCTGATTTTGCTTCCCTGATTGCCTGTGTGGGGTCATGACCACCTACTTTAAGCAGCGTATCCAATTTGTGCACCAAGGGCTGCACGCTTGAATCGTGTGCCTCGCTATCCCGTGTAGATTGTTTCTGTGCCTCGTTCAAGGCAGCCATGAAGCAGGCTTCTTCCTCTTGCTTGGCTAGGTCTTCTGCTGTCAATATTTGGCCAAATGCTACTGCATACACGCCTTCCTTGTGCCATTTTAGCACGGCGACTTCCTTGAGGGTTTTGCTGCTGTAGATGCGGATGCGGGCGTCCCAGCCAGCAGTGACAATGAGCCGGCCATCCGAGCGGACCCGGAGAGACTGCTGGCCAGCATGCTTGGTGTCAATCGTCTTGTACGGGGGCTGCACCGTCACTAGCGGGCGGGTGGATTGGGCAGGCTTGGTGCGGGGGAGCGATGTATAGGACGAAGAGAGCAGAGAGGCTAACCCTCCGGGCTTAGGTGTGTGGGGAGGTTTCTTGGCAGGCACCTTTGCAAACGAAAGGCAAGGTTCGGACGAGTCGGAAGTTTGAGAATCGACTTTTATTGCCTCTGATGGTCTACCTCCAGGACTCTTGGTTGGAGTGTTATCGGTCGGCCGCCATGGGTCTTTATCGGAAGGTGTAGCCTGTTCTGCAGAGTTGCCCTGACAAGAGGGAGAATAGGGATGCAGGTCGCTGATGTCAGATGTGAGATCTGGCAGGCGGTGCATAGCGACCCTGGCATCTGCCGACGAAGTGAAGTAGAAATCGCCATCGGGCGAGGCGTCCAGGGACAGGATGGGTTGCGTGTGCGGCTGGCTGAGATAGACCAGCTCGGCTGCATCGACACTAGGGCGGGTGTGGTTTGCCGGTAGTGTGAAAGCTGCTGTGACGCCAGCCTCGTAGCCAGCAAAGAGCAGCAGCTTCTGCGAGCGTGGGTGGCGGGCCAGTTTTAGCGCCATGACCATTCCTGGCGGTGTTAGCGATATCTGGCGCCCAGGCTTCGACAGCGGCATCTATACCTGTTTCGACGGCCTCGACGCGAGGAACGACGATTTGCAGCAGCTCATGTGGGAGTTGCCAAACCTCAATCTGCTTGTCATCGCGTCCCGGGACTGCGATGAGAATGGGGGCAGGGTCAGGGTCCGAGCGGGTTTGGCGTGGCTGGGGGCACATGGCAAAGGCGCAGAAGTTGAGCGTGTTGACGGGAAGGGCGTGCAGCAGCCATGGCAGCGCGGCGTCTAGCTTGTCCGCGTCGGCGGGGAGAGCGAGGGCATGGGTGGAGCGAGCATCTGGGGTGAGCTGCCATACCCGGAGGCAGTTGTCGCGGCCGTGACTGGGGAAGTCATTGGGTGGTGCAGCAGCAGGGCATGGAGATGAGACTCACGTAATAATGCGGTCGTAACCCCATTGGGCAATGGCCAGGACGGGGCCGGCATGGGCCTTCCACACGTAGACGGCGCGCTGGGTGGCCAGGCGCCAGCAGACGACGTAGCCGTGGGCGTCGCCCGAGAGCAGATGGGCGTTGTGGCGGGCAAAGTGCAGGCAGTGGACGTGGGAGGCGTGGCCGCGGAGGATGCAGGTGGGCAGGGCGGGAGGCAGAGCGGCCATGTGGAGGGTTTGTTTAATTCATCATAAGCTGAAGTGGTCGTCTTGGGCAGGCCGGCACGAGATGGGATCGGCGAGGCAGCCGAAGTGGGGCCACCGACAGCCAGCCGCTGCTTTTTCGGCGCCGCCCCTCGACCACCAAGAAGCTATGCACATGCGCGTGCAACAACAAGAAGAAAGCAACGCCGAGCGCGGTCCCGGATGCGTCTCCGCGCCCGTCGCTGCAGCATGCAGCCTGCATTCGGGGGTGCAGGTGTGTCGTGGTGGTGGTGGTGGTGATGGTGATAGCCATGGCCATGTGAAGACGGCAGGCTGACGGCGGGCCACGATGGCTGCATCCGCGTGACGTCATTCGGAGGCTGACAGCGCCGTCCATCTCTGTCCATCTACCATGTGCCTGGTTACTACTGCTACTACACCAACTACCACTTGCTGGTACATACTACAGCAACAGTCCTCCAGGGCAACAGGCAAGAACAGGCAGTCTGTGCATGGATGCATCTAGTGCCGAGCATGGATCGACTGTGTATCGAGTATGGATGGATGCACGCAGGGATCTTGGTGGGCTGCGAGCTTATTTGCAATCTTCTGCAACATTAGACGACGCCCACGCCAATACCATCCTCTACCACACGCACACGCACACGCACACGCACATCATGGCCCCGTTGGTCGCACGCAATGCCCGGCCCCCCGTCGCCCGTCTCGCTGCTCTCGCTGCTCTCGCTCTCGCTCTCACGCCCGCTGCCCGTCTTGGACATGGCGGTTCTATTCTAAGCGGCCCGTCAGTGCTGCACCCACACCCACACCCACCCGCTACTTATAGTACGGTCCACCGGCCCTCGCGTCCACCTGCCCCCGCCCACCCTGACAGCACCACCCTGACAGCACCACCCTCCCCCCCTCCCTATTCCCCGTCGCCCTCGCCTGTTCTCCCCCCAGTTGCTTTTCCAATATTCTACCTGGTTCGCGCGACTCGCGTCCATCTGCTCAATCAAGCCCTGCGCCGACGTGCTTTTTTTGTTTTGTTTTTTCTGGTTTTGGCCTTCATCCCGCTGGCTTCTGCTCTGCTCTATTCTGCCCTGCCCTGCCCTGCCCTGCCCTGCCTCCCCTGCTTTTCGCCTACATTTGCCCTCCACCGCCCTCCATCGCCCTCAGTTGCGCTAATCGCCTTGTCCAAAACCCGTACCATTCTGCTTTCGCGTTGCAATTCCGCTTTGGACCACTCGAAACACGCCCTGTTGCGACCACCCTGCCTGACCCCATCGACTCTCGGAGTTCTCTGCCTGCCGCCTCTCTGCCGCCCTCGACAAAATCCACGCCCGCCCCCGCCCCCTCCCCAGAAACCCAGACAACCAAAAAGCACACAGGACACGGCCCACCGCATTCGCCACGCTGCACGTCCTGTTCCGGGCCTCGCCCTGGCCTCACGCCTACCGGCTCACTGCACTACAAGGCTGCCACTATGCCAGACACTTCCACGCCGTCTTCCAACAACGATTCCCCCACCAACAAGTCGCTGCCCACGAGGAAACGCGCTACCGATGCCACACTCGACGACAAGCCCAAGCGCACACGCACCGGCTGCTTGACGTGCAGAGAGCGCCATCTCAAATGCGACGAGTCCAAGCCCACGTGCAACAACTGCCTCAAGTCGCAGCGCGACTGCAATTGGGGGAAGAAACTCAACTTTCTCGACACCACCTGCGAACGCAGCGCATACCTGATTCCCCAGGGCATCGACTACCAGGTAGCCTTCATGGACGAATCCCGCACAATTGCCTCGGAATACGTCGGTGGTCGAGAAATGTATCCCGTCGAGGAAATGGACACGCACTTGCCCATGGGCGACAACGCCTTTGGCATGGGCCCCCCCAATGCCTCGCGCCAACCCCTCCCACCAGTACAGGGAATCCCCCACGACTCGTACCAGCAAGCCCAGCTCAACTTCAGCCTCGACCAGCATCGCGCACAGCACCAGCATGGACGGACAAGCAAGTCGCTCCACACCTCTCCCACTCAACCACCTTTGCTAACTCTCGCTCAGTATCCAACTACTCAAACGGCCCCACGCCCTCGACATACACAATGGAACAATCTGAGAGCCCCGCCCCGCTTCCAACCCGCGACTATCTGAAAAGTCAAGAGGAGGTCCTATACATGCAGGTCTTTGTCGAAGAAATTGGAATTTGGATGGATAGCATGGATGCACATAAGCACTTTTCGCGATTGCTGCCCTTCCATGCGCTCAACGAGCCGATGCTGTTACATGCCTTTCTTGCATGTGGCGCACGGCATCTTGCGCTTGTCAATCCAAAGTACAGCGAGGAAAAGGCACTGCATTACTATGATGTAGCGACGCGCGACCTATTGCATTCTCTCCAAAACCCCGACCGCGACACCATTCTATGTGCGACAACTGCCGTCATATTAAATGTCTACGAGATCATGGCCGAGCGCGCACTACAACGGATGAACCACATTGCCGGGGCTCGCGCCTTGATCAAGGAGTGCCGGTGGAATGCAAAATCAACAGGCATCGGAGCTGCCTGTTTCTGGCTCAACGTGGGCATGGAGATTCTGAGCTGTCTGCACTTCAATTGGCAAGTCGCGTGGGATCCAGACGACTGGGGCATTGAAATGGACTTTACGCCAGAGACGGAATCGGGAAAAGAGGAGGTCTGGACACATCGCATATTGTATATTGTTGCCAGGATATGCAACTTCCGCGCTTCAATACCACGCAACCCAGAAGTCGCTAGACAAACATTGCAGGACCGCCACAACGAGTGGCTACGTCTCAAAGACATGACCGACAGATGGAACGAAAACATCCCCAGAACTATGCATCCAATGGCCTATCTTTATCCCGGCCAGACCATATCTGGCTCAGCATTTCCAGAAGTCTGGTTAATCAAAAGAACATCAATCGTCGCCCGCCTGTTTTATCACACGTCTCTTGTTCTCCTGGCCCAGATCAACCCAGTACAAGCAACCAGCGAGCCGGAAATGTGGGCCATGCTCGAGCAAAACTCAAAGTTTATCTGCGGCATTAGCGCACATGTCAAAGATCGCGGCGTCGCTAGCGTCGCACTAAGGTCCCTTGCCATTGCGGCCGAGTCTCTCACCGATCGGCGAGAGCAAGAAGAGGTTCTCCAAATCTTTGACAAGATTCGACAAGAGACAGGGTGGCGAGTAGGATTTGTCAATACCGAACTGAAGCAAAAGTGGGGCTGGGATACTCCGCAGAACCAGGACCAACAGCAGCAACAGCAACAGCCACCACCACCGCAGCAACAGCAGCAGCAGCAGCAGCAGCAGCAACAGCTTAACGGGCAAATGCAAGACGGCAACTCCATGTACCAGCAGCAGCCACACATTGTCGTTCAGCAACAGATGCCTCAAGTCTCTCTAGCGCCCCCGCCCCCAGCACAAGCCCCAGCCTCCGTACCCCGCCGACCAACCGCCTTTGGCAATCCTCTTCTCGTCGCCGACTTTAGCATGCCTCAGCACCCCTATCAAGCACACTATGTCCCCGCGAATATTGTCCAACAACAGCAACCTCCCTCTCTTCTCCAGCCGCCTCTTAATGGCTATGGAACTCATTTTTTCTAATCTCTGCCTCTCTTTTTTTTTTGAAAACATCAGTCTTCCAGCCCTGCTTCTCGCAATCGATTCTCATATATGCATGCATACCCATTTTCGCAACGCACAGCTGTATCTCGTCGTTTTCCTATTCCTATTTCTTGATTGTTCTTTTTTTTCTCTCGCTTTGTGTATACGAAATACGGAAATGTAGCCAAAAGGGAAAAAAGGCAATGTTGCAAGGCATGCATGTACACACACACACATACACACACAAAAGGTAGGCGGGGCGGATACACATCTCTTTGTTGACATTTTTTTTCTGCTCTTGTTGAATAACGACGTTATGAGGGTGTTGGATGCACGCAATCCATGTAACGGGACTCATTTTAATATCCAGTAGTGACGACCTAGTGAGGAAGAAAAATCAGAGAGAGAGAGAGACACACACACACAAAACGAGGAGAAATGTCTTCTTGTATTGTAGTATATGGCTCTGCACAGCACGAGATGGCCATGTAATGATAGATACGGCTCTCGGTGCTCCCTTGTATATAAAATACATGTCTCCCTTGGAGTATTACGAACAAGATAACCCACGGTCAAGTAACTCGAGACCCTAGTAGTAGTAGTAAGCCACGGTATACTTGGTTGATGTGCTAGTGGTTACGCAGGCTACACCAACACGACACAACAAGACGACGACACGGGGTCAAGTTGGTTGCTATTTGTTCTGTACTTGTGGATATCTTTGTATCTATGTAGCTTTGTCTGTGACAAGGGCTGTTTTAGGATTGCGGGTTTACTATGTACATAGGTACACATATACACATACACACATATATATATACACAGAGAGAGAGAGAGAGAGAGAGAGAGAGGGGGGGACCTTTACTATAGCCGAGAAATCAAAAAAAAGCTTCTAATCCAAGTACTTGGATCAAGCCAAGTAAGTAATCCTCTCATGCAATTGAAGTCAAGTCAAACCCCAACCCCTCTCATGAATCCCCACTTACTAATGCCAACTCCAAGTCCAACTTCAACTTCAACTTTAACGCTAAGAATATATATATATATATATATACATCTCAAAAGATTTCGTCTCACAAACTTTGTTATTCCCAGTGAAGTTTTCTTAGCGGCGGGCGTGAGATGTGATACGTGGAGATTACAACTTCTGTAGTAAGAATAAGAATAGACATGAGTAAGTATATCTCATAAGTCTTGGATTATCATTCAAAGCTATGTAGATATTGATATTCCAGATACAGCCATGTCAAAACCAAGTCTAAAGCTCTGGCAATTGCAATCATGTCGAGGTCAAGGTAATTTAATTTAGCATTGCAGGTTCAGAGAAATCAAATTTGTCATTGACTATCATAAACTTCATATATACATTACACTAAACCATCTCCTCTGGCCATCAATAAACCTCTATCTGGATGTGTCGAGGACATAGCGTCCAACAACAGCACCCTGGTGCATCTTGTCGTAGACCATCTGCAGCTCAGACAGACCCACCACCTTGTAAGGAGCCTTGATCAGACCGCGACGGAAGAATTCAATGGCTTCAGAGCTGTCCTTGCGGTTGCCGACATATGAACCTTGGATCCTGATCATCTTGATGACAGTCTCAAAGACGGGCGCCTTGAGGTAAGCACCAGCTGGGAGACCAATGCAGATGACGGTACCGCGGGGTCGGACGTATTCAGCAGCCTGCTGGAATGGCTTCTCGTTGACGGCGACAAGGATGACAACGTGGGGACCAAGGCCATCGGGCGTTGCCTTTTGTACATCGGCGACAAGGTTCTTGGATGTCGAGAAGTCGACGAATGCTTCGGCGCCAAGGTCGTTGACACACATGTTCCTCTTCTCCTCGCCAGCGTCAATGGCAATGGTTCGTACACCCATGGCCTTTGCATACTGGCAGGCGAGCGATCCGAGACCACCTCCGGCACCAACAATAGCAGCGAACTGGCCGGGCTTGACGCCGGATTCCTTCAGGCCCTTGTAGACCGTGATACCGGCGCAGAGGACAGGTGCAATGGCGGCCAGGTCACATTCCTTGGGGATGCGGGCAACGTGGGCAGCCTTGGCGATGCAGTATTGCTGGAAGGTGCCGTCGACAGTGTATCCAGACAGAAGGGGAGTTGGGCAGAGAGGCTCATCGGCTGTTTGGCAGTAGTCACAAGACAGGCAAGAGCCGTTTAGCCACTTGACACCTGGCGCGAGTTAGCGTCAACCAGCCACGGGTGGGAGCAAAAGCAATATAGCATACCAGCATAGTCGCCAATCTCAACGTCTTTGACTAGCTCTCCGCGTGCCACGACGACACCGGCACCTTCGTGGCCGCCGACCAGAGGCAGCTTGGTTGGCTAATACAAGTCAGCAGGCTTCACGAGAGAAGCATTGGCATACTAACCAGAGGCCAGTCGCCATTGACGGCGTGGAGATCAGTGTGGCAGACACCAGAGTACTTGATGTTGACCAGAACCTCGTCGGGGCCAGGCTTCTGGACTGGAATCTTCTTGTACTCGACGGGACCGCCGGTCTTCTCAATGACCTGCGCCCATTGCTCGGTGGGAATGTTGCTCATGTTGACGGCGGGCTGTGGGAAGTGCTGGGCTGGGGTGGTGTCTGTGGAAAGTGTGTGTGTGTATGAGAGAGAGACTCGAGGATGAGGGTGTTGTTGGATAGTCGTGTGCCACGGAGGGGCGCTTTATATACGCTCAGGCGCCGCCGTGAGAGTGAGAGAAGGAGAGATCAAGGCCGTGGACCCCACCCGGCGACAAACGGATGAGAGCAGGGCCTGGATGTCCGCTCATCCATGGCCGCTCCGGGCGTGCTGCTCGGCGCGGCGGAGTTGGGCGGTCCATGGTAAGGCTTGGTCATTGGCCTGGGGGAGGGTGTAGTGGACCTGTTGGAGGGGTACAATGGCACAGATTGGATAGCGTGGCGGATGTCGAAGCATCGGCTAGGCGACAGGGACGATAGCGTGAGCATGTTGGTACCACAGCAGCAGGACGCACGTCCAGAAGCAGAGTGGTCTGACTTGTTCGCGGCCAGGGATGGTGGGCAGCAATGTGCGATGGGGTGAGGGGGCACAAGGAACGCTGCCCTTCTCGAGGTGGGGGCGTCGTCGACGTCCAGCGCCTAGCCTCTTTGGGCCAGATATCTCCTGATACTTTGTGTGGTGCCCGCGGCCGCACCAGAGACGACGACACTGGCGACGAAGAAAAAAAAATCGTAGTGGTGGTGGCTGTGGATGCATCACCAGATGGCTCGTCTCACAATCGTCTTTTCGTCGTGAGCTCCCACGCGCGGTCCTAGCCCGGTGTCTCTGCCATGCATCTTTGCCTGGCGTCTCCACCGGCGAGGCGAGGCAGCTGATGTGAGCGCAGATGCAAAGTCCCCATGGACGACTCCTGGCAGCCTTCCAACTGGGCCGGTCGAGCGCAAACCCCAAACGCTATTTCCACGCGCGCTGTGTCCCTCTATGCCGATCCAAGGAGGTACATGCCGGCAACGGCCCAATGACATGGTTCCAGGCGCCATTCGGACAGGCCCATTGCATGCGGCTCCTGGCATGCTAAGCGGGCCATGGCGGGGTAGTCGGCGGAGGGCTACGTCGACAAGCCTTCAAGGCTGCGGAGTAACGGGCCCATCAACAGCTCGGAACAACGGGGGCAGGGCGATCGGCGGGCGTCGACATCGGCGGCCAAGCAACCACTACACACTGCTACCGCCGTCAGAGGAGGGGAAGGGGGGCAGAGGTTCCACCACGCTCTCTCTGCGGGCGCACCGCACGCAGCACCCCTCTTTATGTCTGCCTCGCGCTGAGAACCGTGATGCCTACGTGAGCACCTCTGTGACTTTTAGCCGTCATGCATTGCGTAGCCATACATCATCCATCTGCACATTGACCCTCGACACTGACACTGACACTGACGAAGACATCACAGCGCCCACAACACCAGCGTCCCAGGGCCACGACCGGGTGACAACATACTCGACGCTAGCTTAGCCTCGACAACAGCCACACAAGTCATCATCAATACATGTCAATTGCACATACACATGCGAAGCTCCGTGTTACCGGAACTGTATCGTGGCATTAGGCCCGACTCGACCACTCTAAACGCCTTGCCGCTCGCCAAATCCATCACACCCGCACCGCCCATCGTCACAAAACACATCGAGCATGCACAGCTACTGCACCATCACATCGGCAGCCTCACCATGCCCATTGGCCGGCCGATCGTCGGCGTCCTGCAACCCAAGAGGTAAAGACGAGGGTAGATCCTTTCCGGCTGCCCGTGCCTTGGTCTCGGCCCACTGCCGCAAGCGTACTAAGCTCCTCATGCGACATTCTCCACGAGCGCCCATGCTTGTCAATATAGCTTCATTGACCTTGCTCGCAACATTCCGCCGCAGCGACGGCTCCAGCAATTCATTCAGTTCCCTCTGCAGAGTGCCTGGCGCCGCAGGAAGAAATATGAGCAACGACATTGTAAGTTCAAGATCTCTCAGAAAATCCGCGTTGGTCGCTGCCCGAGGAGCAAGCTGCGATGAAGCGAAGTTGAGCGCAGGCGTGATATCAGAGGCGGCAGATGACGTGCATGCCCGGATAAGTTCAATCAGCTGCAGCCGGAGCAGGTCAAAGTGCAAGGCTGGGTCTGTGTCTAGAATCTGATTCGCGCGTTAGCAGAGCCCATGGACAGCTATGCGAGACGAGTAGATGGAGCTGCTTGCAATCATACTGAGGACTGAAGGTTTGATTATCATCAAAGGAATTCTGCGTGGTGCATGAAACTGATTATAATCCTGCAAGGGCGTGGTGCCAAACAAGTAATATGAACTTTGCATACCTGGGGATTCAGATCATTGATCTTAGTAATGGCGGTATCAATATCGCCAGCATGAATAGCCCGGCGTATTTCTACGCGGGACTGGATAGACTCCTCTTCAAGAGGCAACTGGATGTTTGCTTCCTTGGCAAACTTTTCCGCCGCTCTTGGGTAGCCTTCGCTGACCAGGTAGTCCATGATGACAAAATTGATGTCCCTGCACAAGCCATGTTAGCACTGCTGCACCTCGTACATATGGGCTAGGTAGCGCGCCATGCCCAAGCTACGACAACATCAGAGATACAAGTTAACATGCTCTCCACATGTTGGTTCGGAGAGATTCCCAACTTATTTTGAACTCATCATGCGAAAGCGCGTAGCAGAGGCGGCGCCGACTGTGGGCAACTTACGTCTTCGAGGGTTTCACATCATCCACTTTCCGCTGGAAGGGATGATGCTGTGTTGGCGTTGCCGCCGATACGGACACTGTCGATGAGCTCTGCATACCGGTTAGAGAGGGGGGGGAACGGTTGCGACAGCCAGCCACCGCGTAGCTTACCATGATGAAGCGAGACGCCCAGCGAACCTCAGCCGACATCCATCAGTGATTTGTAGGAGCTGCTCGACCGTGGGCCGAGTGTGCTGGCGGTCACGCAGAGATTTGCGTGGTGGGAGAAAGTTTGCGGGTAGAGCTTCGTGAGAGAAGAAGACTGAGCTTGCGCGCTTGGCGAGACTAGTGCCGGTGGGTCCCCTTAGGTAAGCCTGACACTAAGGTCAGAGCCCACCCACGGGCAGAAACCAGCTCCCTGTCTGGAACCCTGCATTCACTTTTTGGAATCTTCAATATTCACTCAAAGACGTGGCACTTGGTAAAGGCAGAGATTGAAAATACCCCGCTAGGTGTTCAAGACGCTACGGGAATTCGAGAGATGGCTTCAGCTGGCCGAAGAACACACTACGAACCGCCATGGGGCAACGCGAGTATCATTGGAGTAGCTGGTAGTTCAGGCTCGGGCAAAACATCTCTGGCAATGGCTATTGTCGCCTCGCTGAACCTGCCCTGGGTAGTCATCTTATCTATGGTTCGTTCCAGTCTTGTACAGTGGGTCACGTGCTCCAGCCAGCTAAGGGACACTGCATGTAGGATTCGTTCTACAAGCCCCTCACGCCCCAGCAATCGGCAGCGGCTTTCCGTAACGAGTTCGACTTTGATTCCCCGAACGCCATAGACTTCGATATCCTCGTGGACCGCCTGAAAGACATCAAGAATGGCAAGGTGGCCGAGGTGCCCATCTACTCGTTCCAGAAGCACGCCCGCCTCCCCAAGACCACAACAATCTACTCCCCACATGTCATTATTCTAGAGGGCATATTCGCCCTGCACGACCCCCGGGTACTCGAGCTCCTGGACCTCAAGATCTTCGCAGAAGCCGATGCCGATTTGTGTCTCTCAAGACGTCTGGTGCGAGACGTGAAAGAGCGTGGCCGTGATATCGAGGGCTGCATCAAACAGTGGTTTTCCTTCGTCAAGCCAAACTATTACAAATACGTGGCTCCGCAACGAGAAATTGCTGATCTCATCGTCCCTAGAGGTATTGAGAACAAGGTTGCCATTACCATGGTGAGCAACCAGGTTCGCCAAACGCTGCAGAGTAAAAGCGTACAGCACCAGACAGAACTCCGACGGCTAGGCAAGATTGCCGAGGACCGCCCACTCAGCGAGAATGCCATTGTGCTCAAGCAAACCAACCAGGTCAGGGGCATGCATACGTTGCTGCTGAACCCAGAGACATCGAGAGAAGACTTTGTCTTTTACTTTGATCGCATGGTGGCCTTGCTTGTCGAGACGGCAGCCGACTTTTTGCCTTTTGTGTCGTATGAGGTCACCACGCCCCAGAACACCACGTACAAAGGATTGAAGAAGAATGCAGATGTCAGTGCCGTGGTCGTTTTGCGGGGCGGCAGTGCCTTTGAGACAGGCCTGCGACGAACCATTCCTGATTGCAGGACAGGAAGATTGTTGATCCAGACAAACTACCGAACCGGAGAGCCAGAGCTGCATTTCCGAGCCCTGTCCACAGACATTGCCGAGCACGGCTTGGTTCTGGTCCTGGATCCCCAGTTCTCCACAGGCGCGGCGGCGCTCATGGCCGTCAGGGTGCTCGTCGATCACGGGGTGCCGGAGCACAAGATAGTCTTTGTGACATATACTGCAGGAAAGGTTGGGCTGAACAGGGTCCTCAGCGTGTTCCCCGATATTAGGATTGTGGTGGCAAGACTGGGGACCGATGAGGAAGCGCGATGGGTTGAAACCAAGTATCTCGGTTGCTGAAGCAGCAACACAAGCATGTGACCACGCATTTGTCGAAATTTCGCATTGTTACGCCCGGACATAACTTGACGCCGTGCTAGAATGTACATAGCCAAGATATCTTTATCCGAACACCGTGTCTATTGCCAACGCCGACAAATGCAAGGCTAGCGTTGAACAACAACAACAACGCTTCTCTATGTAAAATGGGTATCAGAGGAAGTACTCCGTCGTCACTTCTTTTCCTTGCTGCTGCTGCTGCTCAGCTCGGTGGACATCGTTATCCGGGCTGGCATCGAAGACGTTGAAGAAGCGTTCGCCCGTGTCGCTGACTTCTAGCACACTGGCCATGTTGCCGCACCGATAGCAGTAGTTTGGTGCGCTCCAAACAGTACTCAGCCTGTCGTCGTAGAGAATCTGGTAGCCCTCTTGGCACAGCTGATGCGCTCGCAAAATGTGCGACATGGAGTTGACTTCCAGGAACTTCCTGACCACCTGAGCCCCGAATGTATAACCTGCGCCTCGAGGGCTGAGAGAGAACTCGTCTCTCTCAGGATCGGGATCGCTCCACACGAGATCGGCCATGGGCCCTTCATGAGGTATTTCTCGGAAACGGTCGATGATTTTGATCTGGTCGATCGAGTGTATCGAGGGCGACAGGCCGCCGTGTACGCAGAAGATTTGGTCGTTGATGACAACAGAGAGGGTCAAAAAGTCAAACATGTCGGTGAAGTAGTGCCAGACGTTGGCGTTGCCGTATTTGCGAGAGCATTCTGTGTAGAAGCCGTACGACTGCGTGACGCCGCGAGACTCGTGGTTACCACGGATGAGGTGGACGCGGTGCGGATAGCGCAATTTCAGGCACACGAGGAGCGATATGGTTTCGACGGAAAACAGGCCGCGATCGACATAGTCGCCTGGTGACGGTCAGTCGTGCGCCTCGAGGTCGCGTGCCACACAGACGACTACTTACCCAGGAAGAGGTAGTTGGTGTCCGGGCAAGGCCCACCAATCTTGAATATCTCCATCATATCAAAGAACTGGCCGTGGATGTCGCCGACAACCGTCACGGGCGCTCTGATGTGCACCACATTGCTCTCCTTCATGAGCAGCTCCTTGGTCTTTGCACATATTGCCTCGACGACGGGCTCGGCGAGCAGCTCCTTCTTGGACAGGCGGGATATGCATTCATCCAGGTCCACGCTGGCTGCAAAGTGTCAGTATGCGTGCTTGCGAGGACTGGCGCCGACTGACGTACACGGTAGACCGGGCATGATGGCGTTTCTGGCGTGTGTGGGACTTGCAGCATCCGCGGCTCAGCTCAGGGTATTGAGTCTATACTGGTCGCGAGCGAGTGCCTGTACCGTACAATCATCCTCAGAGGCGCATCGGGAGGCGCTACGCGAGCGATGGCGCAAAGCGAGCGACGTAAGATTTGGGATGGGGGGCAACATGTGCGGTGCTCCCTCTAGGGCGCGGAGGCATCCCACTTGATGGCCCAAGCGCCCAAAAAACGTGACTACGCTTCAGATTTCCTCTCCATGTAACGTCGGCCTGCCAATGCTTCGCAAAACTATGAGGCTCCCGGCTCTCCAGCACCAACCCTCGCTTACTCTGTCGCAGCTGTTGTGCCCCATTGGTCTGGGAGAATACTCCTTTGCAGCACTCGCAATTCGTCATCCGTCTCCTTTTGTGCTCTCCATACCTACTTCCAAAGCGTTTCCTCACATCAGCGCCCAGGCTTGTTTCCCTCTCCGTGTCCACTCCCTTACTCGTCGCCCACCTCGCAGTGTAGCCTCCTAGAACCCGCAACTCACACACACCCCAAGGTACTTTGAATTGGCCGCCCCTCTATGAGCTTGGGCTTCCCTTTTGTCCTGGCTCGTGCGCTCCATCGGACCAAATTTCGAGACGCGCGCCTCATACTTACTTCAAGAACTCTCTCGCACATCGCAGCCTACGCCACCCAACAGCAGGCAGTCACCAACCGCCATTAGTGTTTCTTTTAAAATTCGATCCCGTGGTGCCTGGCGTGGATCTCAAATCTTAGACTACTCGTCGGGGTGGCATGTCTTGGAACGGGCCCGTAGGGGGTGCGGCGCCTTTCCAGCAGCAACCATATGCAAACGGCCCACCCCCGTATGGCCAGCAGCCGCCCTATCAATATGGACAACAACCAGGAAAACACCCGGGATATGGTCAGTATCAGCCAGGACCCGCCTATCCATCCACTGGTCCCCCTCACCGCGCTCCACATGGCCAGTAGGTCTCACTTTCATTATCAATATGCTGCTGCTCACGTGCTCGTTTGGCATCTGGGTTTTCGGCGCTAGCCACTCGTTCTAACTCCCGTGCAGGCCGCCAAAAAAGAAGGGAAACCCAATAATCACCCGATATCCTCCTCCTCCGGGGTATCGTGGACCGGCGCAGCCTCAGGGCCCTTTTGGTGCTAACAAATTTGCCAACTCGTACAAGTCGGCGCAGTCAGGGGTCCCGCCATCGTCAGCTGCTGCAAACTACGCGCAACAGAGCTACGCTGCTCCTGCTGCAAGTCAGGGCTACGGCCAACAAGCCCCTGGGTTTGGACAGCCATTTTCCCCGACGCAGAACAGCCACCAGTGGCCGCAGTTTGGTTATCCTCCAAAGTCGAGCTACTCGCAAGCTTCCAGTCATCCATCTGCCCAGGCCTATGCTCCTGCTCAAAACAGCTACCCAGGCTATGCATCGCAATCTGCTGCTGTTGATCCTAGCCATCCGACATATGGCAAAAGCGGGGCATGGTCGCAGCAGCACGCGCAGGCATCCTACCAGCCAAACCAGCAAAGTTCTTTCAATGGGCCGCCTCACAGCCAGGCTATGATAGATCCCGAGGCAACACCCACTCCGGCGACTGCTCATCTCAACACATCTCAATCGTCTCAGCAACCCGTTCAACCTACTAGCGGCATGAGTGATGGGGGTGCGAGCGAGAAGCCACAGTTGTATTTGGCCTGGGACGATTGGGATTTTGACTTTGACGGCGCAATCTGGCCCAAGAGCAATGAGCCCGTCGATCCCGCCCTAAGTCTTGGGGTCATCATCTGGCACCCTGCCAAGCAAGTGACTCGTGCATTACCATCAACCTTTGCTGAGGCCGAAGAAGAAGCATTGAAGCCGACACCCGAGAAACTGGATAATGGCGATTCGGTGTCCATGTACTTTACAGCTGACAATTCGCATGAAGCCTTTTTAAATGTCCGGCAAACCGACGAGTGGGAGACGATCCAAGACGATCCTGTTTTCGTTGTGTTTACAGACGAAGACATGCAAAACAATCTCGTCACGCTAGAAGACTGCATCGCGCAGCGAGATCGACCTGATGAGCCCGACGAGGTAGATATGCATGATGGGGACATGGAGATGCGCGATGCCACATGGGACATTATGGATAATCTTGAACAAGCTCTTAGTACTAACCACGGAAGTGCAGCGTCCAGCACAGCGAAGCATGAGGCACCATCTCCACCGCGAGGGAGTCAAGAGGATATCCTTGCCAAATTAGGCGTAACCGGCGCCCCAAAGCCCCCATCGAACGAGCCAATACCAGTACCTTATTGTTTGTCTGAGACTAAAGAATCATCGCCGGTTGACGAGAAGCCATCAGCTACCCCTTCCTCTGCTCCGGCCCGGGACTCTGTACCACCAATCCAACGGGCGCACTCATACGGTGGCTATCGTAATAGTGGACCGGGCTCTGCGCCTTCTCGACCATACGGCTCTATGTCAGCAGCAACCAATTCTCGGCCGCCTCCGCCTCGAGAAGATCGGCGATACGATGCCTGGAATGCACCTCCACGCAATGGGCAGAGCTTTGACAGCACCAGGGGAAGTCCCGCGCGCTCTGAAGGAAGCAATCGAACCATGGCTGGTTCTGATTTCGAACCGGGAAACCAAGGTGATGGGACACCACAGGATGCGCCTGCTGTATCGTCCCTTGAGCGAAGCGATAGCTCGTTTTCCCGGAAGAGAAGCTATGAAGACGCTGATCAAGAGCATGCAAGACTGCGACAGCAGGAAGATCATAGCAAGCGGAAGAGGCGTTCCCAAGTCGATGCCGCCTACAGGTAAGATTGTATAATATGGATGCGGAATCATCTCGCTTGTGTCAGAGCCTTACTCGTCTTGCAGTCGTCGCTGAACGCCGATTCACGAGCCCAACGCCTTGGACCCGCGCACCTTTTACCTTTGATTCAGCAGACGTCAAGTCAAGTTTTTTTTATGCCATTTCTTCTCACGATAGAGTCAGTTCTTTGCTGTCGCTTTTACAAAATACGGCCGTGCTCATGACCTACAAGAGCGTCTTTACCTTGTCATTTCTCATACGTCAAAATCGTTCACATGCTGCTATTTATTGCTTTCCATTCTCAAGGAACGAGGCCATTCACTTTTTATCAGAGTTCCATCTCAAAAGCTGGTCAATTGTGTGTACCAGAATGGGCCATTACCGAAGCTGCGTGTATCAGCATTTCATGTCTGTTGTGCAAGTTGCTTCATCACGGCTTTGTCAGATTTATCTTTATTGTTCTTATCATTCTTATTATTGTTTCTTCCTTTATTCATTTCCAAGATGCCTATTTCAACCTCATCTTCATAAAAATTGATATTCAATTTCATTTGACCCAGCGATGCCAGCATGGAGCAGCGGGATTTCCAACTCCGGTATCTTCTTGTCACACAAAAGTCTGGTCAGTCTACTAGATGTTATATCGATTCTCTTTTCCGGTCTTTGGAGTCTATTATCGTTATACGGTCTGTGTTCCTTGTTTCTTTTCTCTTCTTCAGTCACAGCCAGGTCAAAAGTGTTTCTTGCATCAAGATTGAGACACTTGCTTCCGTTGCAGCAAGCGCCTTCTCCAACGATGATCAGGTGCTTGATACATGGGAGCGAGCAATGGAGCGATATGGGCATGAGGGAGTATTATGCATGCATGTCAGATTCTCCGGGTACGGTCTGTCTGCGCAGCAGGATGATGCCAGAAGCATATTCCAATATTGTCGCAATGAAGAATGCTTGCAAGTTTGCTGTAGGCGGCGCTGGACTTTGCGACGATCAGCATGCAGAGCGCTTTGAGCAGTTGTGATTCAACCATATATGGCTGCTGTCTGAACGATGAATGTTTCTAACAAATAGTAGTCAGTATACGTTTAATGAAAGCTCTTTGGACAGTTTAGTAAGGGTAAGTGAAATAATACACCAGCAGCATAGTTTTACAGGTTCCTCACATGTGCTGGATTGATCAGCTGCAGGCGTGCTCAACTTGGAATCTTCAGTAGTGGATACAGGAAGGATATGTAGAAAGTAGCTTGTGTTGGATAAATAATCAAGTATATTAGAAATCAATAGAAGACCGGAAGCTAGACCAAATGTACATGGATACAACACAGCATTGGGGCTATTCCGGGCGAGTCCGTGCACTGGATGGCTAAGCCACAGCCAAGCCACAAGGTGCGTCATCTGATCAAGTGTTTCATACCTTGCGCGCAGGCAACCGTCTGCCACGACAACCTTCGACTCGATTGCGCCGACACTCGATATACCCTATACTCACAGTACAACCACTCGAGACGCAGAACTCGCTACCATGTGCGGCTCCGACTGCTTCTTGATGCTTCTCAGCGTCCTGGTACGTTTGCGGCGCCCCTCCGCTGCCGCCGAAGCAGAGACGGAAGGATTGTCGACGACGACTTGGGGCTTTGACATGCTAACACAACGAATAGTTCCCACCCGTAGGCGTGTGGGTCAAGAAGGGCCTCTGTAGCGCCGAATCTCTGATCAACCTTGCGCTTTGCTGTCTCGGGTTCCTTCCAGGCCTTCTGCACGCCTGGTACGTGATCCTCCAGAACCCAGATCCATACGACGCCTACCAGCCAGTTCCGGATCGCGAATATGGCAACAGCAGCAACGGCAGAGTCACGTACTATGTCGTCTCGCACGAGCAAGGCGCGGGGCGACCAGCGAATTACGGCACTGTGGCGGCTCAGCCAAGTAATGGACAGTTCCCGGGCCAGCAGAGCGGTGTGACGAACAGCTTTGCACCGCCTCAAGGACACAAGGCGGCGAAGAACAGCGCGCCTGCTCCGAGTGCGTCAGCGCCAGCACCTCAGGGTGGCGAGGGCAGCTCCAGTCAGCCCGAGGGGCCACCTCCGACGTATGCCGATGTCATCAAGGGCGACCACAAGGTGCAGGACTAGTAAGAGGGGGAGGTTGGCACTTCCAAGAGGAAGATATTTTTTGCGCAGTGTGATGGATTCAGAATTATGGATTGGGGCTATGGCGTTGAAGGGACATGGGGTATTAGCGCAAGGGCCTGCAGCATGGGAAACACTGGTTGTATGGACGCGATAGGCGCGGAACGGTAATGGGCAGGTCGAGACAAGAGGGTGTTGGATGCCCACCACCTAGTGTTTGTGTAATGTAAAACATGTTTGGCAGTCCAATGCATACGTCATTGCGCGAAAGCTTGCACTTGGACTTGGACTCGGCTCCGCGGGGATGGCTATAAGCAGGCACATGCACATGCAGATGGATAGCACTAGATGTAGGTGTAGAGTAGGCATAGGTAGGGTAGGTGGGTAGTGTAGAGCCCCACCAGCGAATCCGGGGGCAGGGCAGGGCGGGGGTTGCACCGTTTCAAAGAAGAAAACGGGCGAATCAGACGCGCCCCTGCCGACCTCAGCCACGTACGTAGGGCGCGGCATGGATTCGGCCAAATGCGCAGCCAATGGCGCGAGGCCGGCCCGGCACAGGTGCGTGTGCTGTGCCCGCCGTCATCCATGGCTTGGGCCAGACATTGCCTGTTTGGGCATGCAGGGCGAACATGTCTACGCAGACTTGGATATCAATATTGCAACACGCCTTGCTGGGCATGCCGAGCGAGGGCGGCGATGTTTCTTGCACCGGGGGGGTGTGTGTGTATGTTGGAGGTCCGTGGCACCATGGCGGTCGCACGCACACATGACACGCTTCGCGCTGCTGGTGTAGTCCATTATGTACAAGTATGACACGCTTCGCGCAGCCGGTGTAGTGTATCTTGTATGGCATGTGTGCCAGGTAGCAAGTGCAAGTGCAGGCACTCGGGTTGCAGCGCGACGGAAAGCAACCAAGATGGCTGGACGATATGACTTGCAGCGGAACGGCCAATGGAGAGATGCGGATGGGCTGCCGCGGGGAACCCCAAAAGAAAGGCCCTGCGTCATGTGCCCAGCGCGGCCAAGGCGACCAAGGGCTGGCTTGGGAGAGGCCTTGGAAGGCTTGAACGCGATGACGTTGAGCTTCGCCTGCCTGCTGCTATTGCCACCATCGCCGCGCTACCCACCTGGCCCATCTCTAGACTGTGGCTGAAGCTGCGAGAGCCCTCTTCATTCGCGAACCATGTCTTTCATCAGCCACACGGCGCCTGACTGTGCGCTGTCACCGCGTCCAACCAAGGCCACACCAGGGCCACTTAATTAACCCCCGTTGGTCCCTTTTCTCTCCCCTTCCCATCTCCCTTCACCGGCCTCGTATTCGCAGGGCATCCCATACCTCATCCCACCCCCGTCGCCATCTCACCTCAACTTTCCCTCCAATTGCTTGGCGTCCGTGACACTACGCTGCCCTCCGCGCCTGCTTTTAATAATCCTCCGCGTCTGCCATCGTTGTTGCCCCCCCCCCCCCCCAGGCCGCTCGTTCTGATCCTCGATCAGGTCAGCAAAAGCAGACTAATGCGTAAGCAGACTCGCCCTCCCTGGCCCTCACCCACATCCCCGCTGACCCAAGACCTCCCTGCAGATACCGTGCGAAGACATGCGCATCGTGTTGCGTCGCAACATGGCAGCCATGGCGCCAACAACTACAACCCGTTTGCCCGCCAGCGCTCTCGCGATGCGCACCATGATGTCGAGAACCAAATGCACAGGACGCGATCAGAAGCTAATGCGACCATGACCATTGAAGAGCAACGACGAATGGAAACGAGGGATTCTGAAAAGGAGTTTGCAATGCCCGGCCACCACAACACGGAGCCTGCCCCTTCATCACAAACATACGCTAGTGCTTCAACAGCCGTGCCAAAATCGTCAGTTGACGACGACACTGCAGACGCCACCCACCAACACAAACCATCCGACGCCACCTTGAACAATGAGCACGCCGTCGGTCCCACCCGACGCGCCAAGTTCAAGGGCATATTCCGCAAAGAAAATCAAGACCAAGACAACGCCGACGACGAGGCCGAAGCCGACGACCTGTCGCTGGAGGAACGCAAAAAGAAAGCCTTCAAGAGGAAGATTCCCATTGGTGCTCAAATCCGCTTTGTGCTGTTTGGCGCTTGGATCAATGTTCTCCTTGTCATGGTCCCCGTCGGTTTCGCTGTCAATTACGCTGGCCTCGCCCCCATACCCGTCTTTGTCGTCAACTTCGTCGCCATTATTCCGCTCGCAGCCATGCTCAGCAACGCCACAGAAGAGCTGGCCATTCGCGTTGGAGAAACTCTCGGAGGACTGCTGAACGCCACTTTTGGCAACGCTGTCGAGCTCATCGTGTCCATTCAAGCCTTGATCCAGAACGAGATTGTCATTGTCAAGACTTCTTTGATCGGCAGTATGCTTTCCAACTTGCTGCTGGTCTTGGGCATGTCCTTTTTCCTCGGAGGCATCAACCGCCTGGAACAGTTTTTCAACGTGACGGTAGCTCAGACGGCGGCGTCGCTGCTTGCTCTCTGCATTGCGTCCCTCATTATTCCGACTGTGTTCCACAACACCATCGCCCAAGATGACGCAGTCGCCCACAACGGCGCTGCTGATGCCGTCAGGAACCAGGAGTTGTCTCATGGAACTGCCGTCATTCTTCTCTTTGTCTACGCTTGCTACCTTGCTTTCCAGCTAAAGACACACTCGAACATGTACAACGAGCCCAGTCAAAAGGTGCCCAAGCGCAAGTCTGGCAAGAAGGAAGAAGGCGAAGCAGCGCGCGGCATTGCAGCCATTGGCGCCGGTACTGCCGCTGCTGCTGGTGGAGGTGTCAACATGAAGACGCTGTTCAAGAACCCAAATGACGCTGAGGATGAAGACGACGAAGACGAGTTCGAGACGCCGTCGCTCTCTGTAATGGGTGCCATCATCACGCTCGCCATTTCCACCACCCTCGTCGCCTTTTGCTCTGAATTCATGGTCTCGAGTATCAGCGGTCTCACTTCGACTGGCGGCATCTCCACCACCTTTGTTGGTCTGATCCTGCTCCCCATTGTCGGCAACGCCGCCGAACACGCTACCGCCGTCACCGTCGCTATCAAGGACAAAATGGACCTATCCATTGGTGTCGCCGTCGGATCCAGCATGCAAATCGCGCTTCTCGTCTTCCCCCTCATCATCATTCTTGGCTGGATCCTCGGCAAAGACTGCATGACTCTTTACTTTGACACGTTCCAAATCGCCACTCTCTTTGTCTCGGTCTTGCTTGTCAACTACCTGATTCAAGACGGAAAGTCTCGTAAGTCTATAGCCTGTACTCTTTGTATCTCAATACAGTGACTAACAGTCTGCAGATTGGCTTGAAGGCGTCTTGCTCATGTCAAGTTATGTCATTATTGCCCTTGCAGCATGGTTCTACCCCGATCTGGAGGAGAACCAATGCTAGAATTTTTCTCCACTGTCCATCTACACATTACATCCCCCCCTCCCTTTCTCATTGTCTTTCTCTTTTCCCGTCTGTGTGTCTTCACAGTGTACATATTCGCACTCAACCACTACCACTACCATTACCACCACCGAGAGAAGAAAAAACAAACCAGGTACAGGATTGTCATGTAAGAGAAATTAAAGGTGCTCAGGGCGTTTGCAGTAATCTTATGTTTTTTTGTTCTTCTTCTTATTCTTGGACTGGACTATGCAAACACACACACACATATATATATATATATATGTAGGACTTAATCTGTTCATGGTTTCTGCGGCACATGGTCTTTTTATGCCCATCCCCCCCTTTTTTTTAGATACCCAACACTCATCTATATCTATCGGTTAGTCTATCAATCAATATATTATTCCCTAATCAACCCCTTTCGCCATCGCCAAACCACTTGTGCCTTGCCTTTTTTTTTCTTGACGGTGTGAGTGCGAGTATGAGTATGAGTACGAGTATGAGTATGAGTATGAGTATGAAATCAGTGAAGCGAAATGACATGACATGACATGTAAATATGCAAAAGGTATTTCCACAGTCTGGACATTGTGAGATTGGAACTGTGAGATTGGATGCTTGGCTGGATTATGTTGTATCTACTCTGTCGTATTCTCCTTCTTCCTGTCTTGATGTCTTGATGTCTTGATGTCTTGATGTCTTGATGTCTTCCCACGCACAATATGCATACATACGTAACGCCATAGCCCCTAGTCCTAGTTTTCGTCCGTGTACTTTATTCCACTTGGGCTGGGGTGTACTTTGTTCTACATCTGTATCCCTCTTACACTCCGCTCTGCTCCTCACATGTGTGCATTGCAACAATTACTAGCTGAATCATCTTTTTTTCCCTTATTTTACTTTGCGACTGTCTTACTTGCCCATTCCCATCTCTCTCTTACCGCTGCATTCCTTGCACCGAACTCGCGCGGTATACATGAGAGATTGTATGCGCTGGTGTGTGGTATGAGCCTTCTCACTCTCTCTCTCTCTCTCTCTCTCATCTACTCGTATTTCTACAGCCTTTTAACCACTCCGACTCCGACTTCAATCGTTTTCTCGCGGATTCGATATACAATACGTCTGGGAAGGTGATTTTGGGGTTGGGAGTTTGAGCTACTTTACCTCTACTTCTACTTCTTTTTCTCACTCTCTTTCTCTCCACTTCTGCTTCTACACCCATTCCCCCGTCTACTCAGCACGTCGCTGCCTCTGCGTCTTCCTCCCCATTCAATACACGCTTCCGTATCTACGACGCTAGACGAATCTTGCTCTTCGCTCTGCGCGCCTGCCGACTTCTCACATCGGATACATCTGCACTGTGCACGCTGTCGCGCCTATGGAACACCCCGGTGCCGAGATGCCTGAGACGGCTCTGCCGGATCGGTCTGCACTGCAGGAGGGTCAGGTTGGTGTGGGCGAGTTGAATGGGGTGGTGCAAGGGCTGGTGGCTGGGCAGGTTGGAGATGAGGGTGTAATGTATCAATTTGGTGGCGGTGGCCAGGATGCCGACGATGCTGATGACGACTCCGACGATGAAACTGTCGAGGCTGACGACGATATTGACGACAAAGATGACCTTCAAGATGCAGAAGGACATCTACTGGCGGATATCGATGGAAACTCCGACGCTCAATCACACAACCAAATCGATCCACTTGCTCCTACTAAACATCATCCACGCCACGACCCAAACTCTTTGTTTATTCCAGAAGACAGCCCATCGTCATGGAGTAGCCCTAGTGAATGGGACGATATTGCCAACGACGTCGACTGGGAGGACAATACGACTGCTAAACCAACTCGAAAGAGAAAGCGCGCTCGTGATTGCGAAGAGCAGCCCTCAGAGGACGACTTGGACGAACCTGAACAGTCAATGCAAGCTGCAGAACTGCAGAGTATGAGACAGGCCCAAGGAGATGCTCCACGGAAGAAGAAACGCGCCACTGCGCCAAAAGCAAAGGCAAAGGCAAAGGCAAAGACCACTCCCAAGGCCAGCAGAATCGAAAAGAGACGCTTAACCTTGGCCAAAAAGCAAAAGCAAAAGGGGCTAGAGCAGATGGCCAAGCAAAAGGAATCTCTCTTTAATTCCAATGTCTTTCTTCAACAGGCTGGTCCAGATGCACCGGATCAACCTACGTTTAGGTCAGCAGTCAAGAGAGACGCTTTAAGAGAACTCATCAAGAGCCTGCCACCGGAACTGAAGAAGCAGGCCACGCGAGATAAAAGCAACCTGGAGGATGCAACGAAAGAGTTCAACGGTACAGGCGAAATCCGAATTGATCCAAACAACCACCAGCTCTGGCGGCTCAAGGGATTCAAGACCCCATTAAAGTCGTATCAAGTCTTTGGCGTTGCTTTTATGCGCAAACGTGAAAACTCAAAGACACAGCCAAAAGGAGGCTTGATGGCGGACCAGATGGGACTGGGCAAGACAGTCATGATGCTAGCCAGCATGACCAACGGGCAGCGGCCAGAAAATGCTCGGAGCAGAAAACCCAAGACGACGCTGATCGTTGCCAGTCCCGCCATCCTCACGCAATGGCAGAACGAAATCGAGCAGCACAGCAACTTTGGCTGGCTGCGTTACGGCGCCGGAACACGCATCTACTCGAGCAACAACCTCAAGGTGTTGCTGGAAAACGACATTGTCCTTACCACGTACAACGAGGTCATGAGGTCGTACCCGAAAAACGATCCGCCCGCCAACTGCACGACAGCGGAGCAAAAGGAGAAGTGGTGGGAAGACACGTACGAGGAGCGCCGCGGCGTGCTGCACCGCATCAAGTTCCTGCGCATTGTCCTCGACGAAGCGCAAGCCATCAAAAACCACAAGTCGCGCACATCGCTGGCCTGCCGCGCTCTCATGGCCAAGCACAGGTGGGCGCTCAGCGGGACTCCGATCCAAAACAGCCTGGCGGAACTATATCCTTACTTTGAATTCATCGGCGTCCCCGACACGAGCGGTTTCGCCGAGTTCAAGAGCAACTTGTGCAACCCGAAGCATCCGGAGAAGATGCTGCAGCAGCTTTCCAAGTTTATGATTCGCCGGACGCACGAAGATAAGATGTTTGGGGCCCCGATTCTCAAGTTGCCCGAGGCCGGGCAGACGACGTTCTGGTGCGAGTTCAACTCGGTGGAGCGCTGCATTTATGATATTGTGTATGAGCGATTTGTGGAGCGCATTAATGCGTGGTCTAGGGATGGGATGCTGAATAAGGCTTATAGCAATATCCTCGTGTAAGCAGCGTCATACTCGTTGATTGTATTGCATGGTTGAAAACTAATCACGAGATACCAGACTGCTCTTGAGACTCCGGCAGCTAGCTGCGCATATCCTCATGCTTCAATTCGTCATGCGCGACCTCCTCGAGCAAGAAGACATTGAGCGCATCCACAACGTCGTCAATGTGCAAGCCGCCGACGGTCGAAATGGAAACACGATTGTGGCCGTGCAAAAGCAGCTTGAGCAGCTGGCCAACAAGGAAAAGAAGAAGAAGGAGCGCAGCGATTCCGAAGCAAAGGAGACCACCGAGTACGATGACTCTGACAAGGACGACGACGCAGACGAAACTCCATACTTGACGCAGCCGGAAGAAGCGACTCAGTTGGAAGCCGGCGGCGACTTTGGCCAAAGCTACAATTTCAAGCCCTATCTCAGGAGCCTGAAAACAGGCGCAAGCTGGGACACGGCACGCAAAAACGCAAAGTGCATTGAGTGCGGCGAGAACCCCATAGCGCCCATGACGACTTCGTGCGGCCACCTTTATTGCGGAACGTGCTATGAGGATGCGTGTCTCCGCAATGCTGAGCAGGGCGTTGATGTTACGCGGTGTGCAGCCTGTGGCATCATTCCTGATTACGTGCATCCGTGCGACCTGGAAGAGACGACTACAACTAGGAGCGGTAAGAAGAAGAAGGGTCGCAAGCCACCGGGAAACGAAGACATTCCGGATGACTGGCTCGATGCCGTCTGCGGCGATGTGCTGCCGTCTGCGAAGACTATTGCCATCAAGTCGCAGCTCATGAACTGGTTCAAAGACGATCCTGATGTCAAGATTATTATTTATACCCAGTTTCTTGCCATGTACGCTACCCCCTTTTGTCCTCTTACTCTGGCTGACAAAACCACAGGATTCGCATTCTGGGACACGTTTGCAAGAAGGAAGGGTGGAAAGCTGAGCAGGTGAGTGAGCCCAACAGGACAAGTCTTTGCAACGAGAGAGAGAGAGAGAGAAGACCGACTTGCTGACGAGAAGGGGTTGCTAGTATCATGGCAAGATGAGCCTGGAGGACCGCGATCAGGCGATTCGCACGTTTGCGCGGGACCCAGAATCGAGGGTTTTGCTCGCAAGTCTACAGTGTGGTGGCTGTAAGTAACATGCATCCTCTTTTTTCTTGGACATGTCGAAATCTCGACGTCATCCTTCTTTCTGGGCCTTTGGACACTAACATTACCGTATTTTAGTGGGCCTCAACCTCACCATGGCTTCCAAGGTCATCATCATTGATCCATGGTGGAACTCTGCGGCAGAGCAACAAGCGTTTTGCCGTGTCTTCCGCATTGGGCAGAAACAGGAGACCTTCATGGTGCGTCTTTGCGTGAAAGACACGGTGGATGTCAAGATTATCGGAATCCAAGCGCGCAAGGATTGGGAGATCAAACAGGTCATGGGAAGGTACGTTCACGTTTGTGTGTGTGCTGATTGCGGAGTTTTCGGGTTTCAGGCTAATCATGAGGTGTTTCCAGGAAGGATTCGCGCCGGTTGATGGAGGCGTTCGGAGAGGTGGGCAGGGACGCCAAGGGCAATCCGTACATCATCAACAGTGACACAAAGGCACGCCATGACTGGAGGGCTGGGCGTGGCGAGGATGACGAGGACGTCTCTGAGAGTTGCTAGTTGGTGTGGCTGATTTGGAGATGCGAGTAAGGCTGGCGAGTGTGTTTCCATGGACGGTTTCAGAATCGAGTGATGGTATGGGCTGCAAGACCTGGGGGCGCCATATCAGCTGGGTACCGCCATAGCAGTAGCTGTAAGTCCAAGGGATAGGTACCAAACATGCAATGGTGCTTACCGTTGCTTTTTCCATGCCGCCTGCAGTCATGAACGCATCCGTCTAGTGAGGGCGAGGGCGCGATAAGGGCCGAATGGCAGCAAATCAGAAGCAGGGCGATAAGTGGCGATAGGCCGAGGTGGTGCAGGCCGTCGTCGCGGGTCGCAACACGACGGCCATGGCGTGCTGATGGGTGGGCGCCCCTTGGCCGCCATGCAACGTCCGCGATATAGGGGAGGGGATGGAGCGAGGTCGAGGAGCGAGGAGCGAGCAGCACGCCGGCGGGCGGCTGATTAATGGCAGGCTGACCCAAGGGCCGTCGAGGCGCGCGCCCCACCATCCCCCCCACATCTTGCATCTCCGGAGAAGCTCGCAGACCTGCCATGGAGAACAACACCACGACGGCGGACGCGCAACCGCAGCCGCAACCACCCTGCGACACGCCGCCCCGGAAGGGCCGCCGGGGGAAACGCGAGGCCGGCAGCGACGATTCCAAGAAGCGGCGCTGCATTTCTTCTGCGTGCGTGCCTTGCAGGAAGCGCAAGTCCAAGGTATGTCGTGTTAGGTAACGGGAACCGCCTCGCTGCCCTTTCTCCGGCCTCTATACACCTTCTCCGGCCTCGCTCCCGCCCCAAGCCGTCGAGCATCTCGTGCGAGAGCATGCGCTAATTGCGAGGGGACAAACAGTGCGACGGCACCACGCCCGCCTGCTCGGCCTGTGCCGCCGTCTACAACACGCCGTGCATCTACGACCCCAATTCGGACCACCGCCGCAAGGGCGTCTACAAGAAGGACATTGACAACCTCAAGACGCGCAACTCGACGCTGCAGACGCTGATCCAGGCCATCCTCAACTACCCCGAAGACGCCGTCGCCGACCTCGTCCACCAGATCCGAACATGTGAGAGCTTGGACTCGGTCGCCGAGGCCATCATTGCCAAGGAGGACGGCCAGGACGACGACGACGAGCCTCTGAGCCCGGCGGCAGCCCCGGCCACGGCGCCCGCAGAGGGCAGCTTCGAGAGCCAGCTGAGCGGCAAGATGGGCGAGCTGCGTCTCGAGGACGGCTCTACACGCTACATCGGTGGCACGTCGCACCTCATCTACCTGGGCAAGGGCAACGACGCCGCCGACTCGCCCGATACGTATCCAGACGACCAGTTCCACGAGATGCAGGACCCCTTTTGCTCGTGGACAACCGTCACTTCCGACCCGGAGCTCGTCCAGCATCTGATCAGCATGTACTTTTGCTGGCACTACAGCTTCTTCACAACCCTCTCCAAGAACCTGTTCTTGCAGGAGTTTAAGCTCGGCAAACCGCTGCCTGGGTCGGCGCGGAGGAACCAGTACTGCTCGCCCCTGCTCGTCAATGCCATGCTGGCACTTGGCTGCCATTTTACGTCATGGCCTGCCGCGCGAGCCGTTCGCGATGATTCGGCGACGGCTGGTGACCATTTCTTCAAGGAAGCCAAGCGACTGATCATGGAAGATGACCTGCACGAGGTCCCGGCACTGACGACGGTACAAGCCTTGGCGCTCATGTCTGTACGGGAAGCTGGTTGCGGACGCGAGGCCAAGGGCTGGGTCTACAGTGGCATGTCCTTTCGCATGGCATGCGATCTCGGCCTCAACCTCGGTATGCATAGCAAGGACGTGATTGACGAAAAGGAAGAGGACGCGCGGAGGATCACGTTCTGGGGCTGCTTCCTGTTCGACAAGTGCTGGAGCAACTATCTCGGACGATTGCCACAACTGCCCAACACGATCCTCACGGTACCCAAGTTCGAAGTCTTTCCTGTCGAGGACGCCGAGACGTGGAGCGCAGTCACCGACTCTGGCCTCAGCCAAGCACACTCGCAGCCGAGCAGGACGCGCGCCGTGGCCCTCCAAATCTCAAAACTCTGCGAGATTTCCAGCGATCTGATGAATTCTTTCTACAACCCTATTGACATGGACAAGGTCAAGGGCAGACAGGCGGAGCTGAAGAAGCTCAGTGAGTTACACATGCGACTGGAGACTTGGAGGAGGGAGCTGCCGAAAGAGTTGGAGCCGAAAGAGGGTGGCTTGCCCCACATGCTTGTGATGCAGTGAGTACTATCCATCATCCCAATACACCCATACTAACAAGCACACAGCATGTTTTTCCAGTTGCTCTACATCCACCTCTTTCGTCCGTTCCTAAAATACAACCCCAAAAATTCACCGCTTCCTGCCAATGTTTCGCCCCGCAAGCTCTGCACACAGGCTGCTGCCATGATCTCCAAGTTGCTACGTTTGTACAAACGATCCCATGGGCTGCGGCAGATTTGCAATATATGCGTGTACATTGCGCACTCTGCGTGCACAATACATCTTCTCAATCTGCCCGACAAGAATGCAAAGCGAGACATCATCCATGGTGTCAAGCATCTCGAGGAGATAGCCGAAGGTTGGCTGTGCGCCCGACGGACGCTTGGGATCCTCAGCGTCCTCGCAAAACGGTGGAATCTAGAGATGCCGGAAGAGGCTGCTGCCGTGCTGTCTCGTACTGATGCCAAGTTTGGTCCTTGGAGCGAAGTTAGCACACCAAAAGCGAACCGCCGCGCATCCATACAGACAAGTAACCATCATCCTTCGCCCGCGGACCAGGCATCGCCAAGTCTTCAGCTGTACAGCATGAACTTGGCCAACATGACCGCTCCACAAGTCTACAGTCGAACAGCCACAGCAAACAGCTCCGTAAGCACTAATCCTTCTGCGCGCCCCTCTAGCAATCACTCTATACCTCCCTCCGACCCAAACGCCCTGGCTTACATGCGCTCCCAGCAGCATCCCACTACGCCTCAAAACTATGCTGCCTCCCTGAACGCCCCCACACCAGCCTCGACACAAGGACGCCAATCCATTGACGGCGGACGCACCACTGCCGGAAACTCGCCCAGCCAGCTTTTTGGCGGCGTCGACCAGCTACTCCGCGAAGGCCAAGACTGGATCTACCGTGACCAAACCCAACTCGCCAACGACTTTGAAAACTGGAACCCCCAAGGCGTCGAGGACATTGCAAGTTGGTTTGCCGGCACGGCGAACCCCACGGGTGCATTCCAGAGCGCCACAACTGCCCCTGTCATGGCTAGTGAGGTGGTCAACGGCGGCCCTGTCGGCGGTGTCGCTACCTCAGCCCCTGCCCCTACCCCCACCAATGGATTCCACGCCAATGGCACCTTCAACGGCAATCCCAATCCTAATCCAAATCCTAATTCTGCACCTGGGTTTGGTAGCATCGGCCTTGCTGGTATGGGTATGCCGGGGTTTACGTATGATGAACAGAGTTGGTATCAATGAAGTTTTGATTTTACCAAGATTTTCATTGCTTGCTTGCTGTGTTTGTCATTTCATGTGTTCTGGTCCCTCCCTGGGGCTGGGATTTGTATTGTACTTGATATACATCTTTTTTTTTAGTTTCATCTTGTAAAGTTTCGGTTTGGCAGCTTTTCCTCTTCTTCCTCTGCTTCTTCTTCTTCTTCTTCTTCTTCTTCTTCTTCTTCTTCTTCTGAACTCGTATACGTGGAAAAGATGTACTGCTCTTCTTCTTTTTTTTGGTTTCTGTTATATCTAGGCGTTGGAATCTTGCTCTTTTTGGAGAGGGGGTGTTTCTACTTTTGGTTAAAGAGAGAGAGAGAGAGATGATGATGATGAGGATGAGGATAGTGAAATATAAAAAGGCGTTGGCATGGGGTGGGTCTTAGGATTAGATGATGTAATGAGGTGTTTTGTGGTGTTTTGTACGTACGTATGCATGTATGTAGTAAAGAATTCAAATCAACACTATCATTGTTTCGATCGGAGTTTCAGTGAGTGATTTGGAAGGGCTTTATTTTTTTGGATTGGATTGGATAGAGAGGGATGAGGAGAGTTTGGCCTTGGGTGGCGTCGTTGTGATGGTAAGGAAGAAGATACGTGAATTACAGAGTGTGTTTGTGGTGTGGACTGCGTGGTCTGTCTGCGAGTGAGACGAGTGGAGGAGCGTTGTTGTGAAGATATTTGCATACTATTTTATGTGTATATAAGTATACATACGTGTGTGTTGTTATTCAGGCTCATACAGAGATAGACAGCGATTACGTTAAGATTCGGCTTTTTGCGGCTGCTTTTGTGGAAAGGTCGATTTGGTCTATGTGTTTGTTGGTGTGATGGGATATGTACTCACGTGATAGGGGCTTCTAAGATTGTATTTGGAATTTGTATGAGAGACGTTTAGCAGATTTTGATACTCCTTCTAATGCTAAGAGGCTCGGCAACGGCTTGTAGTGCTTTAGATTGCGTTTTTTTTGTGTCCTGATACCGGATGCAAGTGTTTTGATTGGAATCTACAGAAGGAACCGCCATGTACATTATTTGTGACTAAGTAAGCCTATTTTGGTACACGACGCATCTCATCACACAGGGCACAGCCGCCGCTCATACACGGAACAACCCCTTCCAATAATTGCGGGTATCTGCCTGAATGCCTTGCTTCATCTTCAACACACGAGAAAAAGCGTTTTTCGGCAGCAACTCTTTCCTTCAGCGCGTTTGTACACTTGGTATACCCAGATAGTGCGACACGCTGCATTCCAAGACAGCGGATTCAGCCTCGGGAGGCGCCGTGGGTGATTGGCCACGGAGCGGTGTGCATCACAGCCACACCAGGCGTTCTTCCGTCACCCTGTTGTCGCGGCTCGTATTTGTACCGCTGGCCAGCCTCATGGCCCATAGATCATCGCTCTACAATAGACTTGCGGCTTCACATCTCGCTTTCTCCGCTATTCTTCTTACCCACATATCCACCGTCATCAGTCAGCATGTCCGAAAGTTACGAGCAGTTCATTCTTCGCGATGGCGTCGAAGTCGAGGTCATGGAAGCCGACATGCGGCAGTACCTAGGGCTCCGTGCCACCATAAGACGGGGATGGGGCAGTGGAGCATATCAAGGGGAATCTGACTACCGGGTCACGACGGACCGACCCTTGACCAGCGATATGATGCAGGAACTACAGGCTAGCTTGCGTATGTTGAACTGAGTTTGAAAGAGAGAACTTAAGAGCTGGGGCTAACGGGAATGCTGTGCAGCTCAGTATCTAGGTATGGTTCTGCTTCGTGCCAATACACAGAATACAGATCCAGCGAATCCGGTGCATGAAAGCTCCCACGGGAATCTGGAAGCTACTGGGTCTTGGATACACCCGACATGGCATGCTGGTCATTTCTTTCCTGCACAACAATCCTCAATGACGACGTATTCTTCCGCATCTGTAGACCTCTCGGACTAGCAAAGCTACTCTACACAGCCATCCTCGTCTTACCCGGCACGCTATCCACAGGAATTGGAAGGATTACACCCCCCCAGGAGATTCACACCAAGCGACGAATCCCCTGTTGAGGTATCTATTGATCAGGTGATGCACAACCGCATTTCACTAACAATGGTCAAATCTAGTGGTTATCCTTGGTCACCACTGGAGGCTAGTGACCAACAATATCTCTCATTTTCTACGGGTGAACCACAAGACTACAGTAAGTTAGACAAGTTTTGTGGTTTAGCGGCTACTGACGCACTTTACACAGTACACCCAGAAGCACCTCCAACAGTCAGGCCAGAATATAGCAGCTCAACAAGAGACATACAGCATTTGGGGAGCCAGTTTGAAGGTACACCTTATTCATTTTTTACTAACCCTTCGGTTCATCTCATGGTAGGTTTCTCAGCCTTGAGAACAGTGAACACGTGAGTGCTAACTCAATCAAGCCGCAAGTTGAAGCAGTTGCACAGCGGCCAGAAATACCGCCTACCGTCATTAGTCCGCGTGCTGTAAGACACCCGGACACACCAATGTGAAATGATAGTAACTAATCATGATATAGAGAGGCTACGACGAAGGCAAAGGCATTGCCGGTATGGCTCCACCAGATGCCGATCCCCCAGAAGATATGGAGGAGACGCCACGCCACTAGACGAGTCACACGCGCCTTGTTAGAAAACAATAGCTACAAAATCTCTAAAGAACCATCCGTTTGCTCCATATTCTCATCAAAAGCCTCGATCATACGCTGGAACCTCGGTGTCTCTTCCACGAAATCCCTTGTCCTCGGGTACCAGCGCGAGCGGCACTTGTCAAAGCAAGTCTCAACACCATGGCCCGCATGTTTCACACTCAGACCCACGTTGCGCAATTTACCACTTTCAGCGTAGCTGGTGAGCAAGTCCCAGATCTCGGTGGATGCGCCCCATGTCGCAATGTGCACTACAGTGTGGCCGTTGCGCCTAGCGATATCAAGCCGCGCTTCAGAAACAACAAGGTGCTTGAATACGGGCTCGTTCCAACACAGGAGAGAAGTCATTATGAGAGTATCACCACCGCTGTCCAGAGCATCTATTTCGGATCCGTGAGAAAGGAGACATTGGATTGTTTCGACGGAGCCTCGATTGGCCGCATTGTGTAACGGCGTACACTGAGAACTACTACGCGCATTTGGATCTGCACCGCGTTTCAGCAATTCCTTGACGATATTGGCCCCGTCTGGTTTCTTATCGCTGGCGAGATGGATGGGCTGGAACCCTTGAGATGTGCTTAGAGTCAAAGAAGCCTCGGCCTCGAGGAGGCACTGGACGACACCAAGATGGCCAGTTTTGGAAGCTTTTGCTAGCGATTTCCAAGATTGGTTGTCAGGACGATTGACATCGGCGCCGTATTTAAGCAGGAGGTTTACGCTCATACAATCGCCCCGCCATGCCACCCAGAAGAGTGCTGTTCGCCCGTTCACATCAGGCGCATCGATATCGATGGGGTAGTGTTTGAGTACCATTACAAGATCGAGACACTGCAGTTCCAGGATGGTAAGGTGGAGAAGAGTAAAACATTGCTGTTCCAGGTCCTGGCTGCTCATCGAAACCTCGGGCGAGGCCTGTCCAGTACCACTGGCATTACGATCGAGATCGGAGCCGCTCAGCGCGCGGTCGACACACGGTTGCATGGCCATCCTTTTACTAATCAGCAAATCATACTGCCATGTTGGAATCAGGAGTTCATCTCACATTCCACTCTGGTCACGGAAGTACGGATCAGCTTTTTCCGCGATCAGACAATCGTAAATCTCCGTTTGGCCTTTGATTGCAGCGTACTATGGCTGTGTCAATCATCTGCTATACTTGGAAAGCTAAAGTTACTAACCTTGAGTACCGGTACATCCCGCACTCAGACATCATACGGTGACGTTTCTCATTTCGCAAGCATATTCTTCAACTCTGCAATCTTGCCTAGCTCGATAACGCTCCAAACAGGAGCGCTATTGACTATCACCCTCGGCATAAACATGTTGATGGAAGGAATCAGTCCGCTTAACGTCTCCGCTCTTACATAGACATTGAAAGCCTTCAGCATGGTCCAAGCCGGCGCGATATAGGATATCTGCAGACGCGCCGACCCGCTTCGGCGACAGTGCTTCTTGTTGCAAGGCAGGCGGTTCAGCAGCATCGACCCGTTTCCGTGAACCGTCATGCGGCCCAGTACCTGCGTGATCCACCATGGCATGCGAGACTCGGTCGTAACGTGGCATCTACAGGGGCAAAAGTTTTCGCATTCAGTTTCGTGGGAAAGACTGCCGCTGAAGGAGACGAGCGTGGCTGAGGAGTCTGAGGAGTCTGAGGAGTCTGAGGAGTCTGAGGAATTGGAGACGGCAGAGTAGAAGGAGGTGAAAGATGATCTCCGGCTTAGAACACTGCGAGGAGGCGGCGTTGCAGATGGAGGCATGGCATGGCCTGAACCCTGTAGCGACTGTAAATACACAGAGACGATTGAGCCGGCTTCAGGGGATTGCGCCGTCAGCGCTTCGACCTTCGACAAGACCATGTCGATTTTCCGCGCCGTCTGTCCTGCATGCACCCAAGTCTGGACTCCCTGCAGGACACCGAGCGCCGCATTCAGTGACGTGATCAACGCGGCCGTCTCCGCCGTCAGCTGTATGATTTGAGCTTTACGCCGCACCCAGCTTCTCTTCAACGGCTTCTTCGCATCGCCATGGCCACTCGCCACTCGCCACACTCACATGCTGGATCTTCCTGTCCAGCCGCGCAAACAGCGCAATCGCCTGCGCCACCAGCTGATTGACGTTTTCCAGACAGTCCTGGATCCGCGGCGTATACTGCTCCTCCTCGCTGATATGGCGAAGCGCGATTTCCGTGCCCCAGAGCAGCGCGCGCAGGGGGCTTCTGTCTAAGTATGGTGCCGGTTAAAGCGAGAAGGCTTACTTAGCGTGATGGGGATAAATAGTCTCTCACTTGGTTCCAGAGCCCAATGTACTCGTGGCTGCGATTCCGCAGGTCCCAGACGCGCTTGAGGCCTTGCAATGTGTTTCCCGATGCGGTCAGTACAGCGATGATGCCCGAGGCAATGGATAAAGGGTCCATTGCTCAGTCTGCCGAAGGGAGAGACAGTCGTCTTGGGGTTGGTGTTCTGATAGACTAAACTATGGCTTATCTATTTGCCCTTTTTGAATTCAGCCTGCTGCATTGAAGCGGCGGGGTTTTCCGCTATAGACGGTCCCCGAGGCTGAGGCGGCCGGACAAGGCTGAGAGGTACATGGTGGCGTTGTGCTGCGGGAGTGGTGCCACGCCATCAGCGCATCAGTGCTAGAGTTTAGGGTAGATTGAGCTGTATAGACGTTATTTTAGTACTGGTTTTATCCATGGATAGGCTTTGGTTAACTGCTGCTTTTTGTGTACTGTTGTGCGAACGTCGCGTTGTCACATGACCGTTATCCTGTGATCCTGGAAATCTAGAGAGGCCTTTCTCTAACAAAGCTGCCTGGGCTTCCGTGAAGGACAATAGATTTCATATGTATGTATGATTAGTTCGAGATAATTCGCTTCTACTCGCGTTGAAAAGCGTCAAAGATATGTTCCATCAGTATACATGTCACACCAACGGTCACCCCGTACAGCTTATGCAAGGTCAATACTCGATTGAACAGCCTTTAGTTTAGACATGCCATCTCTAAGCCTACACACATAAGAATCCCCAAAACACTAAAGATATTCCAACACTGAAGCTGATCACCGAGGTATTCAAGCCTGTACCAGCCTCATTCCCATGTCCCCCCTCACCTAACATCCAAAACTAGTCGCAAAGATACTTCTCCATGAGCACAACCATGTAGCCAACCATACCCAATCCCAGCACGTACTTACCCGTGCATCCCGCAAGTGCTAGCTCCCACCCCACCATGCGTATTCACCCTCCCCACAACTGCACTGGTACGGTACGGGAGGGAATCAGCTTCTCTGATTCCGGCCTAGCGACGACGCAAGGCAGTCTTGGGGGCTTTTTTTTTCCCGCCCCCAAACCTTCCAATCAAGCAGAAGCCCGCGCGCATCTAAGCCACAATCAGCGGGGGAGGAGGGCTTTCCAGCCATGTGTGCAGGTGATATAAACGGGCGTTGGCCTCACTTTTTCGCGACGGATTTCTTTATATATAGTCAACGACGACGCGACGCTGTGAATAAACAACTACAACAACAACAACAACAACAACAACAACAACAACAACAACAGACCATGTAGAAGGGAATACGACCACCGCGATGAGTTTTGGTATTAGCATCGCCGACATCATCAAGCTCTGCGATTTAGCAGGGAAAGTGTACAAGAACTGTTCGTTTTTTTCTTTCTTCGAGCGTTTTAATCCCACACCCCTTCTCGACAAGGTACACACAAAAGGGCTGCTAATGTGTGTGTGTGTGTGTGTGTTTTACAGGCCGCGACTGTCCGGGCGACTACAAGACGCTGAGTAGCGAAGCGCGCAGTCTGACCAACCTGCTCGAAGACATCCACGACAAGTACGCCAAGATACCGCGGGCAAAGCAGCAGCAGCTGGTAGATGCGTGTGCGCCGTGCGTGGAGCTGCTGCAGGAACTCGATGCGCTGTTGCGGCATTACAACGGGCTGGATACAAAGAGCAAGCGGGTGTGGGACCGCGTTAAACATGATCCGCAGCGGTTGCGCCAGCTGCGCGAGCGCCTGGTTGCGAGCGTAGCGCTGCTGAATGCGTTTTACACGTCGTTGATGCATGATGGCCAGGTTCGCATTCTCGAGGCGCTGGAGCGACTGGAGAGGGATTATAGAGGCGGGCATAGGGAAGAGAGCATTGCGTCGATTGGACGGCTTACTTCGGTTACTGTACTGGAAGATGATGGTGACGACGACGAGACGGACGATGAGGCGTGGCGCCAGATTCTCCGTGACTTGGAAGATGTAGGCGTCACGCAGCAGCAGGCGCTCTGCTACCGCCATGTCATTGTAGATTGGCTCGTTGCAGCCGTGAATGAAGGGAGGCTCCTCGAGGAACGACCCCAGCACGATGCTTTCTCCTCGGCCTCGCAGGATCTCGGGGTTGTCCTTGCGGAATCCGAGGTTAGACAGCCGTCGAATTATCTGGAAGTACCCAGGATTGTTTCGCCAGCCCCGTCTCAAACACAGCTGTCGATACGCAGTTTGCCGACCTCGCGGGCCCAGTCCTTGAAGTCTGTGTCTGTTACGTCACTGCGTGCGGATTCAGATGCTGCTTCGTTGTATGCTGAGCCGCAGCGTTCTCTGGTGACCAGCCATTCTGTTAGTTCACATGGCGATGCTATTCCGAGCGTACCGGTTCCTCGTACCCACAGTGTGGTGCAAACTGTGGCTGGGAAAGACACTACACTGATTACGTCGCCAGCTGCTCCTGTTGAACCGGACATGGACGCACCTCCGTCGTATTTCGAGCAAGAAGATTCAATCACGATAGATCTAAACTGGACGGCCCAGCAAGCAGTAGCAGCATGGGCTCGGCATGATTTCACCGCAGCGGCAAGACTCCTCGAGGACCAGTTAGCGGCTGTTGAGCGTGGCCAGCGATGCACCTCAGGGACACAGCCCGACCGCCGGATCCTCAAGCACCTCCTCGGCGTGTGCGCGTCACTTACGGGGGACTTCGCAAAAGCGAAGAGTCTCTTCGAGAAAGTCTTCAACGGCGTCTTTCTCAACCAGCAGAACCTCGACGAGGGCGACATTGCGGCCGCGCGATGGCTCGGCGACGTGTGCCTGCACAACCAAGAACACGCCAACGCCATTCTAGCCTACAGCGCGGCGTACGAAGGATCGCGTGCTCGCTTTGGCGTCATGAGCGACCGCACCCGCCGTGTTGCACTCGAGATCAAGCTACTGGACCACTGGCTCTCGGTCTTCCAGCGCATCGAAGGCACCCTCGGCCACAACGTCGATCCGACGACCATCTTCCCCTCGGCCAACGTCATCGCAAAACACAAACTCCTCGACAACGTGCGCAAGGCCATCTACACTGACCCCGAATATGCGGATTCCACTCCGCCCTCGATCCCGCCGTGGGTGCGGCCCAGCTTCGAGATCGCGCCGCGCCCCCGCTACGACTTTAAGCTGTCAGAAGGCTTTCTGCTCAGCCCCCTCATCTCCCTGAGTACATGGCCGATACCGTGGGATCCGCTGTTTAGCCCCATGGACGCCGTCCAGCTGGATCGCTACATGAGCAGCTCGCGCGTGGGGAGCACGCAAACCACACTCGGCAATGTATGGCCACTGTGCGACCGCCCGCTACCGACCAACTCGCTCGGCGAATCCAAGAAACTGCACTTTCTGACTCGGAGAGGCAGAAAGTGGCTGATCGGTGCCGTGGAAAGGGGACTTGCTGATGTGGGAATCGAGCATGCGGCACATTGCTTCGAGCCGGCCATTGTGTGTCGCCTCAAGCAGCAGCAGCAAGGCGTTGTGTTCGCTGAGGGCGTCGAGATACGTTTCAGCAAGCTGCCATTTCGAGACGTGTATGGAATCAAAGTCTCGGGCGTGAGGTGGGCTACTCGAAGGGTGCGCTCGTTGGCGGCGGCGGCGACCAAGACGACAACGCGAGACGGAGCACGGCATGCACAGGACACATCAAGTTTTCGCGAAATTGTAAAAGGCATCCTGGAGAGGGCGGAGGCGGAGGCAGGCCGCAAATGATGATGGGATACTCGTTTTTTTTTCTTTTTTCTCGGTTCTCCTTTGGATGCAGAATACCCTGTTATTGGCATCTGGGTACTGTAGGTAGAGGCCTTTTTCTGCTTCTCCTACACGAGACACAGCAATTTGCCCAAGATGCTTCTTTTTCTTTTCGCAATCTCACCACGACACGGTTTCGGAACTGTATCCATGGCGCGCAGTCTAGGCCTTTTTTTGCCCACAGCCAGGAAGGGGCCTGTGGATTCGCAAGAGCAACAATACGATTCTTATTGTTGCCAGCATTTACCTACCTGCACACATACATTGCGGCACGGCGCGGGGGAGACCGGAAGGCTGGGTATTCGGAACCCGGGGGGCAAGGCGGTGGGGGCCTGACTACCTACCGACAAGTGATGATTACCTGGCATTAAGCGAGTCAGCCACCACGTACTAAATGTTGTTGTTATTAGTATTATTCAAGGGGAAGGGGGAGGGGGTGGTGTGGCAACATCGTCATGGTCCAGCAGTCTAATCGATATCGCGTGTTTGCTAACGACGTAGTAACGTGGCACCAGGGCGACAAGCCGGTCTGCAGCAAAATCATAAAAAAAAGGGGGGGGGGGAGATGAGCAAGAGAAAAAGGGCTTACTGCTGTATAGTTACATGCAAGCCTGGTGCGGTGTTGCAGCAGCTGCAATAGCTGCAAGAGAGTATTTCTGAAACAAACCCAGTTCTCGTCCAGCATGTAGTTTTGGCGCTCGGGAATTACCAGCAAGACAACAAAAGAAACGAAAAACCTGCGTCGGGGTATTGTAACGTAAGATGACTGCAGGCGCGGAACAAGCGAATGACGGAGAAGGGGCGAGACCCGATATTAGCATGCCGCACGGCGCGCCGCGGAGCGGGAACAAGTTTTATTAAATGAAGAGGGCCTAGGGCGGGCGAGCAGCGGGGGGGGGACGAAGAGTTGGCTTCTTGGCAAAGTCGCAGACGGACAGGTAGCCATGTGGAGGATTGGCGAAATGAGGAGAGAGATTCCAGGCTGCCGACAGTTCGTACTAGCACTAGCAGCGGTGATGACCGTCCGCCGTCCGCCGTCGTGCCGACCGTAGACGCCACGGTAAAAATAGGCGACAAGGCAGCTGTCGCCGGCTCGTGGATGGATGGATGGATGGATGGATGGCGCTTCGTTGTGCCGAAAATAGAGTGGCTTCGTATCGATTGAATGGGCGGGCGCCCTTTCTCTCTCTGACGTTATACGTGCATACACGAGTGTACGGCGGGCGGGCGGGCGCCTGGGTATGCAGGCAGGCAGCGGGTTCGCGCCACGGCATGGTGTGGTGGAGCGGTTGGGGCGCCAAAAGAGGAGGTGGTGGTGAGAATGAAATGAGCAAAGCGCGGTACCTGAGCTAGCGTCTTGTCTGAGGAAAGGATGCGATGCCACCGCACGGCAGCGCTAAACCCAATGCAGGGCTAGTACGCTCGCTAAGCTAGTGCGTGGGTGTTTCATGTTTCAGCATCGCAACCTCATGTCCTGCGTGATTGGCTACGGAGCTGCAGCGCTCAAGGCTGACGGTGCCGTCTGCGGAACCTGCGCTTTACCCCCCAGCGGCGGGGCTGCGACAGGGAAAGTCTATGTGTGTAGTCGCAGAAGGGAACTGTGCGCTTGGAGATCTGGCACAGGGAGTAGACTGTGCGCCTTGCTGGGGGGGGGGCCGCCCGAGAGGCACACGTTTGCCTTGCCTGGGCAAGGGAGCCATGTGCTGCGTGCAAGTGGGAACAGTAAACTAAGGTGGAAATCACACATCGGAACAATGAGCACCACTGGTCTGGCCTGGGCGCTGCGAGAATGAAAAAGCGCTCAGAAGCGCCGTCTTGTGCTCCCCTCCCTCCCTCTTTCTCTCCACCCTTCCGCCCTTCTCACGAAGACTCAAAAACCTTCCGACTTCTTTGTCGCTCTTTCAAAGGCGCTTTGCAGCCTGTTCCATTCCTTCATTCACTGTCGCTAGCTCGGCACATCCATTCATTACATACACACGTACATACATACACCGAGTCCTAGTGACCCCCGATACACGACGAACCGACGTCCGTCCTTCACTTCGAGCCAACAATCTACAATCTTCTTCTTCTTTCTGCTTTTACGAACCAATTTCTCGAATAGCAAAAAACACAATGAAGACGCAGTCTATGCTTGTTGCGGCCCTGGCTTCGGCCCCTTCGGTCCTGGCCCACACTGTTTTTACCGACTACTACGTCAATGGCATGCCCGTGGTATGCCGATACGCCCTTCCCAAGCAAATTCGCTTGGTGCTAACTGGAACCAGGGTGACGGTGTCGCGATCCGCATGAGTAACGATCCAGAGCACAGCAGCGCTCCTATTCGCGGTCTCGGCAGCTCCGATATGGCTTGCAGTATGTTTTCCATGCCCTACGTTTCGTGTACATGACTGACCAAGTTGTCCAGATGCTGGTGGCACCAAGGGTGTCTCGCGCGTCCAGCCCGTCAAGGACGGTTCTGTTCTTACCTTTGAGATCCGCGCTTGGCCCTCTGACCCTTCCAAGGAGCGTCTTGACCCCGGCCACAAGGGTCCCTGTGCCGTCTACCTGAAGAAGGTCAGCGATGCCACCACCGACACGGCTGCTGGTGACGGCTGGTTCAAGATTTTCGACCACGGCTACGACACGGCGACCAAGCGCTGGTGCACTGACGACATCATCGCCAACAACGGTCTCCTCTCTGTCAAGCTCCCCGACAACCTCCTGGGAGGCGACTACCTCGCTCGCCCCGAGATTCTGGCTCTCCACGCAGCAAAGGACGGTGACCCACAGTTTTACACTGGCTGCGCGCAAATCTTCCTCCAGAGCAGCGGCACCCTTGTCCCTGAGACGACCGTCTCCATCCCTGGCTATGTCGACTACAACCAGCCCTCGACCGACTTCGACATCTACAACAGGCCTGCGAGCGAGTACGTTGTGCCCGGGCCCAAGATCGCCAAGCTCACTTCGCGCGGCGTGTCCAAGGCGTCGGCCAATGTGCAAACCACTGGCCTCAAGCCTGAAGGCTGCATCGTGGAGAACGGAAACTGGTGCGGCAAGGAAGTTGCGTCGTACACGACCGAGAAGGGATGCTGGGCTTCTGCCGAGGACTGCTGGGCACAGAGCGACAAGTGCTATGCAGCGGCGCCAGTGACGGGAGCCGCTGGCTGCAAAATCTGGGCGAACAAGTGCGAGGGCATCAACGCCGAATGCAACGCAGGCAACTTCAACGGCCCGCCCAACAAGGGCAAGATTCTGACGCCGGCAAAGAAGACCATCGATGTAGGCCCCGTCATGTCGAGCCAGGATGGCGGCTATGCACCTGCTCCACCAAAGTCGAGCCCTTCTCCTTCAAGCGACAAGCCCACCAAGCCTGCTCCTCAGCCTGAAAAGCCCGCTCCCCAGCCCGAGAAGCCTGCTGCGCCCAAGCCCTCAGTCGGTGACGGATACGGACCTCCTCCTGTTATCTCGTCTCCCTCTCCCTCAAAGGCACCAGCTCCCACACCGGCCCAGGAATGCCCCGAGGGATACAAGTGCGTTTACGTGACTGACATTGCCGTCGTGACCACGACCGTCTACGTCACTCCTACGCCTGGCCCGGATGGCGGCTACAAGAAGAGGGCTGCCGTTCACCCCAGGAGGCATATGTACCGTTCTTAGATGGTGCGGATAGGTGCCAAGTGAGATACAAAGCGAGGTTCTGCCTGTATATGTGACATGCGGGAATCATCAAAGGGGGGAAACAACATTTTACCTTTCTGCGGCCTCGACTATGGAGGGGCTCGCGAGCTGGTTTGGCTCTGTTTGGGCATGGAATGAAAACTTGCCTTGCTCGTGTCTTTTCTTTTTATTCAGATAGAATCAACCATGGTCAATCTGATTATGATTATGATGGCGACGATGATACTAATGTCTTTTCTTTCATGACTGCCGTGTGAAACTCTCGTGTTAGTCTTTGGTGTATGTTGAAACGTCAGATGATTGTTGCAGATGGAGGAGTGCGCTAGTGTGTAGGGTTGATAAAGAAAGGAAAAAACGAGAAAGAAAGAAAAAAAGTAAATTTCTGCATTGTTCCGTGTTAGGGACGGCAACGGTGACTGGACGTATTCAATTGGTCAAGTTCAGGTTTAGGTCTCGCCTTCGAGCGTGCGCACCATGACGCTGCCATCCTGCATACCAAAGTACACGGCGACTGGCTTCTGGCCACCTCTTACAGCCTTTGTGCTTTGGTCTACTTCGCGAAGAGCCTGCGCCTCGATGCCGTTGAGGCCAGAGAAAATACCAACTTCAAGGACACCAGTCAATTCCTTGATGGCGCGGCTGAGGTTGTTGACTTCCCATGTACCGTCGCTTCCGTCACCCTTGCCCTTGCCAGCCTTCATGTCGGCCGTCGTGAGCAGGGGAGGGAAAGGTGCATCTAGAATGTAGAAATCCTGGTCCGTCTTCAGGGGGCCTGACTTCTCCAGTAACGTTGTCCTGAGCTTAGGGCCTGTTGATCCGAGCATCCTCAGCGCAGCAGCAACTTTGAGCTGAGAAAGGGGCGCGACTTCAATGGGTATGGTGGGCCAGTTTGTCAAGAGACGGTCTTGTCGTTTCCTGTAGTCTGCAACACAGACAAACTGTTTGGCGCGCTCCGCTACCAGCTTCTCCTGGAACAGACATGCGCCTCCTCCCTTGATACAGTTCAGGTCCGCGTCAACTTCGTCAGCTCCGTCAAAAGCGACATCGAGCATGACATGATCTGGAAGACTGTCAAACGAAATGGCAGTCAGGCCGGCATTGATGACAAGTTGGCGCGATTGGAAGCCAGTAGGGACGAAGAGAATATTGGGGTTGGTCGAGCGTTCTTTGATGGCCTCGACCACGTAGACAATAGTGGTGCCAGATCCAATTCCAACGTGCGTCGCCGAAGGGTTGAAGTGGTTCTCCACGGCCTTTTGTGCGGCAGCACGTTTGGCGGCTTCTACGGTTGTGTCGGTCATGTTTTTCGCGTTTCTGAGGGGTGCGGTGGTGTGGAAGAGTCTGCGAGGTGGCAGGCTGGGTCGGGACAGAGGGTTGGGCAGATGGCGAGGCCGAGGAAATTTTCCGGTGAAGCAAACGTGAAACGGACGTAAGTATAGCAGACGTATGGGCTGATGAATTTTGGAGGGGCAGTCGAGGCGTGAGATGACTGATGCTGGGCGCTTGCTGATTTATACTGACAGTGCAGAAGTTTGCAACTCTCAAGGGCATGGGCCGGCACGCACTGCAACCAGAGCACTGCAATTCTTCCCAGTTAGATACGGCGGTGCTTTGGATGCAAGTGAATGGTTTGTCCCAGGGTGACGGGGGTGCGGCGAAAGATGACGGTGGTCGTGCCCCGCCTTTGGATACCCCGCGGCAGGGATGAGGCGACTTAGCGCGAGCCGACAGCTTGAGCGCGTCCCGGCGCCGGTGCCTAGTACGATAGGTAATAGCCGCTAACTATGCAGACAACACCCTTTGCCATTCCTCTCAGCCGCTGCCCAACAAGATACAAGCTGCGACCATGGAGGACCTCCCCCCTCCCGTCCAGGGCCCAACTGCCAAGGAGAAGAAGTCCGTCTCTCTGCCCCGGCTCTGCACCATGTACTAACGGCAACAGGTATGATCGCCAGCTACGCCTTTGGGGAGCTACAGGCCAGGCCGCGCTGGAGAGCTCCCATATCCTGCTCATCAATTCCGGCCCGGGTGTTGTCGGCGTAGAGACGCTAAAGAACCTTGTACTGCCGTGCATCGGCGACTTCACAATTCAAGATCCAGCCGTCGTCACAGAGGCAGATTTGGGCGTCAACTTCTTCCTTGAAGACCAGCATTTGCGAGGCTTCCGTGCAGAGCACACGTGCAATCTACTCAAGGAGCTCAACCCTGATGTCAACGGCCACTTTGTCACAGAGGTACGGGCACTGCTTGCATCTTCCTTGACTTTGGCTAATCAAACCAGCCTATTGAGTCATGGCTATCACAACCAGACGCTCTGCGACCCTACTCCCTCATCATTGCGACCGCGCCCATCCGCCCAGACATCCTCGCCAAAATCTCTGATCATGCAAGCGCTGCGCTCATTCCATTATTTTATATCCATTCAGTCGGCTTCTACTCCCACTTCTCCGTCCACCTGCCTCCCGCATTCCCCATTGTAGACACACATCCGAGCCCTGAAACGACATCAGACCTTCGATTAGTGCAGCCGTGGCCCGAGCTATTACAATATACCGAAGAGAAGACAGCGGATCTGGAAAACATGGAGGCTGAAAACCATGGGCACGTTCCATGGATAGCATTGCTGCTGTATTTCCTCGAGAAGTGGAAGAAGGAACACGGAGGAGAAGCACCGCAGACATACAAGGAAAAGACCGAATTCAGAATTACCGTTTCGCAAGCCGCACGCACAAACAACCCAGAAGGTGGCGAAGAGAACTTTGACGAGGCTGTAGCAGCTGTGCTAAAGTCTCTGAATCCACCTCAGCCAGGCAGCGCAGTCAAGGAGATCTTCACAGCGCCAGAGTGTCTTCTGATCCGCGAGGACTCACCTAGCTTCTGGGTCATCGCAAACGCCATTGGCTTGTTCTACACCAAGTACAATGTTTTGCCCGTGCCTGGCTCTGTACCGGATATGAAGGCTCGCTCGGCAGACTATATCCAACTACAAAATGTCTACAAGTCCAAAGCACGACGCGATCTAGCCGAGGTCGTGGAGAGCGTGCGCTTCTTGGAGCGAAATGCCAACCGCAAGCTACCAATTGACGAGAAGGACATTGAAATATTCTGCAAGAATGCAGCGCACATCAAACTAGTTTGTGGGCGACCGTTTCATGTCGCGAGAGCAGGCGAGAAGATCAAGTGGGGTGATCGCGCAAAGCCAATCGGTAGGTTTGCGAGTATGAGAAATGGACGGGTTGCTAACAATCCGTAGCTCAGATGCTCACCTTTCCCGACTCACAAATCCCGTTGTACATTGCATTCCTAGCCTGGGATGAGTTTGCTGCGACGCATGATCAAGACGACCTGGGTGGAGCACCTCGTGTTGCCGGAGAACGCGACCCAGACGCAGACTCCGAAAAACTCACTGGAATCGCCTTGAAAATTGCAGATGACTTAATCAAGGAAGCAAACGCTTCAGTCGAAGAGGGAGAGTATGTAGCGATCACGTTACAGATTGGAGATTATGCACGTGAACTGTAAGTAAATTCAGGCCTGCTATCGAACACTCTTCGTGCAAATCCAGCTAACAACTCGACAGCGTGCGAGCTGGCGGCGCTGAACTCCATAATATTGGCGCCTTGACAGGAGGCATAGTCTCACAGGAAATCATCAAGGCCATCACGAAGCAATATGTTCCTGTTGATAATACGTGTGTTTTTGATGGCATCAAGAGCAAGAGCACTGTTTTCAGGGTTTGAGGAAAGTAGTCCTGTCAGGATGTGTGGTGCCACATGACTTTGGCTTATGATCGAACAAGAAGGAATTGTGGCAGCCGTGATCTGAAATGGCGCGACCTTGTACCCAGTTTGCGGAGACAAGATGTCATTCTCACTAACAGGCGGGATAAGTGCATCCAATCTTGCGGATGACTTTGAATGGAAATCAACAGATGAGTTGAATTCACCTGCGACCAATGATCAAAGGTTCAAAGAGCAGGACTAACTGTAGTGAAACGCGAGTTGAAAGATGATGAAATCAAAGCACAATGAATCTCAAAGCATATACCGGCCGACAAAGTGACAGTCACTTAGTTAATGCCAGCATCCATTCCAAACGAACGCTTATTGCCGTTGACGCGATTTTAGTTCCCCTCACTAACTTCCACCTGAGCATCCGCATGTGCCGTAAAGATTTCTGAATGTTGTGTTTAGGATGGCGAAAAGACGCAAGGCTGTCACAACCCAACTAGCGTTTACCCCCCAGTCAAAATCGGGTAATGACGAAGCGTCATCACGTGATGGCGCATACGCGATCGAAGTCGCGTCTCACCCTAGCGAAACGGATCTGCCTGTCAACCCTCGCTCACCCCAGGTGATTCCTGTGTGCGACAGACCCATGGACTCTTCCTTTGACCTTCCGGACTCCACCGACTGGATCCAAACGTCCTTACCTGCCTTTGAACCACTCGAAGCTGCGTTGCGCTGCGAAGTGTGCAAGGAGTTTTACAACAACCCGGTCATCACGTCCTGCTACCACACATTCTGTTCGATATGCATACGAAGATGCATCACAGCAGATGGAAAGTGTCCGAGCTGCAAGACGGGCTGCTCCAGCGACAAATTGGCGCCGAATATTGCAGTCAGGGAAGTGGTGATGCGGTTCCAAGAGGCGAGACCGAAAGCATTGGAATTGGCGCGCGCCGACAAAGAGGGCGAGGCTAAGGCGACTAGCAAAAAGAAGAGAAAGCTAGACGATACAGACATGGAAGAGGATGAGAATGTCAGGCACACGCGATCGCGACAGACCCGAAGTAAAAGCCAGCGCAACGGAGGCAATGCGGCATCGCCTGTTGAGATCGCTGATAGCGAAGACGATGGCGACGAGGATTTTGTGCCCGATGGCATGGTCAAATGTCCAGTTTGCAGCCGAGCGATGAAGGAGGAGCTGGTCTACAACCATCTGGACACTTGCACCGGCCCAGATGCCTCGCAGGGGCGAAACACCAGGTCAAAGTATGTATAGCCGATGTTGCCTGGAGCATCACAGACTGACAATGTCTTCTTTCAGAAAACCAGCATTCCCGACTGTGTTGCAGACACGGAAAATAGACCCTTCGCCTCCACCGATACGATTATCACAACTTAATTACGCTATGATGAAGGAGACTGCACTGCGGAAAAAGCTGCAAGAGATAGGCATCCCGAATTGGGGTTCCAAGGATCTAATGAAGAGGCGGCATATAGAGTGGTTGAATATTTACAACTCGAATTGCGATTCAGATGCGACTGTGAGAAAGACTCATCGACAGCTACTGAAGGAGCTAGACGAATGGGAACAAACCCAAGGGGGTAGGGCGAATCACAAGGAGAGCAAAATCATGAAGAAGGACTTTGACGGTGAAGGCTATGCAAAATCGCACAAGACCGAATTCGAAGACTTGATTGCACGGGCACGGCAAAAACGTGCCACACCAAAAACAGACAGCGAAGAGCCATCCGGACAGAACACGCCTTCAGAACACCAACTATTGGAACCGCGAGACGAAATCACAGTCGACGGTACCGATTTCTCTGGAGAATCCCTGTCGAATCATGTTCCGTCAGATTTACATCTACCAGTCCTCGGTACCCCCAACCCCCACGAGGACGAATCAGCAACGGCCAGTATCCAAAGAGAAGCCAACTTGGCCAACAACACCTCGACAATATCTACGCTCAAGCCCAAGAACTTGAAGGAAGGCATACAGAAACCATTGGCGAGTCCGAGTCGCAAAGTGCCCATTTTTGCACTCCCTCAAGAGCCTGTCATGGATTTGGAAGGCGGTGCGACCGTGCAATAGTATCCAGAGTTGAGGGTAGAAATGGAACCTTGGTAGGCCCATGGCTTACTTTCTTCACACGTTCTTTAATAGATAACACCCTGTGATTCCCCTAGACGTCTTCTTCACTCTTCGATATGCCCAGCTGATACCAGACCTCCCCTTTTGCGCTACAAAGACACCAAATATACAGCACAGGCGCTCACTCTCTACAAGTTATGCCTCAGCCCAGTTCGACAAATCCGTCTAATCAAGAACCACCTCGGGATTCAGGCGTAGACATGTCACCTCAACTCCCAGTCAGTGCGTCGTGCCTGGCACATCCAGTTTCACATCACCGCCAAGCACAAAGCAGTCAGATATCTCCGCGACACATAGTATCCGCCTGTGCAGCAGCCGTGTACTCCCAGGCAGACAAGGCAAACACATCATCACCGCCCAACGGCGTACATCTCGGCCTCCAGGTTGCTCAGCCTCATTCGCAGCCTGCAAGCCCACGTTCACTCAGCCTGAATGGCCAGGGAGCCAGCAGACCACCACCGAGTTCTCGGGGACAGCAAGCATCATGCCAGCAGCAACGCGGTGTGGATGCCAACGAAGCTGTGAAGATGAAGGAGGCAGAAAGGGTCTTGGGGCCGCCCAAAGGAAGAAAGACACCAGTGCTCACAAAGGCCCCCAAGATACAGTGGGATCTCACAAAGTCGCCTTCTCCCATGCCGAGCTTCAGCACCTTGAATGGCGAGGTCGGCGCGGCAGAAGTAGAAGGAGAGCCAGAGCCAGAGCCCCATGGCAATAAGATGATGAAGAACATGGTCCCCAGGGCTGGCACACCGATCCCTGCACTTCCACCTGCTTTCGACGCCACACAGCAGCAGTCGAAACCAAGCGGTAAGTCTTTCTTCCTCCCTTGGAGTCAAGACTCAACAATCTCTTTTCCCCAATACTAACACCCACGCCCCCCCACAGTGCCCTCACCACTCTCCCAACAACACCAAGCCTACACGCCTCCCCGCGCGCCCTCCCCAACCCCCAACATCCCCTCGCTCCTGCGCGTCCTCGACGCAAACATCCAGCCGCAGCCGCACCGCCTCAGCCCCCTCACAGAGCGCGACGACGAAATCTCAGACCTGACCCGCCACTCCAGCACCACAGCTGCTTTTTTCTCGCCATCTGCGTCCCCGGAACCAAGTAGCTCGCTGCGGTACCAGGCGTACGTTGAAGAGGGCGATGAAAATGATATTGAATACGAGGACGGGGATGAGAATAATGAGGGCGGCCCTCGTGTCCGCCCGCTACGGCCTGCGCGCTACCTCGTACATCGCGAGGTAGCCAGCGGACCGACTCGAGAAACGGATCCGAGGCTCTTCCGCTCGCAGGAGACGCTTAGTGTCAGGATGGCGACGGTGCTGCCTGTGCAGCGGGTTACGCGCAGTGAGATTGTGGGGCCGAGGGTGAGTAGTAGTGCTGGTCATGTTAGTAGTAGTGGTAGTGGTAGTCAAGGTGGTAGCAACGACAATGATGATGACGATGACGATGACGATCAAAGTGTAGATGTGAGAGAGGGACAGGTGCGGTGTAGACAGATTGTGGAGGTTGTGGAGGGGGAAGAGAACGAGAAGGCGGGGAGGAAGAGGAGGTTCAAGGCGAGGGTGAAGAGGGCGTGGGCAAGGATTAAGCGCGTTTTGTGTAGGAGGGAGAGGCATGCGTGACGGGGACATTGTTGGCTGCGTAGACAGGGATTATAGAGACGGATTGCATGGGCTGCTTGGAGAGAAGAAATTGCTTGGTATGATATGGTATAGTATTGATATGCTAAGTGCTTAGATACTTGATATGCACGTGTAACCAAGTACATGTATAGAGTATTATGAACAAACAAGAACCCCACAGATTATTATTGTCCTTTCCTTCACCCAAGGTTAAATTCACTGGCCAAACCGGCATGTCGCATAAACTTTTCTCGTGCTCGAACCGCCTTTCTCATCTTAGCGGCTTCATCCGTGTCCTGACCTTCTGGCAGATCCAAATCGATTTTCTTCCTTGTCGACGCGCCAACAGGCTCGGCTTTGCGGCTGGCGCCGTCGACTCTGGGTCCGCCACGGACCTTGGCGGGCGTTTTGTCGTTGCGGCCAGCACCGGTTCGTTGCCCAGGAACCTTCATGCCGCTCGGGCGCTCGCGCAGGGCAAAAGCCTTGGCCAGGTGACCCAGGTGCAAAGCTTTGATGTCAAAGTATTTGCGTTCGTCAGCAATGTGGGTGGCGTATGCACGGATGTGGCTTTGGAAAGCGCGGCGGGCGGCCTCGAGGCGAGCGGGAGAAGCTAGGGCCCAGCGTTCGATGGCAAGCTGGAGATCGGTTGCTTTGTCCATGTAAGCGTTCTTTTCCATTACGCCGCTCGTGATGAGGCCGCGGTTGAGAATGTCGTCTGCGTCTTGACGCGCAATGTGCACCCCGGCTTCGCTGTCTTTGCGGTCTGTCTTGAGAATGTCGACATAGCCTTCTTCGGAGCCGGGCATGAGGAAGATGCATGCGCGTCCATCGCGGCCGGCACGGGCTGTACGACCGATTCGATGCAGATGGTCTTCTCGGGCGAAGGCTGGGTCGAACTCGATGACTAGATCGACGTTTGGCAGATCGAGACCACGCGACGCGACGTCAGTAGCTATCAGGACGGAGGGTTCTTTGTTCTTGGTAAATTGGGCGAGTGTTGATGTTCGGAGGGATTGCTGGAGGGAACCGTGGAGGCGGTATGCCGTTACTGAATGTGTCTTTGGCGATAAAATGGGCGACTCTGCGGCTGTTCCCTCGAGTTTTGTAGGATCTGATTGTACTGCTTTGGCTTTCTTGGCTTTCTTCTTGTCTTCGGTAGCTTCGTCCTCCTCGTCTTCATCTTCCTTTTGGTCTTCGTTTTCCTCGAGATTGCTAGTAAGTATATCAAAGTGGAAGTCAACCGAGTCGGCACACGATACGAAAACGATTGCCTTCATCACCGAGCCCTTGCGTGCGAAAGATCGCTTTAGATAGGCGATCAAAGATACCAGTCGTAGCTTGGGTGCTACAACAGCATATGATTGCTTCAGTTGTGCAGGTGCGAAGAAAGTCTGGCCCTTGCTCGATTCGCTCACTTCCGGCCCTTTCTCAGACGGATCGGCTCGAATATGCACAGCATCTTTCAGACTTATTTGGCCTAACCTCTCAACATCCATCTTCATGGTTGCAGAACAGAGCACTGTGGTACGCTTCTCCGGCAACCCTGGTATCCGCGACTTTTCGTCCTTCTTTGCGCGCATTCGCAGGTTGAGAGCACCGACAATCTTCTGGATTTCTTGTTCGAACCCGAGTTCCATCAGGCGATCACCTTCGTCGAGAACCAGCCATCTGACATTGCTTACGTCCAGCGCTTCTGTGTGTTCCAGGTGGTCCACCAATCGACCCGGTGTTGCAACCAGAATATTGATGCCTTTGCGCAGACGAGCCTTTTCCGACTTCTTCTTCTCTCCACCAATGACAGTCGTAGCCACCAGCCAATGCGCACAGCCTAGTATCTTTTCCAGTACCACGGCAATCTGTTTGCTCAGTTCTCGCGTTGGCGCCAAGATGATGGCGAACAGGCCCGAATTCCTTTGCACGTTCTCGTCGACTTTCCGTTTCTTCATATTCGCCGACAGATCCATCAGTCTTTGCACAATGGGAAGGAGATAGGATAGCGTCTTTCCGGAACCAGTCTCGGCCTGTATGAAAGCATCCGAGTCGTCTTTGACCAGCTGTGTAATCGCAGCCTTCTGAATGGCCGTGGGCGCTTTCAAATCCATCTTGTTCATCAAATGTGTAGCTAGTGTAGCGGACATGCCGAGGGACGTGAATGTATGCAGCTCGCTGTTAAGCGGCGCATTTGAAGGCTCGACAGGCGCATCGTCGTCGCGTCGCTCGCCCGCTTCCGGCTTGCTGGTGGGTGTGGGGTTGTACGTGAACAGCGAGGAAATGACCTGCTTGCCGCCCTTTGGCGCACTCTGCTGCTCGCCCGGCCGTTTTGTCGCATTGGGATTCGACTGCGGTCTGAATTTGGGGTCGGCTGTCTTTTCAACCGTCTTGGGCCTAAAGTCTCCGCTCACGCGCGCTCGCTTCGGTGGTCGGTCGCCAGTGTCGAGAATGTCTGCGTTGTCTGCAGGTTTTGGTGTGCGGGGGCCCAGCTCTGTGCGGTTCACATTGGTCGCATGATCGACCGCCTTCTTGGGCACCTTTTCGCCGTTCAGTCGTGCAGTTGCCTTGGTGTGCCAGTTCTGCGCCGCCTTCTTCGCGGTAAGGCGACTCTTCCAGTTGCCGCCCTTGAACGTGGGCTTGGCTATGATGCCGCTCTCTGGGATGGAGAAATTGAGGAGCATGCCATCGTCGCCCATGTCTGTTCCGGGTGGCCGCGTCGTCGGCGGGCGTGGATGTTGCGGGGTGTAGAGACTGCGAGACGGCATCCGAAATCTCGAACCTGGGATCTTTTTAGTGGGGCACTAGGCCCAATCCGGCTATACCTGCTCCATGACGATGCCTTGAGCGCAGAAACAATATGGACATCTCGCAACTGTACGGCCATGGCAGACTCGTCGCCGTCTCTCCGCTGTGCGTCAGCCTTACAGTTGCGAGGGAGAAGCCGTCGCATTAGCTTGGGCGCTGCGTAACTTGAAAGCTAAGACTGGTCTTGTTCCGCGACACCTCCGCAACTCTCCGCAATGCCCTCACTCCGACCAGCAGCCGGTGAATACATCTCTCCTAGCTAGCCATTGAGCCATGCAGCTGACGGCGACCAGTCCCAGCAGTGCGCCCCTTTCTGCTGTCGAGCTTGTCGCGCCCGCTGCAAGTATCCGCGACAAGTAGCCGCATCCGCTTCTTGTCCACAACCGCGACGCGGTGCAACACCGCGTCTCCGACCTCACACCCGCACATCTTCCGCGATGTCAAGCCTCTACGCGACTTCCGCTGGGACTTGCGCCTCAACAAGCGCACCGTCGGTCTAGTACCCACCATGGGCGCCCTGCACGAGGGCCATGTCTCGCTCATGCGCCATGCCGCAGCAGAGAACACGGACGTCTTCGTCACAATCTACGTCAACCCCACACAATTCGGGCTGAACGAGGATCTAGACTCATACCCAAAGACATGGGAGGCAGACATGCAGGTGCTAGAGCAGCTGAACCAAGAGCTGGAAAGCGCAGGCCAGGGACGAGTAACGGCCGTCTTCGCGCCCAACACCAAGACCATGTACCCCACTCTCCCGCCCGATAGCAGTCTACCTGGCAAAGGAACCTTTGTCGAGATGCGTCCTCTTGGCCAGGTCCTTGAAGGCGCTTCCAGGCCTGTCTTCTTCCGCGGCGTAGCAACTGTGTGCATGAAGCTCTTCAACATCTGCGCCCCAGACCGCGTCTACTTTGGGCAAAAAGACATCCAGCAGACCCGCGTCATCAAACGCCTACTCACTGACTTCCACATGGACATGGAACTGCGTATTATTCCCACGTCAAGGGAGCCAGACGGTCTCGCCCTTTCCTCTCGAAATGTCTACCTGGGCACACGACGTCGCAGCGTTGGTATCGTGCTCAGCCAAGCTCTCCGCAAAGCAGAGCGTCAGTACATGAACGGCACAAGAATGCGCAACGACGTGCTATGGCCTGCATTTGATCACACAGACATGACTCTTCTCGAGCAAGAGCAACTGGAACCCAGCAAGCGCGCCAGATTCGAAGTCGACTACATTAGCCTTGCTGACCCGGACACCATGGAGGAAGTCGATGTGATTGACGATACCAAGGGCGCCATCTTAAGCGGCGCAGTCAAGATGCTGCCTGTTGAAGACCCGCAGCAAGGCGAAGACTTGGGTCAGCTGGATGCAGAGGGCCGTCAGGTTCCGGTAAGGTTGATTGATAATATCGTGTTGAATCCAATGAGATAGTTGGCTTGTACATCTGATCAACTTGTAGAAATCATGAAGCCCCACAACACTCCAAGTTTACCTAAAACTTCATGATTGACCACACATTTCCCCTGTTCATTCGGCCGTCGTACATAGAAAGTCTCTTCTTCCCTATACGATCCTCCCGCTTTCATCCTCTCTGCTCATATCCACGCTTTTGCTCCCACACGCTCCCCTCAACACACCCGTGACGCTGCTTCATCACCTGCCGCAACCCTAAAAGAAAAGAAACTTTTATCCTCCTCCCCCTTGCTTAGGACAGAAAGACACAGCTTTATCCTCAACACACGCTCTTGCTCCACATCAAGTTTACGTAGAGTAAGTGACATCCGATCAGTGCTAAAGAGGGTACAAGCAAAGGTATTCGGAAACGGAGGAATAAGCTTTCGCGATCCTGGTACGACAAACATAGTTGAGATGAGAATCTGGCGCGGGAACCGTTATCGTGCGTTTGAAGAGGGTAGAGCGTGGAGGAAGGTTAAGAGGAGAGAAAAAAAAACCAATCATAATAACAATGACGAACGAAAGAAACATCATCAAGTATCAATCAAGCGTGAAAAAACATAAACATTAATTACAATAAAGAAAAAGACACATGCGAGGTTCACCAGGGACCTTAACGTATAGAAATTCTCGACCTTGAATTGTCAAGAACGTACACAGTGAGTAGCTTCTCCTCCCTCCCACAACCCCCCTTTCTCCAGATAAAACACACATAAAATACATAGATATATAACGACATTCATGCATAAGAGAAAAAAAAAAGAGGTTATACAGCAAGAACAACAACAACGACAACACCTCCAACTCCATCATACCCATTATATGTGTGTGTGTGCATACTTACATACATACATGAAGACCAAACTCCATCCCCCACCCCCCTCTTCCCACCTACTAGCATATAAAGCTCAAGCGATACCGCGCGTCGTCGCCGGCAAACTCGAAATCAAAAGTAGTCAAGAATTGTTTTTGCGGCGGCTGTGGCTTCTGTTGTGATTGGCGTTGTGAGTGTGGTTGTTGTTTTTGCGGCTGACGGATTTCTTCTTCGTACTCGTCTTCGTCGTATTCTTCTTCTTCTTTCTCGCAGGGGCAACTGCAGGTGCTGGCGCTGTCGCATAGGCTCTGTGTTTGCGCGCCGAGTGTTGATGGGGACGTAGTCTGTTCAACGGGCGATGCGACTCTCAGGGAGGCGGCATCTGGTCTGGTAGTGAGAGTTCCCGATAGCGATGAAGCTTCATTTAGGGAGGAATCGAGCAGTGAGCTGGCGAATTCGGGACCAAAGGCGAGGCGGTCTAGTGGCGGGATGGACATTTGCGATATGCTCTGGGCGTATCCTTCGTCGCATCCTGCTTTCTCGCAATCCTCGTCGCAGTCTTCTTCTTGTTGATTTTGCTCCTCTTCGATCTCCTTTACCTCTACTCTTACCTCTACCTTTATATCTGCCTTGACATCATCGTGCGACATAGGCGGAGGACCAGTCGGGGTGTCGCTGCGCGCCTCCTCATCTGATACGGCGAGGTGCAGGTCTGTTGTAGATGCAAACGGCGACTCAATATCACATATGGGGAATTCAAAGACGGAACTCGCAAATCCAGGACCGAATTCATTTGGGCCGAGTCGCGGTACTGGCATTACTTCAACAACGGGTGAGGAGGGCGTGCTGGGTGCACTCGGTGGATGGGAACGGAGGCTGAGAAGGCGAGTAGCGTCATTTGAAGCCTTCTCGTGGATCTTCTTGCATTGGGCGTCTGTCAGCCCGGGGAGCTGTTCCGAGATCTCCATGTGGCGAACATTGGTGGGATCGCCCTGCGTGCGCGTGTTGTGTTAGAAGTGAGAATGCTACACGCGACAATGTGACGAGCACGTACAATGACAACATCTTCTCGCTCGCGCTCGGCAAAGCACGGAAAGAATCGTCGGAGTTTTGCAATCATCTTGTCCACAGCCATCGTATGTGTGAGTTGGCGACTGAATCGCTGCGTGCGTCTTCGTGTAGGGAAACACAGCTGATCGAATGTACGACGCGATCCTCGGCAAGGTCTCTCAGAGACGTTGCAAACAGAAACAGAGAAAACTCGATGAAACAGACTATTATGCGAAGGGATACGCCAAAGGTCCCAAAGACGAGAGATGAAAGAGAGAGATGGGCGCGGGCCGGTAGACAGTCATTAGGCGTGTAGAAAGAAAGAAGATATAAACAGACACAGTCAGAAAGTCAAGGGAAACGGCGAGTAATCTGATTTCCCAATGCCTCAGTCGGTAAAATTTTCCACCTTGGGATGTCGGACCATCGCTTATGAACTACAGTCATTGTTTCGTTTGACATTGCTTTTTTCCGCGTTAAGACGGCTGGTGGCTGTGCAATGGTCATCCGAGGGCGCGCCGTTCGAAACCTCAAAGCTTATTTTTGTCAGGGACTCTGCCCACAGAGCACACGAGGACGTGCACAATAGCAACAGCTATTAGCTTAGAGAGGCCTATGCGCTTGAGAGCAAAAGCCCAATGCTTAAAAACTGTCCAAATTCGCGGCTCGCAATCTGTCTTTATGTGCTGCCATTCTTGAATCAGTGTTGTGTTCTCTGCCCGCCATGGGGGTCTTAAAGTTTATGTTAGCTCCGTAGGGGTTGTCCATATGCAACAGAATGTTTCATCTCGCGGGACGGGGCGCTTAGTGGGCACAAAAGGTTTCTCCACACTGATATACTCTTGCGATAAGCGTGTTCAGGTGATTGCGCGGAGAGCGCGTCGCGTCGCCTGTGCCTGGTAGTGCCACTTTGCATAGCGACTCGAAAGTATAACACCCATATTACGGCACTTCTCGATGCGATCGTCATCATTGTCACATCTGTCGAAATTCATGAACGGCGTGCGGCACTTTTTTGTAAGATTTATCCAGTCCGACGCCGAGCCCTTAGCGACTACGAATCGTCATGTTGTTGGAACCGTTCTCGCCAGGCAGAGACAGTTTCGCGTCGAGTCTCCTGTACTCATTACCTGTGTGCCTCATGCCGGTGCTTCTATTTCGGGTAGTCCTTGACGTGATAGCTCTTGAGCTTGACAAACTGATCGAAACCGAATTTACTCAGAGTCTGACCTCTGCCCGAGTCTTTCCAGCCAACCCATGCCAAGTCCTAATGTTGTCAGTACTGTTGCGCATCTGACGCAGGGAATGCTTACAGGTGCGGGGTAGTCGCATCGATTGACAAATACGGTACCGGCCTCGACGTCGTCGGCGAGCTCGTGGCCTTTGCTAACATCCTTTGTCCAAATACTGGCCGTAAGTCCAAATTGGCTGTCGTTCATGAGCTTGATGGCCTCCGCATCGCTCTTGACCTTCATGACTGGAATCACAGGACCAAACGTTTCCTCGGTCATGACTGCCATCTCGTGAGTGACATTTGTCAGAAGCGTCGGAGCGACGTAGTTGCCATCAGCGGGTGGGTTCTTGAACGTATCATTTTCCGGAGTGGCATTTCTGGCGCCCTTGTCCAGAGCGTCCTTGATATGCGCTTGGATGGCCTCTGCAGATCGCTTGGATACTACGGGGCCAACATGGGTGCTCTTGTCGAATGGATCGCCGAGCTTGTATCCGCTGAGGACCTCCTGGACTGCAGACACAAACTCGTCATGGATCTTCTCGTCCACATAGATCCTCTCGACACTGCAGCAGCTCTGGCCCGAGTTGAAGATGGCACCGTCTACGAGCTCTTCTGCGGCCCACTTGACATCAACGTCGGAACGCACGTATGCGGGATCCTTGCCTCCTAGTTCAAGGCCAATCCGAAGGGGAACACGATCATTGGCAGCTTGTTGAATGGCAAGGCCGTTGGCTACCGATCCAGTAAAGCAGACGAGCTGAATCTTCGGCGACCGCGCAATCGCCTCAATCTGGATCGAGGATCCGCTGTGGAAGATTTGGAGTACACCATCAGGCAAGCCAGCTTCCTTGAAGATTTGTTGAATCTGCTCGGCACTGGTTGGCGTCTGTGGGGAAGGCTTTAGAATGACCGAGTTTCCTGCTAGCAGCGCTGGCACTAGCGAGTTGATGAGAGTCAAATACGGATACTGTATATATATTCAGCATGTGCAAAGAGGCAGTAATCTGCGACGACACCCACATTCCATGGAAACAGAATCAAGACGGGGCCAAGTGGAACTTTCTTGATGTAGCGTTTGAACCCCTTTTCGGGCTCACCATCCGTGTCCTTGAGCGTCTCGTCACTGATCTTGAGCAGGTACTCGCCACGCATAACCGCCGTGGCGACCTCCTTGGCAGTGTAGGCAATGGGGCGGCCCATCTGCTCAGTGATCTCTTTACCCAAAACATCTTGGCGGTCGCTCAGAATCTTCAAAGCCTTCTTGACAATGGCCTTTCGTTCAGCGAGTGGCGTTTGTCGATACGAGGCGAAGGCAGCTGAGGCTGTCTCAGGTATAGACTCCACATCAGCCTCCGAGAGGCCATTGCGTGTAAGAAGTGGCTTGTTGGTGATGGGGGAGATGGTCGTGATCTTCTCGAGCGACATGATGACGGTGCGTGCTTCGTATGTAACCTTCTGGAATAGATTAAACGTGAGATGCCCAGCAAACAGAGACGGCAAAGTCGATCTGGCGGCGCTTGCAGGGCCGTTAATTTTGAGTTGAAGCGCTGCCCGCCGCCAAACCGGAAATGACGTATGACGCGCTAGGCCTAGCTTGTGCACGGCCCATGCTAGTCGAGGTCATTCACACCTGTCGACGCCGAAAAGCGGATTCTCCATGCCTGCTTATCGGCGGCTACGATTGCGCGCCACGACTATCCTGCTGACTGTCCTTCTCATGCTCACGACGCTGATAACTCTGAAAAACTCTGCCGGACCATGTGATGCCGGCATTACTCAAGCCTATTGACCAACATGGCCGCAAGCTTCGGTAGAGCAGCAGCAGCTCACCACCCCGGACCGTCTCCACCGACCCGGTCATCTTCCAGAGATCGTGGCTCAGCCGTGTCCTCTGGCCCGAGTTAGGCCATGGCTCATCTGGAGATGCAAGATTACTGTCGGCATTGGTTCGGGCCTTTTCCTGTCGCCTTGCTGGTACGTATGTGGCATACCAACGTGCACCACAGTGAGTAAACAACATACAAGACTGGCTGATCCAGCTAACATTAGTTGGCAGCGACGTATTGCGAGGAATCCACAGCATTTCCGATGCATGCATCTCTCATCTGGAGAAACGTGGATGCTCCACTTGGGCAACAAGATGCAGACTCCTCAGCCGTGTGCGAGTGGCAGGTCTACCGATCCTGGTCTTCTTCATAGAAGGCAGTCCTCGTGGAGCTGGCCCGGCATCCGGCCACGTAATTTCCTCGACAGCACACATGTACTGAGCAACGTGTGGGGGAGCGCCAAACCGGCCCTTTGACGAGACCTTAGGAAGCCGCAGCTCCAGTCCATCTTTCGCGCAGGTAGGCCCTGATATAAACCCTGCAGGTTATCTGCACGGAACCTCTAGAACATTTCCCAGAGTTCCATGTGCCCCGAGCACCGTTTTTGAAACAGAGGCGGATGCCATTTCACATAATTCCGTTGACAAACCAAAAGGATTACGCATCACACTGCGCAAGCAAGCAAGCAAGCAACAGGGTTTGCGTGTCCATGTCTGCACACCGGCTTGTCAAGCCTTTTTGAACCACATGACTACCCTCAAGCAAGGATAGGCTGACCCTAGAAGCCGCTTTTCAGCATGCTGCTGGAACATCGGGCAGTCTATGGTCTCATCCACGAGCACATCACTACCTGGCACGACTGAACCCCGCATGTGCCCATCAATGACGGCAATGCGGTTCGTACGGCGGTGTGAAGCGCTGCACAAGCAATATCTAGAGATGATCAAATTGAGCGTGAGTCGGCCCTGAGGTCCCGCGATACCTTGCCTCTTTACCTACTCTGTTGGAAGCTGCACTCGTGTTCGCCTGTGGCATGTGCCTTGCGTTGGATCTGCGAAAATTTGGATACCTAACCCCATGGGCCACCATGACTGTGCGGCACAGCTCGATCTAACACATCTCTGCACGAACCTCCCTGGCAGGGAACAACCTGCCCGGCTCATGGAGATCATTTCTCTCGTTTGCCGGTGGTAAGTTCGGCTTATGTCTGGCGAAATCACCTACCTTCTTTTGATTCTTCTTCGAGAATGGTATGGTGAGTGGCACTGATGCAAGACAGAGCCCAATGTGTGCCTGGCCTTCCTTCAGACCTGCTTTCTTGGTCGCCACCTAAGCCCCCCTTATTTTTGCAAACTCGAAGTACGGCACGATCGTCCGGTCCAGGGAGGCTGTTGGCCAATGCAATATGCTCTGTGACCCCACAATACGGCAAACCCACAGAAGCCCCGTCAAAGTTCATTTTTGGAGTTGCCACAGGGCTATCAGGATATGTTGAGCCTGTAGTTTACCGTATCAAATTGACTGGACGCATGTCAATCGCTGCAGCTATGCAAATCCTTTCCGGTGGAGACAGGAGTGCGAGGGTGTTGCCACGCACTGCTCCCTTTGCACAGAAAGGGTCCTTTCTGAAAGGCCTTACGGTGGACCCGTGTCTTGGAAAATTTCATTGGCCTCTACTCTCCATGTGCAAGGAGCGTCCACTTCGACAAACGGCCTGTCTCATTTGGTCGTTACCCAAATATAGTTGCTCAGCACTAGAACGCTTGCGCGACACACTCAATGGCTCTTGTTCGTAGTATCAGCCGGCTGCACTGCGTATGGAGCTCACTACGGGGAGGAGGTTGTGCCTTTAGTGCGTCCCTTGCATTCAAATAACGGGAGCAATTCGCCGTGTGCCGGTCAGTGTAGCTAGGAGACAAAGCTCTTCTGAGACTATTGTTTCAGCTATCCGCTATTCTCTGACATTCCGAAATGACCGACGGTAGGAATTCATCAGGATAACGGTGGGTAGCATCTGGCCGTATGACTTTGGTATGCCATGTCACCCATTCATCTGGCTCCCAAAAGAGAGCACTGTCACCACATCGAACAGAACTCATTTGTTCTGGATCTGAGAAGATACCGGCTCATACCGGTAATTGCAACAAAAAAGACTCGAGCTTAACACTGCCACGATTACTTTGGCCGCTCGAAAACCGGCCCAGACAGTGTCCCGTTGGGATAGGAGTCGCTGCGGCACTCAGTGCTAGCCAAGCTAAACTACGGTGCTGAAGAAGCAATGACAGGATTGCCTGACAATCATGATACGGAGTGATGCGAAAGTGCTTCCACGTTGCCACCCGGCATCTCTGCAGCAGAAATGGGTCAGCTAGTGGTCTCATGGTCTGGAACTGTGACCACAGTCACAGCCAACTATCGAAAGGTCTGGCCACATCCAAGGAGGTCTCTTCGGGATGGGCGAGGTGCCTTCATTGCCGGACGGTCGACACCCACCCACCTTCTTGAATAGCGCGGAGCATGCTGCACCGTGAAGAGACGATGGGTTCGTAGCGCGAATTTACAGCGTTGCCGGCGCCACTCGCTTCCAAGCAGCTTTGAGTAGGATGGGTCAGGCGTAACTCAGCTGGACATGCCAGGGATATCTAGTCCCAGACTTGATGGCATAACAGCATGCGTTATAGACGTGATTGCGAACACATTGGGACGTCTCCCAGTCCGGGCTTGGCAGACTCAACTCTGGCTCCTGCAGGTGGCTGCTTTGTTCACGCTTGTGTATGGGATTCATAAGATGCATTACCGAAGGCAATCTGGGAATGCATCGTTATGAACAGACACTCTATGTCTTTCGGCCCTGGCACAGGCGGCGTGTTTCTGGAACGGCTGTGGCCCAAGCCCGCGTGGTTTGAATGGGAAAACTCCGGCATCAACGACCTGGGACCTTTTTTTTCGAGGAGGCGGCATGCCTTCACGTCTCCATGGAGCACCAGCCAGGCCTTATCCACGAGGCCGAGTGGAAAGGGGATCAGCGCAGATTGCGACGCGGATGGCGGATTATTCACTGGGGTGCAGTATGACCGGCAGCGAGGTGGGTAGCGCTGGCCCTCAGAGTGCATGTCGAGCCGGGGAACGGGCATGGGGGGCCTGCAGCTAAGGACGTGGCTGTTCGGTGGTGGTCGCGTCGAAGGGCGTGTGGGCGATGGCGGAGAATGCCAGGTCCCGTGTTGTCAGCGGCTCGTGTGCCAACGGACACACCCACGGCGCGGGCTGTGTTCGCCAATCACCGCCATGGGGCGCCTTGGATCGTTCAGCAACGGGAAACGGGCCAGGCTATAGCAGTCGGTGGGCCCTGGGTACTTGCAGGTACTTGGAGGTACTTGTTGAGCCGGCGTCGGTACGCCACCCTGCTTAAGACGGCCGCATATAGGGCTGGGATGGCACCGATCAGCCAATATGGTTTTTTGATTGCGAGTCTAAGCCGCGGCGAGTGTTGTGGCATGCATCCGTTCGAGTCCGCAGCACCGACGATCCAGCGGCTTTGGGAGGACTGTGCTCGGTGTCGAGTGTTGTTGTGCACCCCCCCGTCGTGCAGGGGTCGAATGCTCAAACTGGCGATGGGGGAACGGAAGGCGACTTGGCCATGGCAGTGGCCGTGGCAGCGTCCTTGACGCACGTACGCACGAACCTGCGTGCCCTGCTGCCCATCTCGTTTGCAGCATGTGGCCAGAGACGTCTCTGACGCACGATGCAGCTGGGCCCGGAGGAACGACAGGTTTGCCCATGTCGACTCGGTATGGCCACCCTGCGCCTCCAGGCACTCGACAGAATGTATTATACCCCACTGCGTCCGCTAAAGCGCAGCGTTAAGCGGAGACAGCAGCAGCCGAGTGCTATATCGTATCCCTGGCACACCGCGTTGGCCAAAAGAAGGCGGTTGGACAACCGACCTGCATATCTTTTGGACGTCCTTCACAGCATAACCGCCCCCCAGCCCAGCGCTGACGCCCTTCAGCCTTGTCCACAGCTCCCCCATCTCCTCGCCACCCCTTTGGCAGCTTTTGCTTGAGAGCCGCCCAAGGCCCTTTTCGCCAGCAGCGACTCCGTCCGGCCCTGCACTCGAGTGGTGGAACTTTGTGGTGGAGAACGAACACTAGACGACGGAAACGCAGCAGCTATGCTTTCCACGAATCTCCATCAATTCCCCTCGGCCTTCAGCCATGTCCCCGCGCCCAACGCAGTCGAACACCAACACCACCATCACCATCTTGCTGCGCAGCACATGGGACAATCGCCACTCGACTCCCTTGCACAGACGTCGCAGTACGCCGCCTTGCAGTTCCACCAGAACCGGCATGTGCTCCCGACCGGAAAAGCAATTGTCAAGCCCCATCGCCTGCCGTACGCCAGTGGTCCTCTAGCGCCTCGTCACCAGCGAGACATGCTCCACGAACGGTCGGGGCGCGCCAGCTCTACCTCTGGACCAGTGCGACGCAGAATCAGCCGGGCCTGCGACCAGTGTAACCAGCTGCGGACAAAGTGCGATGGTAGGCAATCGGTGAGTCGATGCTGCTAAACTTACACCCTCCAAGACGGACCAAGCAAACTAATAACCCATGTCCTAGTGCGCTCATTGTATAGGTATGTTGCAACAGAAACCTCGGGAGTTGCGCCAACCCCGCAGTGCCCGAGTCATCGTCTGCCAATGCCATTCCCGCCGTCTTGTGTGGCGTCAGCTAGGGGACTCTCTAGCCGCAAAGCTAACGCTGCCATCATGTTTTGTCATTCGCATACGACCGACCCAGCTTTGCTAACAGACTGGCAGAATTCGGCTTGACTTGCGAATACATCCGCGAGCGCAAGAAGCGTGGAAAAGCATCGCGAAAAGACATCGCCCAGCAGCAGGCTGCCGCTGCCGCTGCCGCCGCCACAGGCACCAGCGCGCCCAAGTCGGAAGACTCTACAACCCCCCAACCATCAGATAAGGCTGCCGATTCTGTTCAAGGTAACAGCCCCAAGCTTCCTGAAGGGCAGAGAAGCCTTCCAGAACTGCCAGGACGGCCCGCGAGCACTGCAACAACGAGATCCGACATGGACGCCACACCAATCTACTCAACCAGGACGATGAATCTGAGCGCCATTGACACAATGCCCGAGAGCGACATGCATCACCAAATGGCGGGCGGCATGCAATCCATGCAGCCTATGCAACCGCCTCGGATTCAGACACAAGGATTGCCCATGCACAGCGCCATGCCCGAGTATACATCGATGGACTACCACCGAAATGCCGCCTATCAATCACCACTCCAGGTGATGCAACCCGGAATGCACCCCGTTGTAGCTTCCCACGGGCATGGCATCGAGTACTCAGACAGCCCGTACAGCATGATGAGCCCGCGGAGTGCGCACGCGCAAGCACAGCCAAATGCCTTTCGAGTCCCAGAAGAACCCCCAAACATGGGCTACATGGCCCAGTCACCAGTTAATGGCTCACCAGGCTGGATGATACCCTCGCCCTCTGCCACAATGTACTCGGGCGCACCGCATCAGAGCCATTCCCAACAGCTGAAGTATCCAGTCCTACAGCCGTTGGTTCCGCATCTCACAAACATCATGCCCATCTCATTGGCTTGCGATCTGCTGGAGCTCTACTTCCAGAGTTCCTCATCAGCATTCATGCAGCCCGTCTCCCCCTATGTGCTTGGTTACGTCTTCCGAAAACGATCGTTTCTCCGGACGAACAACCCACGGGTGTGCAGCCCGGCACTCCTGGCTAGCATGTTGTGGATCGGTTGCTTGACAAGCGAGTCACCATACCTATCCTCGTCACCGTCTGGGCGAAGTCAGCTTTCCGAGAAGCTGATCAACTTGACAATCGGTCTGTTGAAGCCTCTGGTGCACCAGACGCCGGGTAGTCCAGAAGCCGGGCCCACTGCTTTCAATACCGGCAACATGGTGGACAGTGTTGCCATTGATGGCTTCGGTATACCGCCTCAAGATTCCGACATAGGTCTGCGTAAGTCCATCTCTCATAAGCCGACTACCTAACCCCCCCAAAGCTAACACATAACCCTGTAGCGGGAGCATCTGGAGGCCTCGATGAAGTGGCGACATACATGCACCTAGCTATTGTGATTTCAGCAAGCGAGTACAAGGCTGCATCACTGCGCTGGTGGAACGCTGCATGGTCACTGGCCAGGGAGCTTAAACTAGGCAAGGAAGTACCCGTGACACCTCCACCCGAGCCAAACGACGAGAGGATGCCAAGAGACCTGAATTCCGAACATATGGGTAGAGCCTACCAGACCAGCCAACCCTCCTCCGTAGACTACACCGAGGAGCAAAGAGAAGAGCGTAGACGTATATGGTGGCTTTTGTTCACTGTTGATCGGTAAGCCTTCTGATCTTTGTCACCCGTAGCACCGACAGAGAAGCACTGCGGAAATGATGCCGACGTCTTTGCGTGTCCGGCACACACCCAAGCCAACAGATGCTGATCCATGCGCAGCCATCTAGCGTTATGCTACAACCGACCTCTCTCTTTGTTGGACGTGGAATGCTCCAGCCTTCTGCAACCACTTGACGATAACGTATGGCAATCTGGCGATTTCTTCGAGGATTCCGCTCAATCGTATTCAGATCACACATTTCGCCGAAGAGGTCCTCCATTCGAGTGCACCGGGCACTCCATTTTCGGATTTTTCCTTCCTCTGATGACCATCCTTGGAGAGGTTACCGATCTATACCACGCCCGCAATCACCCACGTTTCGGAGCGAAGACAGACTGGGACCACCATGTAGTAGAGATAAGTCAGCGGCTTGAATCCTATGGTCGATCTTTGCAGGAGCTTCGGAATCGGGCAGTTCACGAGGCCAATGTAGAAGCACAGCAGGAATCAGTACATCCCGGCACACCGTCGGCACGGTCTGTCAACTCGTCCATCTCCAGGGCCCACGAAAACTTGATGCATGCCAAGATTGTGGAAGCCTATGGCACCCACCTCATGCACACCCTGTACATCTTGCTAAATGGTAAATGGGACCCAATTTCACTACTGGATGATAACGACCTGTGGATCTCTTCACAAAGCTTCGTGGACGCTACTGGCCACGCTGTCCATGCAGCCGAAGCATTGAACGAGGTCCTCGAGCTAGACCCCGACCTGAGCTTCATGCCGTTCTTCTTCGGCATATACCTCCTGCAGGGAAGTTTTCTGTTGCTTCTCATTGCCGATAAATTGCAGGGGGAGGCCAATCCCAAGATAGTGCGGGCATGCGAAGTCATTGTACGGGCGCACGAAGCCTGTATCGTCACTCTCAACACAGAGTATCAAGTAAGTACCATTGCGTCTCGGCTTCCTTTCTTTTTTTTTCTTCCAGCCACCTCGGGGCTTTGCCCACTATGGATAACCATGCTAATAATGATCCTTCAGCGAAATTTCCGAAAGGTCATGCGATCCGCCTTACAACAAGTGCGCGGCCGAGGCATGGACGAGCACGCCGAGCTTGCCCAACAACGGAGACGGGAAATGTTGAGCCTCTATCGCTGGAGCGGTGACGGCACAGGGCTTGCACTTTGAGTTGTACTCGATGTTAGCCTTGGGCCGTCGTCCATACTTGGCAAACCCGGAAGTATGATGCCGTGCGCCACAACGACGTAGCAGTCTACGCCTCATCATTCGATTATATTTACCATTCATAAACACCTTTCTTGGCCCAGGCACAATGACAGCTGGCAGATGGCTTGCTTCGTCTTGAGCATCACCCCTCGGCCCTGACGTTGTTTCTCCACCCACACCTTGGTCATTTTATCCTTCCTTTCTTCCGGCGCACAGACACGCATGTCGATTTGGGTTGCCTTTACGATTTTTTTTTCTTTCGATCAGACGCGCACGATTAGCGATGGTGTATGATCTCATGTATACTGGTTTTTTTGGCGTTCCTAAAACATTCTATTTGCCGTGTTACACGCTGGTAATTCACACCCTTGGTACGATTGGGCTAGGCGAAAATGGGCGTTGCCATGTACTGAACGTTTGTCCCACCATACCCTTGCACCCATTCGTTCCCTCCGCATACCCAGATATCCCCCCCCTTTTTTTTCGCAAAAGTACAATATTTTCTGTTTAATGTCTTGCATGTTATTTGTTGCTTAGTGAGCATTTGCTCGCAAGCCTGCCATGTCATTTAGTGTAGTATACCCCCTCGTCTGATGTTGCTCGGTCTCGCTTTCACAAATCAAGGTGGAGAAAGTTTAGTGGATGTTTTGATTATCTGGTTGCGATACGATGTCGTTGGTTCGCACACATACACAGGATTAGGCAATGGAATCCCCCAGCAGAACCGTCATGACTAGGCGCCAAAGGCTGCAGTTGAAACCAGGTACGAGCGGCGGATTCCTTTGCCCAAACTCTGCAACAAGGCGCGGTGCGGTGCGGGCGGGCAGCCCATAGCATTGTTACTATGATCAATCGCGGTAGCCGCACCGTGGTCCTTGACCGGAATGCCACCTACGTGTCTCAACCTGTTAACATGTTATACCTGGGATCATGGTTTCATATGCCCCGACCCTTGCGCTTAGTCAAATCAACCAATTCCATTTGCTGTGGTGCCCGGTGTGGGCCGCGAAACCCAACCAGGCACCAGGCACGAAAGAGAGAGAAGAAGAAGAAGAAAAGCGTTCCTTAATAATATCACGACCGGCAATGCGATCGATGTGTTTCTGCGATGGAAGCCGTGAAACCATCGACGTTATACTGGGTCCGGCCGTACGCAAGATGAGAGGGCGCGTGTTGCGCTGACGGTTTTGTATACGGGTAGGGAGCCAATCAGCATCAGGCCGGTGAGAGAGAGAGAGAGGCATGCCCGACACGCATGGCCAGATGACACTACACCTAAGAGAGGGAGGTGGATTAGCCATCGTCGTTCTAGAATAGCGGGAGCGACCACCCCCCCAAAAAAAATTCACGGCTTTGTCCCCTACAGTACTTAGTCGGGAAGCGGGAAAAAAAACTTGGGTTTCACTTGGTGGGAGCCCGCCAGGCAGCCCACGGGATAAAAAGAACGCAAAGACATCGATCCGGTTTGATCTTACGAAGATTAATTTACTAACAAGCAAAGCAGAAACCCGTTAGTCGCGCGCGCGCGCTGCTGGCGTGCAACGCTTGAATGCATTTCAAGGATGCGGCTGCAAGCGCCACATGTTCAGGCAGCAAAACGTGTATGGTACGGTACATAGACACCATTTCGGTACGGAACCCGCCGGCAACCTCCTCTGAGGGGTGTGGTGGGGAGGGGAGAGAGGGGGGGAGGGGAGGGGAGGGGAGTGCGCATCTGACACTGAACTCATCTCTGTGCTTTTCCCCCAGACCCTCCACGGAGCCCATGACTCAAAACATGTGTCCTTCCCCCCCCTCCTCTCTCCACCTCCCTACCCCCCTCGTGCCGCTTCTATCTACCGGCCTAGACTCTCGGCTTCCCGGTCCCTCTATCCCCAAAAGCAAAGCAACAAAATAATCCTACCCGGTCTAAGAGACAGAGAGTTAGAGCGTGTGTGAGAGAGAGAGAGAGAGACTGGGCCGCATGTCCCACATGCCGAAGCAACCACCACCACCACCACCGCCATACGCGGTTCTAATCTCCGTCTTGCGAACCACGCATGCATGGAGAGAGAAAGAGCGAGAGAGAAGAAGATAAAAAAAGGTCCTCTTTTTCGGGGCGAGCTTCTTCCCCATGTCGGCGTGCACAGCGCAAGTATACTGTACTTACCAAGTAATGTGTGTAACTAACATGTGAAAATCGCAATGCTTATACCCTTTCTTTCTCTCTCTCTCTCTCTCTCTCTCTCCCCTTCGCCCTCTAAAACCCATAATCCATACGTAGCAAGGGCAAATCAGCGTCGTCATTATTAGGATTACTCATGGGATTTGGGGGGGGGAAGCAGCACGTGGATTGCTGGCTTCCCCATGTTACGAAAAAGCGGGATTCGAGACACGTAGAGAGAGAGAGAGAAGTAGATAATAGCACACACACACACACACACACACACGTCCACACATACACATACACATACACATGTTAAAGCAAGATGCTCAGGGTTTTGGGGTTCCGCAACAACAAAAACAAAAGAAGGGCCCCCGTCTATCGGTTTTGAACGTACAAGGAGGTGTCCATGTATGTACAATACAATACAGTACAGTACATAGCTCCCCCCTCCAATAGACAGGGACAACCAGCCAGGGAAGGGGGGGGAAGCAACATGTTATTTGTGTTTCTGTTTCTTTGATTGCATTGCTATTGGCATCTAATCGCTCTATTCCCAGAGCAATGCACCCCGGATTGTCTATGTGTGCGTGTGTGTGTGTGTGTGTGTGTGTGTGTGTTTTTGTTGAGAGGCATGACGGAGTGTGTTCTAATGGCCCACAATGCGCACACGCCTTGGCATAGACACATACTGTGTGGGTATGGTAATGACATGGGGATGGAGTAATGGTGCACACACACACACATGCGGAAACCCTCCCCCAGGAGCCTTGCGGGCAATCAAGCGACCAATCCACATACACATACTCACACACTGGCGCGCCTACTTAAAAAGCCATGCGTGGTTTTCTTTTGTTGCTTTTTGGAGCCAAGGGGCCCTTGCATGCCGATCAGCATGGGGGGGGTGCTTTGCTGGTTGCGAAGAAGAAAGAAAAAAGAGGTATATGCAGCCAGCGGGTGACGGCTGACAGGAACGGACCTTTTTTTTGCTTTTTGGAACCAAGAATGCGGTTGCGGACTCGCCAACGGTTACCGTTACGAGGTAATGGTGCCATGTATGTGTATGTATGTATGTATGTATGTATGTGAGAGTGTTTTTCTAAGCCTTGATGGCCAGAGTGAGAAGGAAGCGCTCCTTGTGTTATAGTAATATGATTATCATGTCTCTTTTGCAGGTAGGGTGGCATGAGCAAAGGGCAGGAGAACGATCAGAAAGGGACTCCTCTTAACACGGGTGTTAAGCAGCCCGTCAAGTGTCCTCATGAGTACATGGTCGATCCGAAGGAGGAGGAGGAGGAGGAGGGGGGGGGAGCCCCATCATGCACGTAGACTCACACAAGCTGCAAGCCTCGTCCATGACTGACACAGCTCCGCGCCCGGAGTCTCCCCCCTCCTCTCCGTTGCAATAATGCAGAACCCAGTGCAAAGGCCCAGACAGATCCAGGTTCCAACCACTGTGACACTGCAGTATCCTCGCGGTAGTGCTACATGCAATACCGGGTTCAATCTAGCCCATGGCCATTTCCCATCCATATGCAGCCTGGGGGGGCCAGGAGGCCTCTCTTCGTCTTTCTCTCAGACGAGCAGCCCACATCTCAACAGTCTTCTCCACATTTTAGGGCTGATTTGAAACCCGCGGCGTGAGCCATGGGGCCGTCATCTCTATAGATGAAAACCGAGCCCAAGCTGCTGGATGCGGATACAAGACACCCCACAGAGCCGCAGTGAGCGCCGTCAATCCATGGTCAAACGGGCATGAGTCGCGCGCGCCTGCGCGGAGAATACCACGACACGGAGGTACGGAGAACACATAGAGTGTGGGTGGGCACTGCATGCTATAGGGAGGGGGCCTGCATATGCGGTGTGGTGACGTTAGACAGGCCAACGCGGGAGCCAGAAGTTCGGAATGCGGTGAGCATGCAGGCTCGTTTACTGGCTGTTCGGGGTTCAAAAGAATTAAGCTACGCTTCGGTATGGTGGCCTGCTCTCAGCACAGCGGGTCACGCTCTGACCTGACAGATCGCCACGACGCGTTGCGGCAGGCAGGCAGGTGGACAAGTGGAACCGGTTTTGGGGGTCAAGGTATGAGTATTGGATCCGGGCTGTCTGATCCGACTCTTGGTATCCTCACCCAAATATCAATAGTTTCTGTTCTTGGACAACATCGCGTAGACAGTCTAGACACTCGACCAGAGACATGTGTGGACAGTGGCGCTCTAGGTCGCGTACATGGCGTGCGGCTGGCGTGCGGCTGGCGTGAGGGCTTGCTTGTGATGTGCAAGATATTTTTCCTACCATGGTCCACGGGGATTGCAGAGCTCCGTTGGCCATGACCGCAAACAGACACATTGCGATGGTGGCTGCGATCGCGATATACAGCGGAATACAAGGTGCGGACATCGCTAACGTAGTGTAAAGTGCTTCCCTTGGTATACATACTCCAAGCAACAGCGACTTGCACGATCGACACTCAGGATGTGGGGAACGTGGTAAGGTAGGGGTCGCGGTTTGGGGCACTGGGGGCACATAGCACCCCCCTCGAGGCGGTTGCAGGCGAGTTGTACCTCGAGGTATTCCTCGACGGCGGCGCGCTTGATGGTCATTTGCTAGATCTTGTTAATGATTCTGGGGCAATGAGAGCGGCAACGACAGGGATGGAGAAGATGGATGGATGACCGTTATGGCCCGTCACGACCATTTACCCTTTTAGCCGGCCAAGTCGATGTGGATGTGAGTGTGTGTGTGAATTGTGGAGGCGGGCGTCAGCCGCGAGGATATACCAGACGTATGATGTGGATACTCGACTTGGGGGCCACCACAACCAACCATGTCCCCTGGCCGTGGGTAGCGTTGAGGTAGGCGAAGTGGAGATTACTGCAGCCCACCGGTCCAGGCGTTCCCTACCCTTCGCTTTGTGGAGGGGTCGTCCCGAGGAGGGCTGCTTACACGGCAAGCCGCAGAAGCCGAAGAACTGTGCCACAGCAGCATGCACAGTGCTGGGCAAAACGGGCAAAACCCCCCAAGGCCCATCGCGATCGTTAGTCACATGAATGACATGACAAACCAAAGGCTTTACCAGACACGACCACGACGACGTCTTACGACCCGCATGTTACATTCGGCATCACCGGCGCCCTGCCCTGTAGGTAGTGTGGTAGTGTAGATCGAGGTAAGCTCAGAGCACCGTGAAGCCATTGCGCTATATCCTAGTCCGGTATGTCTTGGCACGAGGTAATGATGATATCCCGTTGACCAGCGGCGCTTGGCTGGCACATGGATTGCTGGCTGAGTCGTCAGACAAAAGGCACTACAGCTGCGCTGGCAGCATGCAGAGGCTGCTTTGGGAAAAGCCAGCACGATCATGCGACTCGAGGTTACCGGCCGGACAAGGTCCGCAAGGAAGAGTACCAAGAAAATATAACGGCACGACCCTAGCACCTGCAGGAAGCTCCTCTCTTCCGAGATCCTGGACGGTACGCAGCCGTCGCTAATGCACTCTCGACACACGCTGTCACTGACTTTCTGGTGTTTTGTTCAAGCAAATTCTTTTTGGGCCAATCAACCTCTCCAATACCAATAATTGGGTCGATAATGGCTGCAGAAGCTGGCGCTGAGCCTCTCGGTTTGAGATCCATATCTGGGATATAGACCGGCCATTCTGTCCTCGTTGACCAGCAAATCAGATGCGCTGGATACAAGTGTCAAGGGCTTGCAGCTTGCATGCGCTTAGGCGGTTTAAGGAATTCTGCTCGGCCTCCGTTGCCAGTCTCTTCGCTCTCGTTCTTGCGTTCCCACTTGGTTTCTTTTTTTTCGGGTCCGTCGTTCCTTGGTTTCCAGGCCACAAGCTCCTCGAGCATGTGGCGTCCTTGTATGTAGCATATTAAAACATGTCCGCCCATGGAAGTCTCAGATGGGGCGTCAGGAACATGCGCATGGCTAGGCTTCAAATCGTTACCTCGCAATTATTAGGCCTCCCCCTAGCCATCACATCATCAGATCGTGCTGACATGACTACATCGGTGGCGAGAGCCGGCCGACTGTACTTGCCCAACTGGTCCACGGCGTGTTGAATGATTGCGTAACTATAGTCGGTAGACTTTCGCTATAGCAGTTGTGCTACCACCAAGTCATGGAGAACGACGGCGCGCGAGCTGCGGGTGTAGACTAGCTAAGACGGGTCTCCACACGCCGACTGCAACTTGCGTATACCTGTAGCTACTTTGAGACAACACCCCTGAGCAATGATCCTGGGCAATCCGTAATGAGGGAACAGGTTCGTGGAACGTCGGCCCTTGCGCCCATGCGTAATCAGGGTCTTCGAGAAGACTTCCGAAGTTAGGCTTTCTCTTAGATCTTGGCACGCCCATAGTGTGTAGCAGTTAAGCAAAACCACGGTGCTATGATGCCGTGCTTAACCTGTGGGGTACGCGTAAAGTGCAGGGTTTCCGGCAATTTTCCCACGTTTGCCAAGCGTCTTGAATATCACAGGATATACCCGGCAGTAGTTTGGATGGAGAAGTGTGTGTACCTTGCGCAAGCATACCGCGCCACGAGATTCCGTTAGAGAGGAATTGGAGGTACTACGTCGGCCTCATCTAAAGCAATCCAACAAGGGCCGATGTTGTGACGTCTGTACCTGTGGACATAGCGTGGCGTCGGTGTCGCAGGTAGCTGAAAAGGGGTAAGCTCCACGGACCTTACAGGAATCCCCAGGAAAAGAAGCTAGCTGCAGTAGCTAGACAAGGCAGAATGCGGAGAAGCAGGGTACTCCATGGCGTGGTCTCGACACCAGGCACATAGTTGCTCTCAACGCATAAACACGGAACTGTCTGAACATCGATCCTGCGGCTGCAAAGGTTTCCGGGTAAGAGACGACGAGGTCTTGTAACTGGCCATGGATGGTCGAGTATTCAGCGCGTGTGCGTCTTACGCCACATCCTGGCATGTCAGCTGCGTATTTGGCCCGGACCGACCGCAATATGAAAACGTCTCTGCAGCTGAGACAGAAAACGTGGCTCAAGAATATTGCTCTTAAGACGGGTGCTATAGGTATATGTTATTTTGCAGACTATAGGATGAGCAACGGTGCATACTTACCCACAGCAACCGCGTTGGCGAGTGTGTCGCGTAACCAGAGATATGCAGGTCAATTTACAACCAAGTCAGGTATGCCATTTCAGTACAAAATGCACCGAAATGGCATTCGAATGGCATCCCAGATTGGACCTGATGGACTGCAAATGCATTGGGATATTGGCATGGTGCGCCTGACGAGAGCGGGTTTTTGAGACTCCCAGTCGCAATGTGCCGAACTGGACTCCCGAATTGCTCCGTGGGTTGCCCGTAGGTACACGGAAGTATGGGTACATTGTTCTTCTTGTAGTCCTCGAGAGTAGCTGGTATCAGGAGACTACCTTGGCGGTCCCGTTTGCTGCTGAGCTGAGAGTGGTTCTACAAAAGTTATAGCAACACTAAGCTTGACTTTCGTTCTGTTTGCGACAGGTTGTTGCGTCTGCTTAGCTAGATGATGGGTTGAAGCAAGTTGTGAATCGTAATGCCGATTAAACCGAAGGTCCATGCCATGTTCAGCCATTCAATCGAACCAGTGCCCACTGAGAGCCTCGTGAAGAACTGATCAGAATAGCCTTCTCATATCGTTGAATCTTTGCGATTGCCCAGTCGCTGTGTGTGCGGAAAGTTGTGCCTGGCTGTGTAACTCCACCCCTTTTCCCATTACGGGATGCTTGCTATCGAGAGTGCTCTCATTTTAGTACCATGAGAAAGCGGATAGAGCTTGATTATCCAGGCGACGTAACACCATAGCCCCCGTTACCGGTACGGAACTTTCAGGGACTTTCGGGGGCCTGAAATTCACTCTTCTGTGGCGTAGCGGCTTGATGTTGGTCTGCGTCGAAGCGCCGCATGACAACAACGGTTGTCGAATCTTCAGGATACACAGCATGCTCGCATATTGGATAAAGGCATTGGGCTCTGACAGGTGGGCTGAAGAAAGATCATGGCGACATTGGTGTAGTGTAGCTGCCGTGTGGAAACATTGAAGCTTGGGCCGCTGATGACGTTGTCGTACCAAAAAACTCACACACCTTGTCTGGCACGCCGCACCTCACCCACCACCTTGCCTCCTTTTCTTTATATCCTACTCACCATAGCATATCATTGAGCGGCCCGTCGTTCCAGAGTCAGGGGCAGGGTCGAACAGCGTCCCGGACCGGGCGGGTGAGGCGGAGTTTTGAGGTGCCATGTGCCAACTTGAAGACGTCTGTCTATACCACCCGCTGTCGTCGCGTAGCATACAAAGAATCAAAACTTCTTTTCCATACTTGCAACGGTTCCTCCAAGCTTCATCAGAGTTTTCTGAGTTGAACGTAGGCCAGATATTGCATTCCTTTCCGACGTCCTTCTGATATGCTGTTCTTCTGTTCATCTCCATATTTTCTTCTATCTCCGTTATCCACAGAAATGCCGACTCTTCTCTTCTTCAAGCTTTCCTCTACCAATTCCGCTCCTCTTCTAACACTTCCTTTCCTTTCTTTACCGACATCTCTAACCACACCTTCATATTTTCAACCAGTATCCCTTTCGCAGTCTTGTCGAGGTTCAATATCCTTACCTTTCACTTCCCCCCTTTCAAATTCCAAGCTTACTTTCACGCGAACATATACTTTTCAATTATCTGCACTGTCATTCAGATCTGCGCACTGTTAATACAGATGCGAGCGCCACTGAATCCTTTAATCCACCAATCAGGAAGCCTTGTCGCAATTGCTTTACATCACTTGGCCCTAAAATTAACACTCTACTGTATCTTTGATAACTATTTTGGAGTCTGGAAACAGCAAAGAAGTACGCATCTTTCGATATCTTCCACAATTTTCGTAATTGCGAAGACGTTGATTGGTAGTAGAGGTCGTAGTCAGGGTGGTGGTCGCGGAGGCCCGGGCCGTTGTAGAGATCTGTGAGTAAGCCCGGATGTTGGTGGCACATAGATGATACGGATAGAGCGGATAGAGGCGAATGATGGTCATATGCATTGCAGTAGAGCTTACGGATTACTGCAGCTACAGAGATGGCGCAGTTGTTGGGCAAGCCAATATTCTTCAAAAGAAGGTATTTGCGGCTGATGTGGTAATGCAATGTGCAAGCTTGGTCAGACGTGAAACAGACCCATCGCTTCTGGGTGGTGTGAATTCACGATCCGAATAGGCACGTCGCTGGATTTGAGAGAATTTTCATTTGTTCGATCTTCACATTGAGATTAATTTGAACTAACTGTCATCACCACTAGTTGGTCCATCGTAAATTGACTCGAATCTGAGCTGTCATGTGATATCCGCTAGGTCTTGCTATGTAAATGTCAAATATTTATGTATCGGTATGCTGTGATTTCCCTCAAGATACTGGTAGCTATCAAAATCCTCAAACCATTACTCGCGCGGTAGCCTGAATTCTGGCCACGATGAAAACGCCAGCATGCCATGCGGACATTGCGCATGCAGAGGGTATCGAATCGATGTTGCACATGCCTTTCCCAACGCCGACAAATGCTTTTTTGAATGAGAGTTTGATCGTTCCATTAATGCGAGTATGACGCTCATATCTCGCATACTCGTGGGGAGTAATAGTATGGTTATGTGAGATGTTCCTGCTTCCCTCTTCAACCATGGTGAATGCGATCACGACACCTAGTCGGAATCGTCCTCACCATCCGGCGTCCGCGAGCTCCTCTTCTTCTTTGAACCCGGTGGTCTGCCCCTCGCCTTCTTGGGTGTACTGCCGCCTAAGCTGAAATTGCTCTTCCGCTTCCTGCCGCGGCCGCTAGTAGGAATTGGCATGCTGTTTTCACCGTCCTCGTTTGGCGTCTCATATCCTGCGTCCAGTGTATCATCGCCATCCGCATCAATAAAGGTTTCTCGATCAATATCCAGCAAGTCTGCAAAGTCGTAACATTGCTTTACCATGCTTTCGCGTGTGTCAAGAGCTTGCATGGCTCCAGAGAGGCGCTCGAATAAATCCTTGCCCGTGGTAGCGAGATGGTTGCGAGTTGCAGATTTGGCGTACTCCTTTTGAGAAATGGGCCCGTTATGTTTGATACCGTACCACCGCCGAATGAAACTGCGAGTCTCCCATACCATTTGGAGGATAATACAGGCGGTTGCGATTTGACGAAGGCGGCCATCGTCAATAGTTGGAGGCGCGAGTTGGGAGATGGTTTGCACGGCTGGCGGTAGTGGTTGTGGTAGTGGCATTCCATTCATACCTCCACCAGCTAGCATCTGTTGTTGGAATGGGTCCATTGGCTGTGGGATCTCCAATTGAATGTATTGTTTTGGAAGTTCTTCCGCAATGACGACTCCCACCGCTGGTCCCGTTGTGTTGAGCACCATTGCTTCAACTGCATTGAGGAATACTGCCAATTCCTCTTGATGGGGAAAGTCGAGCAAAGCCAAGTTCTCCAAACAGAAACGAGCATACAGAATGGCCTCAGGAGCAGGGCCACTGGCATCTAATTTGGAGAGGTCAAAGTCGATCTGTTTGCAAAAGTTGACAATGAACTTCTTCAAACTTGCTTTTTTGCCCGTCTTCAGCGCCTCGAAAAGTTTGGTAAGCTTCGGGGTATGAGTAGCTTCAACCATTCCGCGTGGATCATTGAACAAATCCAGCTGGTACCTGAAAGCCATGTGAATAGCCTGCATGTACTCCTTTTCCAGGTAGGATTCTTGCTTTTCATGAATACGTCTGTGTTCGTCACCCGCCACCTGGGCCAAGCTCTTGTTTGGTGAAGTAGCTAGGGCTACGAGCGCAGCACCGCACTCTTTTGGATGAACAAGTCCTTGACGGCTGATGCTGGCAATTATGTCTGTGGCGATTACAGCAAGTTCGTTCTTGTTCTGCAAGGCAGCTTTCACAAAGTCTTCCAAGAATCTCTGGGCCAGATGTAGAGTGGCTTGGTCGTTTCCAGTGGCCGTAAATGAAGTCTCCAGTCGCGCTGAACCATTGACAGCTCCTTTGCCAACGGCAATTTGCGCACCTGTTTCGGAGCGTCGTTCAGCAACAGTAAAAAACTGTCTGAAGAAGGAGAGCGCGACATGCCGCAAAGTGTGATTATCCTCGTTGATGAAGACCAGTTTGACCACCTTTTCCACTTCGGCACGCATGAAATGCTCCGGTGATTGTTGGCAAATGCCACCCATGCTTTGCAATGCCTGTTCGCGGATGTCTAGCTCCCAAGCCTGCATGGTGAATGGCCGCACAGTATCCAGCAAGAGGAGTGACGGTGGGGGAGGTGATTTCTGACTGAGGGACGGCTCCATCTGCTTCTTGAGGGCCTCATTCTTGTTGATGGTAGCCCGGAGTTTGGCAATGAAAGGTTCGGCGTGTTCGTCAAGACTGCACACTTGGCCAAAAGCGCCTAGCAAAATGAGATATGAGAGTATCTTCTCTTTCAGCTTGGTGGCTTCCTCTTTCTCCTTGGCTGACTCTGATGATTTAGCTGATGCCAATATTTGAGCCGATGGCAACAGTGGGCGCAATTGGCTAATTACAGAACAAGTGGTGACGAGAATCTTTTCGGCACCTATGCTTGACATCCCGCTGATTGCCCACAAGCAATGAACGACATCGAGAAGAGTCTCCCTGCTTGTAGGCCAACCTAGAGACGCGAATTTGGCCAGCTTAGGAACGTTTCGCATCAGACTTCCACGAATCTCTTCCGCAAAGGCATGCTGAAGTGAGGAAAGTGTTGGTAGAACGTGCCGGAAAATCACCACTGTTGGCCGCACAAGAGCTACGTCATCCGTGTTGACAATCGTCTTGATGTAAAGTTTCAGGTGTTGGAGGTAGTCGACCGAAAACAAGGTGGGCTTGATCCTTGCAAAGACGCTCAAGGTGTTCATGACTCGTGTCTGGGATTTGGTGTCTGTTCCGTTTCCAGGGTCAATGACTTCATCCACCAGATCTGCGACGAGCTCTCCACAGATCTGCAGATTCGCGGCAGGTCCCTTGGCTTCAGGCGATAGACAGTGAATGAAGAATTTCTCGAAAGCCTCCAGGTGCACCGTACTTTGTCCAACAGATTCGAGCAGGTCTACCATGAATGCTGCTCGCTGTTCGCGATTAAGTCGATTCTGACTGTCGTCGGTTTTGTTGCCCGGGCTAGCACCCGTTAACCATATCTCTTCGAGAACGTTTCGACCCAACTCTGCAATGGCGCTTTCGTCATCTTGCGAGGGAAGAAGCAATGGAGCTGCAATCTTGAGTCGAACCTGCTTCGAGGTGGAGCGGAGATATATCTCTTTGAGCAACTTGATTGCCTTTTTCTTTGGGCCGTTGGAAGGATCTGTAGTCATGTCCAGGATCTGTGGCAAGACATGCCGTTCAAGAGACGGCTCCTTGGCCAAGCAGTTGGACAGCAAGGACAGGGTTGCTTCACGAACCATGGGCGAGCTGTCCTTGAGTGACGAGATCATGTTGATGACATGGCCTTCAGAGATAACCCTAGGATCTTTGTCCAGCAACTGTTGCAGTGCAGCGGTTCCTCGTGACCGGAGTTTGGGCGAAATCTTGTCCTGGGCGTAGAGTTGCATGAAGTTGACGATTTGTGAAAGGTATCTGCACACTTGACTTTGAAGAGTAATTATGCCAGCGGCTAGCTTACTTTGATCGTCCGAGACAGATTGGAATTTACTGTCATTCAGGTCAGTTGCGGAACGACAGTAGAGACTGTGACACTTACTATTTCCGAGCCAGCCATTTGGGATCCATGATCATACTCTCCAAGCATTGCTGGACGGTCTTGATGGCTTCTGGCTTGGTTTCCTCATTTGCATCAGGATACGCCTTTGTGACAGCTGCGAGCCAAGAGCTGACGTAACAGCCAGTTGTTGCTTGTAGGTGTGGGTCTTCTTGGGATGGTCGAAGGTCAAGATACTCTACCAAAGACTCAATGACCATGCGATAAGGACCATCAAAAGCAAGCAAGTCCACATCATTGACCCTCTCCTTTTGGTCCTCGCTCATGGCGTCGTTGACGAGTCGATCTAGTTTTGATGACAAATCTGACTGCGAAATATCCAGCCTTTGTTTGATCTTCTTCAGTTGGTCCCTGAAGTCAATCACGCCACAGCCGATCCTCGCCATGGTGGTGAGCGCCATATCCTTATCAACCACAGAGTGCTTTGTCGCTTGATCATCCTGAAGAATGGTTCTCATGCGGACCAGAAGTACTTGTAGGAGCATGACAGCAGCTGGCCACTGCGGAGACCCGAGAACGTTACAGAAATCGTCGATGAAGAGATCGAGAAGATTACGGAACGGTTTATCGCCAGACTTGGAGGTGTTTGACGCACGCTCACACAGCTGGGTCGCAATGAAAGAGGCGGTATTGGTAGCGGTGCTGGTCAGATTCTGCGCTATGAAGGCCGGGCTGCCTCTACCGTTGTTCACTTTTTTTGTCTTCACAGACGTACCGGGCTCGTAGTCGCTGACATCATCTTCGACTACGACATCCTTGATCTCACTGCTGGCTGAAGACGCAGTGCGAGGACCGGGGTTCGTCGCAACAACCTGAACGAAGCGCATGAATAGTGCAGATATTGTCATGATTGGCACTTCTCGAGCAGATACAAATTGCCTGGCGCTCGCCTTCTTATCAGGAAGCTTCTCTAGATTGCTGAAAATTCCGCTAAGAATTGACGTCCGCTGATCTGGGTATCGTGCAAAGATCTGGGCCAGAACGTCCATTGCCTTTTGACGGAAGTGCTCGAATTTTTTGATGGTGAAGACGGAATCTCTTTCGTGTTCACTGTTCTGCTCCACCAAAAGCTCGAGCGTCAAATACTCCAAGGTATTGAGCGCCCGATCAGACAGATTGTACTTGCCTATAACTGTGGCAAACCGAGTGAGGACGGCTCCACACAGGCGCAGGACCGGTTGTAAGTCTTGTCTGCAGGCTGACGCAGCGTTGAAAAGATCTTGCGACTCACCGGAGCGCCGCGATTGTACAATGGGGATGATGCATGCGTCCTTGACTAGCTTTATGAGATCGATTATGGTGTCGACAATCTCTTCCCGCCGCATGCGGTAATCGTCACGGCCTTCGATCATGGTCTCGAGTAGGAGCTTTGAAGACTTGAGTGCAAGTTTAGCAGTTGGGATGCTTTCCGCAAGCTCCATAGTACCCTCGTCTCGTGGGAAAAGCCCGTTTTTGGTTGTCGACATAACAGTAGGGTGAAGCAGCGATTGGATCTGCATAACCAGTTCTACAGGAAGCGCACTAAAGCGTCCTAAACTGACCACGCCCGACATCTTTTCAGAGAGGTTGTCCATCGAGCGCGGCTTGAGCACATTGAGTTCGCCATCAGGTGTCAATATCTTGTTGAAGTGCTGTGATCCGTCGAGATCGTCCTTGTCTTCTGTTAGGCTTGTGACGAGATTGTCCAGCAGTTCGATCTTTCCATCCGCAATCTCTCGTTCATGGGGTCGTAGCACAAATGCTCCACCCTCGGCTCTGTTGTCTTCCTGCTTTTGCGACAAATGACCTGGTGTCCCGATGCTATCGATGTACCTAAATTCGTCGCGCGGCACAGCCTTTGGCTTTATCATTACAGCTGGTCCAGGGGGGCGAACGGGCGTGCTGCCCGCAGCGGATGGAACAGCGCTAGGCGGATACGGTCGGTCTGCGTTTCGAACGTTGACGCCGCCACTGGGGGTGGTAGGCGGCTGGGGTGTCGCACGGGCCTGTTGCAAAGGAGCAGCTTGTCTGGAAGGTGAGCGCTCTTTGCGAGGTCGTTCGGGCGCTGTGACGCTCGGTGCTAGCCATGTGAGTGTGGGTGTAATCAGGTGAGGAACAGACCTACTTGTAAATGCGACATCCGTCTGTTTTAGCAGAATTTGCGCAAACGGACTGAGCGCAGGCGTGTATCCAGAAGAATCTCCATTGGTACCTTTTACGGGGCTATCCGGTGGAGGTGTTGCTAGTTGCGGCATCGGCTTGAAGTGGCTTCGAACGTTAGGGATTGCTTCTCGACCAAGAGCTACAGCATACTCACTACTCTGGTAGTTTATCGCGATGCAGAAGATTGCGGAGCTGTTTTAATGTGTCATGCAAGTGCTGCGCTGTAGACTGGCCTTCGATTTCGTTGTTCAAGATGCCCACGGCTTTCTGTGCCGCCTTTTGTTGGTCCGGGTTCAGGGTAGTGGGTGGAGTAGGAGGCTCAGCGGTAGGGAAGGGTATTATTTCTATCAGTCGTTAGTATCTTGTTGAAGTAGGTGAGAGCGGCGCTCTCAGGTAAGATGCGCAAGTGAAGCGGATTGACTGACCGGGCGAGAAAGGGATAATCGAGGTAAAGGGCGAATACGGGAGAGCATCATCCACGGTAGGAGGAGGCCTCCGGAATGGGAGCCTGCCGCCGTTGACATTGTGCCAATTTCCATTCATTGCGATCGCGCTTGGGAAGTCGAGTAGTCGGGGAGTCGACGAGCGTCGTGTTAGGCGCCAGCAGCGTGCGTTCTTCTGGGTTGAGGTGTAGCAATCGCTATTCCATCGTTTCGGCGCGCATGGTCGATTATACGGTCCTTCTTCCCTCCGCTGGTCCCTTCACCCGAGTGATGCGCTCCGGGATTTGCAACTCGGTGACGGCTCTGGGATGAGAGCACCAGTGTCAAATGGTGGTGACATGCGGACGCGTTCTGACCGCCTGCCGCTTTGGGTTTAGCCTGTTGCGGCCGCGGAAGTCGCGATTCCCTGTAACTTTTTTCCATTCTCTCCACCCCATCATCACCGTCACAGAGACAAATTGCCCACCATGTCAGCTATTGGTTAGTATCGCACATTAACAAGTTACACACAAGGCATTCGCTGACAGCAGATGCAGGATCTCTTGTCTTCTGCACCGACTGCGGCAACCTGCTTGATGGCTCTGTAGGGCAGCAACAGAATGTAGTATTGACGTGCGGTGTCTGTGGTGCGCACAACAAAGACACATCTTCAAAGACTGTCGTGACAGTTTCCAAACCTACCGCTTTTCCCTCGACTCTGCGCGCGAAGAGATCAGAGGTACAGACCATTTCCGAGGAAGACGTGCAGACGACCAGTGTAATCAACCACCCATGCGAAAAATGCGGAAAGGAACAGGTGCGATACTACACACAACAACTGCGAAGTGCAGATGAAGGAACCACTGTGTTTTACGAGTGCGATTGCGGTCACAAGTATGTGTACTCGCCTACATTCAAGTCTAAGCTGAAACTAACTGCTATCTTACAGATGGAACACAAACAATTGAGTTGGGCTTTCCAGGTACACTGGCCACTTTGAACTCTACATAACCCAAACGCCATGCGCATGCAACGCCCTCCACATTCTAAGCCGCAGCAGCCTGTGGCACAATCGCGTACTCCATCTCTCCGTTCTTCTCGAACTCTGCCATGTCAAGCGCGACAATCACACTGTCTCGCACAACCTGTTCCGGATCGTTCAAGAATTTGCGCAAAGTATCCTCGACACCTTCCTCATCACCCAAACTACCCAGCGCCTCCGCAGCCTCGTGGCGAACCATACTAGCTTCATTTGTGTTACTCAGTGCCTCTGTCAGACTGGGAATGGACGCCGGGTGCGATAACTGTCCGAAAACGAATGCGATCTCATGGCGGAAGAGAGCAGATGGGTCGCTGAAGCCGCGGGCGAGTGCTTGTACAGCTGGGATAGCTGTTGGGAGATCAGGCGGCGAGGAAAGATCGCGCAGGGCGAACATGGCGCGGTAACGCTGGAACAAGGGCAAGGATGTGTCGAGGAGTGTCTTCTCAAGTTCTGGTATTGATGGCTTCTCGGCGCCCTGTGGCAGTGGTGGTGCAGGGTCGATTGATGTAAAGTCGCTAGGTTATGATTAGCAGATAGTGCAGGTTAGAGAATATTTGCAAGCATACCTTTTCTTCAGTTTTTCCTGTCCCTTCTGTAATCCATGGTCCCATTCAATGCGATCAACAGCAATGTCGCACGTTTCCCGCACGACGTCGACCTCCTTGACATCGTCTCTCAACTGCTTCAGCAGATCCAGGCTGCCCTTGTCGCTCAATGCACCCAGCGCTTCGGCAGCCTCATGTCGGCACATCGAGTCTTCGTCCTTGTCTTGCAACACGGCCCTCAGTGGCGCAATAGCAGCATCATGGCCAGACTGGCCTAGACAGTAGGCCAGTTCGTGCTTCAGAAGAGCAGACGGCGAAGTAAAAGCGGCGCCGATGGCCTCGATTGCGGGGACTGTTTGCTCGGTGGGCGGGTTCAGGCCTGCGAGGTACTTCAAAGAAAAGAGAGCACGGAATCGTCGGGCGAGGGGCTCAGACTCCGATGTGAGTATCTTGCGCAGGGTTTGGACCTGGGTTTCTTGCTCTGTGGTAGTCATGTTGGTAACTTGAAAATGAGCGTTTTGTGGAAGAAGACAGGAATCGACAGTGGTCGCCTTCCGACGCGACTCAACTCTTTTTTGGCGGGGGTATAGAGATTTGGTGGGGTCCAAAGCCCATCTGATAAGATCCTCACCGCATCTGCAGACTAGAAGCAAGGCTAGCCTGTTTCGGCTTAGTTTACATGTGACAGCGTGGCAGCGAGGCCCTGTTCCTGCATTATGCAGAACATAGCCAGCCTCCTGGCCTTGTTTTCACAATGACTCTTCGCCCTCCCCTCGGTGTCTTTGACAACTGACGGTGAAAGGCTACCCGCGAGGCAACAAGGAAACAAAGATACCACCTATAGCCTGCTCCACACGCGCTCTAGCCTGCTTCACCATCACCATCACCGCAACACGCCCGCATAACAATAAATGAACGCCTCGACCCCACTCGGTTCATAATTCTGGTATCCTCCTAACCCTCGCACACCCGCCCCACCACCGCGCACGTAGAAGGCACTGCCTGTCTCTCACCATGGCGTTCCTTCGCGGCGTGTCCGATCGCATCTGGAACTATGTGAGCCCTCGCAAGACCCAGCAACGGCGCGACAAGCCCTTCGCCTTCAAAAAGCCTGCAGTCCCCACTCGACCGGCAAATGCGCCAGCCACCCCGCCATCGAGAGAGATGAGTCCAGAGGCGCGTGTCAAGACTTGGGACCCTGAAGCACCAAGCCCTCAATGCGACATTGATGCGACTCTTTTGCCTCCCTCTCCACCCGCCTCAGCCATGCTTTCGGACGACCTGGAAGGCGATACGCTGGTACCTCTGTCGCCCATTGAACCAGGTGAGAAGGCGGAGGAGGGGTCTTCTGCAGATGAGTGGGATGCGAACGAGGAGACCATGGTAGTGGACGACGGAACTTACATGACCGAGCAAAAGAAGATCAATGTCGAAAACGAGCGCAAGAAACGAGATCACCAGGGCCGTGAATTGCGCGATTCTGGCTGGTCCGAGGACGCAGTCTTCCTGTTCCAGAAGCTGGGGATGCGTGGCTTTGAGCCATTGCTTCCCATCTCATGGATTCATGATTTCGAAACTGTACCCGAAGATCTGTTTACCGAAAAACTTGACAAGGCCTTCATCAAGCCTGCGTTTGGCACAGACTACGCCGGTGGGTTCTTCGCTTTCTAGCGCTTCCATTCAGCTTGCTAATTTGAAAAAGCACAATATGCTCTCGATAAGCTTTTCGATCTTGGAGGTTTTGTGCGAGATGCCTGGCACACGCGAGCAAGACGAACTCCGGCGTTCCAGATCGGCAAGGCTGTGAAAGCCTACACCAAATGGGCGATGAAAGACGGCAAAGTTGGACAGCTCTGGTCTCAGCTTCCATTGTTCCAGACCGTCACTTTCTCCCGCCATGTACACCCAAGTGTCGGTGAAGAGAAAATGCTTGAAAAGCTCGGTCGCCTGCACGAACTATGGCACGATGCTTTGAAGATAGACGAAGCCGAGCAACGCGGGGACTGTGATATTCCAGAAGTGCCCACATTGTATGGCATCACGGCATCGCATTCCGTAATGGCATTCGTCAGCTACACTCCAGCGAAAGAAGAGAGGGACCAACCCCAGCTTCGATTGATCGCCATGTTTGATTTCAACAAGGAGGGGTATGATGTCTGGAACTCCCTTGCCATTGCCATTTTTGTCATTCACTGCAGAAATAGGATGATGCAGCTGAGGGAGTGCGTCCCGGAACCGGAAATCATGACTGAGGAAGATCCCGATCTCTGAGCTACGAACACGATATGAAAACACACAAAAAAACCCGGAAACAAGAAGACATGAAGATTGATACGAAGAGATGGAACAAATAATGAAACAAATATGGATAATGGACGACGGATGACGATGTTGAGGGTGTGACGGTTTGCTTCGCGATATACCCCATCACCCCTGTTATGAGCACAATACCCTTTTCACTTTATTTCCTTTGTTATAGAATGTAGGAGGAATGTACCCAGGCCTACCAGAATGAGGGTATTAGGCTTGATGTGCCGGCTTTGAGTGGTTCTACGAACGAAAGCAACCAAAATTGCACGACGGAACGGGTGGGTCGCGACGAGCGCTTTGAACAGTCAAATAAATCTTAGATAGGAAATTCCAGTCACTAGTACATTGGAACTAGTCCTCGATGCCGTTACCCGTGGGGCTAAACATTGAGCTAGGATCTGGCGGACAGAACGTCACCAACATCTCGATCTCAATCTAACACTAAATTCTACGTCATAGATCTCCATACCACGGGAACCGATTCCCCTAGCAGATATCCACGACGATAAAGCGATGGCCACTGCCATGTATTTCCAAGAGACATCAAGCTTTTTATTTCTTGGTATTTTATCCAGGCCTAAAACATCAATTACTGGCCTTGATCCTTTCGTTTGCAATGTCGCGAATACGGTTACCACGCGCCTTCCGCTCTCCAGCGCAAATCAATGAAGAAGAGGGTACAAACGGCCACCCTGAGACCATGCGCAGGAAAACCCCACCCAACGAAGCCGAAGATGGTGACGATAATGAAGAGAAATCTAAAGAACCTAGTACAGAACCCGTAGGCTTCTGGCATCCAGACCTCCGGCAAGTCCGCAACCGCGCGTTTGCAAAATGGACCATTACGACAGCCTTTCTCATGGGATTTATCCTCGCCGTACTTTCTATATACTGGGGTGTTTTCTTCAAGGTGGAGAACAGAATCAGCCACTTGTTGGTCTATGTGGTTGATATGGATGGCGTCGCGCCATACGACAACACCGGGAACGCGCCATTTGTCGGCCCAACGATTACAAAGCTCGTACAGCAACAATTGAGCAGCAATCAGCCAACACTCGGATGGGGCATACTTCCAGCATCCGAGTTCAACAACGATCCGATGCAAGTCCGGGAGGCAATCTACGAGTGGGATGCCTGGGCCGCCATTGTCATCAATCCAAATGCAAGCGCGTTGTTGTACACTGCCATTGCGAGTGGAAATTCCTCATACGACCCTCTTGGTGCGTGCCAATTGATATACCAGGACGCAAGAGACGATACGAATTGGTTTGATCTTATGCTCCCAATCATCAGCTCTTTCATGACGGAAGCACAGAGCATGGTTGGCAAGCAGTGGGCACAAATGGTGCTACAGAACGCCAGCAACCCATCGGTACTATCGAATATGCAGAATGTGCCGCAGGCAGTCAATCCCGCGATTGAATTTTCCGAATACAATCTTCGGCCGTTTTTTCCTTACACCAGCATCCCCGCTGTATCTATCGGCCTCATTTGTAAGTATCACCAGCACCAACTCCTCTTTGTATAACTACAATGCTGATGGCCTGGTGCTAGATCTTATCATCATCTCCTTTTTCAGCTTCTCGTTCTACATGCCCATCCACATGCAATACGTCACGCCTACCAACCACCCGCCGCTCAAGTTTCCCCAGCTGATCGTCTGGCGCTGGTGCGCCACCATATCCGCCTACTTCATGCTTTCCCTCGCCTACTCTTTTGTCAGCCTGGCTTTCCAAATCAACTTCTCAAACACGAACTCCATAACCAGTCATACCCAGGTCACCATCCAGAGCGAGGGAAACCCAGTGGCTTTCGGCCATGGCACGTTTTTGGTGTACTGGATGTTGAACTTTTTTGGCATGATTGCACTGGGTATGGCGTGTGAGAACGTCGCTATGGTTGTGGGTATGCCGTGGATGGGCCTGTTTTTGATCTTCTGGGTTATCACAAACGTTTCTACTTCCTTCTACGATATCGAAATCGCACCTGGGTTTTATAGGTGGGGGTATGCATGGCCCTTGCATTCTAGTAAGTTCTTCCATCTCCTTTGATTCTCAGCCTTGCGCGTTACCATGATGTTGCGGTAGATCTGACACCGACTATAGTTGTCGAAGCAAGCCGCTCAATTCTCTTCGATCTGCACTCGCGTCTTGGTCTGGATTTTGGTATTCTCATCGCGTGGGGAGCAGTAAACACGCTTTTCTTCCCTTTCTGCTGTTATTTCATGCGGTGGAAGCAGCAGAAGGGCGTGCACGAATACTGGCCTCTGGATTAAAACCGCTCCTGTGAGGTGACAGGGGGTATTCACAGTTGGCTTTTATGGGGTAATAATTGAGCAGATCATCCAATTATACGATACTCGATGCGCCGCATATAGATTGTTTAGTATTTAGTCTGTTGATGTGGGGTCAACACGTCATATACAATTAGCATGTTGGGATGAGTTCCAGTTTTATCTTTAGTGTCCATATCTTGGCAGATGGAGTCGAACCTGAAGGTATGTAGGTACTGACAACGGTTGATGGGGAGTAAGGGTAGAATAGCATCTATGTCATGAACGATGACGTTCTATTCCTTGTTTAAAGAATATGGCGGAATGAACTGTAGATTATATGAACTGACAGAAATATCTAACTGAAACCAGCATATCGGTTTGCAATGACACTGCTTGAATTGGTAAGGCTGAGCCGGAGGGGAGAGCATGGGTGAACCATGATATACCCCAACCAGCTCTAGTCCCAAACAGGCATGGTACTTGTTGGACCCAGTGTATCCTCCCCACCCCTCCACCTTACGGCATCGCAACTCACGTGAATGATGACTTTTATACAACGTCTTCGTTTCGATATCCCTTTCCATCTCAACACTATCTCGCCAAGTATTCACAAACACAAGCATGCCTCCCACAGCCCCATCCACATACCCCCGTCCAGACTTCTTCCGCGAGAACCTATCCTGGCAATCGCTCAACGGGCCCTGGTCATTCCTCTTCGATGACAACGACGTCGGCTTAACCCAGGGCTGGCACTTGACCCAACTCCCAGACAAGGTCACAGTGAACCCCACCAAGACCAACAGCACCGAGAATACCGAGGCGCACAGCATCACGGCCAAGATCGCGGCTGGCACCCAGGAGCTACTGCAAGGCAACCAGTTCAAAAACGAGCATACTGTGCATGAGAAACGCGGCATTCAAGTTCCGTTTGTTTTCCAGTGCCCTGCCTCGGGGATTGGGGAAAAGGGCGTGCACGAGGTGTTATGGTACGAGCGAGAAATTGACGACCCAAGACCTGAACAGGGCAAGGCCGCTGGCGATCTTGTCCTGCTGAGGTTTGGGGCCGTCGACTACGAGGCCAAGATCTGGGTCAATGGTAGCTTTTTTGGTGGCCATCGCGGCGGACATGTGCCGTTCGATGTGGACATCACCGATGCTTTTGCAAAGGGGAAGACACAGCGGCTGACGGTGCGCGTGTTTGACTCTGCTCATGATCTGACACAGCCTCGTGGCAAGCAGTACTGGAAGGCACAGCCTGAGAGCATCTTCTACACACCCAGTGGAGGCATTTGGCAAAATGTCTGGCTGGAGTCTGTGCCAGCTGTCAGGCTTGGAGATGCGAGTGCAGGCACTCTGATCCGAAGCAACGACATTGAAAGCGGAAATCTGGAAGCCAGCATCAAAGTTCTCGGAAGACCAGCTGGGCACGAGTACAGTGTCGAGCTCGAGGCCAGCTTAGGCGGTGTTCTCATCAGCAAAACGGAAAAGACTGCGCTGCCACGAGACTCGGACACTGTCGCTCTCAAGACGAACTTGCGTCTGTCCGATTCCCAAGTCTCCCAATTACCACAGCATCTCACTTCTGGTGCTCCACCGTCCAACCCCAAAGCTTGGCTCAACAACCTCGCCCTGTGGTCTCCCGACCACCCAACCCTATACGACCTAACCATCCGTCTTTACACCTCTTCTCTCGGCACGCCCGTCGATACCATTCACACTACCACGGGCATGCGCTCGCTGCACTGGGACAAATCGACATTTCGCCTCAACAACCGGCCATACTTCCAAGCCCTCTTCCTAGACCAAGGCTACTGGCCCACCACCTTCATGACGCCGCCGAGCCCCTCCGCCCTGAAACTCGACATTGAGCTCGCGCAGGAAATGGGCTTCAACGGCTGCCGCAAGCACCAGAAAGTCGAAGACCCGCTGTTCCTCTACTGGGCCGACCGCCTGGGCTTCCTCGTGTGGGGCGAAATGGCAAACGCATATGCTTTCTCCGAGGCCTACGTCGAGCGCATGGATCAAGAGTGGCGTGAAGCCGTGCTGAGAGACCGCAATCACCCCTGCGTTGTGGCGTGGACGCCAGTCAACGAGTCGTGGGCGTACACGGATCTGCACACGAGCAAGCGGCAGAGAGACCACATCCGCAGCTTGTACTATGCGACCAAGGTGCTCGATCCCACGAGGCCCATCAACGATAATTGTGGCTGGGAACACGTGGTGACGGATTTGACTACGTTCCACGACTACGCTGATGTCGAAGAGTTGACAGCCACGTGCTCGTCGCTAGACGCCATTATGAAGAAGCAGGCGAATCGGCCGACGTTTCTGGCGCCGATTGAGAGTCTGGCTGATCCGGGGTCAAAGCATACGCCTGGTGCGCCTGTTATCTGCACAGAGTTTGGTGGTGTCAACATTGCACGCTCGGCTGCTGGTGGAGAAGGCGATGGGAGTAGGGACTGGGGTTATACGACTGCTTCAGACCCCAAGGATTTGCTGAAGCGTATTGAGAAGATGATCGCGGGAATCGTCGATGGAGGCCATTGCTGTGGCTTTGTCTACACACAGCTTACAGATATCGAGCAGGAAGTCAACGGAGTGTACACGCCGGACCGGAAAGAGAAGCTGGATGCCGCCGAAGTCAAAAAAGTGGTTGATGGAGTAATGGAAAGGTATGCACGGATGCACAGCCAAGGGTGAAGAAGGTCAAAGCGTAAGCCCAGAAAGATCAACCAAGATGAATAAAGTGTAAAAGTTGATGTGTAACGTCGTGATATTTCGCCCGAATACCTTCTGGTACTCTCGTGATATCTGACTATGTAGCCATGTCCCCCCATCTGAATGAGCTTCGGCTCTGTCGGCGATGGTCAATGTTGAATTCCTCCTCTTCATATATCGCATCGTCATTGGAATATGTCCAATGACGTTGTGCGACAGAACAGACTCCGACCATGCTATGGAATGAGGCAGGACGCCGAACGCGCATATCGCTATGCAACGAGCGAGAAAAGAGGAACACATGCTCTCCGAGATGCGTGACAGAAAAAAAACATGCCAAGGGGTATCGTCCGTAGGAAAAACCAAGTAACTCCGCCACTATGCTGGATGCAAGTCAAAGCAATTCAACCGCCGTATCGTACTCCGGTTCTTGAGTATCGCAGACTCTCTTCCTCTATCCGAGGGGGCTGGCGTCCGCCGGGTAATGGAATGTAATCATAGGCTGGAGGAGCGCGACTTTCATAAGCCCTGGCGCTACGCACATAAGCATGAGATGGCTCATTAGCTGGTACTTCATAGTGTGGCCCTCTCACATCGCGCGCAGGCAGTCGGTGGGGCGCAGCAGGAGCATACACGTATCCACGAGGGTCGGCATCTGCAACGGGTCGTGGAGGTGCATAATGACCTCTGCCACCATTGGGAGGGTCATAGGGGCTGCTGGTTAGATCAATAACATGCTCTGGAGGCGGTGGCCGTAGAATGCTGGGGGGACCAATTCGCTGGCTCAGATGCGGTTCAGGCGGTCCGTTGTGATAGGTCGCAGAATGGACGTCTTCATGGTACATGGGCCTCTGGCGTTTGGGATACTGCTCCGCCTGGGGATCTCTTCCATCGGCGAAAGAATCAAAAGGCTTACGCTTTGGTGACTGTACCTCGTTGTAGTGCCTATCTGGCGCGTTGTGGCCCTGCAATGTTTGATTTCTGTTCATATTACGTCGTGGTGAAGTCAGATCAACTGTCTGATGCTCAACAGAAGGGAGCACCACATCTTGATCAGACGGGTTTCTCTTGTTGATGAACGGTCTTTCGTATGTACTAGACCGATAAGGTGCGGGACGTATACTTGATTCTCGCACGTGTTGAGGCGGGGGAGGCGGTGGCCGATCATATTGCCGCACGTGGTCATCTCTTGGTTCTTGTATCGGTTGTAGCTACACGTGTCAGCCTAAGGTCGGGAACAAGGAAGGGGACACCGGCATGTCAAGCTTAAAGAGCGTGACCTTGTATGACTCACTTTATACAGGCGACCGTTAATTTCTTGCACGATAGGCTCAGCCAGCCTTGCTCGTCTACGGCGGTCAGTGGAGTTGCAAAGTCAGAATTCATAGCACCTTACTTATCGTGCACATGGTTCATGCTGTAGCGATATGCATCGGCATGGGGTCCTAGGCGTGGTTCAGAGTTTAGTGATGCTCGCACAGGTGGAGGCGGTGGTTGCTGTGAGAACGGCTGGACATGCGAAAGGAGGGGCATGGGACCTGATCGTGAAGGTACAGGGTGGCGCTGAAGAACAATGGTTCTTCTTGGCACTCCTCTCAGGTCATTACGTGGGTAGTTAGCATGAAGTTCAGGTTGCAAATCGCGCGCGGTAGCACGACTAGAAACAATTTCCATGCTTTGTTCACGTTCATCAGGCGTGGATGTGGAACCCTCTTCGCTGCTGGCCTCTTCGTCGTCATCAAGCACAATGACTTCACGAAAGGTCTCTTCCAGCTCATGGCTTTGCTCGCCGGCTTCGTCGCGCCACTCTTTAAGCTTAGCAAGCGAGACGCTCTCGACCTTGGATCGAGCTTCCATCCAGCCGCCGCTTTTGAGCAGCTTGTCGTAATCTGTGTATGTGTGGCGAATATGTGCGACAACTGCAAGCTGCACTCTACGAGCCAAAGACAGTTCTTTGGCATTACCTACCCGGTTTGTCCCTTCCTCGAATGCATGGGTAACGATGGCTTGCAAGTCGTCGTCGGGAATCTTGGGAAACATTTCTCGGACAGCGCCATGGATGTAGCCCTTGGTCTCCTTGTCCGTGGCAGGACCTCCCTGTTTGACCTGGCGCGAAGAGTAGTCCTCGAAGCGCCTGGCAATCCAGTTGGTCCTGTCACCGTCCTTGGCTTTGCGAAGGCCGTGATTTTCATCATATGTATAACCGAACTTGCTACAGGCGAGGTCGATGATTTGCAGGGGGAAATGATGCCCAACTCGGTGGACATGGTGCGACAGCTTCTCCGGGTCGGAGTGCATCTTGTTCTTGGGCTTGGCCTGCGAGTTTGTCAGTCGGGACAAACCTTGCTACCGACGGTTGCTCGAAACGCCTACCGAAACAATGTGTACGTCGAGGTTGCGCTGGCGGCACTGCTCCTTGCACCATTCCGTAAACTCGGGATGGCCAGCCGGAATGAAGCCGAAGCCAGCGGGCGCGTTGGAGGCATATGTCAGCTACGCTGATGTTAGTATAATGCCAAAACACCAATAGCACATCGCAGACGGACGATGGAGTGCAGCTTCTTCTTCTCTTGCGTGACGGCTTCAAGCACAATCTTGTACGGCTTCTTCTTCTTGGCGACGGCGCGCGGCTGATCAAGCATGCCGCTGCGCTGTGGCGCATATTGCGGACGCGCATGGTGTATTCTGGTCATGACGCTGGTGTTCAAACAAAATCATCGAGGCCACAGCGAACCGTGGGAGAATGAGCCGCTTCTATGACTGAGTCCCAGTATGAACGGAGCCTGAAACTGCGGGATTAGCAGCGGATACGATGAACGAAGCAGTCACAAAGGTGTGCAGAGGCCCGGCAATGCGGGCTTTGTATCTACAGGCCCCGATCGATGCAAAGGCACAGGCGGAGGCGTTGAGTGGCGAGAGGTATGGAAAGAGGGAACAGGAGCGGGCCAGGTTTGTGCAACGCGGGCGGCTATGGGCGCCGGCGCCACTTTTCTCCGATGCCCGGCCATGCCAAGTTCCCAGTGCCAGCGCAGGGCACGTGGCGTCACCGTGGCCACCATGTCCCACCAAGCAGTCATACACGCGTATAGACACTTGTACCGGCATAGCCTGAGGGCCATCCAGTTCTCCAAGCCTGCCCGGTATACGCTGCGTGATCGCCTCCGCCTGGCTTTCCGCAGAGGCAGTGCCGCCGAATATGAGCCCGACAAGGTGCTCAACACGCTGGAGTTTCTCCGCCATGCCACGAGAGAGAACGGGTTGGAGCACAAAATAGTAAAGAACCTGTTGTTCGTATGGTGGGTGCAGAGTAACGGCGGCCGCGCAAAACACAAGACGAAGGCTCAGTATGTATCCTGCCCCGCGCAAAGCCTAGCCCCTCAGAAGGCTGACTGGTCAGGACCCACGAGGAGCTCGAGATCAAGACGACTGCATACGACACCTTCAACCACAACATCCGCATGCTGAATGAGAGTATGGGGCTATGTCTGCCAGCGACGACAGTTCGCGATCCTAGTTGAGTTTACTCGAAATCATTGCAGAGCGCCGGTTTGCCGCGCGCTAGACGACGCAGCTCACATGAAGTCGTCGAGGAAGTTCTCGTCGCGGTTCTGGTTGCTGTTCTCCTCCAAATTCTCCTCCGTCATGACATCGTCATAGGCGTGGTCTCTGCGCCATGCGAGCTCCTTGCGCTCTTTGGCAATGCGTGCTTCCTCTTTCCTCTGCATGAGGTTAGTATTGGTCTGAATATGCCAACGTACAAAGACAGCGCTGGAGTGACCGACAAGATAGCAGCACGGAGGTAGTTGAGGGTAAATGGGCGAGGGTAGCAAGACGAAGAAACGTGTAAAGCACAGCAATTTTTGCAAGCATGTATTTGCAAGAGACAGCGCATGCTGTGCGGATACCCCAATCAGCTGCGATGAGGAAATAAGAAATTCACATACCTTTGCCTGCATTGCACCCTGCTCGCGCTTCCTCAGCTCTGCGCGCCTCGCCTCCCGCTCCTCACACAGATCAGGAAACCTCTCAACCTTTGTCTTGTTCAGACGATTGACAATGGCATTCTCCCTCTTCTCGATATGTATGCGCTTGACCTGGACACCTATTAATAGACAACAATAGAAAAAATTACTGCAAACTCACCTTGCGCTGATCCTTGAAGCCAACCTGCCCCACAGCCATACTCCCATCCTTCTTCAAATTACTCCAAGGCGTATACACAATGGTAATGTTGTCCTTCTTGTTGCCCTCGATACTGTTCGCCTTGGTCAGTTGCGCACAGTCGACGAGTAAGTCGTTGGTAATTTTTTCCCAGTCCTCGCCCTCTGGCAGACGGACGTAGACGTGGGCGGAAGACAGGTTGTCCACGTGGAACCAGACATCTTCGTCCCAGCCGTACTTGATGAGCTCTTCATCTGTTGAACGTTAGCAAAATAAAAACCCGTGTAATAATGCAACCCGCCAGAGTGGCAAGGCATGCGTGTGTGTGTCAATGCATAGATTCTTACTTTCGACCTTGTCTTTGCCGACGTATATGAAGGCTGCTGGAGACACGGTACTTGACGAGAAATAGTACACCATGTTGACGCGTTAGATGGTTGTGACTATGGAATGCGAGATCAAGTCGCAGGTCAGATTGTTGCGCTTAGTGGTCAATTTGGCAAGCACGTGTGGGGTCTACCAAGTACTAGTGTGGGTGGTCAATGCGTGCAACGGGTCAGACAATGCAACACCCCCTGCATCTCCCAAAGTAGAACCCACCAATTTCAAATCCCCACAACTCCACCACCATGACAGCTATCGAAAAAGCGCTTGCGGCAATCAATTCGCAAGGTCTAGAAGGACAAATCTCGTACCGTACAGCTGCAAAAATATATGGTGTTGCGGCATCAACTTTAACGCGTCGCCACCAAAACAAAACGCGGTCGCGTGCAGCCGCTGCACACCCACGACGACTACTCTCACCACAACAAGAGAAATACCTTGTCCAGCACATAGAAAAACTCTCTAAGCGTAGTACTCCACCGTCCTAAGAGATAATTAAAAATTATGTTGCCAATATTGCAAAAAGACAGCTATCTAACAGCTAGGTTACAAGATTTCTTCGGCGGAACAGAGAGAAAATTATCACCAGAAACACCGCCGGCATCAACCAAAACTGCAAAAAAGCTGACGATTTTAAAGATTACTATAATTACTTCCGTCTACTTCACGATTATATCAAGAAATACGATATCCAGCCGCAAAATATCTATAATATGGACGAAAAGGGCTTTCTCCTTAGTGTCACTTTAAGGACCAAAAGGGTGTTCTCTAAGAGACTTTAGGATAAAAAGAAAGTTCAAGCAGCTATTAGAGACGGCAGCAGGGAGTGGATAACAACTTTAGACTGTATTTGTGCTGACGGGAGCTGGATATCGCCTATAATAATCTTTAAGGGCAAAGCTAGACTTCGAAACAACTAGGTAGAGCACCTAGATCCTTCCCAACACTAGATGTTTTTTGCTACTAGCGACTTGGGCTAGAGTAACGATATCCTAGGGCTATCTTGGCTTAAGCAGGTGTTTTAGCGCCAAACGAAAGACAAAGCAAAGCGCGATTATCGGTTGCTGATCCTAGACGGTCATGGGAGTTATTAGACTCCAAGTTTTCGAGAGTTTTGTGACTCTAACAGGATTCTCCTAGCTACTCTCCCTCCCCACTCATCTCACCGACTCCAGCCACTCGACGTTGGCATGTTCAAGCCCCTCTCGAGCGCGTATACCGAAGAACTTAATAGTCTGTCCCACCGCAGTCAAGGCTTGGTGGAGGTGCACAAAAGTGATTTTTTATGGTTATTTTGGGCGGCGTAGACACGGGCGTTCACGTCTAACAAGATACTGAGCTGTTTTTGAGCTACTGGCGTCTACCTGCAGGATGGTAATGCCGTGCTTAAACATCTTAAAAAGTCAACATCATAACAAGATATTAATCCAGAACTTGGAGAGCATGGTGATGGGGATACTGCAAGAGAGCTGTCTAATTTTCTAGACAAAACTATGACGGGTTGTGCTGAAGTTATGGTCTCTGCGGTGAAAGACACTATTGCTTCACTCTAGGTCAACAACGAGATTTTGCACCACGAAAACACTAATCTACAAGAAGTACTTGCTATCAAAAATCATCTAGAGAAGCAAAAGAAGCCTCTAGAGCTCCAGCAAAGCAAGCAGTATCATACTCCGGCGGTGGTGTGGAGTCCTAGGACAATAGAAGATGCGAGAGCTCAAGAACGTCAAAAAAAACACCAAGAAGAGCTTGAAAAACTCCAAAAAAAGAGAAACAACAGGAACAAGCTGCTAGTATAGCTCTACGAAAAAAATTAATAGACGAGGCAAGGACTGCGCGGGAGTTGAAGAAAATAGCGAGGGATAAAGAGAGAGAAGTGAGGGCCAAAGAACTCCAGTTAAGACGCGCCCAAAAAGCTCGCGATCGCGCAGTCGCAACTTCAAAAAAAGCTCGCGATAAGCAAAATATACCTAAACGAAAAGCTTCATCGTCTCAAAAGTCAAAAAAGTCAAAGGGTGGTGGTGATGCAGGCAGCCAAAGTGGTGGTGCGTCTGCATCGTCGGCTGCGCAGCCCACCACCAAAACAACGATGCGCGGCCGCAACATCAAACTGCCAAAGAAATTTGAGTAGAT